TTTGATATTTTAATAATATAAATAGGAATATTTATAGTATGTGGTAGGGAAATGTAGAGGGGACAAGACCTAGATTTAGAAAAATCAGTTCAGTATTAAATTTTAGATTTTAAATGTATTCAAAAATTGCCAATTATATAAATATTATATTATATTCCCTTAAATTAGTTTTCAATTATTTAAATCTCAATAAAAAAAAATTACTAGGAAAAAATATTTAATCTGATCATTGTTAATTTTAAATTATACTTTTTATTTTTAGTATTATTAGAAAAATCACTTGTTAATATATCATACATATTTATAGTAAAATAGAATATTTAAAACACTAGTTTCTACTATCTGTATGAAAAGCGAAGTGTGCTTTTTTTGTGAAATTGTCTTTTCGACAAATTTCATTATTTTAATTTTATTAGACATACATTTTATATACATGTTTATTCTGCCTTTTGGATTCCTATTTTACTATTTTTTAGAACATGTGTAGGAACTAGTGTAAGTCTGGGCCTTTTTGATCCAGTTTCATTATTATTATTATTATTATTTCATTTGAATAGACAAAGTAAAAACTATTGGAATTTAAACTATTCATTTTAACTTAACATTTTAACATATACATTTATAATTCTTCTAATTATAATCTTCTAATTATATTCGTTATTTTATAATAGTCATTATTTTCTTAAATAATAATGGTAATAAAATATAATTTGGATATACAATTTTCAATATTAGAATCTCAATATAATAACATTGTAAACATTTTTTTCAGACTAAATTCTAAAGAAGAATAGCGGTCATTAATTTTTTTATAATTTTCTAACTAAAAAATACTATCAACAATTATAATGGAGCCCTATGGATCCTACAATCTGTCAACTCGATACCAGCAAAACCAATCAACAGCGCCTAATCTAGTCAACCATAACAATAAGTATAATACGCAGCAATTCGTAAACAATGGTATGAATAATTATTACAATATTAAACCTACAACTTCTCAATTACCATATAATAATGGATTTTTGATGTCTACAAATACACCTTCTGTTTCTCTATCTACTTATACCCTTAATGCAAGTCTTAGCAACAATGGTTATATTCCACAGAGTATACAACCTGCTCCTCAACCTACATTGTCTCATTCGTATTATAATGATAATTCACCAAATCAAAATGCATATTTCAATAATGCTCCGGCGATTTATACTAATGTAACAAATGTCAATATTGAAATGTCTTCAAACACTACTTTATGCTACCTAGGGGAAAACTTTACACATAATATGCCTTTACAAGTTAATCCATCAAACATTAATTATGGAGGATCAACAGCTAGTGGTTTAAACAGTCAACAATTATCTTATTCAAATAAGGATGACGAATGGTTTAATTTAACAAATAAGTTTTTAAATAATAAAGCAGAAAATCCGAATATTAATATTTCATTTAACAAACAACATGCGTCTAATTCGAAAATAGATGATGAATGGTTTAATTTAACAAGTAAGTTTTTAAATGATCGAGAAAAAAATGTGACTCGTAATATTTCATTGGTACCTAACACCCATCAAAATGATTCAAAACTTAGTAACTTTTCTAAAAAACAGTTAATTAAAGCCAGAGATCTAAAAAACCTTACAAAACTATACCAACACCATAAAGATAACTGAAAATTTGCAGTTTTTTATATGTTCGATAAAACTATTATTAGTCTAAATAGTGATTAATACATTGTGTGTATTACTGATCAGAATATTAGCGAATTCATTAGACATATTAATTTGATATTTCATAATAAAATAGNTTTAAAACAAAATATGTACCCTATTTTAGAACTAAACAAAACTTGATTAGTTTTATCAATTTTAATTATAAGTTTTTTTTCTGCATACCTATTATTTTTTTAGTATTTCATAATGATCTTTAATATGATTAATATTTTAAATAGAGTTTTATAATGTAAAACCTCAATTAATTTAAATGTATTTATAGAACATTGAATTAAAAAATTATATTTTTTGAAAGTAAGGTTGTGTCATCAACATATCTATAATGTAATTTAATATATGAGTTGTATATTTTGTTATTAATAATATTATTGGTTTCATAATTTCCCATGTAAATTTCAGATTAAAGGTACTTAAAAGACTATCCATAACTAACCAATATTTTTTTGAGGATATAATTTATTATTATATTGGAAAAAGTTACATTTATTAATTGAATAATTTATTGTGCTTTGTTTGTATTGAATTTATTACTATGTGTAAGTTTAGTTTTTGAAAAATGTACTGTTTCATGTTTAGGAATGGATGTTTATATATATTTTATGTCAAGAGAAATCATTTTGTAATTTGGCTCAATATTTTTTTCAAAAAAATCATGAGTGTTTTTTATTTTATTATTTTATTACAATATTATGTTGTTGTTGTTATTATTAACAAATATTAACATGTATTAGTAGTGTATTTTAAGTATTTAGGTAGTTATTTGAATAAAAATAATAATCAATTTATTACAGACTAAAAAAAGCCAATCTTTTTTTTTTCATAGAAAATATTATCATTTATTATAAATATAATAAAAAAAAAGTGAACTTTCTTTAAAAACAGAATACAAAAAAAATTGAAACCTTTGTTAAAAGAAAAAAAAAATTAATCCTTAATAACCCAATGAATAATAAAAATAATTTAATATCATCATATTAAAATACAATGAACTTGACTAATTACTCAAAGTTGTTTCAAACTCAGAAAGTAATACTGTTATTTTTTTTTTTAAAACTGTAAACAATATTTTGTTACCAATTATGAAATTGTTTTGGTTTGTTTCTGATTTGCATAATTTCATGAGAACACAATGCAACAATCTTTATACTAAAGTTATTAGTAAGGTTATTCAAATTACATGAATATAATTAAACTATAACAGGTTAATAACTGAACTAGGTATGCATTCAGAGAGCTTTAATCTAAGTTTGATCATCAAAATTAAATAAGTGATTTGGTGAAAATATGCAATCATACAATTCAAAAATAATATTTGTATCAATAATGTATTCCATATTAAATTATATTATCAATACTAATATTGTTAATATGTGTTAACTCTTTATGCCCTTGGTATTGTTATTTATAGTTAATAACCATAATTCCAGTATTTGTCTATTTTTTATTAATACAAGTATGATCAACTGTGCATATCAAACATTCTCATATACCTACCAATCAATAATAAAAGTGGTCATTTCTTGCTTGTATAATATTTTAAAACGTACTCATCTCTTGTGTGCTAAAAAAACCTTTTTTTTTTTTAAAACTGCCAAACCAATTTTCATTTTTTCTGAAAGCCTAAAATTTTTACATGACAAAAACACCTTTACACAATAATGTGTTCAGTACTTTTTCATAAATTAACAATAAGTAACATATATTCTTTAATAAGACAAAAGTAAAATACAGGATTATAAAATCTTTAAAATTAATTACATAAAAAAAATTCAAGCAAAACAAATTTATTGATAGCGATTTTTAATTGTTGATTAGCAGATAGAATTAATTTGCTATAAAATATTTAAAATGTAAGTTAGAAAACATGTTTTAACCATAATTAAATTAATGATTTACTCTTCAGAAAACACTTATAGTTAATATTATAGGATTNACATCTCGCTATTATGGCAAAATATTTAAAATTGGATGATTTTATGTTATATGCTCATGGTTCAGATTTATGCCACGATTCTGAACTTAAACATGCAATGGCTAATTGCTTTGAAGCTTTAATGGCGGCATTATTTTTAGATGGAGGAATAGAAGTTGCTGATCGTGTATTTGGAGAAACATTATATAACGATTCACCAGAACATCTTAGAATATGGGTGAATTACCCTAAGCATCCATTACAACAACAAAAACCAAAGGGCGACCGTCAATGGATTCAAACATCACCATTGCTCCAAAGACTAACTCGTTTTGAAGAAATTATAGGTATTAAATTTAATCATATCAGACTATTGGCAAAAGCATTTACTCACAGAAGCGTGGGTTTTACAAATTTAACCCTTGGATCAAACCAACGACTTGAATTTCTTGGTGATACTGTTCTACAGTTAATAGCATCAGACTATTTATATAGGTATTTTCCAGAACATCATGAAGGTCATTTGTCACTTCTCCGTAGTTCTTTGGTAAATAATCGAACTCAGTCTGTTGTGTGCGATGATCTGGGCATGGTAAATTATGCATTGCATGCAAATCCAAAACCAGAGCTGAAAACAAAAGACAAAGCTGATTTTCTTGAAGCATTTCTTGGTGCCTTATACATAGACAAAGGCCTTAAACACTGTCAGGTATTTTGTAATGTTTGTTTTTTTCCTCGGCTGAACGATTTTATTTTGAAACAATATTGGAATGATCCAAAATCAAAACTACAACAATGTTGTTTAACTTTACGATCTATTGTTGGTCAAAAAACTTATAATCCCATTTATAGAGTGATTAAATGTATAGGACCAACCAATGATCGAAAGTATATTGTAGCTGTTTACTTTAAAGGTGTTAGGTTATCACAGGCCAGTGGTCATAGTATACAACGGGCTGAAATGAATGCAGCTAATAGTGCCTTAGAGGTAACCAAAGATTTATTTCCAAAACTGGATCACCAAAGAAAAGCTATATCAAGAAGTTTGCTTCATCAAAGTACAGATAGCAATAAACATTTTATGGAAATCATAAACATGTTAGAATCGCAATCATCCAAAAGTGATTCACATCTGAGCGAATCAGAAAAAAAGAAAAATAAATTATACAACCGATTATTAGCAGTATTATGTTCTGCCGAGGATTATAATGAAGAAGAAACGGAAGATGAAGAAGAAGATAAAAAACATTACAAGGAAATAGATGGACCAGAAAGAAAAAAAATCAAAATGAGAACCAGAAAGAATTCAAAGTGAGTCTTAAAAATAAATACATTCTGAGAAAAACCAGAAAGAAAAAATTCAAAATATTATACAATTTTTAATTGTTTACATTTTCCTTGTTGTTTTAAAACAAAATATGTACCCTATTTTAGAACTAAACAAAACTTGATTAGTTTTATCAATTTTAATTATAAGTTTTTTTTCTGCATACCTATTATTTTTTTAGTATTTCATAATGATCTTTAATATGATTAATATTTTAAATAGAGTTTTATAATGTAAAACCTCAATTAATTTAAATGTATTTATAGAACATTGAATTAAAAAATTATATTTTTTGAAAGTAAGGTTGTGTCATCAACATATCTATAATGTAATTTAATATATGAGTTGTATATTTTGTTATTAATAATATTATTGATTTCATAATTTCCCATGTAAATTTCAGAAAAAAGGCACTTAAAAGTCTATCCATAACCAACCAATATTTTTTTGAGGATATAATTTATTATTATATTGGAAAAAGTTACATTTATTAATTGAATAATTTATTGTGCTTTGTTTGTATTGAATTTATTACTATGTATAGGTTTAGTTTTTGAAAAATGTACTGTTTCGTGTTTAGGAATGGATGTCTATACATTTTTTATGTCAAGAGAAATCCTTTTGTAACTTGGCTCAATATTGTTTTTATTATTTTTCAAAAAAATCATGAGTGTTTTTTACTTTATTATTTTATTAAATATCATATGAAATTTGCAGTTACATTAACATGTTGTTATTGTTATTTTTAACAAATATTAACATGTATTAGTAATGTATTTTAAGTATTTATGTAGTTATTTGAATAAAAATAATAATCAATTTTTACAGACTATTAAAACCAATCTTTTTTTTTCACAGCAAATATTATCATTTATTATAAATATAACAAAAAAAAGTGAACTTTCTTTAAAAACAGAATACAAAAAATAATTGTCACCTTTGTTTAAAGAAAAAAAAACAATTAATCCTTAATAACCTAATGAATAATAAAACTAATTTTATATCGTCATAATAAAATACAATGAACTTGACTAATAAATCAAAGTTGTTTCAACCTCAGAAATACTGTATTTTTTTTTTTTTTTTTTTTTCTGAAACTGTAAACAATATTTTCATACCAATTATAAAATTGTTTTGGTTTGTTTCTGATTTGCATAATTTCATGAGAACACAATGCAACAATCTTTTTATTAAGGTTATTCATTTTACATGACTATAATTAAACTATAACAGGTTAATAACTGAATACAGAAAACAGAATTGTTTACTTTTTATTTATACAATTATGACCAATTGTGCATATAAAACATTCTCGTATATGTAACCAATCAATAAAAAGTGTGGTCATTTTTTGCTTGAATAATATTTTAAAATGTACTCGTCTCTCTAGTGTGCAAAAAAGACTTATTGTTTTTTAAAAAATTGCTAAACCAATTTTCACAAAACACATTTTTTCTGAAAGCCTAAAGTTTTTACATTACAGTGACACCATTAACATAATAATGTCTTCAGTACTTTTTAAAAATACATTCTTTAATAAGACAAAAGTAAAATAGAGAATTATAAAATCTTAAAAATAAATTACAACAAAAAATTCAAGCAAAACAAAACAAATTTATTGATACCATTTTTTTATTGCAGATTAGCAGATACAATTTATTTGCTATTAGATATTTAAAATATAAGTTAGGTAACATGTTCCAACTATTATTAAATTCACGATTTAGTCTTCAGAAAACACTTGCAGTTAATATTATAGGATTGGAGCTTGTTAAAATGTTAATAAATCAATCTTAAAAAATTTCAATATTAACATTAGTACAGTGGCAATAAAATATTATGTAAATCGATGAGTAACATAATGTGAAACCATAGTGAAAGCCTTTGATTATTTATTTTCATTTTTTGACCATTTTACACTTATACCATAATTTCACTAAGTTTACATTGTATAAAGTAAAATCTAAATTCATCCTGAAATCAAAATAAATCTGGTATTTGTTACGAAATTGTAAATTGTAAATTTAAATTGTTTTTAAGGTACACGATAATTTGTAGTTTTACTTTATGGTCATAAAATAAAGTCATATTAACTAATAACATATTATCACTAATAAAGTTATAAAATCAAATTTCTATAACTTTAAAATAATACTTCAAACATAGATAAGTATATTCTATAAATTGTATAATACTATTTAAAATAATAATAATAATAGGCTGATAGTATTATATCCTATAAACAATTGAATAATGCAGTATAATACCTATAACTAATTAAATAATTACGACATTGTTGATTAAGTAGAAAATATAGGGTTGTTATGTCTATTGTCATTGTTATAAAACTTACCAGAAGACCTACATATACTGATTTAAATTCAGAAAAAGGTATTTGCATATTTGAAAATAAGGTGACCAAACCAGTAATCGAACCGGATTATTACTCTATGATGATTAGGTTAGGGTACTCTATGATAAATTATTGCAAACGAAAAACGATTCTGAGTGAAGTTTATGTATATATGATTTGAATGGCCGTAATATTTCATCAAAATTTGATATTCAAACCCTTATAAAAAAAGATTTTACCTAATTGCAAAATCTAGCTACTCCATACGAGTAGTACTTTACATAATATGTCTTTTGACTTCTAAGTACAACTTAGAATGAACCTCCTGTTGAAATGTCAAAGCATTTTTGTTTGGTCAAATAATTATATATACATAGTATCTACTAGATAAAAACTAAAAACAGTAAAATATCTATAAATAGCTCGTTTCGATCTGGATCAAATAATATACTTATTTGCTAAATATTGACGATAAGTTGAATTTAAAGCCTGGAGGGGTGTAGAAAAGTTTTACAGCCCCACGTGTTTTGTTTTCGAATACAACGCCTAAATAAAAGCATGCGAATTTCGGCGATTGACATGAAAATTCATGCTTATTGCATGCTAAATTCCAATGAAAATAACACATTTTATTCAGCATTTTCACATAGCTATTTTGGGTTTTTAGTTATTATAAGGCACATAAAAAATCAAATATCTATGTATAAAATAGATAAATATTCGCAACTAGACTGCATAGACAAGTATACTTGATAGTAGACAACATAATGCAGTGTGCGATGTTTGTATCAAATTATGTTAGCATTATCGATTATAACATACATAAAACAATAATATTATAATATAAAAATTCAAGCCCAGTAATTTGATTTTATTTTATTTTGGCGGGTTTTTCCTAACCTCAAAAAAGTCTACCCGGCAGCGCTTTTGTGGCAACACGTCAACGTTTCTTTCTCATCTTGAAAAAATATTATAATATGCAGGAGCGTAGGAAGTTGTTCGACCATATCTTCCAAGACCGTTGCACTAACTCTAATAGACTGTTGTTTAAGCTGTATACATTAAACCGTGATTAACATATACATACATGTGGTTTTAACCATAGATTCGGTCCAAATGACTAAGTGATAACAACCGCGTTGTAGTTTAATGTTTCTTTTAATGCAAAAGTATTCGCTAGTCCGTACTAATATCTAAGTGCTTTCGCTTTATGTTCACTACTCTCGAAATCTTTATCTCCAAGCGGTGAGCGATTTTCATTTGCCATTTCGAATTCTAGTATCGGTGTTTTGTATGTTTGATCAAGATCTCCGTTGATTACACGAAAATAAGGTATAATTAATTTTTGCAATTCTTCATTGTATTGTTTCAATTATAACAATCTGCGTTCTCTGGGCGCGAGGATTTACTCTTTTGAAACGATGCAGAATGTGATTGATTTCATCGCTCCATTGATTTAAATCAGTAAATCTTTATAGAATACTGTGAACACTATATAATTGTTGTTATAATTATTATTATTATTGTACGTGACCTAACTTGTCGCCGACGCCATGATATAATAGCTACTTACTACATTATAGGATGGTACTTCATGTCATACACAATCATATTTCCCGACATATTTCCCTCTCGTAATATAAAACTTTTGGGTTATTACCCATCCCATTTTTCTCCCCACATTTTGACGACAGTGAACGATAATAACAATAACAATAATTGTTTGGTCATAGAAAAATTAAAAACTCAATACGAGATATTTTTAAATTCAAATTTTATTATTATTCATTTATATTATGAGGTTCTTAGGTACCTTTTATACCAATCACAGTCTTATATAAATTATATCCCTTAAATATATNATAATTGTTTGGTCATAGAAAAATTAAAAACTCAATACGAGATATTTTTTAATTCAAATTTTATTATTATTCATTTATATTATGAGGTTCTTAGGTACCTTTTATACCAATTAAAGTCTTATCAAAATTTAGCATATCATTAGATAGTGATATATCATAAATATCGTGATAGTGTCTTAAATGTATCAATATTGTATTAGTCTTAAAGAAATATCGAAGATAAACAATTTTTAGAAAGATTATAGATTATAGATAGTATGGGATTATTTTGACCAAAACAAAATACTTATATATACTTATATACATACATAACTTTACCTACACATTTTTACATTTATTCATTGTTCAGTATATTAAATAAATATATTTTATTATGTATAAATAATTTTGATATTTTAATAATATAGCTAGGAATATCTAAAGTATGTGGTGGGTAGATGTAGACGGGACAAGACCTAGATTTAGACAAATTGTTCACTATTAAATTTTAGATTTTAAATGTATTCAAAAATTGCTAATTAGATAAACATTATGTTTACAAAAAATTATTGGAATTTAAACTATTCAATTTAAACCTTAACATTTTAACATATCCATTAATAATTCCCCTAATTATAATTTTTTCATTTTTTTAAAATAATTATCACTTTTACAAATACCATTATTAAACAACTGACTAAATTATATATAAACTTTAGGTAATATTGGTAATAATAATTAATTTGGATATAAAATATACAATATGACAATCTCAATATAATACAATTGTGAAACTTTTTTTCAGATTCAATTCTAAAGAAGAATAGCGGTAATTTATTTTTTATAATTTACTAACTCAAAAATACTATCACCAATTATAATGGAGCCCTATGGATCCTAAAATCTGTCAACTAATTACCAGCAAAACTAATCAATGGCGCCTTATCAAGTCAACTATAACAATGGGCATGATATGCAGCAATTTTCAAACATGGTATGAATAATTATTACAATAGTACACCTACAACTTCCTAATTTCCAAATAATAATGGATTTTTGATGTCTGCAAATGCACCTTCTGCTTCTCCATCTACTAATACCCTTAATGCAAGTCTTTGCGACATTGGTTATATTCCACAGAGTATACAACCTGCTCCTCAACCTACATTTTCTTATTCTACTATAAATAATATTATTAAACAACTGACCAATTTATATGTAAACTTTAGGCAATATTGGTAATAATAATTAATTTGGACNATAATTGTGAACCTTTTTTTCAGATTCAATTCTAAAGAAGAATAGCGGTAATTTATTTTTTATAATTTACTAACTCAAAAATACTATCACCAATTATAATGGAGCCCTATGGATCCTACAATCTGTCAACTAATTACCAGCAAAACCAATCAATGGCGCCTTATCAAGTAAACCATAACAATGGGCATAATATGCAGCAATTTTTAAACAATGGTATGAATAATTATTACAATAGTACACCTACAACTTCTCAATTTCCGAATAATAATGGATTTTTGATGTCTGCAAATGCACCTTCTGCTTCTCCATCTACTAATACTCTTAATGCAAGTCTTAGCAACAATGGTTATATTTCACAGAGTATACAACCTGCTCCTCAACCTACATCGTCTCATTCGTATTATAATGTAATTTCACCAAATCCAAATGCATATTTCAATAATGCTCCGGCGATTTACACTCATGTAACAAACGTCAATATTGAAATGTCTTCAAACACTACTTTATGCTACCAAGGGGAAAACTTTACACATAATATGCCTTTACAAGTTAATCCATCAAACATTAATTATGGAGGATCAACAGCTAGTGGTTCAAACAGTCAACATGTATCTAATTCAAAAAAGGATGACGAATGGTTTAATTTAACAAATAAGTTTTTAAATAATCCAGGAGAAAATCCGAATTTTAATATTTCATTTAACAAACAACATGCGTCTAATTCGAAAATAGATGATGAATGGTTTAATTTAACAAGTAAGTTTTTAAATGATCGAGAAAAAAATGTGACTCGTAATATTTCATTGGTATCTAACACTCATCAAACTGATTCTAAACAAAACAATTTTTTTAAAAATCAATCAAATAATACTAAAAATCCAAAAACTTTTACAAAAATATTGCCTAAAGCAACAAAGATATCTGAAAAACTGTCTATTGAACAAATTTTGGCTAACGAACAGAAAAAGCATTATTATTCATTTGAATCTGAATTATATTATAAAAAGCTTATCGGCTCAAAGGTTTTTATAGCAAATGATATAACACTAGAAGTATGTCATGAATTTGAAACAGTGTTAGGTAAACGTGCTACAGCTGTGAATGCATTAAAACCAGTATATACCAAACCTCGTAAAATGAATGTCAATGTATGTAAGCATAAATGTGTAGGAAATAAAGACTATGATAATGATTCTTGTAGTTCAAGTGATGAAGATTCAGATCATAAAAATGCCACATTAATAGAACTTGCTAAAAAATGTGCTCATCCTGACCGGCTGCATCCAGAACTTTGGCATAACGAATTAGGAGAAATGAATGATGGACCAGTTTGCAAATGTAGTTGCAAGTCGCAGAGATCTGGTATCCATCACAATATTTATATTGGTGAAGGACAGTTTAAACCTTGTTTGCCAAACACAAATAATGCCGACAAATTATATCATTATAGAATTAGTATAACTCCATCTACAAATTTTTTACTTAAATGTCCTACAGTTATTAAACATGAGCGTAATAAATATATTTTTGAAGGATTTTCATTGCTATCACATTATCCTATTCCCACATTGCCAACATGCAAAGTTGTCCGGTTCAATACTAATTATGCTATATTATACATTGAAGAAAAGATGCCAGAGAATTTTGTGATACAAGAGTTGGAACTATTTTATAAATTTTTCTTTAAAGACATATTGGAATTGGTGGATTTAGATTTCCATGCTATAGGAAATAAAGATGGATGTCCTGTATTTCATTTTATGCCTCGATTTGTAAGAGACTTATCAAATAACAACAACGAATTACTATCTATGCGTAATGTTCTTAAATATCTTTTAAATAACAATAAATTACTTTTTGAAGAAAACTCATTACCTGGTTTAAAACAAATGTCTATTGATGAATGGCAAGATATTGTTGATGAATATAAAGGCATGATCATTACAAATCCAGAAACTAAACCAAGTTCAATACGTGTTGATCAACTGGATAGAAATAATAAAATGGAGACGACTGACAAATTATATCCAGTCGTAGTTCATTTTGGTATAAGACCATCACAGTTAAGTTACGCTGGTAATCCAGACTATCAAAAAAGGTGGAGAGATTATGTCAAATTTCGACATTTGCTTGCAAATATGCCTAAGCCATCAGCTGAGGATAAAAGAAAACTTAAAACCAAAGAAATATCTTTACAAGAAACTAAGTCACATAATAAAATGAAACGTGGAGTCACAGCTGCTATTAGTAGTAAAGGATTTTATAAAACTGGACTCATGTGTGATATAGTTCAGCATGCAATGCTTTTACCAGTACTGGTGTGCCATTTTAGATTTCATAAAAGTTTAGAATGCTTAGAAAATTCAATAGGATATAAATTCAAGAACAAATATTTACTCCAGCTAGCTTTAACTCATCCATCTTATCGAGACAATTTTGGTACAAATCCTGACCATGTAAGGAATACTCTTACAAATTGTGGTATACGACAACCAGAATATGGAGGTAGACATCTTAATTTTACGAATACAAGAAAAAGAGGTCTAAACACCCTTATAAATATAATGTCACAGTTTGGTAAAAAGTCAGAAATGGAATCAAATATTATGCACAATGAACGTTTGGAATTTTTAGGGGATGCTGTTATTGAGTTTTTGTCTACTATACATTTATTTAATATATTTCCTGATGTTGAGGAAGGCAGTCTAGCAACATACCGAGCTGCCATTGTGCAAAATCAACATCTCGCTATTATGGCAAAATATTTAAAATTGGATGATTTTATGTTATATGCTCATGGTTCAGATTTATGCCACGATTCTGAACTTAAACATGCAATGGCTAATTGCTTTGAAGCTTTGATGGGAGCATTATTTTTAGATGGAGGAGTAGAAGTTGCTGATCGTGTATTTGGAGAAACATTCTTTAAGGATTCACCAGAGCACCTTAAAATATGGGTGAACTACCCTAAACATCTATTACAACAACAAGAACCAGATGGCGACCGTAAATGGATTAAAACATTACCATTGCTTCAAAGACTAACTTCTTTTGAAGATTCTATAGGTATAAAATTTAATCATATCAGGCTATTGGCAAGAGCATTTACTGATAGAAGTGTGGGTTTTACAAATTTAACCCTTGGATCAAACCAACGACTTGAATTTCTCGGCGATACTGTTCTACAGTTAATAGCGTCAGACTATTTATATAAGTATTTTCCAGAACATCATGAGGGTCATTTGTCACTACTCCGTAGTTCTTTGGTAAATAATCGAACTCAGTCTGTTGTGTGTGATGATCTGGGTATGGTAAATTATGCATTATATGCAAATCCGAAACCAGAAATGAAAACAAAAGATAGAGCTGATCTTTTAGAAGCATTACTTGGGGCCTTATATATAGACAAAGGTCTTAAACACTGTCAGGCATTTTGTAATGTTTGCTTTTTTCCCCGCCTACATGATTTTATTTTAAAACAAGATTGGAATGACCCAAAATCTAAACTACAACAATGTTGTTTAACTTTACGATCTGTTGATGGTGGAGAACCCGATATTCCCATTTATAAAGTGATTGAATGTATGGGGCCAACTAATGGTCGAAAGTATACTGTAGCTGTTTACTTTAAAGGTGTTAGGCTGTCACAGGCAAATGGTCATAGTATACAACGAGCTGAAATGAATGCAGCTAATAGTGCTTTAGAAGTATCCAAAGATTTATTCCCACAACTGGATCATCAAAGAAAAGCTATATCAAGAAGTTTGCTTCATCAAAGTACAGATAGCAATACAAATTTTATGGACATCATAAAAATGTTAGAATCAAATTCATCCAAAAATGATTCAGATCTGAGCGAATCAGAAAAAAAGAGAAAGAAATTACACAAAAAATTATTAGCAGTATTATGTTCTTGCCAGGATTATAATGAAGATACAGATGGCGAAGAAGATAAAAAACAAAACAAAGAAGAAGAACTAGATGAACCAGTAAGAAAAAAGATTAAAAGAAGACACTCAAAGAGAAAAACTTGAACAGAGAACCAAAAAAACCCTACCAAAAGAAATAAATGTTGAGAAGAACTAGAAAGAAAAAAATCAAAATATACAATTTTTGATTCTTTACATTTAAGTATAATTTAATTCTTTGTTTTAAAACAAAATATGTACCCTTTTTTAGAATTAAACAAAGCTTGATTAGTTAGCTTTATCAATTTTACAATTTTATCATAATTTTTTTTTCAGCATATTTTTTATTTTTTTATTATTTTATAACAATTTTTAATATGAATAATATTTTAAGTACAGTTTTATAATATAAAATCTAATTTAATTAAAATGTATTTAAAATTGTCTTACTTAGTTTCATATAATATAATATTTTTACAATGTGATATACCTATAATCTATGTCTTAGTCGTCATGCAAAAACTCACAGGTTGTACTTTTATAGTTTTCGTTAATATCAATTTAAGTGTTAAATACATTATGAAAAATACAATTTATACCCATTTGTATCATACATGATATCATTAAAACCATGGTGATATGTATAATTGATATGTTAAATTTTTAATATGGGTAAAAAATGACCATGCACCATTTTATGCTCTTGATCATTTTTCCTCACAGAAAATGTACTCTTTTCAATTTAAATTTTAATAATAATATGATATAAAACTTACAGTGTACATTAACATATTATTATTATTAACATGTGTTAGTATTAGGTAATGTGTATTATTAGGTATTTAGGTATAGTTATTTGAATGTTAATTAATATATTATAAATATTTAATAATCACCAATTTTAACGGAATATTAAAACCACTCTTTGTTTTAACAGCAAATATTATCGTTCATTATAAATATAACAAAATAAGATAACTGTATTTAATGATTGTTCATTCATAATATCTTACGAATAATAAAAATCATTTTATATTACCATAATAAAATATAAGGAACCTAAGCAATCACTCAAATTTGTTTCAGAAATTAATACTGTTACCTTTTTCTTTGAACTGAAAGCAATATTTTGACACCAATTATGAAATTCTTTTGGTATTGCTTCTGACTTGCATAATTTCATGAGATCATAATGCAACAAGCTTTATACTACGGTTATTCATTTTATATGGCTGTATTAAAACTATCATGGGTTACTAACTGAACTAGGTATGCTTTCAGACATCATAAATCTAAATTTCGATTTAACAAAATCAATTGAAGGAGTTAGTGCAAATATGTAATCATTCAACTCAAAATATTTGTATCAATAATTTATTTATTTGATATTAAAATGTATTATCAATACTAATATTAATTGTTAACTCTTTGTGCCCATGGTTATTACCGTGATCTTGTTATTTATAATTAATAACCATGATTCCACTACAGTATTGTTTACTTTCTATTAATTCAAGTATGACCAATTATGCATATCAAACGTTTTCGTATACTTATCTACAGTTTATGTGTAATGACTAAAATAGTGTTCACGTTTTGATTAAATGGTATTTTAAAATATATTAAAAGTTGACATACTAAAAATTACTAAATAACTTGATCAGTTTTTCATTCAGCTAGGAAAATAGTTTAAATATATTATGCACATGCTCAAAACTGTTTTTATTATATCTATGAAAATATTTATCATATAGCTTTGCCCTTTTTCTGTACAATAATATGGTTAAAATAACACATTTGATAATGTTATTTTACTTGGTTACTATTTGCATGACAACAATATATAATAACACTGTTCATCTGATCGCCATGAAGCTGGGAGGTTGTTGAGTACACTCTTAAAGGTTTCTGGTATAGTACATCTATACAATTCTTCGACAACCCCACTATCATCCACAAAAACCGGATTTTAGGTACTTTTGGTAAGAAAGAATTATTTTTTTTATTTATAGATTACCATGATTTATTTATTCGTATGACATGCATAACAGTACAACAACACTAACGAGAGTATAGATAAATTGGATTAAAGTAAATAAAATAACATAAAAATAAGTAAGAACAAAATATAAATAAAAATTTGAATGNCCTTAACGGGCATTCTTCGATTATGTGGCTCATTGACTGTACACTTTCTCCGCAATCACAATTTGGGTCGTCTTTCAGTTTCCATTTATGCATTAAATCCTTACATCTCCCTTGTCTAGTTCTTGTGCGATTTAGTCTGGTCCATATTTTCCTCGATTTCCTCGGTTACCATGATGATATAGTAATATGGATAAAAAAAAAACTAATAAATTTAACTGCGTTGTCATGGGCATATTTTTATTATGTCTATAATGTGTATTTTATGAATGTGTATATAGATAACTAGTAGGTATTTTCTTTTTGTCATATATGTTGAGAATATGATTAATTTGAATTGCCGAAAAAAAAACATTAATATTATGTACACTTTAATTTGTAGGTAATGCAAAACATACATAGACATACATAACTTCTTGAATCTTTTGAATACTGCATCTTCCACAGTTATACCCCCCTAATTATTATCCATTAGTCGATCTAATCTAATACAGGACAGAAAAATGCACTGGAGCTTCAAAAACAGACAAGTAACTGGTAGCAAGATAAGAAAAGAATACAGGAAAAAAAGCAATTGGCACAGAAAACCTCTTGACTTGTATAACTTGTTTAATTTTATAGCTGAGTAGCTACATGTCATTACTGAATAATTTTATTTTATTTTAATAATCAATTCTGGATACCTTTATTTAAAAAGAAAAAAAATAATTATAGTTAATGAAGTAGTTGAGATGAAGGCGATGAAAAACAAATTACAAAATAAAAATACCAATTTAGTTAACCACATAAATAAATCACTAATAATTGTACCATAATAAAATATAAATATCAACATAATTCATAATAATTAATTTGTTATTTTATTGTAAAATAATTAAAATAATTATTATTATTATTAAATAGATTGGATTGAATCAAGTTGCATAACATAAATACATTTGTATATATTGTATATCAATACAAAAAATATAATATACATATATATATATATATTATATTATGTCATTTAGAGTTAACAACTAAAGACATTGACCTTTATGCAACATTACTTAATTGTAAATGAGCAAAGGCGATCAATTTTATAAAATGTAGTATAGTAATGTTATTTGAGCTGTTCAAATAAAAATTAGAGTTGAAATCACCTTTTTTTTTTTTCTGGTATACATTCTAATTTAAGCTTACATAAATAAAAAATGCTTATGTGGAGTGAAAGAAACACATTTAAAATATGTGGGTATCTATTTATTTTATTTGTTATTATTATTTAATACTTCAACTTGTTTACCATAGTCAGTTACAAGTTTATTTTACTTATGACACATGAGTTGATGAAAGTCAAATTATAGTATAATATCAATTAGCTCATTAATTTAGTAGTGTATGATAGTTAACAACTGCAGTTGTTTTATAACATTATGAAATTGTACTATTCATTTTTATCAACAATTTTATAGTACTTAACATTTCTAAAAATAATGAACTATTTTTTTAGATTTTGAGTAAAATGAGAAATGTGTTAGTTTTCTCATGATATTTTTTTGGCTAGAAATCTTAATCCAGTCAATAACTTTATCAGAATTTCATTATAGCATTTTTAATTTAGTTAATGCATTGGAGGGGCCATTTTTGATTGTCCATGTAGTTTTTTACATAAACGTGGAGGGAAAAATATGACTAATGCACTGCTCATAATCGTTTTTTATTTAGTTAAATGTATGTACCCAAGTTTAATCTATCAACAGGAGTAGGTTTTGTTGATAAATTTAATACAGACCTCAATTATGCTAAAAATTGATTTATTAAATTGTTAATTCCTAAAATACACTAGTTAGACCCAATTTAAATTAAACAAATATAAAAACAAGTTAAAATCATAAAATAGCATAGTAATTTAAATTCTGGTTGTCTGTTATCATGAAGCAATTTTTAAGCATCTAATGTATATTATTAAGATTATAAATTTGTAATTATGTATTAAGAAACTAAATTTTTTTTTATTTATCTAATAATCTAACATTAATACCTATTACTTATATTTTAAATTCTGAGTAGAGTAAAGAAAGTATTGGTTAGGTAAGGTTTAATCATCATTATAAAAATGATGTTTATTAATTATTTTTTTTATCTATAAACAGCTTTTCTACTAACAATTTTGATCCGATTTACAATGATGGCAATTTTTCTGAAAGGAAATCTGACTGTGGAGGTACTTGTAGGAGGTCATTTTGTCAACATTTTACCAAGCATTGCCAACAAAAATGATTCTGAGCGAACCGATTTTGATTGCTCAGGGGCGTATTCGGGTCAATTCCATAGGGAGGGGGGTGAACAATTTTTACTCTTGAATACCATCGCTTTGGTCAAAAAATCTAATACTTTTATGTCTGATGTCATTTCTAACTAATATTAGCTGAGAAGACTGCAGGTATTATACAAGTAAATATACAGTAAAACAATATAATTTAAAAGTTAAATTTATTTTATTCACTTTTAATGAATAATAATTAAAATAATGATAATATGAATAACAAAAAAAGATGATACTGGGTGCGGCCACTATTGTGGTTGAAAAGTTGGGAAAGTAGGAAACAAGGTTATTTTATTTATATCTGTAAGCGACGATTATGCATTACTGACAAAAGACGAGCAGTTCGGTAATACAAAATTTGAAGTGTAGTCATTTTTTTTAACCTTGTCTTCCTACGTTTTTTCCCGATTATTGTAAAACTTAATTCGAAAATCACAAAACGACCTGCATCATTAAAAACATGATTAATAATTCAACAAAAAAAGGTCTCTTGTCGTTTTTCAATTGGAGCCATATTTGTACTAGAAAACGTGGTTGGTAATTATTTAAAATAACGAAATCGTGAAAAATTGTTTTTTTTTCCCCCCGGTTTATTGTTTTTATATTAAATACCGTTTCGAAAATCAAAGAGATATAATTAACTTTCAGAAAAAGTGCTACCTTTATACATCAGGGCAAGTTTTCTAGGATAAAAGTGGTCTACAGTACAAAAAAAAAAATCATGTACCATTATAATAAAAATGTAAAAAAGTCGTCCGATGATTTTGGAAATTTTACCACGTCTAGCAAGTCCAATATAAGTATTATAACCAAGTTGCAAGTCTCTACGTGTATTTAGTATATTTATAACAGAATTACAGCGAAAATTAAAATTCCTTAAAAGCTTAAGAAAGTAAATCAAAAAGGCAACGAAAAAAGGTGTCTTGTGATTTTTCGATTAAATTATTTTGCTGGCAGAAAACGTCTGTGTTTTCATAAAATAATGAAATCTTAAAATTGTACGTTTTCCTATGTTTTTCCTACTTAATTGCTTTTATTTAAAAAAAATAGAGTCTAAAATCAAAAAGTGACCTTTTTAAAATACCATCAAGACAACTTGAACTTTCAAAAAAGTTGCTACATGTAACAATTGGAGCAAGTTTGATAGGAAAAAGCGTGTCTTCTAACTAAAACAAAGAAAAAATAAAAATAAACAGCATTGTAAAACCAATGCCTCCCACTACGCTCGGAATCTAAAGTAATAAGAATAATAATTAATAAAAGTTAGATGACCAAATCCATAATACTTTTATTTTAAGCAGTGTTTTGCAATCAGTTTGATCAACAATATTTTTATACTATTTCTACATTGATATTTTCATTTCGATAAATATCTATTTAAAAGTAATAAGCCAGTTAGCTTCTGCTCAAAATTCTTTTTTTTACCACATAGTACAACTTTAAATGAACCTCATGTTAAATTCTCAAGCATTTCTGTTTGGTCTAACAATTTTATCCACAGAGTACCTATCGAATAAAAATTACATACAAAACTCGCAAAATTAAAATGCCATTAAATTTCTCAAAAATTTTACCACGTCAAGAGAAGGCAAATATAAGTTTCTATCCAAATTTCAAGTCTTTATGAATATTTTTAACAGAATTACAACAAATACATAATTAAAAATATTATAAGCATTATTTTCGTAAATTGTCCCGTTTTTCTTTTGTTTTATCCTGGGTTTTTCTAATATTATGAAAACTGCTTGGAAAATCAAAAATGACCTTCCTAAGGTACCATCTAATCAATATAACAATATTTTCTTTCATAAAAGGTGCTATAGTTAGATATTGAAACCAGATTTTCGGTAAACATTTTTGTCACAGTAAGAAATAAAAAATCATTGTAAATTCAATAGGTACAATAAGTGTGTCTTGGCCACACTCAGAATCTAAAATTTAAATTAAAATAATCACTTCCTATTTTGTTTTTAAAAATCTATTATTTTATTATATCTTTGCAAATTGGTTGTTTCCACTTAATTTTCCATAATTCTATCACACCCTTGAGAAAATATTTATTGTAATTTATAAGTGAGAATTGGTTCATTCTTGTTTTAATCAAAGTATTTCTAAAATTCAGAATCATCTTCATAGCATTTAAAACCAGTTGTACATGTATTTATTTGTACTTAAGAATTATGAATAATTTGCATAACAAAAAAAACATCACACAGCTTACGGGAGGGGTGATCTACTCCCTCGCCCCTTCCCTCAGAGACGTGCCCGAATAAATGGATTATTTTGGCTAAATTATCATTATTCTAATGCTATTATAGCGCCCATCTCCCAGTTAGTCTTATTATTAGTGTCAACTAAAGCGCTACCTATAGTTTCAATCGTGAATATCTATGCATTCCCACTATTATCCAAAAGTAACAATAATAATTGAATATTGAATAAATTATATGAATAAATTATTAGGTATTATTATCATTTATCTGTTCGTTTATTATTTAGAGGGGGAAATGAAAGGGGATGAAACCTGTATAAATAGTTTACACCATATGTACGTGATGGTGTAGACAAATTTGACCGGTGTCGTTAATTTTAACACTAGATACTCCAAAAGATTTCTCAAATTCACACCATTTTGATTTTTAAAGATAAATTTACACCGGTTTGTACCAATTAATTTCTTAGTAGTTTTCAATGGGGGTTGTAAACATTTTTCCTTAATTCTATAGTTTTGCCTGATTAAAAAAATAGCTTTTTACTCATTATTTTAGGACTTATGAATTTTAAAAAATTTGCCTAGTTCAAAAGGATCAGTTTTCGCGTGAATTCAAATGGTTCTTACGAAACATCTGGTATACTAAGATTACCATACTGATAAGGACGTGGTAATAACGTTATTTATCTGAGATACATAATAAGGTGTGATTTCAGATTTAGTTGTAAACCACTATACCAAAAACCGAGTATAACACATTTGATTCCCAACAATACCGATTGTTTTAAATACTTTTTAATTTATTGTATTTTAAACTCAATTTGAGAAGAATAAAAAAGTTAGAATAAAAATGAATTTCATTTCTGAGCTTACCGTGTTCATTAAAATAAGATTCGTAGATTTAAACAAACATTTTTTTTTTTTTTTGACAACCATTGTTGCTGATTCCGGAAACCTAATTGCCGAAAAGTGCATTCAGCTATCATACAATTATAATAAACAATGTCACCAAAACTGTTCACAAAATTAGTAACCAGGTTGCTTCAAAATTACATCGCCAAACACGTCTAATTAGTTTGATAATAATTTAATTATAAATTATATATTTGTGCCCTATGGATTTGTTTAACAAATAGGCCTCTTTATTTAAATGAGTACTATATATTAATAGTAGTGATCAAAAGAATAGTTCATTGCCAAAGACAAACTATTCCGTATGAATCGATGAACTATGTGAACTTAGGAATAGTTAATTTGAACTGTGAACTAATGAAATTGTCACACAGATAAACTAAATTCCCCACATATCGTACCGGCCTGGTTGCATATTAACATGGTATAACATATTAACAATAAATTGCATATATTGTGTGCAGACAGTATGCATACACCGCACATGATTTAAAATACTACCCGACGTGGTTTTTCATAATAAATCAGTGTTTATTTTCGATCAATTTACCCTCCATCCCACGGTTTTGGACAATAGACATCCTTATTCCATTCGGCGGTTCATTCCATTCACGTCGTCAAGCAATCAAATTTTAAATACATAGGTACATCTTACTCTATGGGTTACATATATTACGGTTTCGGTTTTGTTTTATTTGTCTAACCTTAATCATTATTCGTCCTTATCATTTTCAAACTTACCTTTTCCAACCCATAGAGTAACTATATGTTTCTTTCCAAGCCTTTACCTTAAAATTCGTGGCAAAATCATGAGTACTATCACAATTTCATATCATTCGGCTTGATAAAACTGATAACAACTGTAAATTGTAATAAAATATTATAATTTATTAAAACTTTATGTTGACGTTTTTATAATAATATTCTTATTTAATTACACTGTATTATTAAAATTAATATGTAAATAGATTTTATTGGAAATTATCAATCAAATGGCTATACAAAATATCTCAGATGCACAAGATACATTAACAATATTGAAACAAGACGGTGAGTTACCTAATTAAATTTAAAACAAAAAAATTATAAAATTAAGTATGTACTTGAACATGTATACAATATTCTTGTCTAATAAAATCAAAACATTTCATTTAAACATATGATAATTAGGTATCTAGTATTTTAGGAGATTTATTCATAACTTATGGGTCAAAGCAAAACCGAAGTAGTAAAAACAAATTTTACATTTTAATTGTGCGAGAATATTTGAATGAATGGTAGAAATGTTCAGTCAATGTATGGTTTAATATATGGTTGCAGATGTCAATATCAATATGCATTGCTCTCCGACTGACATTCTGTAACCAATAGTCCCTAAATTCATGCAAATTATCTTAATTTTTGTTTTTATTAACATATACATATTGTATATATCTATAATCTATATGTATTTGTTCATTTATTCACCTTTGCCAACAAAGAAAACATTACTCACAAGAAGTCTACACTGTCAATAAATTTTAATCAGAACCAAGTATTTATTTTAAATATAAGTTTTTGTTTTAGATTATCTTTCCCAATTTGTTCCAGTAAATAATGAAAATAAATTAAATACTAATTCAATACGGCTATCGATTGAACAAAAGTTAAGTTCATTAAATAAAGGTAAAAATAATATTAACTTGATTATTTGTAGTTACATGCATATATTTATATCTTATACATTTTATTTTAGGATTACAGCATGTTGAAAAAATTATACGTGACCAAACATATAAAAATTACAAAGAATTATTCAACCAAGTTACATGGATTGAAAATTTGGAATCTATTATTTATGGCATATCATTACAGATTCAGGTATTGTATTTTTAAAATAGTTTGGCTTACATTTAATCTAAGTAACTAGTATTTAATAATTTATAATTATTTTGTCTGCCTTAATAAACCAATTAATTTAATTATTAATTATCATACATACATACTGATATCAAAAAAAATTCCAATACACTGGTATTGTCATGTAAAAAATGACCAAAAAAAGACATGTTTTAATGACTTTTTTCATACTTATAAATGTACAAAAAAAGTGTCGTAAATAATTTAATCAGTTTTGCACAATGACAATCATCAAACTTATTATTATTTTTGTTTTAGAACTTACAATCATTAATTGAATTATTAAAATCTAGAGTTGTCGATTTATTTGTCAAAGTTCAAACTCAAGTTATTCTACTGAATAAATTAAATGCTACTTGTGGTTTATTGAGAAAAATTATGAGGACTCAAATTCTTGCAATACAGTCATCAGAGAAAGGATATAATTTATCATCAAATTCAATGTTTGAAATAAGTAAGTTTAATACTATCAAAGTCTACTAAATTTAATTATAACTTGGGTATAATGGAAGCCTAAAATTATTATTATGCCCTCCTCACATGTAGATACTCAAAAGAAATTGTAATTACCTAGATTCTTGTAGGTAACTAGGCAACTAAAATTACACATACACCAATACAGTGTAATCTCATTATTTTGTCAAACATAGTTAAGTGTTCATACATAGTGTCCAAACATAGTTTTTCATAATAATTTATTTTATTTGTTTATATATTTTGGTATTTTGTATAGATGTGATAAACTGTTCGATTTTCGAACCGAACTGAACTCTGGTTGTTTGGTTTGATATGATATTCTGTGGTGGGACAGAGTAGCCTTGTTACAAAAAAGACAATTTTTATTTTTTTCCTTTATTATTATAATTTTACAATTTTTTAATTTTAAATATTATTGACAAAACCTTTTTACAATTTTAATGTTCGAGTTCGATAAATTATTTGAAAAGTTTAATTAATTTTGGTTTGTAACATCTCTAGTATTTTTTATGTCTATGAGTAGTAATCATGTCATGAGAGAATGCATACAGCTCATTCATTTAGATGTGTTCATACCGGGAGTCAGTTGATCGTGTTTTGCAGTAGGCATGTGTGAAAATATACAAAATTTAGTCTGCCACTGTATGTGTTCTATCGTGGCACGGAGAATAGTATCTAAGAATATAATATTCTTTATCATTACTTTAAAAACTACACAAAAAAAGAATGGTAAGATAATGGGGGATGGGTGCAGCCACTGAGGTAGGTAAGTATTTGGGAAGGTAAGATACAGATGGGAATTTAATGTATATCTGTAAACAACAACAAACCATTGCTTACGAAAAAATGATTCTGAGCGGAGTTCAGTAATTAGTGATGTTTTGTCAACAATATGTATGCCATATTATAGTAAAATAATTAAATAGGCCCTATATATTTTCCTTAATAATATTTGTTTAATGTTGGAGCGATTTTTCCAGTTATCCTACATTTTTCCGGTTTTCCCATGTTGTTTTATCCAAGTTTTTCAAATTTGATGAAAAAATCGAAAAATGACCTTTCTGAAGTATCTCCCCAGTGAAATTCCCTTTTAGGTATGTTGCTATCATTAAAATTTGGAGCAAAATTGCTGGTAGAAAAAAATAAGGCTGTAATATATTTAACTAATACCTGCATATCTTATATTTTCCCTTATTTTCGGTTTTTCAAATATAATGACAAAACTTCTGAAAAAATCGAAAAATGACTTCTTTAAAATATCTCCTCACATCGATTTCCTTTCAGAAAATTACACTAAGAAATCCGAGCAAGTCTTTTCATAGAAATGTTATTAACAGATATAAAAAATAATAATAATCATCTTTGTAAAACCATAAATTTCTTCACTCAGAATCTAAAATGCAAAAGAAAATAATATTCTGGATCAATATATTTTTTGGAAAAAAATATAAACTATAAAGAAAAATTATTTAAATTATGATGTAATTTTAGGGAACTAAAATAGTGAGGGTCCAGGTAATAATAGTTTCTTTTGAGTATTTCCTATATCTATTCCAAGGAATAAGTTTCAACTCTTGATTGATTCTATTCATTATGTGTTCAACGCTGTATCATTCCATAAAAAGTATGTTCAAGCTAAAATAATTCTAGTAAAATATAGTATTAAATTAGCATTAAAATATAATTATGTTAAATAACAACTATGTTCACTTTAGATTTAAAACATATTTATAATTACTAATTTGTATGTTATATTTATAAATTATATTGATAGTGCAACCAAAAAGTTCCAGGACTAAATTGCATACCAATATAATGTTAAAGAGTAACATGATTGATATCACTCGCTTTTGTGACTTTTCCTGAGCACATTTGTTTTTATAGATTCTCTATAAAATTGTATTTTTAGTTTTAATGTAACCAATGTTTTTGTATTGACGATTTTGTAAAATATCCAAAAAAAAATTCTTAAAATTAAAGATGATTTTTTCTTCTTCCCATTATGATGTAGAATCTAAGTGGTAGAGAAATGCAACATTTCCCATGATGTAACAAAATATTTTAATTGAAAAACTGTAGATGTTCTTTACTGAGTTTACCTCAAATGTTGAGGATCATACTTAAATCTAAGTTCAGGTTCCCCAGGAACTTTTTGGTATGGATGTATGATAAATGGCAATAAAAATTTTTTTGAAATTTTATTATAATTATAACCAGAAGGAGAAACAAATGTGTTCAGGAAAAGTTACAGATGCCAAAAAATATCAAACCTCCTTTTCTTCCACGCATCATTGACATGTACAATTAACAGTCCCAGAACTTTTTGATTACACCTGGTTTAATTGATTATAGATAATAATCAATGCTGGTATTTATTTATTTTTACTGTGTATATAATATAAATTTAGTTTTTATTATTTTTTTTTTTTTTTTCAGAAGAACTAATCATAGATAAAGACTTGAAAGAAATATCATTTTTGAATAAAGATTTAACTAAATTATGTAATATATGTAAAAAAAATCAAAACATTTGTTAAAAATAGCTTAGCTTTGTTATTAGTTGATGTATAATATACAGGTGTAACAGGACTATTTGAGATTTTTATGTTGTAGTCTAAGAATGTCTATAAGTCCAATTACACCTGTATATCCATAGTTAATTTCAGTTAACTAATATTTGTGCATTATGTTATTAAAAAAATTATATTTAATTTAACTATTTATTATTTACTCTACAATAAAATTTTGAAAAAAAAAAATTCCAATACAGGATGTATTATTTTAACATGACAGACTATTTTTTCATTCAATTATCTACAATTATGATTTTTTCATTTAAATTAACCTGAAATAATTTCAGTTTGTACACCAGGGACGGATCCAGAGCTCAATTTGGGCGGGGGCAAAAGTGCAAATAAAGTGCTAAAAATAGTACATTAAAAGACCTTGTGAACTAAAACATACTACTTCACTACAGTGTTTTGGGGGGACAACCACCTCCTTTAACAACTTCCAGAACTGCCACTGCTGTAAGATCTGTGAATTCCCACTAGTAATATTATACATTTTTTTTCGCATACCAATTTGAATGGTTTATTTCTTAAGTTTTATACGTTTTTGACTCGATTTGGCCTTATATAGCTGTTTGAATTTTGAACTTTCTATGTTTTTTCCATAATATCCCTAAATCTCCCCATACATACTAGGTATCTAAGCTGATTACTCAATAATTTTGGCTTTAAATATCAACATATATCAAGTAATATATGATGCCAATAACAGTTAATCAATTTTGTATTTAGGACATAATAGGCGACTAAACTTGAAAGGTGAGCACATGATTACTTATAATATTATATATATCGATTTTAAGATTCTGAACGCAGCAAGGAAAGTACTTTTTAGTTTTTCTATGATGTATGCTTCAAATTTTTTTTTAAGTGTGTCAATAACTTTTCAACTAAAAATCTTACTCCTTTCTTCAGGACATCTTTTCTACAATCAAATATTTAGTAAATGCATTGAGTGGGTCTGTTTTTTTTTATTTACCTCATAAATTTTTTTAATTGTTGGAAAATATATAGCAATAACATTCACATTATTTTTAATTTTGTTTTTTCATCATCATTTTAATTTTTTGATTTTTTAAACATTTTTTATAATAATTGGGAAAAACGAACAAATATTTACACAGCAAATGAAAAAGTGGAAAATAACAATTTAATTATTTTAAATTTTAAATCTGGAAATAAACATTATTTTACATTTAAGATTCTGAACATAGCGAGTGAGCTATTAGTTTTATAATGCTGTTTATTTTTTATTTGTTCTTTTTTGTTATGGAAATTATCCTTAAGTACAACTGATTTTAAATGATATTAAGATGATTCTGAATTTTAGAAATACTTTGATTAAAACAAGAATGAACCAATTCTCACTTATAAATTACAATAAATATTTTCTCAAGGGTGTGATAGAATTATGGAAAATTAAGTGGAAACAACCAATTTGCAAAGATATAATAAAATAATATATTTTTAAAATCAAAATTGGAAGTGATTACTTTAATTTAAAGGTTAGATTTTGAATGTGGCGAAGAATGTATCTATTGAATTTACAATGATTTTTATTTTTTACTGTGACAAAAATCTTGCTTTAATATGCAATTTTAGTAACTTTAATAAAAGAAAATATTGTTATATTGACCTAAATGGTACCTTAGGAAGGTTTTTTTTTTATAATTTTTCAAAAAGATATCTCGCTACAATGTTTGGAGTATTATTTATAAATTTTGAGTGAACTGAAGAAGCTAGTATGGTTTTACAAAAATGTTTACCTAAATTATTTTTTTTATCTACGCCACTTTTCTACCAGAAATCTTGCTTCGACTTTTAAGTGTAAAACCTTTTCTGAAAGAAAATTGGTGTGGACTGGTTCAGGATTTTCCTTTTGAAAATAGCAAGTTCTTCTTTAATGCCTTTTGTGCTGGCCCAAGTTTCAAAAAAGGATGTTACTATGGGGCACACATAATATGTAGTATATAGCCTCTCTATTGTTCGGCGTGACAGTAGTTTTGAAGTAAACATCTTTCATTGCTTAGAAGTTTTTATTAGCTGCACTAAGTGGTGGTGCCAGGGGTGGGCTACGGCATATCCTAAAAAATTTCTGGTCCCTGGCTGCCCCACCCTGTATGATTACAAAGAAATTATGTTTTGCATTACATAATTTCTTAAAATATGATATGTTTTGCATTACATATCATATTTTAAATATATAGAAATACGAAGAAATGTAGAGATTATAATTATATTTTAGATTCTGATTATAATGAAGAATGTATTGGTTTTACAATGATGTTCCCAAAATATTGGAAAAACCTAGAATGTTAGCAATGTTTGGGTATTAATTGAAAAACATATTACAGCTCTTTTTTTTCTTGTGAAAAACTTTTTCACCAGCAATTTTGATCTATTTTACAATGATAACATTTTTTCTGAAAGGAAATCTGACTGGGAAAGTACTTTAAGCTGGTCATTTTTTGATTTTTTCAGTATTCCCAGAAAATTTGAAAAACAGAGAAAAACGGTAAAATATTAAACAGTTATTATTAATGAAAATATATAATACCTATTCAATTATTGTATCAGAATACTCTTCATGGATTGATATATAGGTATCAAGAAAAATGTTGGCCTCAGCTAATAAAATGTGAAAAACTGGGAAAGAACATAGTAAAACCAGAGAAATTGGTACAACATTAAACAAATCTTACCAAAGAAAATATATAGTGCTTATTTAATTATTTTACTATATGGCATATATATTGTTGTCAGAGCATCACTATCAACTGAATTCCACTCAGAATCGTTTTTTCATAAGCAGTAGTTTATCTTTGATTACAGGTTTAATGTATTACCTATAACAGTGACTGCACCCGCCCCCATTACCCTAAGATGTCTTTTTTCTAAGAATTTTGACGAAAATCGTAAATATTACGGCCTTTCAAAACATTTATAACCAAACTTCGCTCCAAATCGTTTTTCGTTATCAATGGTTTGTCAACAAAAAGGTGACTTTTTTATCATAAAACAGTAATTACCTATCTCGGATAATTTTAAGCGAATTTGATTTATATTTTTTTTTAATCTTTGTACAATTTGTTTAAGTTTTATTTTAAAACCATTTTTAATTTATTACCTCTACTCTACAAATTGTAGGTATGTACCTACTTTTAAATGATAATCGATAACTCTTCCCTACTCCTCCGGTCTAAACTTTAAACAGTTGTAACACATAAACGGTAAATCTGATATTAGTGTAATGCATATCAAAATTTCTATAAAAATATACTCTATTCGAATCTATGTTCAAAAAGGGATGAGGGTTTCCCATTTGAAAAACAAAAGTATATTCTTATTTAATATATATGAAGTAAAGATAAAAAAGACGTCCTAGGATAATGGGGACGGATGCAGCCACTGTTACCTATAGATAATTTGTTGTATATCTGTAAGCAACGATAAACCATTGTTTACGAAGAAACAATTCTGAACGGAGTTTATTTGAAAGTGATGCTTTGTCAACAATACATATGTCATTTTATATTAAAATAATTAAATAGGTTCTACATATTTTTTCCAATATTGTACCGATTTTCCCGATTTTTTTCCATTTATTGGGATAAACTCCTGGAAATCCAAAAGTTACCTCCCTAAAGTACCTTTGATTTCCTCTCAGAAAAAATACTATCATTTTTAATCGGAGCGAAATTGCTGGTAGAAAAGTTGTACACAAAAAAAAAGGCCATAATATGTTTTTGCTAATACCTACATTTCGTACATTTTCCGTTTTTCCCAGTTATGAAAACCGCTTGAAAAATCAATAAACGACTTCTCTAAATTATCATGGTGATAACATTTCCTTTCAGAAAATAAGGTACATCGGAGGAAGATTTCTGGTATGAAAATTTGCACAACATATCAAGGAATATTTTGCGATTAAAATTGTCCGAGAAAGCAATGGCTTGGGTCTCTAAGTACATCCAAAATGCATTTGTTTTTTCCTTGTTTAGGTAAAAGGGAAAAAAATTCAAAAAATCTTATTCGTTACATTATTTTGAACTCAGAAACCTTAGGATTATAATAGGTATAAATAACCATTGGATCATGATATATTTGTTTCATGAATAACAATATAGTGTTATTTAACATGACAGCTATAATTTCGAAACTTAGTTCGCTTAATTCTGATTTCATCATCATTCTTAAATAGGCAATATTTGATATTAAAATTCCCTTGTAAAAAAAATTACTACATTACACTAAATTTTTTTTTTACCACAAAGTTAGTATCTTAATTAGCTTCCTATTAAATTTTGAAGCATTTCTGTTCGTCTAACAATTTTACCACAGAATAAAAATTACGTACAAAACTCTCAAAATTAAAATGTCTTTAAATACCTCAAAAATGGCTTAAATTTTTGAAAATTTTACCATGCTTAGAAAAGGCAAATATAATTGTTTGTCCAAATTTTAAGTCCATCGAGTTGATACGAATATTTTTAACTAAATTTCAACGAAAATATCAAATTTTTTTATAAAAAGCCTAAAAATGGCTCAAATGTTTTGAAAATTTTACCACTGTTAGAAAAGGCGAATATAATTTTTCTGTCTAAATTTCAAGTCCTTATGTATATGTTTAACTGAATTACATCAAATAACAAAATTGAAAAATTATAAATCATTATTTTCTTAAATTTCTCGTTTTTCTTACGTTTTATCCTGGTTTTTTCCAGATATTATGAAAGCCGCTAAGAAAATCAAAAAATGATCTCCCAAAAGTACCATCTGGATAACATTTCCTTTCAGAAATGGTGCCGCGCATAAATATTTAAACAAGATTTATGATTGAATCTTTGTACACAGTATAAAAAAAAAAAAACATGTTTGTAAAACCAATACGTTCTTCGCTTTACTAAGAATCTAAAATGATTTAAAATAGAGCATAAACGATTCTGCAAAGACAAAAAAAAATTGAAATCGAATCTACTTAAAATCTTCCGAGGTAGGTAATTAATACTGGTTCATGATAAAAAAAAAAATCATTCATCATAAATTGATGTTCTCTTTCTCTATACCTTCGTAGCAAGGTATTTATGACTTTTGAACCTAATTTTTTCTTCTGGAGGGGGGGGGGTTGAGACCCGGCCCCCTCTCTTCCCCGAAAATACGCCACTGTCCAGTTCTATAGGTACGCACGTATCTAACTCTCTAAATATACCTATTAGTCGCTCCACACTATTGAACAAGGTTAACCGCTTCAGGGAATATCCGAGTATGCAATAATAATATCATAATACAAATGTCTGCCGACATCGTAACATACAATAAATGGCGTATTATAATTATTACCTAATTCATAACAATCGTCGGGTTTTTCATACCGATAACATATGGAGAGTATTCGTGGATTCGTCTGTTACGCAGGCCGATGCGTAACGTTGCGATCGTTGTCGTCTGGTGGGTTTTTTTTTTTTTTTTTTTGTTTTTATTCCTCTTGCACCTATATGCACGGGACCTAATCCGTCCGGCTTTGGCCGTGCGGAAGAGTAGGAGTGTATCTCTACCTAGTGCCCGTATAATAATAATTATGCGTTTGTGGTACCGTGGTGCTACGGCGCGTGCGTGCGCGCTCTTTTGTGCGCGTGCTCGCGCACCGCGTACAGCAAGCAATCCGATTTCTCGTTGACGACGCGCCCGCACACTGCATTACACTCACACGCACGCGGCGCGCGCCCACAGACACTCTCACGCATACTACGGCCACAACACAGTACACACTGGCCAGCGTTCGGGTGGCGTTTCACCGTTCGCGTCTCCCCGACGTTCACTGTTCACATCCATCCGCGGACGGCCGCTGTACGCTGTGAGAACACAACAATAAAACTATGCGTTACTACAACAGGCGGATCTAGTCGCGTTGTCCGTCGTTGTTTTTCGTGTCTCTTCACTCGCGCGCGCGCGCCCGGCCCCCCCGTACGCGTATCCAGTATTATGTCAAGAAGTCTGTCCGGCTCGTGAAAAAACAAAACGAAAAAGAAAAAAATCAACACCCAACGACAACGACGGCGGATCGAACAATCTTATCATGAGGTGAGTGTCCGTCGCCCGCAATGCCGATGGGCTTGTTTTCATTTAATATTTTGTCTGGAAAATAATAACAATAATCGTATGTTTTGTCGCGTCGTCGGTGTTGTTCTACGCGCCCATCAGTTACCACCTACCCATACGTAATACACATACTACACCCTAAACGACCGACGCGACGCGTATTATCTGTGGTTATGATCTCTTCATATTATTACCACATTCTATGCGGTTCCTTGTTCCTTCGCCGTCCACCGAACAGTACTTTTACATAACGCTGCTTACGATTAATTGATTTGCACTCATTTTTCAAATTATACAACAGTGCTGCGAACTTCGGTGTTTCGAATAATCGAAATATTTTGAAATATTCTTTTGTTCAAGTAAATATCTAGTAGTTATAGGATTTGTTGTGTTTCTTCGCATTTCGAATTTGCCGAATTACACCCACTCGAAAAAAAATGATGCCCAAGTAATTTTAACATATATTTCGATATTTGTTTAATATCTAGCTATTAATGAGTTTAAAATAATCCATTGGTAATACTTAAAAACATTCGTCTACTTAATTTTCATTTTTTTAATATTTAATTATACCTACCTAGGTAGATAGTTAAATTTTATTGTATAGGTATCATTAAGGTACATACCTACATAGATAGATATTTATGTTATTTTAATTAGATATTAAGTACATTTATGATTACTTTATTTTTAAATATAAATTAAGTGTGTTTATTAAAAGAATCAAGGGAGTGTTGTAAACTATTTTAAAGAGTAATTTACCCAATTAGGTATTTTGTGTTTCTTTCCAAATTAATTTATTTTGCTCTAATCTGCAAGTCTTTAATTGACATTAATAAGGATCAGTATTACAATCATTGATTATAACTTCGGTTATGTGACTGATCGTTAACCATATGAGGTTTATGCAATTAACATTGCAGTTGTATAGATAATCAGGGTTAAAGCATTTATGCTCCATTATCATAAAATATTCTACAAACGTTAAATTCAATAACCCATTGTTTTGATTGATTATATTATTATTATTTTTTAATTATAAAGCCACCGAAAATGTTACATAAAAATGAGTGAAATCATTTTTATATTAAAATAAAAAAGATATCTATTTGTTAAAACCATAATATATCAAAGCCTATGCCTTTAATGGTATCTATATCAAATATGTATAACTAAAACAGTTAGCATCCAGTGGCATAACTATATCTAGGGGATTAGAAGTGGCAACCACTGGAGCCTTAATTTTGACTAACCTATGTGGGGACCAGCTGAACTATTTAGCTAGTGGTACTGACAAACAATATAAATAGCTTTGATTATTATTGGATACATCATTAATTTTTTTAATAAAACACCTACATATTATGTGTTACACATGGTAACATATTGATTACGATATTGCACACATCTATAAATTAGTTTAGGCATTTAGGAATTATGGTGAAATAAAGAAATTCACACACATAGATACATAAGAATACAACTATGCATGCATGCAAACCTTAATTCAAATTAATGTCCCTTCATTGAAAGTGACACTACAGGCCCCCAAATAGCCTAGTTGCTCCACTGTTAGCATCATATTTAATAATTTTTATTTGTGATTTTGTTTGTTGATAAATTATTATTATTGATATGAATAACAAAATAATTTTAAATGTAACCAATGTATTGTTATACATTGGTTACAGTCAATAACAGTGATGACTGGAGTTGTAATATAATATGGGGTTTTCCTTCTAATAGTCTGTTAAAAACTTATTGATACAAAACTGTTGATTATTTTAGTGGTCCTAAGTATATCTACTTACCATTTATACTTATCTTTAATTGCATTACTTAAAATATGCTTATTTACGCACATATATGACAATAATATAGTATTATACTTATAATTCTCCTTTTTTTTTTTTTTTAGCTGTATAGGTAAGAAATCTATTTAACCAATATTTAGACTTTTTTGGTGTGTTACAATGGAATATCCCGAGGGGTATGCAGTCCCAACCTCCTGAAATTTTAGAAAATCTTATATTATTGTTTTAAATATACTACAATAAACTACAATATGTGATATGTAATTAACTGACTAGCCCTCTTCAAAAAAAATAAAATAAAGCCAGATATGACAATAAAAATATACCAAATCCAATTTAAATTAGACCTTAAATACTTTCATTGTCTTTTTGTTTTTTGTTACTTTCATTAAGTATAACCTGTAATAATATTAAATTAAATTATATAGGTATCATAAATATACTTTTCCAACTATTAATATAACTGGGATACCTAATATTCCATGGATCATTTTTTGTATTACAGTATTATTTTGATAATTTTTGATTTCAATTTCCTTACATTAAACATCAATAATAATTATGTATTACTTAAATTGCATAGATATAATAATATATCTTATCTCTAACAATAGTTTTAATTTTATAAATGATTCATGTACATTTACATTTTTTATTGAAATATTTAATATTAATTATATTAATAATCAATGAATCATCTAATTATTCATCTTATCTTAGCTAGAATTTTTAATATTATGGTTCTATTGCTGTTAATTTAAATCATTAAATTATGAATAGGTTCTTTGTTATTTAGTTAAATTAAATATAATTGTTGCCAAAATGTACATTTTCATAATTTATATTGTTTTATAATCTTATTATGTGTGGATTAGGATTAGGCAGCTAATATTATATTATCATAATTTTGTTATTTTTTAACAATTTTTATGTAAACATTATGACTATATGACAATATGACACACCTTATGAGTCATAATAATAGATATTTTTTATTACAAATTTTCTGAAAATTTAAATTTTAAACAATTATTCATCCACAATAATTAGATAATATATAATGTTTAATGGAGACATTTCAATTAGTATATTATTATCTATTGTAATATGTAATATGATGACTTAATATTTGTTTTAACTTAAATCTGAATATATAGGTACATTTTATATAGATACCTAACCTATAAATTACTAATTATTAGTTTAGTACATATTATTAAGTTTTTTTTATCATTTGTAAAATATTTATCAAGTACACTAGTTTATTATGATTTAGATTTGTTTTTTGTTTATTGTTATATATTTTGCTTTGGGCATTAAATGTAACATACAACTGAAAACAATTTAGCCAGACAACAAAAATAAAACAGGAAGTAGATAATATAGAATTTCCAAATTACAAATGAACTTAATATGATAAGTAAAAAATGACTGCACTATTAACATTTATAAAATGAATATATGTATATTTATATATATATACATGTAATTATTTGTTTAATATTTATTAAAATGTGACCACCCACACGTAGTACAATGTTTAATAGATAATTTTTTAAATATATTGCATTTACTATTTTCTATCTACTTTATCAAATTGTTCCAAAATATTTTGTGAATATTAATATTTTGCATATTAAATAACATAAAATGTTTAGTATAGAAATTTTTTTTTAAAGTTAAATATTTTTACCATTTTTTGATCATATTTTGTAAAATAATAATTATTATAATATCTAAGTTTACATAAGATCTCATTTACTGTTTTGAGCCAACCCCCTTAATACTAAAACAATGTTGTTATAATCATGATATTTCTACTAAACAAATTTACCTTATGCACCTTCAAACAAATTTCAAAATTTGTTTTCAATCCATATTTTTTTATGCTTATAATAATGGCATATAAATAATTTTTTGGAATATGTATCATTTTACAAGTTATTGTAATTTAAAAATGTTGATTTCATGGTTAATATACCATATGGTATACAGAGTGATTTTTTTTTATCATGAACTAGCAATTATCTCGGAGGATTTTTAGTGAATTTGATTTCTGTTTTTTCTAATCATTACGGAATCGTTTAAGCTTTATTTTAAAACCATTTTTAATTTCTTACCCCCCTTTTGAATACAGATTTGAATAGAGAATATTTTTCTAGAAATTTTGATATGCGTCATATTAATATCTACTGTTTACTTTGATTGTACTGTTTTGATTTACTGTTTAAAGTTTAAACCGGAGGAGTCTATGAATCTATGAACCTTCCCTAATCCTCCAGTTTAAACTTTAAACAGCTATAACTCATAAATGGTAAATCTGATATTGATATGACACATATCAAAATTTCTAGAAAAATATTCTCTATTCAAATCTGTATTCAAAAGGGGGTTCCTATTCGAAAATCAAAGATATACACTTATTTAAGGTATATGAAGTAGGGGTAAAAAATTAAAAATGGTTTTAAAATAAAGCTTGTAGTATGAGTATGGTGTGAGTCACTTCATCTGCTGGCTGGAAGTCAACTTGATACTGTTGAAAAGAAATTAATGTTCAAAGTGTAAACCTAAACCTCATTGTGCATGACTGGGCATAGTATATTTGATTATACTATACATCTGGCAACTTCAAATGATTTCATCTTCTAAAATAATAGTTTATGAAAAATTATTTTTGTATAATGGCAAAAAATTGGAATTTGTAAAGGAAAACATAAAGTAAAATTTAGCCATTTGTAGGTACTATAAATTATCTTATTATTATTTTTAGTGAAACAAGTATTGCATCAGCTCGAGCTTCTGTGATGATCTACGATGATATCAGCAAGAAATGGATTCCTAGTGGAACATCATCAGGGCTCAGTAAAGTACACATTTTTAAACATGTCATCAATAATACATTCCGTGTCGTTGGACGCAAATTACAAGATCATGAGGTAAATTTTAAATTAAACATAAACCTTACTTTTGATCAGCATTTTACTTATCCTGTGAATTTTTTACACAAAGAACTGTAAAATATATACAAAGTGATTCACTAAGCGTACTCACTCCATTTTTTTGATTAAATTTTACATAAATTCAAATCCTGAATTTATCTTTGGAATTTTTAAGTGAAGTTAGTCATTATTTTCGAATACTTAGATTTTTCACAACATCTAAGGGGTACCTGTGGCAATACCAACCTTGTTTTTTCACTTGTGTTAAAAATTCTATTAATACTAATTAGTTAGGGTATTACTTAAAATATATTTTGGTGTGAACATTTTTGATTTTCGTCAACCTGTTAACGAGATATTTCACTTAATCATTTGTGTGGTGGCATAGTGCCAAACATTTTAACACCAAAATATATTTAAAATAATACCCCATCTATTTATGGAATTTTTAATTTAGGTTCTCATTTGAAAAATCAAAGTTGATATCGCCATAGGTTACTACTTAAATGCTGTGAAAAATCTAAGTATCTGAAAATAGTGGCTTTAACTTCACTTAAAAATTCCAAAAATCAAAATTTGAATGTGTACAAAATTTAATCAAAAAAAAAAAGCTTTCCTAGGATAATGGAGACTGATGTAGCCACTAGTAAGCAATGATAAACCATTGCTAACAAAAAAACCGGTTCTGAATAAATTTCGGTTGATAGTGATGCATTTTCAATAATCCATATGTCATATGTTTCCCACCCTCCTAAAGTACCTTCCTTGTGAAATTTCCTTTCAGAAAATGTGTAACACTTAAAAATTGATACAAGATATTTGGTAGAAAAGTGGTCCACAGATAAAACAACAAAAATAATCTTTAATAACATCCTTGTAAAACCATAAGCTTCTTCGCTCTATTTAAAATCTAAAATAGGGTGAACATGCTTAGTGAATGATCTTGTGTATATATTTTTTAATGGATGCCATGGCTTCTGAAAATGTCAGGGAATTTGTATGCAATTTTGGAATTTTGATTTATATTTTCATAAATATTAATTATTAAAAATGTGAAAAATATTATGTAAAATAATATTGCCTGTAATATTATTATTTTCATCTATATTATTTTACTAGGTATTTAACTTTATATAAATAAATAATAAAAAAATAAATTGAATTAAACTATTATAAATTACAGTGAGTAAATTACTAATGAAAATCTTTGTATAAATGTTTGGTAATCTTATAAAATATCTTGATATTTTGAATCTCGACATTCATCAGTGATTGATTTACCCTCTTATAAAAACTATAACTTTTTTAAGTATATTCATTGTTATGGTTATTCATTCGACTATTGAAAAGGGTTTTTAATTCAAAAATAAAGAATACAATAAATGTTTTATTTAACACATATTTTTTATTTACTTTGGTCAACTGTTCTATAAAAAAAAAAAAAAATGGGAAAATTCAAAACATAGCAACCATAAATTGTTCCTTCTATATTTGGAATATTGCACTTTTTATACTTTAGTCTATAAAGTAATAATTATAATGTCTACATAATTTTTTTTTTTTTTTTCTAATTTCAGGTTGTGATTAATTGTGTTATTTTGAAAACTCTAAAATATAATCAAGCGACCTCAACATTTCATCAATGGAGAGATAATAAACATGTTTATGGCTTAAATTTTAGCAGTAAAGAAGATGCTGATGCTTTTGCACGTGCAATGGTGTATGCTCTTGAGGTATTTAACAATCTAGTTTTAGATATACTTTATAAATCATCCTCTATTCTCTACCATTCACTTATGCTTGGGTCACCACTTCACCATACATTTAATGAATAAATTAAGTGTGTAGCACTAAGTTCATTTGCACTAAAATTGTTGCTGAAATCATAATAATAATAATCTAATTAATTATGAACTGAGATAAACTTTAGAAGAAAGAAAAATGTGTAACAGTTCATGATTGCAGTAAAGAACAGAGGAAATATAAAAACATGTCTGCATTATATCAATCTGTAGACCATATAGTATACAGTGAATTTTATCATCTTGTGGTATATTTGCTTGAAAATGAACAAATATACCAAGCCTCCTTTTCGCAACTTGATTTCTGTATTGCTTATTTTTAAAATCATTCAACGTGGGATTAATTTTTACATACTTTTTAAGCTTTTTCTCTGTGTTGTGTCTTCACACAATACTGCTAATGCTTATGACACTATGTGATTGTGTGTTCACTGTTCATGTGTGACATTAAACTAATATATACAAAACCATGCATGTATGATCACAAGAAAATTATATCAGACATGGATGGCCTATATTAATGTGACACTAATATTAATGTTCTATGTTCTATTGGATAATTTTTATGATTTGAAGGATATTCACTTTGAAGTATTTGTTTTTATTAGGTATTAGATTCTGTAGCCAGAAACACTATAAGCCATCCCCAAAATTTACCCCCAATGCCACCTGTCTTTCAACAAGCAAATGGTCAATTTGAAGAAGATATGGTATACAGGTATGGTAATATCATTTAGTTGTTTTTGTTTAAGAAAACACCACACTAACATGTGTTGTACGAGGCCTACAAGTATAACAGAACAAATTTAGGATTTTGTGCTGTTAGTTTTAATATTAAAGTGAATAGACTTAAAAATTAAATTTTAATTAATATACATAAAGGTAAAAACATTACCTTTGAAAATTTGGTTTTTCTTGATATTTAAATGTTTGAGTGATATATTTTACTCGTAATAAAAGATCATAAACTTTATTACACAGTATTTAGTGAAGAGTTTCTGTCAATCATAGTAAATTTCATTGGTAAGTGGTACAATATGTTCATGATTAATTGTTACACACAAATAGAAGACAACGTGGTGACATAAAAGTTACTTTTCATGATGAGTTGGAAATACTATATGATAGTCTGGATTGAAAACCAAAAATAGTAATAAAAGATTTCAATGCAAAAATAGGTAAAGATAATATATAAACAAATAATTGGGAAAGAAAGCCTTCACAGAGAATCCAATTAAAATGTTAGTATGCTTGTTAAATTTACATTGAACAAAAATATGATGATAAATAGAGCTAAATAGGATTTAATGCATTTAAAATCTACAGTATAAAACCAAAAATAACAGAGGGCTCAGAAGAGTTTAAAATTTCTACCCTCAACCACTTAATTATTAAATGTGTTTTCTGTTAGTTTCTTTTTTTTATAATTCTTAAAATTTTATTTAAAAACTTGTGTTAATAATTTTTTTTAATGTTTGAAAATTGTATTTCTTAAGTTAGAGCCATTAGAGAGAGAGGGAGCTTTGAAAAACATATTGCCATTATTTTTTTTTTAGGTGCATTTCCAAGTCTTGACATTTTATCACTTTTTTGTGGACCTAGTTATACACAACACAACTTCTCCCATGGATAAGAATATCCATAAGCCATCATGGATATCACTATGTAGTAGGATAGTGAACCAAATAGATTATTTACTTGTAGACTCCCAGATAAGATCAACCAATAAAATGATAAATGAGTCTTTGAAGGTGAATGAAAAGGTGAAAACAAATTGGGTGTTTTTGAAAGGAAAATAGTTCAGAAAATGTTCAACCAAGAAAAATAAGATGAAAGTGAATTTAAAGTTAGCAGAAGCTAATTTTATAGGAATCATAAGTAGTAGAATATGATTGACTAGTCATGTATGGAGGTTAAATTAGATTGGAGACTAAACACAGAAGGAAAAGAAATTATCATTTACACCAAAAACTTGATGTAATTGCACATATAATTGTAAGTTTAATACTAAGTAAATTAACTCTGAATTTTAAAACTAACAACAAGAAGTTAAAAGACAATTTACCATGTCATATCTTTTTAATATTGAAATTGCATACACTGGTGTAGTCTTCTTAATTCTGAAATGTGTGTTTAATGTATTTAATTTTTTTAGAACAATGACTAAAGAAGACAACTCAACTATAATCCAAGATCGAAGAATGTCGCAACAAAATCAAAGTTAGTAATTATTATTAATGTATTATATTTTTTATAATACTGGATGCTGTCAGAATTAGAAAAGTCAATTTTAAAAATGATTGAGATTAGGAAACTTTCACTGGAAATATTTCCTGTACAATTTAGAGTAACATTAGGAAAAACTAGTTTACTATTTGATGTAGTAACAATGAAGTTTGTCTTTTTTAGTCACTAGTACAACAAATGGTTCAACATTACCACCTATGATTCAGCAATTGCCTTCTTCAGGACATCATCGCACATCATCTGCACCACCAGCACCAATACCCCCACCTCCTCCTGGTATGTTTAACCTAACACCTCCACAACCTCCTCCAATGCCAAGTAGTAATGGGGATCCTGATCACAGTGAACCAGTTGTTGATCAGACTTCCTCATTGGCTGTACAGTTACAAGCAGCTCGCTTAAAACGTACAAATAAGGTAATTTTTAATCATTATTTATTTTTTCGAGACAACTATAATTTTGTCCTACTTGTATTGATTTTAAAGCAACATCCAACTGAAAATAGTGGATCATCAACCAGTAGTAGTGGTAGTGGTACCCTTGGACGGAATGCCAATGGTAGCCAGACTGGAATGGCCTGTATGATGAATGAAATGGCACGGACTTTAGCAAGACGCCGTGCTGCTGTTGAAAAGAAAGAGATTGATTATATTCAAGTAAATTAATTTTATATAACATATGTGGGTATGAAAGTAAAAGTGTTTCTTAAAATGTATTCAATTTTTTTATGAACAGATTGATGAAAGTTTATCACCATGTGATAAGAAAAATTTGAATCGTAATGATAGTCAAAAAAACTCATTGAATGGTTGTGAAAGTCCCAAACTTGGTCGAAAACAATTGTCTGCCACTTCCACTGAAGATTTAATTACAACTAAATCATTTGGAGAAAATTGTATATCAAATTTATCATTAGACCTAGAAACTTTTAAACAAGACATACTACGTGAAATTCGTAAAGAATTAAATAGAATGAAATCTGATATCATAGAAAGTATGTATTTCATAAAAAAAAAAAAATGTATACTTTTTAGAATAATTTGGAAAACACAAATTATATCAAATGTATTTGCTTTCTTTTGTGTTTTGTATGAAGCTACAATGTGGTTTAATATATTTGTAATGATTTTCAGGCGTAAAAGTGGAAATCAGTAAAAGATAAATGAAAACCATCAAACAAGTATCAAAATTTACTAATCCAATATAATTTCAATTTATATATTGATTTGATTAAATAATTGGTATATATATTTTTTTTTTTCTATTATGTGAACATTTTTGAACTGAATCTCATTTTATTACTGTTATAAGATTTAGGTACTCTCATATTGCATAGATAATTATTGTAAACCTATTTATGACTTAATTCATTAGCTACTTAATTCAACTTTTCTTACATAACCAAGTTATTATGTAGCTTATTTTTTTATATGAAAATTGTTTTTTTTTTTTCTATGTGTAATCGCTTAAAATTTTAAGAGTGAACAATTTGTATTATATTATTTATGAAAAAATAAAAATAAATTAAAAGCTATCTAAAATGCTTTTCATTTCATTTTATAAACTAGTATTATACTTATTTTTTAATTTTACTTTTTTTTTATGATAATTCATTATATATTCAACAATATTAAGATAAAATTATTAGTGCTGACATCATAATGTATATACATAAAAACATCATAAAATATGCTCAAGATATTATGTATCTTAAATAAATACTTCTTTAATAAAAAGTGTATTTTATATAAACCTAGGTCAAATTTCCATACATTTTTTTTTGTATAATAGTAAATCCATAGTGATTTCTGCTTGGTAAAATAATTCAGACTAGTTTCTATAGTTATCCTAGTGACTTCTGTGATATTATTTTGCTGCATTCTGATAATTCTAACCTACTAATTAATACTTATTGGGAAACAGTGTTATCTATTATAAATGCTTAAATTTTTTTTTTGATTTCCCATTCCTTAATTGATTTTTCCAAATTATGTGCTAAATTTACAGCTATGTGTCACTCTTCTACTCCATGAGTTGTCAATGTGAATGTTTTGGGTTTCCACTGTTGATCAACAGTGTGTGACAGGTAATTGTAATATAGGACTCAATGTAGGCAACATACTAAGTAATTCATTTAATTAATTTTTTTTGTCATTTGATAATAATTTTATATATTTTTACACTATCTGAAGAACATGGATTATAATTTGGCTCAACTACGTTCATACAATTTTTAAAACATGGACTTCAACAAAATGAAAGAGGTACAGCTATTATTTTTGAAAGTACTTTATGAATTTCTTCAGTTCTTTTAGAACTAAGTGGTTTATCTAATGTGGTGCCAGTTTTATTTTATTTATTTCACTTTCACCTTATTACAATACTTGAGGAGCTGGTACTTAAAAGGTTCAAATCATTTTAGAAATTAGTGGCCTGGTTACTTTCTGTTGTAGATTCTACAACAGTAGTTTCCAAATTGTCTGTCAATAAACAGGTTCAAAAAATAATGAATTAGAAAATGATACTAAAATTTAAAATAAACAATTACTAATAAATTCCCAGGAAGGAACCAATATTAACAACAATAATATTAATACTGTGATGTATTTAACAGCAGTCATTATCAAGAGACTACTTAGTTTGATATTGTAGGAGTAGCTATGTCAGTAAGTTATAATCTATATTGCTTTATCAGCAAATCTTATAATAATGACAAATTATTTGATAAAACCTGTACGAATATTATATATATTTTATAATACAAACAACAAAGTTAAATGGTCTATGAAAATACACAGTCAGAATGTATAGTAGAATCCGCTTAAAACAATTTTCAAGGGACCTAAAGAATCAGTTCGTTATATCCGGATGACAAAAAAACGTCAATTTTATTAAAAAATTGATTTATTAAACACATGTTTGTAATACATATAATGTATTATTACACAAACCATATGATATATTTAAGAATAAAAAAAGTACTTATCATGTAATATGTATATGTTTCCAACATAGAAAAGCAATGACATCTTTTATTCGACATTTTTAAGAACGGATGGTATTTAACGAATAAAAATCAAAACACTGATTGAAATAGTGAAACACATATTATGCCGCATACTTACGATATTATGTATTACAGATTTGATAACGAATTATCGCACCGTACCAATTTATTATTATAGGTGAATGAAAAAACCAATTTTAATTTCAAAGTATCATCGTAGTATATCCGAATTGTCCTTGTAACCTGAACCGACATCGTTATATCGGACCAAAATTAATGCACGTGAAATATATAACTAACCAAGTACATGGCTAAGAAACGTTTCATCCAAAATATCCGGTTATATACAGCATCGTAATAATCGGATTCTACTGTATTAAATTATCAGACCAGTTTTAGGTGTACCTATTAGTGCGCTGGGCGAATACAATTTTGACACCCTATAGTCTCATTCTTATTACAAATTAGTTTTGTTATTATAACTTCAAATTTAAATTTTATATGTATTTGTGTACATTTATAAAATTAGTATAATGTTGTTAAATTTAAAATTGATGGAATTTTTCTTGATATCATTTAATATTGATAAAATTGCCAGTAATGACAGCCTCTCATAATCTACAGATGATCTCAAATAGGTTTCGATTAATTTAAATTTTGAGAAACTACATTCTGCCGATGTAACTGTTACTAGTACTATCAAAGGAATTCTGAGAGTGATTCAAACATTTAAAAATATTTATTTTATATGGGTATCTAAGATAGGTACATTGTAAAACTGTAAGCGGAATATTTTTTATATAACGTTCAAATATAACATAGATATTCCAGTTCATCAGCAAGATCCTGTAGCGGGCGTATTCTCAAACTCGGAGTCAGGTTTATGTTAAACGAGTAAGGCAATATTTTATAAGTATTTTTATTTAAGTTGAAATACATCCTAACACTTTTTTGATTAAATGTACGATCTGTGTCTGTCGCGACGAAAGTGCTTGCAGATGATAGCGTTCGGATTCGTCTGAAAAGGCGTTCTCGGCGGCCGGTACACGTGCCCTGGACCGCCCAGTTAAAAATGCCCAGTCCGCGCTTTTCGGCGACAACGTGTTATTGCGCAGCCGAGTGATAACCTCACGCGCCGGCCCCTGCATCCGGGTCGTGCGAGAATACGCGCATAAATATCTCGCTAAAATAGTTCGTTCACGGTCGTTCGTATTCCGCCGGAGTCTTGGTAGATAGTTGCCCGGCCCGTTCGGTGCCCCCAACATTGGCGGCGGCTGACGTAGATTTAAACAACCCGTCCCCGTCCGGAGAATGGAGCTTTGATACCGAACAACTATCGCCCGTTTCATTTGGCCTCACGAATAAACGAATAACGTGCTGTCCACCATGCACAAACGCTCTTTTAGGGTCGTTATCAGAAATTCGCACCACTCCACGCTCGGGTCGAAATCACTAATGCACCGAGTGATGTAGGTCACTCAGTCAGACGTATTGAAAATATACAGAAAAAAAAAAAAAATACAAATTGTCTCTACCACTATTTTTGGTGGAACTCGACAAAAATAGCAATAATACGGATGTTTTCAAAAATGTCTTCACTTCTACACACTACAGTTTCAATAGAAAAACCATATCAAAAAAAAAATCGTGGGCCACCTCAGTGCCATAATTGTCAATCACTTTGTCGAATCAAGAATTATTGCTCTCACTACTTAGCTTCCGTGAGTTAAGTGTGGCGAATATCGTTCGTGGATTGCTCAGAAGACCGCAAGCTCCCGGCCAAATGTGCACTGCGCATGGATCCATACAGCTTCTTATAATGAATTACCCAAACACAAACGCCATCTAAAGAAATCACCTCTTCATTCTATCTAAAGGCCAGCTCGTCCTAATCAGCTCTGTAGTATTGACGCTTTCACTCAAAGACGATCATAATACGCCAAGGTAACATATCACCAATCGACAATCGAACAACCGGAGGATTTAAACAAAATACTCAATGATTTTCAATATATTATTAGCTCTGCTGTCGAATGTTTTGGAAAATGTATGCTTAATTCCAATTATGGACATTCCTTGCAAGACGATGCGTTTATTTTTTTAAATTCATTCTTTATTATGTTACAGTCATTTAAAAACGGTAAATTAGGTTTCATTCTTTAACGATGTATTGAACGTTATAACCAAAATAACAGAAAAAACGCATCGTTTGCCCTCCAGAATATTGTCCTTTTGTGATTTTACTATACGTACTTTTACTCTAAAACCAAAATTAGTTGAGCTCTACGCGGACTACGTAAAGTAGATTTTGTTATATCGCCGGTTAGTTGGAATGAGACAGCAAATGCGGGTATAGCGTCGTGTTAATTGTATAACGTATTATATTTCTTTTCTTTATCTACCTTCATTATCTAATTTTTCTTTTTTAATACCTGTTATTATCGGACTATTGACTTTTGTTTCTTTTCACGCACCATATTTAAACCTGTATCTTGTTTTGTAACCATTTAAATCAGTGGTCTTCAACCTCCTCTTTGGACTCACGACCCACTTTTTCAGGCGTACATTATTCGCGACCCACATAAGGCGTACATAAAGAAAAACGTTTGTAGAAAAACAAAAAAAAAAAAAAAAATCTAAAATTACTTAATACTTTGTAGTAGTACTGTTATAACTGAATAAATAAAAATAAAAAAACTTTTTAACGGATACTTAAATGTGGCTAGAATAATAACGCGACTAACATTTATTCGTCTTTAAACACAGCGGTTACATCGACAATGTTCGTAGATTATTAGAATTAATGTCATACTACGTAGAATCATACCAGTATATGAAACATATACTATGATTTGAAATCCATTATACTATTATATTTTTGAATATTAATTATATAATATTGTTTATACATAATATGTTACAACAATTTTCAAACTGTATTTTCATTTATTAATTTTCTAAGTTTAATAATTAAACAATTATTTGTATACCTTATATAATTATAAAAACTTAATTTTTATTTTAGAAAGAAAACTTGTCACGACCCACTTGAAGAACACTGGTTTAAATTACCATTGTAAATAGTTGGAAGTTAAATATTTGTTTAGCCATTAATATATTACAAAAGACTTATTAAAAAAAAAAAACCTACACGTAAATTTAAAACACAACTTTCTAAATTCCAATTTTATTAAAAAATCAACAAAAAAAGTACCTAATAATATTTTAATTAGAGTAAGGTTCCTAGTATTTCTAGTAATATTTCTAGTAGAAAAGTTGTTCACAGGAAAAAAAACACCGCATAGTAAAACTAATACACTTCTCCGATCTTAAAAGTAAGAAATATTTCATGAAATATCCAATCACCAAAGACACGATACAGCGTAATAATCTCAATTATCAGGAAAATTTTTGAAAAAAACACCATTCGATTAATTCAATATGAAACGAATTTTTTTTTTTTAAATTTAAGTATATTATAAGTTTATATGTAAGTTCATATTATAATAAATGAAAACGATCACAAACGTTTTGTATTGTTCGTGTTCGTTTATGTTGCCGTTTACCGTATTGTTATAGGGAACGAGTAAACAACGTCTTATAATATTGTATATTATAACTAAAAACCGGATTTAATTGATATTGCAACATTTTTTGCAATAAAGATTAATCAGATCTGATTAAATATACAACCGATATACACTAAAAGTATTCTGCTATTTAATTTTATAATGCAATTTTTCAATTTTCTCACGTTTTTAAATCATAGGCGTTTATCGATGTCTGGAATTTTCTAGAAGCTTGTCGAGCCCAGCGAACGATAAGCGTCTATATGTATATAGTGGTAATGAAATTCAACGTAGTAGTACAGCGATTCCTGTTGGTACCTTAGTACTTATTTCTTCGGTCAGTTTCACCGCGCAGTGAACGTATTTGACGTAACGCCTAAAATAAAATCAACTTTCGAATCGGATTGCTCCTTACAATGAAAATATAGAAGTATTTTCATCAGATAGAAAGGTTAGATATTGTCTCGTATGTAACAAATCTGTGTCTACCGAAAAAAAATATCTATTACATCATCATTCCAAAACGAGTAAGTTTTGTATTTTACGCTCATACTACACGTAATATACTACATATTATTTCAAAAATACATGTATATTTTTTTCAGTTCAACACATAAATACATTACAAAGGAATAAAGAAAAAAAAACAGCTATCGATTACTTCTCAAAATTCGAATAGTAAAAGGTATTTTTTGAAGATTTATTTAATGCATTTGTTGCTGCAAATATTTCTTTGCATAAGTTGGGCAATTCTGCGTTAAAATCATTTTAGGAAAAACATACAAAAAAATCAATTCCGGACAAATACATTTTAAGAAAAAATTACATACCAAATATTTATAAAATCGTTATGGGCCAAATAATTGGTGATATTGGAAATAATTACGTTTACATAATTGTTGATGAAACAATCGATCCAAGAAGTTTGTATAAACAATTTTTTTAATTTCTCATATAATAAAATATACTATTTTTGTTTATGTTTGGCTATTGCAAATTTATTGATTGGTAAATTAAATGGGACGCTTAGTAAATTATATTTAGTTGTTTGTAAAGAACTAGAATCCACCAATTATGAAACTATTTGTTTGTTTATTAATTCCTCGTTAAAAATATTTCCTGGTATTGAACAAAAAGTATTCCTTTTTATTAGTGATGCAGGTACTTATATGTTTAAAACAGCAAAAACATTAAAAATATTTTTCGCAAAATTAATTCAGATTACATGTATGGCGCAAGCAGTTAATTGAGTTCTAGAGAAAATTCGAGAATTGTATCCTGGCATAAATAAATTGATTAACAATAGTAATATATTAAGTACCTATTTAAAATTTAAATACATATTTTGTTTATTTCAGTAAAAAAACTTTCTTAAAAGTACCATCGAGAATAAATAAATACAAAAAAGAAATGCCGGGTATACCTTTACCACCCAAGCCTATTATTACAAGATGGGGAACATGGTTAAATGCTGTACTTATCTATACAAATAATTTTGAAGAGTTTAAAAACGTGATTGAAAGTTTAACAGATGATGCTACAAACTAACTCCTCAGCAAAATGTCTGTACCATCACCTGACATCACCTATGTTAAGAATCACCATAATTTCATTCATTATTCTGATTGACTTTTCTGGTAATAGAGTTTTACAATTCTTATGTTTTACATTCCCTTGGTCTTTGATTGTAAATAAACTTCCAACTTTTAATTTTCAAATAACAACAAATATTACAAAGTCCATGAATATAATAAGTTTTAGTTTAAATACATTTGAGTGATCAAATTTCAATAGGAAAAATTCAAGTAGAATGAATTTAATGTTTTCTTGGCATTAAGTTATTATTAACAGTTTTTTTTTTTTTTTTTTTTTTAAAAAATGATATTTTATAGATAGTACAAACAATTAAATTAAATTGATAACAGTTTACCACTTGAGATTATAATTAATACTGGATTTAAAAATATATAATAATATATTATACTACATAAAATTATATTCAATACAGCAAAAAAATATGGGTAGGTATATAAGTATTATGTAGACAAAAAGTTTTAAATATTTAATCATTAAAATATGTTTTTATGAAATAAAAATAATAATTCTAAATTTTAACTTAATCTTATTGTAATCAATTAGTCAAAAACAATGTTTAATTTTGAATTTATCTAATATGGCATTTTATCACTTTAAAAACCCACAATATTGGTCAAAGAAAATTGAGATTTAATAATTCTGTTATTTTAGTAGCTAATTGTAAACAGCAAGTAACAATTCAACAAACTATGTTATGTCTTTTTCTTTTTAGCCTTAACCTTGATGTTTTATAACAAAAACTTACAGTTAATAGAAAATTAATAACATTTTTATAAAGTTATTATTTGTTCAAGTGTTTTAAAATATAAATTATAGTATAAAATATTTTAAATACTATTAAAATAAAATAATGACATAGTATTATTTTCAGAAGTACAAAAATAATATAAATACTATTATAATGATAAAAAAATATGATAATCAATTTGAGCATATATTACTTTACTTTGTATCCCAATAGATATGTCTCCAGTTTGACTGTAGTTATAGTACAGACTGAGACATACCTAATAATTTTAATATCTAATTTAATACACCAGTTGAATACTATTGTGTCTTTACATTGTATGCCCCGAGAAAATTATTTTCTGAGGGTATTTGCGGGACTCTAGTACCACGGCGTATAAGAAGTCTGACACGAGATCCACCACTATGGATAATTTCTATGGCTTCAGCATGTGTCATATTTTTGGTATTTACTCCATTTATTTCTATGATATGATCTCCAACCTGTAAATAAAAATAATGCACAAAATGTTAGGAACATAGAAATATTAAAAGTAATTAATTTATTTACTTTTAATCGTCCATCAATTGCTGCTGAACCATGATCTGCAATTTGCAAAACAAATAAAGACATGTTTTGAAATTCACGGCCTCCTCTAATACTAAACCCGAATCCTTGAGGACCTCTTGATAGTTCTATAGCATGATATTGTTCCAAATCTTCTAAATCCAGGTCCTTAATAGTTTAAATATAAGAGTTTTAAACCAATTAAAATTACATTTAAAATTTTAATTATAAAAAATATACATACTTTATTTGACATTGGTAAAGAAAGTGTACTAGTTGAATCATCTGAAAAAATGAATATATTGTGCAATTTTGCGAACAATATAAAATATAACATTTTAATGGTCTATAGCCTTTGTAATATAATTAACATACCATTAGGAGATCCAATAGTCAATGTAACAGTTGATCCAGAATCTTTAATCATGTTCACAATATCACCATGAGATAAATTTGTAATATTCATATTGTTAACAGCTAGAACACGATCTCCCAAATTGATTTGCCCATCTCTAAAAGCAGGGCTGCCCTCTATAATTCGTCCTAAGAAAATAAATATATTCAAATTAATAATACAAATTATTCTGTACATAAATTACTTCAATCTTAAAAAAAATATCAAACATACCAATAGTAGGTCCTCTATTTAATGAGGAAATTACAACGAATCCAAACCCTTCATTATCTTTTTTAGTTAATGTAACATTATAAGGGTATTCCATATCCAGTTGCCTCTTTGCAGAATTTAATATATCTATTAATACAAATTTTAAAAATGAATAAAATATATAAGCTACTTAAGTGAATTGTTTGAACTTTTGAACATTATAATATTATCAATTGATTTTGTATACAGACAACATTTTATTTCTAAACATCTACTATTTTTGTAAAATGCAATAATTTAATTATTCAAGCTAATTAAACTTACAGTTAGACTTTAGAGTTGATTTGTTGTGACGAATGCCTAGTGTCACACGACCACATTGTGCCGCTTGATTCATTAAATTTATTACATAATCATGAGAAGTATTTAGAGTCGATTGATCATCAATAGAAGCAATTTCATCTCCTGTCATAATTCGCCCATCTAAGTCTGCAGATCCTCCTGGAACTATGTGGCCAACTGAAACCTTGTATACAATAAAAATCCATAATTTTATAATCAATATATTAAAATTTAATAATAGAAATTAAACATATTTAAAAAATACATTGTTTGAAAATAATGTGACATTTCTAGAATATTTTATGTTCTATATCAATTAAAAAATTTGTTAAATTAATTCATTTTTGCATAAATTTTAGAATTACATACTTGCGAATTTTCTTCCTTTCCGCCAACAATTCTAAAACCAAAACCTGATTCAAGTCTTTGTAAAGTAACATAACTAATGTTTGATTTTAAACCATCCAAACTAATGTGATCAATTTTATTTATTTCATTGTTGTTATGTAAATACCTAATGAAATAAATTATCCATTACTTATTCAAAAAATTAAACTAATGTGAAATGACTGGTTTTACCTGACTTCATTTTTGGAAGCATTCATTTCATAATGTTCAAAACTCATATTTTGAATAGATTTTGATAAATTATTAGAATAATTATCAGATTGAGAATTAATATAATTTCCAGTAGAAGAATCAAGAATTCCATTATACATGGTAGTAGGCAAATACATTTGATTTGCAGGTGAATTAACATGCATCCATGAGTTATCATTTCTATGACAAAATTCATCCATCAGTAAACTATTATTTGTCATCATATAAGTGTCAGAAGAACCATTTTCAAGTATATTATTTTGAACTTTTGTCATTTGGGATCGGTTATCAATAACAGGAGTTTTTGATCTATTAAAATCACATATTTGTTCACCATAAGAATCCATTGTTGGAGTTTTAGATCTATAGAGTTTTGGAACATCTTTTTTATTTTTCACACGGAATTTGTCGGGTGAACTTTGAGTACACCGTTGTATAATTATTGTGGCAGTTTCATCAATTCCACATTCTTTTAACACCTGAACAACATTTATGTGAGACATACTACGCACATTTATATTATTAATACAGATCAATATATCTCCTTCCATTAATTCTTGACATCTGTGCTTATCCAGTATTTTTTTAACCTAAAATATAACAATTAATAAAAATTCAGATATATTATTTAAAAAATACATATACATATACACAGAGTGTCTCACAAGTTATACCCATTGTAATATCTCTACAGATAATCAAATATTGTTTTTTTTATTTATATATTATTGAAAATTTGAAGATAGCCATTTTATAGAGTTTATTCTTCTGAAAATGTTGACATATAAACTGTTTGTTTTCATTTAATATATGATATTTAATGATTTTTTAAAGTTCAGAGAAAAGAAGCAAACAGTCAATTAATTATCATAATTATAATTTATAAGAGAATGTTTACAAGAGATTAATTACAACCTGTTGCATAATAATAAGTACTTTTCTCTAAACTTTTAAAAAAATAAATCACAAATTTTATAGAATTAACTATAAAATAGCCATCTTAAAAATTTTCAAAAATAATAAAATAAAGTTATTTCTGAAATTTTTTTTACTGAAGATAAAAATTAATTTTAATATAAATATTTTTAATCCTTATCTCAGTAATATATATATATATATAAAAATAATAGAATTTGTTTATCTTTATTATCTCGCAGATATTATAATTGGTATATTTTTGTGAGACATCCTGTATATATGTTAACCAATTATTTAGTTCTAACTTTTTGTCCATTAGCACTATCTGCTATTGTGAAACCAAATCCCATAGAACCTTTGATTATTGACATTGTTAAATACAATGGAGTTATAGGAACGATTTCTTCTAATATTAAATCAGTACTACTAGGCCTAGCTATGCTCATAATTTCTTCAGAGGCATATAAATCAGGCATTGATTTTACAGACTGATTGCACAAATCATTTGTAGATCTATTATCAATGTTCATCATGTACAGTTCTCTTCCAATGTAGTTAGATAAATCATCTAATTGGCGGTCTATAATAAAACAAATATACATGGTTTGAAGAAATAATACTATTAGATAATATAGGAATTGTAAATTTAATATTAATTGAATAATTATTAAAAATAGATTGTTTACCAGAATTTCCTACTGCAACTGTAGTTACTACTTCTGTATTGGGGTCATTTGGATCAAAAGGCAATGTATAGCCTCTACAGACATCTAAACACACAGTTTCACCAGGGCCTATTGCTTGGAATACACTAACCATATCGTGGTGTGTGTAACCCAAAACACATTTGTCATTTACAAAAACTAAAACATCTCCTAAGAACAATTTCAAAATATTTGTAAAATACATAGGTAAATATTATAAATCTATACATATTAAAGGGAAAGCTGACTGACTGATATATATACACACAGCTCAAACCACTGTGTGGTTATATAAAATAAAAATGTTTAATATAAATAGTACTTAGTATATAGTACCTGTTTGTAATTTCCCTTCTAACCAGGCAGGTCCATTTGGAACAACAGATTTAATTTGAAGAAATTCTTCTTTAGAATCATCACCACCAACTATTGTAAAACCTAAACCTCTAATTGATTTTACAAGTGTAGAGCGAATGCGTTCACCAACTAATTCATGTGGATTCGTAGTAAAAACATTTCTACTACCAGCTGAATCTAAATTATTCATATATCAATTAATTTTTGAAATAACACAATTAAAACTATATAAAATATTACCTAGTTTCATTGAGTTAATATTTTCAAAACTATTTGAGTTATAATTAGGAATATTATCTTGTTCATCATTGATTTGATCATCTATAATAAAAATAAATAATTTTATTACACATAATACTAACATTAATTTCAAAAAAAATATTAGTTGCATACCATGTCTAGCATTTTTTGCTTGTAACACCGGATTTTCATATTGTGTTTGTCTATTTACATGGTCAATGTAGTATGTTCCATAAAGAGGATCATCTATTCGCTCCCACCCATATGGTAATTCATCATCTGAGCAGTCTGCTAATTGTTTTTTTTGGAATTTTGACAACCTTGGATCTAACCAGTGTGATGTACTAGAATTATGACTGTAATAAATATAAATAAACACAATAATACAAAAAAAAAAAATTTATAAAGGCTATTATTTTAAAAGGGGTTTTTTTATTAATTGATTTGCATCAAGCCCTCATCTATAGGCCGAGAAATGGAGAGCAACATTTGAAGAAAAGGAACTAAAAATATATAAAAATTTGATAAGATAAGAGTAATGATAATAAACGGTAACATAATAGGCAAGGTTGACAATTCTAAGTATATAACTCAAGATCGATTCTTACAAAAGAATAGTGGCCTTAACAGGATGTAAAACATAGGATTAAGTGTAGTTGGATTAAGTAAAGAGAAGTATCAGGTGTTTTATGTGACGAGAGAATTTGTATGAGACTTAACGATAAGTTCTATAAGAATCAGGTGAAACTGATTATGTTATGTGGTAGATAGAAAAATAGAACAGAGATAAAGAATGAGTATAAGTGTTGTTACAATAGTAGACAAAATGAGAAAATAGACCAAGATGATGAAAGAAAAAGGAATTGGAATGAATAAGAATGATAATCAAAATAAACTAGGGAAAAAAGGAGAAGAAGAATAGGTAGTTGAAAGAGATCGCGAATGATATGAGGGCATCCGGTGTATGGAAACATCATATGGATGATCCTGGTTTTGTAGATATTTAGGATAAATGTTTCCTACCCGAAATAATTAGGATGGAGATGAAGGAGAAGAAAAATAATTAATTTCCTCTTAAATTTAATAAAAAAGGGGTTTTTTGATAAGATTATCGATAGATATTTATTTTTAAATTTCAAACAGACACGTATAAAATATAATTTATTGTCTATTAGTCATCTATATTTTACTTGAAATCTAAATATTTGGTAATAGATAAAAATTACTTACTCTATAAAGTAAACTTCCCCATTTTTGGTATAAGCTTTTTCCCATTTTGGAGGTAAAGGGCCTAAATCTAAAGTGTCTGATAATGTTGAATCTCTGGAATGATTATATGCTAAATTTTTTGTACTGGGGCCATTCAAGTATTCGTCTGTAATTTGTATACAAAATTAATAATAGCATATGATATAAATTAAGTATTAAATTATTTTGCAATTTTTGCAGTGTACTTTGAATTCAGTAAGTACCTGTTCAAAAATATGTTAACAGTTCAATTGTATACTATTACAAGGAAAATATAATATTTTCTTACCATTATTCATAGACTGTTGATGTTTGTCTGGAATATTATCCATATTTATAGTATAATATTTAACAACAATGTATTATGTTTCATTGATTAAAATTGAAACATTTTTTTGAACAATGAATAGTAACCATTTATATTTTTTATTTGGATTCAAATAAAACATAGTAACTAATCGCCTGAAAAATTTAAAAAACAGTTTTTAATCTTAACATTAATTATTTTGAATAAGTACCTAACTTTTTCAATTTAAGTATACTGAACTAAGTATAAAACTAAATGATGCAAGTATATTGAATTTATATACAAAATGGCAAATGAAACGAGCGAGACTATAATAATTCTCAAAAAAAGAATTCTAATCACCTTATTTTTTTACAATTTAATCAAATAATGAAAAGACGAATCTAAAAAAAAATAGTCGATTGAGAACCAATCTAATTAATTATTATAATCAGTTATAAAATAATATGAATTACATTTTTTAAATTTAATTAGCAAGAGATACCTACATACAAATGAAATCGGGCCATGTGTGAAATGATTTTAGCATGTTATTTATCAGTAATTACGATATGTTATTTTATGCTCGTAAAATACGATACCTACGAATAATACCGATATTACCGATGTATGATGAAATTTATTGGTTTATTTACTAATTGATTTTGATTGAAAATAAAATGAACTTACACATTTTCGATCGTAAATAAAAAGGGCAACAAAATTCTCTTTAAGCACGTTTTTCTATTACCAAAATGTAACAATGATTACTTATCGACATGTTGTGAGACAATATGTTTACATTCAAGACTTACGGAACAGAAATCACAATGTTTGTTTACACCAAAAGGATTTCACACTGCGCGTCATCGGAACGCGTTCCAATACATTCAGCGTAAATACAATTTGTAACCATTGAACTAAACGAAACGAAAGAAAATTTTAAATAAGAAACAAATAATAAAATATTGTGTTCTTTGCAAATGTATTGTTAGTCAGAAATCAGTAAATTAAATATTTAACACTATACAAATATTTAGGTTACGATAACGCAATGGGAGTGTCTGTCTCATCCGAAAAAAAAAAAAGGCCATTATTATTTATTACTGGTCACCATGGGGAATGCTAGCAGGTGTCAGTAACCAACCGTACAATACCAAGTGTACGTCATAAAATCCTCGGGTTATCACTAGTATCATTGGTACTATCATGGTAATCTATGATTTATATTTTGAAAAAAACCGAACTATAGGTTGGTTTGGAATCGTTTGGAACCATAGGTATATTATGTATAATCTAAGACCGTGAAAAAGACCGTAGTAAGCACGATCTTAGAAGGTCGTGGTAGTAGGTGATCTCTCACAGATAAATACCAAGGTAGTTATACAGTTGTATAATATAGTATAATCTGTGTGATCTATAAATCCTTATCTCTTCCATGTATAAATCACAATGTAATTAAATTTTATCTACATCATCATCATGGTGTAAATTCTAGATCAATGTTTGTGATCGTACTATTATAGGTTAGTTTTTGTTTTTTTTTCCATAATATAACTCATTATGCCTAAATATTTACAATGGTCTAAAAATCATAGAGGTACTTATGTATAGTAATATGAGTAGCTTATATTTGTCGACGAAATAGATTCAATCTAGTTAAAGATTTAATTTTTAAAACTGATCGAAATAACATACAATAAACAGTTTTGATGTTGGCAGGTCACAGGTATAATATTCTCAACAATAATCATCAATCATTTCAAGCAATTTGATTTCTTAGATCTTTACTGTCAATATAAATTGTAATACACCATTTTAGATTTATACTGGCCAAATGGTTTTTGATTGTATATACCTATCTATAGAAAATTGTATTACAGAAATAGCTTGTATTTCATCAAAATCATTGGTAGAAAGTAGCCATACTATTAATTAAATATTTTTTTCTAAACATCTAGATTATTCATAAGATAATCTTTTATACTCAGCACGGAATTTGCTTGTCTTGATGTAAATGTATACAAAATAATATTGATATTATTTAATTGTAATATGAATGAATAAATAATAAATATTAGAATACAAAGTCTGAACTTGAAGGAGGGTCTAACCAATCTGGGGATTTGCTCTACGAATATTTTCAATGCTAAATAGGTCACAAATTTTACAAACCGAATACAAAAACTCATTGAATGGTTATTCGAAAAAAAATTTGCATCTGTCATAATTTGAACAAAATATAATTTTTGGATATATAATTTATGGTGTAATCATGGGTGGCTGGGTGTTAAATACCCCCCCTTCTTGTCAATTTTTTTTTAGTTATATTACATTCCTAATACTACTATCGACTATGCCTGAACTCATATTCTCAGTTCAAAGCATTTTGCCACCCTAGGAAATTATATATTTTTAGCCGACCTTTCATGGTATATGTATATTATTATGTATAATTTATCACATCTAATATTTATATTTTAACAAATATGTTTTCAGTTGGTTATTTTTTATTACCCTTGTTTAGAAGCCATTTAAAATGTTAGGTAGGTAAGGTATTATTAGGCATTTAAATTAAAATATTAGATCCTGAGTGTAGCCTATCTTTAGTCATTCTTAAATGAAGCCATGGTTTTACTCTCCTTAATGCTGAAAAACCTCTTTCTGCAGAAGTGATATTTACTGGTAAAGTTATTAATACATGAAGTAATGTTTTAATAGTAGAAATATTTATTTATCAAATTGCACATAATATATATATATATATACATATTGATTATAGATGCTGGTCAACTAGTTTTCCATTTGTTAATTTAGAATATAATTTCATCGATAAATTAATTATTTTACTGATTTTATTATTAATGTATTATGTAAATAAAGACATCTGACATAATATATTATATCAAATATACAATTTTCATGAGCATAGTACTTACCTACTGAATACATAAAAGATAAAACATTTTGTCATTAATTTGAAAATTGAAATTGAATCGTTTTTGATAGGTACCATAAATTATATTTTATAATATAACACAAAATTAATTTGTTTTGGTTTGCTGTCAAAAGAGGTTATGTAAAAGAATCAAGGATTTCCACACTAATATAATTCAATGATAGAATTTAGTTTCACCACTTTTGACCAATCACTAGAGGGTAAAAATATAATTTCTAACATATCATCCATTAAAAGTTTAAAAAGAGTAAACAGATAATACAACTTTTTTGCATTAATATTTTTTGAATAAAATCCAATTACCTATTTAACATTCTGAAAATTGTTTTAATTTTATGACATTTCAATACAATAGAAAAGTTCAACTTGTATGGTTTGTCCTATATATTATGTAGATTGAGAGGAAGCACTATACAATTGCTTTTTATCTTATTACCTGAATGTATTTTAAATTTTAGAAGTTTTCTACTATAACACTCATTTGATGTACGGAATTCTTTAGTATTATTTTTAGTATTAGTGCACCATTGTGTTTATAAGGTGGTATATTTTAATGTTTTTTTTTAAATTTGCTATTACAGATTTGTTCTGAAGATGAAAAACATATACATTATGTGGATACCATGATCCAATATCTGGCTTTGAAATGTTTATATTGCTACATGCAACTGCAGCATTATCCTAAAATATAAATATTAATACAATTATTTTGAAAATATTTAGAATATTAAAAAAAGAATGATAAGTTTAACTAATTGTGTGTTATATATATATAGACAATAAAATAAAATATACTAAGGAAACATTTTTATGTTTTATAACTACAAAGAAAATGTTTAATTAAATATGAATTATAAATGTTTATAGGAATTAATTTTTACATGGATAGGTATTTATGTATACCCATATTATGTATTTAGTTTCTTTTTTAAAAATTAAAAAAGTATTTAATTCTAATGATTATTTTTGAAAAATAATTGAATATATATATATATTAAAAAAAATTAATAAACAAAATAAAAGTATAATAAATATGATTATTTTATATAATTTACAATTGATTTCAATTTTAAAAATCATTGTCAGAGATATAACTTGATAAGTTTGTAAATAACCAAATTTATAATACACCAGGCTTTTATTATTTATATATTTATGACTTATTGTCATATTATTTTTATCCATGCTTCTCAGTATGCTAAGTCAGTTGTCTCCATCCCTTATTTCCAGAGGCTTGAGGTTCTCCCTGACTTGATCAATTCACCAATGTCTTGATCTCTCTCTCAGTCTCTATCTGGTTTCCATGTTGTGATCTCGCATAATTGTTGGTCCTCTACTCTTTAGACATGTCTGGCCCAGTTTATCGGTCTGTTTTTGAGAATTCCTACCATATCTGGCTCATTAAATATTTCTTTCTGCTCAGTATTAATTGTTCATCGGTTTTCTATTATTTAAAAATGTTTTGACATTAATATATGTTATAAAACTAATTACTTATTAAACATTAAATTATAAAAATACATAGACCTGCGTTGTTAACAAGAACTCTTAGTTTTGTTTTTGGATCACACATTTATGTGCCTTAGACTTTAACACAATTTTAGATACCTTAAACTGGACTTTAGTGGCAATCCATAGAGAATAACTGAAATCAGCGATTATTAATATTATCAAGGCTGTGCGGCAGTCGGAAAAATGGTTGAAGTCTGGCTCTTGGGTTCAAAAATATCCAAAAACCATAAATAGGTTATTAGTAGTTAAATTTTCGATTTTTGAATTTTCCAACCACCCTTGCGTGGTTCTGTATGGTTTTTCAGCTGTATGATCACTGATTTTATTTTACGTGATAATTTGTAACAAAGAGGCTTATTATATATAGTTTACATAGTTTATTTCATTATGTATTATGCATCTGTATTTTAATTTAATATTCTACATTATTTTATATGATGTGAAAGGAAACCTAGCATATTATTGTGGGAAATTGGAAAATGGATATTCTGACTGCATAATGAGAATGAGGTAAGGGAGGGGAAGAGAAAATATAGGAATGGTTTCGCGATATTTTTTTTTTTTTAACCCAAGAGCCAGACTTCAACCTGAAAAATTGTGCACATGTAGAGATAATACCCATATTTTTTATTTATTTATTTTATTAATTTATATAATTTTTGTTATACTATTGAACGAATTGAGAAAGAATAGCTTTTAGTTAATTATGGGAAACCTTCAGGTTTGAGGGAGCCGTGTCCACTCGCCTAGGCTTAAGTGGTTTAAAATAATATTGGTTAGACGACGTTTAGTAATATAATATTGTATCGTCTGTCAACATTCCTCGCGAAATTCAAAATAATTATTTTTAAAATATTTAATAAATAATAACTTATGTTATCATGGAAAAAGGTTTGGCAGTTTTTAATCTATGCTAGTCTATGCTAATCTATGATAGTCTTAGATCATAACACAGATATATATATTTATAATTATATATTAATTGTTATCTGTGGATCATAATATCATGGGTACAGCGTACTGTATCAATGGTATCAGATATAACCGTGGATCATATACATAATATATGATTTAGGATAAAATAATAAATAATGCTTATCAATAATAAAAAAAGTCATGATTATTATTTATTTCGATCACACAAAGAAGACAACGTCAATTATTGAATATTGATTAGTTGACTAATTAATGTGACATTAAGTATACAATTATAAAAACTTAGCATAATGTCATTGTCTCGGTTAATGTGTATAAATTAATTTTAAAAAGTTATAATTTGAATCATAATGTGCCTTTTTTGACATAGGTGTACTCCTTATTACGTTGCTGCAACACAATCATTGTATTTTATACAGTAGGTACATATTAAAATTTATTATTTTTATTTACCTAAGTAATATTTATTCTTGTGATTTAAAGTCAATTCATTTTTTTTAGATACTTCAAGCAATTTCTGTCAAACATGTTTAAAATACTGGATTTTATATCTTATTGGTATATGCGTTACTTATTTGTCACCGAATTGTATTTAGTAGAAAAATGGGAAAGACATATGATACGTATCCTTTTTTAGTATATTTTTACCATCTTTTTTTAAAATTAAGTTAATTATAATATATTTATCTACTAACATAACCTATAGCTTTATTAATTAACTACAGTTAGATATTTTATGTAGGTAGATACTGTGTCTAGTTTTTTTTTCATCTCATACTCAAATATTATTTTTGATTTTATTAAAATTTAGGTACTATAATTTATTATTGTTAAATTAGTAACTGATCATTATTTCTGTATGTTCATCTGTTAATTGTCACAAGTACCTACATATTTTTGTATACAGAGAATTATAACATGAGGTCATGATATAATTATTATGGTTTTTGTCCCGAACAATTTGACAAACTGAAAAATTGTTTACTTAATTTTATAATAATATAAATATTTTTTTGATAATTTAAAAAAAATCAATTTTAGAAGGCCACATTCCCTATTCTATAAAATGTAAATGTATACACATTTTTGTACACAGAGTGAACATGACACACTATTTGAGTTCAACTTACTCATAAATGAAGTGACAACGGTGTGTACTATTTTTTGTACTCTTAGCATTAAATGCATTACAAGATCACTGTGATAGTAAACAGATTAAGGTAATTCTTCCTTTTTTTTTCTATGTGATTAACAATTACATTTGTTACCATAGTTTTACCATGGTTATTTGTTTGTTTAATAGCTTAATAGCTTTATGAATACTTAACCTTATGAAACCAAACAATTCAAATTGATTAGTTTATTATTGAGTCTTCTTCTTTTGCCTTCATCTCAACTATTTAGGGTTGGCCATCCACGTCCTAAACTTCCATTTGACCTGATTCCCCACATCATTCTCAATTATATTTAATCACTCAATCACCTTGTCTTCTCAGTTTATTATTAAATATGACATAAAAAAATTTAAATTATTTTAAATTTTTACTGTTATTGTTTAAATTGTAGAAAATACATTTTCCTTAATTAGCCATTTATAGATGTCTTAATATTGGTGTTGTTTATTGGATTTTGGTACATTAATAATATATGTATACAATTTGTAACCAATTGTATTACCTAATGTATAAGATATCATGTTTATAATAATATTGATGAAATAATTTGGAAATCTTGGAAATATAAGTTGTATTAAGTTATATCAAAGACAAAATTATTTTTCATGTAAATAGCGATTATTTATTTGTTATAATTATACAACAAAAAAACTTAAATAAAAAAAAAACAAATTATTTTTACTATTGTAATATAATATTGCATAATGATTTAAAAAGATAAGCAATATCCTAGTATTCTAAAATTAAAATACTTATAACTAATAAGTAATAACAATATAACAAAAAATGATTGGTTTAAATATTATAAATAGGAATGTCATGATAGTATTGTTGTATTAAGCAAAATATAACAATTATATTGTGTAGTATGTGCAAATATTTTAAAATAATGTGATTAATTTATAAAGATTTGACTATGATAATTTATTCACCTAAAATAAGGTCTTACCAAAAACTATTTTAAAAAGAGTAAAATTTAATTTAGCAGTAATTTAAATTTATATAATAAAAACTTAATGAATACAACAAATTATTATCGCTAATTTAATGATGAATTAATAAACTATATTAACTTCAAATACTATTAGAATTTAGAATAATTTTGTAATCTATAATTTCAAAATATTTGGCATAATGTAAAATAAAGTAAATGTAATAGATACATAATAAGCATTTCATTTTTAAATTTATAAAACTGCAAATAATCTTAGTATTTCTATGCAGTTTAGTATATTTTATAGAATAAGAATATTTTTAAGTCAATAATGGTGTTTATTATAATATATTTCTGGTACTGCTAACCTAGTTAACGTGTTCTAATGGTTTAAAAATTGCATAAAATCTTAATGTTATATTGTTAAAATAAAAAATAGTTCTAAGTAAATGAACTAAGTTTTATTTATATTAATAAGACATGCGTGTAACGTGCTTTAAATCTTCAATATCGACTAACATTGAATCTTTGGCCATATGTAATTCATCTCTTTCTAATAGCAAATTCACCAGACTTTCATTCAGATCTGAAACAATAAATATCATAGATTTCTTCACTTGTATATATAAATAACATTTAATATCACTTACATTCAATATAAGAATGCAGATCATTAACAATTACTTGAAGCTGTGCCAAATTTAATCTCATTAAAAAGTGTCTGCTGACACGTCTTCTGTCATTGTCTAACTTTACTCCAACCTAAACAAAAATATAAATCATTATAATCTAATAATTTACTTAGGTATTTTAAAATAACTCACTTTTGAAAGGCTTTCTTTAATTACAGCTGAAATCACACAAATTCGTTGATCTGAAATCATATGTGCCCTTGCACGGATTTTAGCCATGTTTAGACCTTGTTTTAGCTCAGCCTACAAATTATTATTACAATTGCTATAAAATGTTGAGTAATATACTAATATAAGAATATAAAAATTATTTTCCTACAGCAGACTTCATTTTCCCATCTTCAGCTGAAATATCACATTCGTTTATCGGCAACTCTGTATCAGAAGATTGTTCGTTCATAAAACATAACTGGAGATTTGACCCTGTAACATTAAATTATGATCAAAATATACCAGCTAAATTAAATTCTTCTATAACTAGACAAATAAATTGATTAAATTCAAATGTGAAGTCTTATTAATTTAATGAAATAATTAATTTCCTAAATCTTGTTTGTTAAAATTGTACCGTTTTGCAATCTATATTCTAAACTAGACTTTTTTGTGGACTTCCTTGTGTTATGGTAATCATCTACCAAACGTTTCCGAATTTCTTCACGGTCATTCTTTTTCTGAAACAAATTATCAAACTTTATCACTCACTAATCTGAATGTTTTGAAACTTATATACCTATAAAAGTATAAGTATTTACTGAATAAATTATTGACGCATAAATAAACAGTACCTAATTTAATCAACAAAAACCAAATATTTATGTTCAAATGTAAAAAATATTTGTAAATACAAATTACAATATACAAAGAAGTACAAAACTAGACGGACACATTATTATGACTAATCAAAAAAAAACAAACATTTTGGTTAAACATAATATTATTACCAACCATTTTGTATGTTTCTGTGTCTAAAGAATGATCAAAATTGCTATTGTCGACCCCAAACTCATTGATCATAGACATGTTAGTAAATTTGTGAATAAAGTCGTTATCGTCATTATTAAAGCTGGCTGGATTTTGATATATGAAACACCCTTTTTGCAATTGAAAGCATTTGCTACTGTTCGGATGCAAAGTATTGTCGTGTCCAAATAATACACGTTTGGGTACTTGTGTTTTCGGATATTCCGTGTCATGCAACAGTGATTCTTTCAAGGCTATACCATTGAAATAAACATTTTCTTTAATATAACGGCTGTTCGCGGCATTGGACTTTCCGTATTTTGGCCGTAGTTTTTCTCTGAACGTAGCGACCAACGATGAATGATCGGACATGGTACGCGAGTTAAGCAATTTAATCGTACGGTTCTAACACCACTTTAATGATTTCATTTTTAAGGGTTTTAATAAAACATATTATAATTATTTTAAGACCGATTAGAGGTTCTGTTTAAATTATTTTTATTATTTTTAAATGTTGAGACTCTTAGAGTTGTCTATGCTCCTGTCGCCGGACGTCTGACGGGCGACATACACAAACGCAAAACGCTAGCAATTATAATTTAGAACTCGACCGTCTTATCAGTCACCTATCGACTATCATTCATTCGATTTTTTTTTTATTTCATTACTTCATAGTAGTAAATTCCAAATTGGACGAAAAAAAACTCGAATAAAAAAATTGAAATAATGAACGGCTATTCAATAATTTAACTCCTTAGCATTTCGATACTTTGGAGATTATAAAATAAGTATTTACAAAATAACAAGTACCTACCCTCTCAATTCAGCTGTCGCCCCGTTGGGCAGATACCGCCGCTAGCAGCAGCTGCTACGGGAAAATAAATTTTACATTGACCTATTTTTTAATGAAATCCCACGTAGTCATATTCTACATAATATCGATTACGGGGGTGTTTTCGTGAATACTTGTGACAATTTATAATGGATTGCTTGATAATATATTGGGTTTGACTGTTACTTAATTGCGAAATTTGACATATTGATCCAATATGAGCTGTACAAACAGACCAATATAAACGATGGTTTACATAACTATGCATTTTATTTAAAACTAAGTTATGAATATATTTCGATCTAGTTTCGTTGATAATATTCAAACGAATTATTGTTCGTATATGAATTAGAGGACATTTTTTTTTTTTTTAATGTTTATTAACCATTTTTTACTTGAAATTTTGCTCCTATCAAAAAATGACAATAGACTTTATTTGTTGAATTTTGGAGGTCTTTTTTTGATAAATTGTTTGCATAATATATTATATTATATTTGTTTATTTATAACCAAATAATACATGTTTAAATAAGAAAATTACTATCAAACGTATCTTGATTACACATCATTCATTGGAAAGCATTTGCTTGTATCTAATAAGCTTGATGAGCTCATGAAAACAAAATTTAAATTTAGAGTAGGTAGTCAATAGATATATAATTGTGTAATAGCATAATGTACAATATTTATTATATAGATGTGCACTCGATGAAAATTTCTTAAGTTCATAATTTTAGATTTCGGGCGTAGCGAGGGAGCTATTGGTTTTATTAAGATGTTTACTTTTTTTTCTGCCAATCTGTGGAGACGTTTTTTCTTAGTAAGCTTGCTCCTTTGGATCACCTTTTCTGAGAGCTCAAGTTGTCTAGATAAAGTGGGAAAAGACGTAGGAAAACATACAATTTTACGATTTCATTATTTTATAAAAACGGACGACGTTTTCTACCAGAACAAACGATTTAATCGAAAAATCACAAGTACCTATTTGATTTACTTTTTACGGTAACACCGCCAAAACTTTTGAGCTTTTAAGGAATTTTAATTTTTGGGAGTGTTTTTGCTGTAATTCGGTTATAAATACACGTAAAGACTTAAAACTTGATAATAATACTTATATTAAACTTACCTAGACGTGGTAAAATTTCCAAAATTATCGGACGACTTTTTTTTTTTTTTAATTAGCGTTTTGAAATCAAATTGAAACGAAAATCGCAAAAAATAAATACGGCACTTCAAATTATGTACTACCGAACTGCGCTTGGAATCGTCTTTCGTCAAACAATGATTTATCGTTGCTTACCGATATAAATGAAATAACCTTATGTATCCTATCTTCCCAACTTCTCACCTACAACAGTGGCCGCTCCCATCCCCAGTATCAGCTTTTTGTTTTTACCTATTACATATATATGCTTTCAAAACTTAACACACTGATGTGTTTAAACTGATAGAGCAGAAGTAGTAAATATTTTTTAAAGATTTGATTTAATTTTGAATTTTTAGAGTACCTACTATAAATTCAGATTTATATAAAATAAAGGTTATTCATTTCTTTAATAGTTTTTTTAAAAAAAATACCTATGTGACTATTATAGGTATAATACCAAAATTCAATTTCAAACATTAATATAGACTGTACAATGGATAAATAAATTATACGTTTCAATGGAATATTATTTCAATGGTATATCAATTATCTTTGAAGATATAATGTAAAATAATTTTCACTACTTTAGTCAAATAGGTAATTATTATGAATATTCCATTTTAGTTTATCATAATATAGTCCAAGATATTTAATAATTTAATATTCGGGTACCTTTTCTAAACAAAAATATTTCAAGCTACTGTTTCCACAATTATAAGTTGATGAATGCACATATAATTTATAATCAATATTAGGTAGATATAGGTATTAAATCTATTATTTTGTACATATATTTAGTATTCTTTAAACTTAATTGCAGTAAATTACTGTCAAACCATAGTTTAACACTATTTACCACTAAGTTAGGATTTATTAGAAATTAACAAGGTTTTGTCGTCTACAAAATATACTATTTTTGCATTTATTTCTGAATTAAGTAAACTGTGAAAATGATAAAACTACAGAGGTCCTAAAACTGTAGGTACCTTGTGGTACACTGTGGATAATGTTTAAATAGGATTACTGTAATTATTACCTATACATTTTAACACTGTGCTGATTAAGTTTTTTTAATAGGTCATAATAGGTATGGTTTATCGCGTTAAAAGAATTTTTTTTACATACCTGATAACTTTTTTATATTCTATTTTTCACTTGTAAATAGTAATATTTGTAACACCAAAATTATATTTCGAAATATATTTATAAAATATTTATCTTGGTTATTATAAAAATAAATTTTGCTTTTAGTTTTAAAAATAATATAAATAGAGGCACTATAACTCAAGGTTCTAGAAGTATAAATGTTTACAAAAAAAAGAAAAACTTAAAAATATTGAACAGAAAGAACAAAGGTTAATTCAGGTGTCAAATCGTTGTTTCTCCCTGTTCATCGATATTTTCAAATTGATTAATTTTTATTTGGAACTTCGAAAAACACGCATTATATAATTTAAATAACTTTTATGCTTAGTCCACTTAAAATACCTACTTCTAGTAATTATAGATACCTACTGATAAAAATAGTTCATAATAATTTTTAAAAATTATGCAATACTAAAACTATTTAAATTGCACATTTTGTTTTATCATATAAGCTCCACTGCAGTTGTTAACCTTATTAAACTTTGTAGGATGCAGACTCTGTTAAAAAATAATAATTATGTTTCGTATATGTATATAGCACAACGGGAGAATTAAAAAATGGGTAGGTACCTGTAAAAACTTACAAATCTGAAATCCAGAGTTTTATATTGATATCGAATCGGAACTATACGAAACACCCTGAGATATCCATATATAGGTAATATCCTGGATTCTAGGTTTGTACATTCCTTAATTAATTTCTTTTTAGACTTATAGGTACACATTATATTATTGCTGAAACCTGCACCATTATTGAGACAAAAAAAGAAAGTTATTTATTTATAAAAGAAAAATTAGATAATATCAAATACAAATTATGTTTTATTTTATACATTTGTCGATGTTGTTTTGCCATTCACTTTCCACGTTAGTGTTTTTAAAAACAAAAACCGGATGCACGTATAATATATAGGTACGGGTACCTACGGTAGGTACCTACGTATTTGCATAAACCTAAATCGCATAGGGTAATACCTTAATACAATAATACCTATGTCATAATTATTGGAACAGATATATAAAAATTTGCAAAAATATACACTTACAATGTTGTTCATAACACCGTGACAATCGAGACTCTCGTGCGAGTCGTAAGTCAACGTGTATAAGTCCATCACAAATCTCGAATCTTTTTTGTAGTGTCTTTGATCGTACCGGAAATTCGACGGGTTCGCGAACCATGGATTTACGAGCATACTCGTGGCCATTTAAACAAAGAACAGGCGATATTATGGAAATCTATGTAAAATGTGAAACTTCTTGAAGAAATAAACTCCAATAAATTTATCTACGTAAACAAAAAACAGTAAATGTATTTTACACACAGTTCCTATTGAACACAACAATATACCGTTGAATGTCTTAACGTTACGATGATTTGTATCGCACTAAAAGTGTGTACCTACCTATCTACAACGATACACTGGTATCTGTTGCTAATAAAGTGAAAGCGTGAATAACAAATAACTTTATATAAAAAATAAAATAAAACGACCAGAACTAATTGACGTGTCCTTCTAGAATATAGTTGCCGCTGCATATAGGTGGCAATGTAAAATAATAATAATAATTGCATAATTATAAGTGGTGAGAGAAAAAAATGTAAGATACCTATAATATTGCTATACCTATGCCTAACTATAATAAGTAGGCACTGATTTTAAAATATACTAAAATGTATTATATTATTGTCTGTAAACTGTATTATATATTCTTAAATGTATACATTAAAATTATATACTATGACATAATATAATGACAATTTGTGTAACCCATTGTGTTATGCCCAACATGCAACCTATGGTGTAGGTATTCCATACACCAAGGTCCAAGGGGTCTTATTATTTTTAAAATTTTATTTTATTTATGTACCTATTGTATACAAATAGGTAAGTTTTTGGCTTCAGGGGCAGATTGGGTAGGTTACGGGCTAGTAGGTGGATTTATAACTTTGTGCCACCTTTACCAAAAATTAATATAAATAATAAATATTGTAAAATTAATATTTTTTGTTTTAATGAAATATTATTATGAGAACGTAGTCCAACTTTTAAATTTCCAATAGCAACCTATAGTAAAAATTACACGAACAAAATAGAATATAAGTTTAAAATAAATATTAGTGTTAACATTTTTGATTGAATAATAATAATTTATGTCAACCCATAACCGAGATTTTCCAATTTTAAGTTTGAATTTGATTATTGGAAAATTATTAAAACAACGGGTCACAAAATGATGCTCTAACAATTTTTCTCTATTCAAACTTAATAATGAAATATAATAACGGGTTAATAAAAGTCAATCACTTTAACACCAAAATTTATTTAAAATAATACTCCATGTATTCATGTCATTTTAACTATAGGTTGCCATTGGAAAATTAAAATCTACCTAGTCGTTTCATTCCCAAAAATAATTTAAAGTTGCTTGTTTCTTAAGTCATCAAACAATTTTTGATTAACTTCTATAATATTTGATTAATAAGTGTAGATAATAAAAAAAATCACTTTGTATTTTATATTTTAACATTGACAATATTATAATAAATAATATTGATGTATAGTAATAATTGATTGATATAATATGATTTATAAGCTATGGAAAAATATAAAAAGAGTACAGAAAGTTATTTACAGAGTAGGTATGTTGATAGTTAACTATTGTTATCCATTACAATAATGAAAATAATTAAATCTTCATTTTTTTTATTGTCTTTTTTGGAGGGGTTTTGGGGGTAAAATTTTTAAATTCAAATGAGAACCTATATTCAAAATTTTAAAGAGATATTTCACCTTTTGGTGAAACATTTTTCTTTGATGGAGTCATGATCCCCTTAAATCATGGATCAATGTAGTCTGGTTCCCCAAGTTGGGGATTAAGCGCAGGGCTAACAACCTTGCCTTGTAAAACAACAAATGTTCAGAACTCAAACATCAAGCCTCGGACTAGAGAGAATGGAACGGGAAAACGATTTATTTATGGAATTTTGAATACAGGTTTTCACTTGAATTTCAAAAGTCGATTCACGAAATCCCTCAAAAAAGACAGTAAAAATAAATGTATACATTTTTTTAGATGCTTATAAATCAAAATTTTTTGTATTTTACATTTTACTCTAATTTTAGATTCTAAGCGGAGAAACATTGATGTTTATTAATTATGTTTTTATTAATTTTTTTTATTTCTTTTACCTGCAAACAACTTTTCTATCAGAGTTTTACTACGATTTTCAAGTATAGCACATTTACTGAAAGAAAATTTTACTGGGGCGGTCTTTTTTTAATTTACCCAGGAGTTTTTATAGTCAATTTGAAAAACCGGGGAAAACGGAAAATTTACGAAATGTACAGAGGTGGCCAAAAGTCACGCAACAAATTTGCAACACAGTTTTTATAAAACTGTTGTGTTTTATGTTAAATATGTTGTTTTTTATAAACTTTGCTGTTGTTTGACGTAACGGAAACGACGTGGAGGGAGAAACTGCGCCGTAATGCGCGTTCCATACAAGACGGTAGGCGTTGCGCGACTTTTGGCCACCTCTGTATTATTTTCAAATAGTAAATATTACGGCCTTTTAAACTTTTGTTTTCTATAGTTAATCGCTGTGTACAGATAAACATTAAATTTCTCCTCTACCTTCCCAACTTTTCACCTAAAACAAAGGCCCACCCATCATGCAAAGTATGTCCGTTTGTTTTTGTACGCTGTGTCTAGAGCACCGGGCGCTAGATAATGGGGTACCGGACGGGGTAATCGTGATATCTGTGGATATTGTTACAATATTTTTGTACTTCAAAATTTTTTGTTGTTTTACGCGTTGTTGTGCAAAATAACGTTGGGTGTGTAAAAGAAAAAACATTTTTTCAATGTTTTTTTTTGTTTTAAAAATAAAACGTTTTCCCCTGTTATTTATCCGACATGCTTTGCACAAAATAACAAGGGATATTACTGTAAAAAAAAATCACGATTGCCTTGTTCGTTTCTTCTTGCACATGTCTAGACTATTACGTACAAATAATTGTAGTTTGCTTTATTTAAAAATTAATGAACCATTTTATAAAATGTTAAAGCAAATTCTATACTTAATTTTAATGTCATTTAAATTCAACATAAACAAAATATGTTTATTCTCAACATTAAACAATAGTACCTACTTATAAAATTATATGCAGAATATAAACTTAAATTTATTTGTCTCATAAAATATTTTACGGCCGAGTACAAAAAAAACCTCATTAACAGTTAAATGGACTTTGAAAAAGACATGGGTGAGATACTATTGTAGGTGAGTAGTTGGGAAGGTAGTGAAAAAGAAATTGAATGTATATCTGTACGCAACGATAACGAAAAAACGATTCTGAGAGGAGTTCGGTTGGTAGTGTTGTTTATATTATATGTCATATTATGGTAAAATAATTACATATGCATTATATATATACTTTAATGTTTGTTTAATATTGTACCGTTTTTCCCGTGTTTCCCCCCCCCCTTATACTCCCGAAAATCAAAAAATGACCTATTCAAAGTATCACCCTAGTTAGATTTCTTTCAGAAAAAGTGTTATTGTAAATTGGAACAAAATTGCTGGTACGAAAATTGTCTATAGAAAAAAAATAACCATCATTGTAAAACCAATATATTCCTCACTTCACTCAGAATCTATAATATAAATGTTCACAAAAATATCTTATCTAGATAATATAATAAAAATATATTACTAATATTTCATTTTCGGATGATTGTCGATAGCCCTAACGCCCCCAATTATTTTATCACTCTTTTAGAATTTTATTTTGCTTTGAGGTTCATAAATTCTAATACTAATCATAAATTATTTTCTGGTGTGATCTTTCTTTGACTTAGAGATATCTATAAAATATTCTCGTAATTTCATGGTTATAACTTCATTAATTTATTTGATCTTCAATATTTAAAAAATTTCTGAAGCTTTTAAATAATTACTAGCTTTAGAGTCTTTGCACACTTTACTTAAAACATTTGAATATTTATTTGTTTATATTATTACATTTTATTGTTATATTTTGTATTCTTTTTAAATAAAAATATAAATAACCATATTTTAAATTCTTAAAACATTATAATTTAATATTTATTATAACTCGTATAAAATAAAATATGTTCAAATGTACTTACGATGTTGTATGTTCATTAAGATATGTTGTTTTTTTCTTTTTTGTGTTCTATCATGCACGCACAACAAAGTTTAATATCCTAATAATATTTCAAAGTTATAAAAAATAAAAATAAATATGTAAACATTGGTTATAATTTAAAAATAATAATTCAGTTAGGTAGTAAGGTATATATAAGCTAATATAGATGGGTTAAAATTTGTAATAATATATCAGTGTACATAACCTTGAATTGACTAATATAATAATAAAATGGTCCATTGCACCAAGTATAAAGCAATTTCAATTTACAATTTCAGCCTATTATGTTTTTGCCTCACATTATCTTCCAGAGCTACGATATATAGCGATTTTTGTATTCATAGTAAATATATTAATTATTTTTATTAAAAGAATGTCAATATTAACAGAAACACAATGATTTACCTAATGCGAGAAAGAGAACAAATACAATTTGGTTATTAAAATATGATTTCCAATGATCTATTAAAATATTATAGCGTTAATTAATAACTAAATATTAATAATAATAATAACTTTATTAAACGTGTATGTATATAAGTATTATAAGTGATGGGTCGTTACAATAGTACTTACTCGTTCCAACGTAACGAGTACCTATAATATTAGTATAGGTTAGTGGTATATAAAATTATAGTACCACAATAAATACATCAGTACCATCGGTAAATTATATTATCGGTATTATGTATAGATAATATGTAGTTTTTGATTCATCATAACATTTCCTTCTTGAAAGTTTTTTTCTTTTTGAAATACATTTCCTTGGAAAATCTCCCTCAATATTTATTAGACCTTCATCAAAAAACACATATATATATATAAATTTAATACATAACTATTATTTCTTTTTTTCTAGTCATAATCAGTGGCGTAGCCAGGGGCGGTCAGATGGCCCATGGCTCCTCCATAGATGTATTTTTTATTCTTTTTATTGATTTTATATCAGTACATACACATAAATAAGTATATAATATTATATCTATGAGTACATAAGAAGTAAGTACCTATGATAATATGAATATAATATAATGTAATTAATATAATACTATATCGATAGAAATTATATTTTTGTTATCTATAGCCTTGGCATTAAGGTTACATAAAGGTGATTTTGATAAAAATAGTAATTACAACAAAAGTAGTCAAAAAAACAAAAAAACAAAAATTGAAAAACTTTGTGAAACACGAAAGGTCGATCGACATGATTTACTTATTATTTTCAAAGAACTTTACTTCTATATAATTGCTACTATAGAACATCTTGAAAAATATGATACAAATCCTGAAACCTCAACCAAAGCGTCGTTATATGTGAGTGCTATAAACAAGAGTGATTTTCTTGTTTCTCTTGAAGTAGCTGTTACTTGGTTCTCATATACTAAATAAATAAGTCAAGTACTACAAAGCAAATATCAAGACTTATTTAAAGCTTTAAATGATGTAATGATTTTTAGAGAAGCTTTAGAAACCATTCGATCAGATGATGAAAAATGTTTTTAGGAAATAATGAAAAATATAATCAGAATAGCTTTTGAACTATAAATGTTTAAATATGGATGCCTCAAACTTGTGGGAGAAAACTGCCTGAAACAATATAAATGCCAAAGACGCAAAGGAATAATATAAAGTAGTAATATTTATGCCATTTCTTGATAATCTAATTACTCAGTTATATTCAAGGTTTGATAAAAGACTAGAAACAACTAGAAAGACACTAGAAGGACTCATACTATTTAATTTGATACATTATGACGACCAATCAATATTAGCTGCTTTTATTTACGAAAATGACTTTTTAATTAGTATGAAATCAGTGTTATTCATATGGAGAAAATAATGACAATTGAAAGAAAATTTACCACAGACTGTTGTAAAAGCAATTTAACATTGCACAAAGCTTTTTCTAAATATACAGAAGATTGTTCATTTATTTGCTACTCTGCTTGTAACATCCGCTACCCTGAAACGTATATTTTCTATTTTAAAAAAACTGAAAAAATACTTACAAACTACAATGAATGAAGACAGGTTGAATGATTTGGTATTACCAACAATAAATAAAGACGAATTAGAATATGAAAACATCGAAAAAGAAATATTGAATGCTTTATTAAAAAATCCCCTAGGAGAATGAAAATTACAGATTGGACACAAAAATAATATTATATTATAAACCATAAGAAATAAGTTACTCATTAATAATATTTACCTTAGAATTATTTAAGTTGTTTGCAATAAATTATTATAAATGAAAAATTGTTAAATATTTTATTCATTTCAGCAGTATGTATTTTGTATTTTATTTGGTAATATAATAAGTTTACAACTTAGTGAAAATAATACAAATTAATTTTGTATAAGGTTTTTTATTGCCCCCTCCATTGAGAAACCCTAGCTACACCACTGGCCATTCAAGGACGAATAATAGATCCACAAATATTACAGTATACCAGGTGATTCATTTATATATGTACAACCATTGTCTCAGAAAATATTAACTTTTTCCGGAATTTGCTTTCTAGAAAATTTAAAAAACGAGCAGCTCTACATTTTTATATTTATGTTATTTTTTGTCACTATTTTTGGGGGTATTTTAACTAATACTTATGGACTTTTTAATATAGGTTGAAAATCAAAAATAGGCAGTGGTTTTACCCACAAAAATAAGAGTGATGAAAAAATAAAATACATATAAAAATGTAGAACTGCTTGTTTCTTAAATGTTCTAGAAAAAAAATTCCGGAAAAAGTTAATACTTTCCGAAATAATGAGTATACTTACATAGACCACCTGGTACTGCAGTGTAATAAGTCCAATACTTTAATTTATTATCTATAAATATTTACGACACACGTCTTAAGACGAGTTAAAAATATTTTTTAAAAACAACTATGGCCGATGGCTTATATACAGGGAGTCCCACGAAGAGACATCCATATGCAAATTTGTGACACAAAATAATATGACCGGGTTGCTAAGCAAAAATTTAGAGAATTCTGCCAAATACACCTAAAAGTCTTTTTTTTTAGCTAATTAAAATTTTTCATATGAATGTATCTAATTAATAGGAACGCCGTTTTTAGCTACTGTACTGCGTATTCTTCAGTGGTGGCTCGTGGTGTTAAAAGTAGATGATTCACAAAATAATAATTAATAAACATTGTTAGAATAAACAGAAATGATTAAAATTGTACAGGTTTTATTATACCTAAGTTTTACTTAGTGGTCAGCAAGAAAAAGTTGAGTTTAATGTACCTACTTTTTATTTATTTTTTTTTTATACGAATTTTAATAAACAATTTTAACGAAAATCGTAATAGCGGACTTTAATAAAACACGTTTAACCGAACTCCAATTAGAATCGTTTTTCGTAAACAATGGTTAATTGTTGCCTACAAATATACATTAAATTCCTCTCAACCTTTCAAACTTCACATTTATTTCAGTGGCCCACTCATCGTTTGTCCGATTTTTTTTCATTAAACCCTCTAACGCTAATTATTTACAAGATTAAGATTGTGGCTGTGATAAAACAGATAACGTCCCGGTATAAATGGATAATAATTAAGTGCTATAATCGACTGTATTTTTAACGACGCAGCAGTAACGTTAGCCAACAGAAGCGATGGTTATGGTGAAATCTCCGCCGAGAAACGCGCAGGCGCATAATATTCGTAATTTTTATGTGCGTCTGCGTGTGTAAATTTGTGTACACATTTAACGTAGGTACCGGAGATTGTGTATTTAATTACAATTCCAAACAATATGCTATCATGAATTTTATATGGGTAGAAAATAACATAATAATAACAGAAAAAAAATTAAACATTTCTATTTGGTTTTGAGAATGTCGTATCAGTTACACACAATTCTAGATTAGAATATAAAATCGTAGGTCAAATTAACTATAACAAGGATTATATACTGAACTTGAATCCCGACTAATAAGCTATACGAAAAAAACAATTGTATTATTTATTTATGAGGTACCTATCTATAAAATAATTTCTAAGAAATTTATTTATTTTACAATCCAGCAGTTCTCAAACTGTGCTCCGCGGAACACCAGGGATCCGCGAGAGTAGTTTAGGGGCTCCATGGTTCCGTGAGCACATTTGTATTAATTAATTCAAATTATTATTATATTTCTTAGCTTCGCGAATTAAAGAATCAACAAAAAATAGTAGTAATAGCCATTGCATTCTTCATTGTCAAGCACTCGCTATTAAAAAGATTCCTATTAAAAATGTCCTTGATGAGGCAGTGGAGATTATAAATTTCGTAAAACCTCAACCATTGAGCACAAGACTGTTCACAATTTTATGCGAAGATATGGGAAGTATTCATAAATCACTACTTTACCATACCGAAGTAAGATCGCTTTCTCGAGGAAAAACACATGCACGCTTACTTGAATTGCACAATGAATTGTACGTTGTTTTTTTTTACCGAACACTTATTTAATTTACAACTCAAACTTACTGATCAAATTTGGTTATTTTGACGTAGTTACTTGGTTGATATTTTCACAAAATTAAATGAAATAAATTTATCAATAAAAAGTAAAATGACCAAAAACTGCAAATAACAAAATCCGAGCTTTAAATAAAAAAATTAAATTTTGGGCTGTGTTTTTCTCAACATAAAATTGATAGTTTTGCTTTGTTAAAAAAATATTTAGAATCGATTGATGGTAATGTTGAAGAAATTGATGAAATATATGACGAAATTAAACAACATTTAAATTGAATACTATCGTCATTAAAAAAATATTTTGGTGCAGTAGCAGTATAATTAACGAATATCAATCTCTGGCTAAAAATGCTGTACTAGCACTTCTTCCTTTTGAACAACATATCTGTGTGAAACCGGATTTTTATCATATGTATCAACGAAAACAAAATATCGCAATAAATAAATGCTGAAGCAGATATAGGCATCCAACTCTATCAAGCCAAATATTAAAACACTGGTTAACGAAAACAGCCAACACCATGGATCATATTATAATCATTAAGTATTAAAATCCATAAATTAATAAAATAATATGTTCTTTTTTCTTATAAAATTAATTAAATAACTTGCATATATTTTTATTTTAAAGAAAAATAAACTAAAAAGCAAATTATTTACAATTCACATTGTTTTTTTTGAATTATTGTTGTCTCAAATAAAAATGATTTTTGGGCTCCGTAGACTGTTTAGGAAAATAAGGGTTCCACGAACAAAAAAGTTTGAGAACCACTGTTATTACCAATATCAATACTTATATAATAACATATTTTTTTTAGGTAGATGCTGATATAATATTATTAATTATTTTTCATTATTATTTTGCTACATAATAAAATAAAATGTACTTATAGTGTTTTATTGTTCTTTAATGGTGTCTTATTTCTTTAAAATATTAATTTAAATTCAAATTATTTTTCTTTCAAAATAATAAGTAAGTAGTCTATTTTTAAATGAGATATTTAATACATATTGCTTATGCTTAAAAGTAAACTTATATATTATATTATATAAGTAAGTATAGTTTATAGTACTTAAACTAATTATTTCTTCTTTTTCTTTTATGAACAACTTTTCTACCAGAAATTATGTTCCGATTTTCATGTGTGGCTATTTTTCTGAAAGGAAATCTGCCTGGGGTGGTACTTCTTTGAATTTTAAAAAAAATGTTTGAATTTTCCAGGAATTTTTATAATAAATTCGAAAAACTGGAAAAACGGGAAAATTTACGAAATGTATTATTTTCAAATAATAAACATTATGGCCTTTTAAACATGTATAACCGAACTCCGCTCAGATTCGTTTTTAGTTTTCAATGATAAATCGTTGCGTACAAATATACATTTAATTTTTCCTTTACCTTCCCAACTCCTCACCTATAACAGTGGTGCACCCATAATGCGAAGTATGTTCGTTTTTTATGCATAACAATATTAAAAATTTAATTTACTTAACTTAATTTTTTTTTTTTATTGGTATTTATCAGTTATCTATTATTACTCGTGTATTATTGTTTGAATTTATTTGTCATAACTTATAATATAATAGGTATACTTATATTATTGTTTTTATTATTATTAATATTAATTTAAAATGTCTAGTAAGTTTCTTTAACTAAATGCGTAAATTATGAGGGAATAATATTTACTTGTTACAATTGGAGAAATTTTACCCCATCTCCCCTCCCCTCCCCTGAGGTAAAAATTCTCAGTGGTAAAATTCACCCGGGACACCGAGTCAAGTTTTTCGTCGTCTATTTGTTTGTTATTATTTTAAACATATTCTGCATGCTTTTAACATATTTTAAAAGTGTTGAATTTTAAGCACCACAATTATTATGATATATGTGAGTACCTAAATAATTAATTATAATTATTCAACAATTATTCATGTTTGTAATAAAACAAATATCATTTTGGGCATATTTAAGACTATTAATGTCTATTATTTTTTGTATACAGGACTAAATGCAAATACATTTTTTCTTACTTACATAGGTACCTATTTGATTTTATCTGTAAAAAAGTGTAATTTTGGATAATATTAAAAGCAAAATGAAATGTTCTATTTTACTAGTAATTATTTTCATTTCGCATACAATATCAATGGATTATCAATTTCCAAAAGAATTTATGTTTGGTTCTGCAACTGCTGCTTATCAAGTAGAAGGAGGCTGGAATGAAGATGGTAAATAAAGTTATAGTCTTTGATAATTAAATAATAAAATAATATATTATATTGACAAAAAAAAAATTATTACGTTATAATATAATATGTATCCAGATTTTAAATATAAATGTTAGCTGTTAAACTTAAATTATTATGTACTTGTGTATAACTAAACATTTTTAAAATTGCTATTTAATCTAATTATAACATTCACACATGCCTATAAAATGGCATGGTCCCCTAACACAGCAACCGACATTCAAAGAATTGATCGGGTTTAAAATAATTTCTCAGTTTTGTGTGGTATAGGTACTATAAGGATCCCACATTCCCCTCTCTTATAACTATGGAGTATGGACCTATTATGCAGTTTTTAGACATAAACTGTGGACTATTAAATGACCAGATAGACTCCTATGAAGTTTCAATATTCAGATACTAAATAACACCAAACTGTAGAATACCTTTTATTTGACTACCTACTTGTCAAAACTACCTTCTTAAGAAATGCACCCCTATCGAGGATGATGCGAGATTACGATCCTAGTTGAAAGACCGTTGTTATTAAGTCTTTTAGATTCTGAGTTGATTTGATCATTAATTTTTTACAATATTTTGAAGTTTACGATTGTTTAAATTGTTTTCATTACCACTAATAAATAATAACTGCCAATTCAGTATTTACCAATTTGTTTTGAAAAATAAAAGTAAATATTTGTAATACTAATATTTTATTTCAAAATATATTTATAAAATGACTTTTTTGGATGTTGAAGTTAATTGCATACAATTATACAAATATAATTTTTAAATAAATGAAAACTTTTTGTTTTGTGTTTTTAAAAATAAAAATATGGGAATCATAGCAACATAGCACAAGGGTCTGATAGTATAACTACAGGAAAATAAACTTAAATACATTGTACAAAATAAAAGTTATTTCAGATGGGTGTCAGATCTTTGAGTTCTTCCGTGTATATACAATATAATATTTTATTATGTAGATAATTGTTATACTTGTGACTACTGATCAAATTTTAGGAAAAGGAGAAAATATTTGGGATCGTTTGGTTCATACACATCCTGAGTTCATAAAAGATGGTACTAATGGAGATGTTGCTTGCGATTCCTACCATAAATACAAAGAAGACATAGCACTATTAAAAAATTTGAATGTAATGTCAATATATATGTATATAATTAATTTACAGTGAAATCTCTACAAAGCGGACACTCTCGATCACCAACATTTTGTCTGCTATTTAGAGTTGTCCATTATTAAGAGGGGTAAATGTGTAAAATTAAATCATTTATGGTAGGTTATTAAATTATAACGTGAATTATTGAAATATAATAATTAACTAGGGAATGGATTTTATTGTGAATACATATTTTTATTGGAATAAGATATTTTTTTCCTGATAAAAACGTGCATTATTAAAAATTATACTATTTTGATTGAATTAAGTCCATATTTATTTTACATAGTTTTACATATTTGGGAATAAATACATATGTTTACATATTTGGTAAATAAGTACACATTTTTTAAATAAGTACGTATTTTGTAAATAGTTAAGTAATTTTTGTTTCATTCAGATTTTTTCGTCGATTTTCGACAACGACAAGATATCTGCGTTACGGTGCTCATACACTACAGCGGTAGCGGTTTGGGCACCTATACAAATCTGGAATGTACAAACCTTCAATGTACTAATCTGGAACGTATAATTCTTGAAAATACAAACCTGGAAAGTACAAATCATGAATCCATTGTTGTACGGTTATCAAAATTTGAACCATACAAACTTGAAAAATAATTGTCTACTAATCTAGTGATTAGTATCACTAACTACGAATAAAAAAAATCTGAATTTCCATACACTATTATGTATACATCCCATTTTTGCAAATTTTGCCTATGCACTTAATAATAATATCTAATAATTGTTTTGTTTAAAAAAAGATATAGTAGCCGTTCTCTGACACTGATAAGAACTTCTAAGAAGTTAATGTCCCAAGCATCATTAAGATAGGGTTAATATGTTTTTTTTCCTTACAATTTTTAAAAGAATGGCTTTTGGTTGCGAACATTTATGTTTTGGTCCAAAAGTTGATAACACTAGAATAATAGACAATTATTTTTTAAGATTCGTACATTCCAGACTTTTAGATTTTAGGTTTATACAGTACAAATTTCGATAACCGTAAAACCCTGGATTCAAGATTTGTATTTTTAAGAATTGTGCGTTCCAGATTTGTACATTCAAGATTTTTACATGCTCCCAGCGGTTTACTATATATATATAATTTAATATGTATATAAAATAAAAACTGATAAATTTACGGCGTCACAATAATTCCTTTTTTTTTAAATTTTTTACAGCTATTGTTTTTTTACCAGAAATATTACTCCAATAGTAAATTTTGTTTAGAATTAAGATTTATAAATATTTTCACTATTTGGTGATTTCCCCATTGAAATATAGTAAAAATGTCCCTGTTTCCAATATAACCATTCGCTATTAAAAGGTGTCCGTTAGGAGAGTTTCTACTGTACCTACTTATTAAAATTTAAACATAAAGTTAATATATAAATGTATGTATATTTTAATAAGATTAATATTTTTCTAACATAGGTGAAATTTTATCGTTTTTCAATATCGTGGTCACGCATAGCACCAACTGGAGAAATGAATTCGTTGAATCTCAAAGGAATCGCATACTATAATAGTCTAATTGATGAACTTATTGCTAATAATATTTCTCCAATGGCAAGTATAGTTTTATTTAGAAAAAAAAAAAAAAATTAACATTTTATTTAAAATTTATAGGTAACAATGTATCATTGGGATCTTCCACAATACCTTCAAGATCTTGGAGGTTGGACCAATCCCATTATGTCAGATTATTTTAAAGAATATGCCAGAGTATTATTCACTTACTATGGAGATAGAGTGAATTACCTAATTAATATTTATTAATCTGGATCATAGTTTTAGATTTTAAGTGATACCTCCTTTATACTAAAGCCTCTTTTAAAAACTAATCATAATAAAATAAAGACCTTTACTAAAATGCATACTAAATTTACACTATTCTTACTTTGATAAGAGTGCTTAAATAGTTTAGTAGGTATGAAATGTATTATTAGCAACTCGGCGCCCATGGGTAGGTATATTAACTGGAGTTTGAGTTTTGTAATTGAGTTTATGGATACGACGATTTCTATCTGAAAGTTTCTACTTTAACAAAGATGAAATATGCAGGCATATTTTCAACTTCAGTTGTTTTCTTCGTAGCGTTTTTTATTGTCTGTTCATTGTTCAAAATTCGTCATCACGAATTGTGTTTTCACAATATTCATTCCAAATTTCTGTGCACTTAAAAAAAAAAACTTAATATATTTTGGTATACGAATACGATGCTTCTTTTATTGACTCCAGTAGTACGTACACCAAAGGAAGTTGATCAATTCTATTAGATATCTGAGTGGTTGACCTTAGTATGGTAAACAGGTGAAAAAATACTGTCGGAACAACTTTAAAAAGTTTCATCAACAAACCAGTTAGGACTATATATCAAAATTCTCCAATACCTATGTCTTATGTTGCAAAAATTATTATTCTCTCACATTTTAACTTATGGTCGATACCTTTAAATGAATCGTGTAATTAAAATTATTCTCCAGTTATTGTTTTTTAAAATTAAGTTGGTAATTCTTGCATTTCTTCCATACTTCGAGGATTTGAAGGCATATTTTTTACACGTTCTCGTGTTATTATTTTTCTTATATTTTCATGATCCGGGTAAATGTTGCAATTCTGTTAGAAAAATCTGTGTGGGGGAGGGGGGTGCTTCTAGATGTTAATTAACTTTTTTATTTACATTAATAACACATTTTAAGACATTGACTTCTTCCAAGTTCGGTGCGTGGCCATAATTAAAATGTCAAGGACCTTTATTTATTATTAAACTTTGAGTTGACGAAACATTTGTGATGGCTCGAGCAAAACATTCACCTAGGCAATTCCAATGCACAGTTATTGTCTAAAATGAAACTAAACCAAGTTAGTCGATAGAAAAGGAACTTATTTATTGAAGTGAATGTAGATGACTATTCATTATTATAGGTATAAAAATGATAATATACATGTACCGTTGGGCTATTCCAAAATATAGTCTGGGAATATACGGAAAGAGTAAAATTGGGAAAAATTTGGACGGGGTGACATTTTTTTGATAAATATTATAGTTGGAAAAATATAGGTTAGGAATATTGAATTTAGAAAAAACAAAATTGGAAAGAATTGATTGGGAAAAGTGTACTATAATTATGACTACAATTAAATTTTTTGTATGAATTTTGTTCATTTTCTATTTTATTATTCTAATTGTAGGTCAAATGGTGGATAACATTGAATGAACCCAAGGATACTTCTAATGCCTATTCCTTTAATGCTTATGCACCAAATTTAAATTTAAATAGTACTGGTTATTATTTGGCAGCCCATACACAACTTATTGCACATGGTAAAGTGTACAGGCTTTACGAAGAGTTATTTAAATCTAAACAACAAGGTACATATTATAATGATAAAAAAAAATGTGTAAATAATTTGTATTTTAAAAAATGTTATATATTATGCTTGATAAAGGTAAAATTAGTATTTCAGTAAGTGGAATATTCTTTATACCAAAAAATGAATCTTCATTGAGTGATATAAATACTGCTGAGAGAGCTAATCAATTTGAGGTAAATAAACAATTAATTTATAATTTCTCGTTCTTCTTTTGGTTTAATCAACTCCCGACCATGAATTATATTTCTCCAATTACTTATTCCTGTATAATGTTGTGAATATTATTACCTGATGATGGGTTTTTCAAATCAAAATTATACAATACAATCTGTATAAAATATGTATAATTCTCCAGGCTAATTATTTTCTTTAAATTTTTCTATATTTTGTTTAGATAGGATTGTTTAGTCATCCTATATACAAAGGAGATTATCCACCTGTAATGAGGGAGTGGGTTGATAAAAAATCTAAAAGAGAAGGAAGACCGTGGTCTACATTACCAAAATTTACAGAGGATGAAATTAAATTAATTAAAGGTTTGTACATATATTATTTATTTGTTTATATGTTATGGTGACAGTATGTGTACTAGTAAACTTTAGTTTGATCTTTAAATTTGAGATTTACTTGACTTTTGCTATATGTGATAAGAAAAGACGTGAAGGCACAGCATTGGAAGGCAAAAGTTGTTGATAGGGAAGGCTGGAGAATTGGATGTGTGAAGGGATAGTCTTGATGATCGAAAAAACCTCAAAAATAAGAGGAAGAAGATATGAAACTTTATATAGGTTCACTATATAAATATAATACAATTTTGTAAGCATATTTTTTTATAGGCACAGCAGATTATTATGCATTAAACCATTATTCTACCTGTTTGGTAACTCATGGTATCGATTCAAATCCGAATTATAATCAGGATGCTGAATATGCAACTTCTGCGGATGAATCATGGCCAAAATCTTTAGCTTCAATGCTTGTAATGATTAATTTTAATCATAGTGTCACATAAGTCAATTGTATAGTATTGGATATTATGAAATTTAGGTAGTACCTGATGGATTCAGGCGACACTTGATATGGTTAAAAAATGAATATGGTAATCCACCAATAGTGGTTACGGAAAATGGTTATGGTGACAATGGAGTAATCAACGACTTAGATAGAATTAATTACATAAAAGTATTTTGTTTTACTAAATTATATTATTTATTATACAGAATGCTTTATTAATTTATGTTTTAACATAAATATTTTATATTTCAGTGTTATTTACGTGCAATGTTACAAGCAATGTATGAAGATAATTGTAATGTTATAGCTTATACTGTATGGTCATTGTTGGATAATTTTGAATGGAAGGATGGTTTGAAGTAAGATGTATTTTATAAAATATAAATCATAATTTTGATTTAATTTTGAACATGAAAAATGTTATGTTTAATAATTAAATTTTTTAAACTTTAATTCAAACATTTGAATTTAATATAAAATTCATACAGTAGTATTTTATGTCTTCTTCTCCTTCGCTTCCACCCCAAATAAAATTGGTTAGCCACTTCGTCCAAAACTTTCACTAGACTTCCACTCCGGTCGATTGCGCCCCAAAGTCAGGTAAACGAAAAATATGGTATGTCTATGCGTTCGGTAAAATTCACTTTGGGTCCTTTTTAACCTTTTTTATCATTCTCGAATTTTGATTTCGTTCGGTTTTAACAGGTGTGCATTCGATTGTGTCCTAAATGAAAATCGAGAATTTCGATGCACATTTAACTTTAAACGAGTGCGGTTCGATTATTATCGATTATTAGTGATTATTATCGCTTTACAATCCATAATATCAAATTGATTTTTTATGTGTAGCGTCATTTCAGAAAAAAAAAATATATATAATATTATTAATTTTTAGTCATTATTCATTACAATTAGTCATGTAATAATTAAGCATTACAAAAATGTTTATTATTAAAATAAATTTTCAAAAAAATGTACATAGATATAGGTATTACAATTATTATAATTAGCAGTCATTTTTTTTAACTGTACATATTACGGCATTTTACAATTTACAATTATAGTCAAAATCTTTAATTATTATTTAAATTAACCACCTTTAAGCGACATAATTTTAATATAGTCAAAACTAAAAAGATATAGTTTTTTGTTTATAATTGTTTATTTGTTTACCAATTAATTCTTGTTTTTTGTAATAGTTAAGGTCTGTGTTTTATTGGTATTAGTTTTAGTTCTAATTGATATCTGCCTATAAATCAAAATTGATTTATTAAAATTAAAAATATTATGTGTATCACATGCATTATAGAATTCATTCTTGTAGTTAGAATAATAGTAATAATACCACCGAATGCCGGATACAATCGAAATCAAACATTTTGTTTGTATTCTCGATCGTTCGGAATGAAATCGGATTCTACCGGACGCAATTGAAATTCTCAATTTTACGATTAGGACGCAATCGGATGCATATCTGTTAAAACCGGACGCAATCGAAACTCGAAAAAGATTAAAAAGTTCAAAACGGGACGCAATCGGATTGGCGTTTGTAATTTGCAACAAAATAAAGATATGTAAATTGTACCACTACAGGTAGTCGAAAATAGTGTTTGTAATTTGCCCCAAAATGAGTATCTATATACGAGTAGTATATATTCGATTTTCAAGTGCCTATTCGATTGATTTACAGTGATCTAATAGAAAATATTAGCTTACCTATAATATTATTTTTAAAAATTTTAAATTATTGTTTTCTTTAAGATAAATTTATCTTTAGAATATTCTGTTTCTAAAGAATTAATTAATTAATATACACTCGTTTTATAAAACATTATTAATTATTACATTATTTGATATATTAAACTTTCATATATTTTTATATTATTCCATTTTCTCACTTAAAATAATAAAATATATATATTTTATTTCTGGGATTCCTGACTACTCGTCATCTTATCTGGTAACCATTTCTAAATTTGAATATAATTTATTATTATTTATTATTTTGATCAAATACTAATCTAAGTTTTTCCGACTTTTCATTAGCAGCACAAAAGTACTAAATTATATTTTCGACTAAAATAATACAATTATTATAATATTATATATTATATCTGTCATTATTATTGTTGTAAGGCATCTTTTAAGTCAATACTGACGTACCGTAAACCGGTGTAAATAGGTATGTGAAATAACCACTCAAAATTGAAACGGAATATTCTGCGTCTTTAGTTTCTTATACCTCAATAAATTATACTCTAATATCAAAACTACGTAGGTTGTAAATACAATACTATCGAAAGAATAATCGATTTGAATTTTGGTGTAAATTACAATTCCTATTTCTTACTGTCTGAGATGCTGCAAATAACATATCTTTATTTTGGTGCAAATTACAAGCGCGGTTAAAAAATGTTGGTGTAAATTATAAATGTTGAATATATTTAGGGTCAATTTCAATGCAAATTAACTACAACAAATCGGACAAAGCCCTTCCACTCGACCATTCTCGAACACACTCGCTATCTTCATATCATTCTCAATTGTATTTAACCACCTTTTTTTCTGTCTTCCTCTTCCTTCTTTCACCTACGTCTATTTTATTAAAATTATTACTATTTCTGATTCCTCTCTTCTCATGACATGCCATTGTACCAAAACTGCCAAAACATGACATGCCAACATTATGTGTTCACAGTAAAAAAAATTATTGAAATTTATATTTTCAAAAAATAATTACCTACAATAGATGTCTACACCTAAGAAACACAATAGTGCTTCTTTACAAGGTAATTTTTTTGATTTTCTTTAAAGATTTCATAATAATTAGGAAAAACTTTTATTAATGAAAATCGCAAAAACTATTATATTCTTTAATACATATAACTAAAATTAACTCGCAATCGTTTTTGGTTAGCAATGGATTATTGTTGTGTAGAGATATAAATTAAATAATTATCTCAACGTATAATACCTTCTAAACTTCCCGTTTATAATAGTGACACACCCAACCCTGATGAAGAGGGTTATACTGAGGTATCAGCTCTTTTTAATATATACTTAGAAGTTATATGTATAATACGTGTGTATATTTATTTTCAGAATTCATTTTGGACTTGTTAAAGTAGATTTTAATGATCCTCAAAGATCTCGTACTCCAAAAGCATCTTACACATTTTTCAAGAATGTTATATCCACAAGACATGTGCCAAGAGACGGAAAAAATTGTTCTCTACAATTATAAAAATAATATTAATAATACATATTAAATATGAAAATATTTTTAAATTACAAAATTGTTTCGAAGTAATATATTATACCTGTACATTAATACGCAAGCACTTTTTTTTTCGTACTAATAACTATGCCTTAATATAATATATGCTGAATAAAGTAAAGAAAAAATAGTACAAGGGAAAGCCCAATAAAAACGTCAGGAAACTGTATTATATTGACACAATTATATTCGAATACCTAGGTTTTTTTTATTGTAATTCAGTGAAAAATGATCATCGAGACCAGAAATTTCACCAAATACTTAAATATACTTTTGTATATACAACTCTTTCCAGATATATACCATTTTCAAAACATTCCGCCAATTTTTCAAGAATTTAAACGTTATAAACATTTGAAATTTGAGCCTTTATAGATTCTTAGAGGAGTGAGGAATGTATTAGTTTTACAATGGTATTCATTTTTTTCTGTAAACAACTGATTTTCAAGTATAGCATTTTTTCTAAAAAGAAATTTGACTGGAGTGGTACTTTGAGTAGGTCATACTTTAATTATCCCAGCTGTTTTTATAATAAATAGGAAAACCAGGGGGAAAAGTTGAAAAAACGGGAAAATATAGGAACTTTATTATATTAAAAATTGATTGTTTTATTTTGGTTCAGTTAAAAATATTTGTATAGAATTAAAGTTTGGACCAAAAACTAATATTTGCCTTTTTTTAGATGTGGTAAATTTTCAAAACTTTGTTGTCATTTTTAAGCTATTTATAGATATTTTAATTTTACGGGATTCTTTATTTGTGTTCAATAGGTGGATAAACTCTGTGGATAAAATTGTTAGACTAAACAGAAATATTAGAAAATTAATCAGGAGATTCATTATAAGTCGTACTATGTAGGCAAAAAAAAGCTCTCCTAGGACAATAAGTTTAACAATAACAGTCGTCCAGGAATTTTGTGCCATGCGTTATCAAAGTTTTTACCATTTTAGATTCTGAGTGGAGCGAAGAAGTTTATAGTTTTACAAAGATGTTTTTTTTTCCTGTGCCGAACTTTTCTACCAACAATTTTTCTCTAACTTTTAATGATAGTAATGTTTCTAAAAGGAAATTTCACTAGCGAGGTACTTTAGAAGGTCATTTTTCGATTTTCTCAAGAGTTTTCCCAGCAAATGTTAAAAACCGGGATAAAGCATGGGAAAACCGGGAAAAACGTACGAAAACTGGGAAAATCGGTATAACATTATACAAATATTATTAAAGAAAATATGTAAAGCCTATTTAATTATTTTACTATAAAATGACATATATTGTTAACAAAGCATTACTATCAAATAAACTCCACTCAAAACCGTTCTTTTGTAAGCAATGGTTGATTGTTGGTACAGGTATGCATTAAATTATCTATAACAGTATCTATAATACCCATCCCCATTATCCTAGGACGTTTTTTTTCTTGTAACATTAACAATATAAAACAAATCACACAGATTTAACAAACACCAGATTTAATTTTATAATATTATTCTTTTTATCAATCTTACATTATTTTTATTTATTATTCTTTATTTTTATATTACATATATGTTTATTGTATACACATTACCAATCAAATGTTGTGTAGTTTTGCTCTTTATAAAAATGTTTTATACGCATAACCTAACATATATTTATTATTTTTATCAATACACATTTGTCTGTTATATTATGTTACACACGTTTTTTGTAAATGAAATTTTCTTTTTCTGTACATAAATAAAATAATAAATAATTATAATTATAATACTGGTGGGTGCAGCCACTGTTGTAGATGGGAAGTTGGGAAGATAAAATACAGACGGGAATGTAATATTTAACTATAGTTACGATTAACCATTCTTAAAGAAAAAATGATTCTGAGTGTAGTTCAGTTTATAGTGTTGCTTTGTCAACAATATTTTACCAAATTTTGGTAAAATAATTTCATATGTATTTGCTTTAATAATATTTGTTTAATAATGTACCGATTTTCCCTTTTTCCTATGATTTTCCTGGTTTTCCTTTGGAAAACTGTTGGGAAAATATAAAAATTGCTTCCAACTTAATTATTTAACCCTTCCAAGGACTCCACCGCATAAATTAATTCTAAAGGTAGTTTGTCCTATAATATTACTCCGGAACTTATGTCCACCAAAATTATGCAACGAGAACATTATCTTTCAAAAAAGGTGCTATGCTTGATAATCGGAATATACTTTCTGGTAGAAAAAGTGTTCAAATAAAAAAAAAAAGGTTTCTTACCACTTTTAAAATTTTTATGAGCTACTGCATTTTTCCTTTGGTTATAACCTACATTAAATTTACAAAACGCAGTAAATCAATTCATATGATTCTTAATTTTTATATTATGTACAATCTACAGCTGCATCAGCCTTGTACTGAAAAATTAAGTCAAACTAAAATATAAAGTAAAATACTTTGGTACACCTATATAGTTAACAGTGTTGTCCGGTGTTGGTACTCTATGTAAATACACTTAGCAAAATTCATGTAAATTATTTACCTATTATTATACAAAAAAGAAATATATTTATATTAAAAATTACAATGCCATTTAAATATAATAATAGCTAGATAGACACACAAGTAGTAGGTTAATAATTATTTTAAAAATCATTATAATGTTAAAAAAATGCAAAATGATCTCTTTAGGATGTAAATCAATTTTTTTGTTTTTTAGTAGGTACATCCACTCAGTAGAAGCATACAAATGGATATATTTCCAGACTTTATTATATGGCATGTGACACTATAGTTTACACAGTTTGCCTAGTATAAATATCGAATAATTAAATATTTATTATAGTCAACCTTAATCACGACTAATAAATCAGAATTATCATGGAACACAGATTAATTAATATTAGAGAATTATTCATTCTATGTACAATGTCTATTTAATAATAAAATGCAGGTACTTATAATATTTACTTTTTTTGTTATACATAGGTATACACAAACATTAAATTTACTCAAATATTGTTTTTGCCACGTACTAGATATATAAATATAAAATTAAATGTTAAATTTAATATTCTTATTTAATAGTGCTGTGTCGTTTTTGAAATATTAACTGAAATAATCATATATTTTACATATATTAACATTTAGAACCTATATTTGTAAATCAAGATACCTACTTTATTTCATATATAATTCCTGCGAGTAAGTATTTGTATACTTAATTACAATTAATAATGTGTAAATGTTTGTAGATATTGAACACGGCGTACTTATCTACATACCTAAGTATTTAATACCTATTCATTTTAATTATATTTAGGTATTGGGTTACTCATATTTAAAATATATTGGTTTTTTTTTTATTCTACCTATTTATTAATATGTTTAAATTAATAAACATTTGCATACAGTAATATGTCTTTTATTCTTAAACTGTGAAATTAGATAAAATTATATAAGTCAGTGTTTTAATTATATGAGGTAGGTTACCTAACAGAAGCGTATTGTTTGGGGGGGAGGGGCGATGGGTGGATCGCCCCCTCCTTGGATATTTTTGGCTGTGAATTTTTAATCTCGACTATAACCTATAAACAATAAAATAATATAGTACTTATAACCATGTTATTTATTATTTCTTGGGTAGTTTTACCAACATTATCTAAAAGTAGTGATAATGATATAACTAGGGCAATTGTTTGTATATAATACATATAAAGGAATATCAATGTGGATGTTCAAATAGTAGTCATCATAGATTGGTTTGTAGGAGTAAAATAGATAATAAAATCTATAGGCGTTATCTATAAATTGTTGATGAAGTTAAACTGTGATAATACCAGTTATTTGTCATGTTTTTATGTACTTGATACTTGATACTTGTACTATTATACAATATACTATGTTTTTATGTACTTAGTATATTGTATGATATGGTAAAATATGTTATTGAATGTTTTTGTAGGATTTTGTAGGAGAACCATTAAGGTAGTAGGAGTGATGTAAAGGTGAAGTACTATACAAGTGGTAAATGCAAATTAAGTTTTTCTTATGTTTTCCTTACAGATACATATACTTATTCCATCTGTAAACAGTGCCATTTTGGATAAGTAATCTCAACAAGAAATATGAAAATAATTACTGTTTTATTAGTAATTTTTTTTGTTTCTTATGCAATTTCAACTGATGATCAATTTCCAAAAGATTTTATGTTTGGTGTTTCAACTGCTGCCTATCAAGTAGAAGGTGCTTGGAAAGATGATGGTAAACGAAAAAAAAATTTATTCAATACCTAGTGTAAATAGGCTGTAAAATGAAGATATAATGCGAGAAATAACTTATTTTCTGTTCGATATTTTAGATTCTGAGTGTAGCGAAAAATATATTGGTTTTACAATGGTGTTCATTATTTTTATTTTTTTTTCATGCTGTGACAAACATTTCTACCAGAAATATTGCTTTGATATGCAAGTGTGGCACCATTTCTGAAAGAAAATATTGTCTATATCAGTGTTCGGCAACCTTATTGTACTCTGGGGTCGCATTCAAAAATTTAAAAAGTTTTGCGGGCCATGTTGGACAAAAATAAACATGTTTAATCTTATTTTAAAAATTAAAAATGTTTAATAGTTTAATTAATATGCAAAAATATTAATATTTGTCAGTTATAAATTAAAGAATAATGTACTACAACACTAAAATGGGAGGGGGGATAGTAAGGGTAGAACTAACTCAAACAAGAATATAAATGTCTCTCCTTTAGAGTTTAGGCATTAACTTTTCCTATTAGAGGAAGTATTATTGAGCATTGTGATTAGAGATTTAATAAAGGTTACCTGTCCTTAAAATTTAAATACAATCGTACCTACAAGGAACACAACTGTTCTTCTGAAATTATTCCTAATTGATTATACAGATCTAGGTGTTGTAAACTGTATAATTGTGTGTCTATCACTGAATATTTACCACACCAAGAATTTAGATGAAATATAATTAATTGACACTAATAAAGAAAATAATAAAATTTTGTTTTATATACGTATAATACGAATGCAGTGTAGAGACAACTATACGCGAATGAAATTACTATCAGCTTCCAGAATACTGCCGGCCTATGTTTACACTAATCAAATTATCTAATTGAAGATCTAATAAATATATATCATTTTGAACACGTTAACAATTATCTTTACCTCTCATCCTCTTCAAAGTACTAACGACAGCCATTTTGATATGATTATTGATAATATATTCAATTAAGTTTCATAATTTTGAAAATTAAAGCAGGCCGCTGGTGGCCAACCACAGGTCTAGATGGTATTTTAAGTAAGTCAGTTTTTGATTTTCCAAGCGGTTCTTATAACATCTGAGAAAACCTAGGATAAAACGTAAAAAAACCAGGAAAATTTACGAAAATAATGCTTTTATTATTTTTAATTTTGTTTTTTATTGTAATTCATTATGAGTTATGAGTTGATGTTTCGAGACATTTAGCACACAAAAAACGCATTATAAGTGGAACTTAAAAATCGAATTAGAAAATAACTAAAAGTAGAAATAACGAAGCACTAGACGTAATAAAACTATAAACGACTAACTCTGGTGAAATCCAGATATGAACTGATATTCAGTTAAAAATATTCGTAGAAACTTGAAATTTAGACAGAAACATTCTATTTACTTTTTTTAGACGTGGTAAAACTTTCAGAACATTTGAGCCATTTGAAGACATTTTAATTTTGCTAGTTTTTTACGTAATATTTATTCGGTAGGTACTGTGTGGATAAAACTGACCAAACAGAAATGCTTAAAAATTTGATTAGAGGTTTATTATAAGTCATACATAGTGGTAAAAAAAAAATTCAGTTTAGTTTTAGAGTTTTAAAATCAAATTTTAACGTAAATCGTAAATATTATGGTCTTTCAAAACATGTATAACCAAACTTCGCTCCAAATCGTTTTTCGTTATCGATGATTTATTGTTGGTTACAGGTATAAGTTAAATAACTTAATATATATCCCACCTTCCCCAATACCCAACTACAACAGTGGGCACACCCATCCCCAGTATCAGTTCTTTTTTTTTTGCATTTGCATTTGCTATCTTCTTCCATATTTTAATTACTTAATGTCATCACGAATGTGTAATAAATTCAAACCAGTTAGTCTATTTTTGTCCATTTTATTCACGGTCTTAACCATGTTTTAATCTATGAATTAAAAACAATAAGGAAACATGCAAGCATTTTTGTTGAAATTCAGTTAAAAGTATTATACAGACTTATATAGACGATTATATTAGACTTTAGGGATTTCACATTTGGACAAAAAACTTATATTTACCTTTTCTAGACGTGGAGAAATTTTCAAACAATTTTAGCCACTTTTGAGCTACGAAAAATTATTAAAAATTAATGATTTGTGGTTTTTTTTAAAAATTATTACTAAAAAACACCCCGGAGGTTAAATGGCCCAACATGTACCTATGAGTAAAGTACATTTAAATACACAATTAATATGAGTCTAAATTGTTTTCCAATATGCTTTGTCTATAAATGAAAGTTAAAGAATTTAAAGATTTTACTCATAAACCTAATTATACCTTACCCTCTCCACCCCACCAAACACCATCTGAAATTGATTTTTTTTTCAAATTCAGAACCCCCCTCCCGAAAAGAAATCTTGGTTGCGCCACTGTTTTTAATTAATGGATATTTAAATTTTTATATTTATAAACACTTAACGTAATAAGGTACTTATTAATTAGACTTATCTACTCATATAAGAATATTTTATAATAAATACTGTTAGTTAACAGAGCCCTACTTAAGAATTTTTAGGCCCAGAGCTAATTTTTCGATAAGATTCTTAAATTAAATTATAAATTCAATTTTTTTTTGGTATATCGTTTTATTTTATTCAATTTATTTCTCAAGGTTATAAATAAATTGTTGAAATCGTGAAAATATATTTTTTGATGATATAATTAAATGCTTCTATGAAAAAAAAAAGAAAAACTGACATTTTATTATAATTCTGAGCAAAGTGAGGAATGTATTATTTTTACAGCAATGTTTTTTTTTCTGTTATCAACTTTTCTACTAAAAATCTTGCTCCAATTTTCCTGTGTATCCCTTTTTCTGAGAAAAAATTTGACTGGGATGGTACTTTAAAGAGGTATTTTTTTTTTTTTTGATATTTCTAAGGGGTTTCTCTAATAAATAGGAAATAATAGGAAAACGTAAGAAATGTATTATTTTCGAATTATAAATATTACAGCCTTTTAAAACATGTCCAACCGACCCTGCTAAAAATTGTTTCTGTTAAGAATTGCACCTACAACAGTGTGAAGCATATTCGTTTTTTTTATTTGTATTATTTTCAACTGTATCATCCGGGAATGTTTTTTTTCTTACTCGATTTTCCTTATCATCAGTGTTATATAAAATGTTTATTGATCATTTATTTTTTTTTTTCGAAATTCACGATTTCCCAAATTTATCTTAATAAAATTTTTTATCAATTACTGATTAAATAATTAAGAATTCTGTCATAAGTTTTATTTTTAGTAAATATTTTGTACTTTAACAAATTTAAACAAAAATAACTTTAATACCAAATTTATGCATGGTGGCCCCTCATTATGTTTAAGCCCGGGGCTGCTACTCCCTAGCCCTAATTCTTCTAAGCAGGGCTCTGTTAATTAAACACGGACACACATGTATACTCAATTATTTTTATTTTAGGAAAAGGAGAAAGTATTTGGGATCGTTTGGTTCATGAACATCCTGAGGTTATAAAATGTGGTAGTAATGCAGATATTGCTTGCAATTCTTACTATAAGTATAAAGAAGACATTGAGCTAACAAAAAAATTAAATGTAAACATATAGGTCCTATATGTATGTATATATATATATATATATATGTATGTGTGTATATGCATATATATATATATATATTTAATAATTTATGTAGCAATAATCTTATAATATTTTTTTTTATCTTAGGCAAAAGTTTTTCGTTTTTCAATAGCATGGACTCGAATAGCACCAAACGGAGACGTGAGCACTTTGAACCCCAAAGGAATAGATCACTATAATTGTGTCATTAATGAAATTATTGCCAATGGTCTTACTCCAATGGCTAGTATAGTTTGTACATAAATTATTGGTAAAAATCATTGTTTCTATGATTTCATTTAAAATTTACAGGCAACAATTTATCATTGGGATCTTCCACAATATCTTCAAGAACTTGGTGGTTGGACCAATCCCATCATGTCAGATTATTTAAGAGAATATGCTAGAGTTGTATTCACTTATTATGGAGATAGAGTAATAGATACGACTAATCAATATTTTATTTTATTTTTATTTTGTTTTACTTAAACAATATCAGGGCCCAGAAACAATAGTAAATAGTATAAAACAATACGATAATTGATTAGTTTGACTTAGTTTTAGATTTGAGTGAAGTTTTTATGTTTTAGAGTTTATAGTTCATTAAGTTTGAAATGTTTAGAATTTTCAGTAAAAATGAAATCACGGATGAAACACAGAAGGAATGTATTCTGTTATTTTTATTATGTATGAATATCGATATTGGATACAAATGCATTCAGCATTGTTAATAATATAAACCTCTTTCCTCTCGTAATTACACCTCTAGAAAAAGTTTTGAATATATGAGAATGTTTTCAAATTAATTATAAAACTATACGTTTAGTACATTTTTTTATTAAAGTAAGAGAAGGTGCTAAAAATTCAATTTGCCAAATAAATTTAAAATTTATATACTTGTTAACTTTTTGAATGACGTTTTGAGTCAAATTGATCATTTAATTATTTTATTACAATTAAAGAGCCAAATAATAGACGTTTATGTAGCATTATAAATAGACTAATTCGATAAATTAAAGAAATCAGAAAACCGGATTTAATAAATCATTAGATGAAGCGAAAAATATGGCAGGATGTCTAAATATCTCATCAGCATTTAAAGATAAGTGTAAACGTAAGATTCCAAGTAAAAATGTATGTAAAGCTGACGATGAAAAAACAGTAACAGAAGTCAATATTTTAAAAATTCAGTGTTTGCAATCGTTAGATTCAATTTTAACTAGTGTAAGTTTGAGATTTGAAAAAATGTCAGAAATTACAGCAGACTTCAATTTTTTTAACTGGAAATTGTTTAAAAGTAATACTATCCGAAGAAATAAAAATTTGGATTAATGATTTGGCGCTTAAGTATGAAATTGATATAGATAGCTCTGAGTTCTTTTTCAAGTTATCATTTGATGACGTTATCGATGATTTTGATTCAATGAAGGAAAGAAAAGCGAAATTTTAAAAAGTGAAATTAATAATTATTTATTCAAATTTAGTAAAATAAAAGGTTAAACTTATTTTTAGAGCAATTTCTTATATTTACTATAATAAATAAATTATAAGCCATAATAAAACGGAGCATTTTTTTTTTCTAATAATGAGTTTTATGATAGTAAAAAAAACAAATTTGGTTTTCGAAGCGCAAATTTGGTTCATTACCAGAGACGTTATTGGTTCTTGCTACGGCCCTGGTCATACTAAGTTCGTGTTGGGGCCAAAATTGTTTAATTGTATAGTAATAAAAATTATAATAATGTATATGAAGTTTTTAGTTACCTGAAAAGTAAAGACAATGCAGGATATATAACATTAAATATATGACATTCAATATTTTATATGAATTTGTTTCATTTTCTATTTATTTTAGGTAAAATATTGGATAACAATCAATGAACCATTGCAGACTTGTAAAGGCTATGGTTCTAAACTGTATGCGCCATATTTAAATTTAAATAATACTGGTTATTATTGGGCAGCCTATACACAAATTCTTGGGCATGCTAAAGTGTATAGGCTATACGAAGAGGAATTCAAATCTAAACAACAAGGTACGAACTATATCTATCTTCTATATTATATACATGAAAAAAGAAGAAACTGACTGACTTAACTTGACTGAATGACATAGCAATGCATAATCTAAACAGTTGTCTAAAAACTTAATAATATTGTACAGAGGTTCGTTTTTCAAACGACTATGTTAGTTTTTGTATAATATGTGTGTAGAAGAAGTATATTTTTAAAAGAAAATAATTGCACACTTTTATGATACCCTATAAGAATAAACTATATTCACATATTATATACATCTATATCTTATTTATCTTTCATGCACTCCGTAGAATGGGCCTTATAAAGTCTACTTGAAGAAAGTAACGGATAACAACTTTAATATTGATATCAAATGTGTAGACAAATATTCATTAAAATTTAGAAATATTATATTTTTTGATTAGGTCAAGTTAGTATTTCAGTAGACGGAGTATGGTATATGCCAAAAGATGCTTCTTCATTTGACGATATGTGCACTGCTGAAAGAGCTAATCAATTTGAAGTAAATATGCATTTAATTAACTTAATATATTATAATAAAGTCAAGCAATTTAATATTTATGGTTTATTATATGTAATTTTATCAAATATAAAAATGTTTGTTTTTTTTTTTTTTTTTTAGAGAGGAATATTTAGCCATCCTATATACATAGGAGATTTTCCTCCTGTAGTGAGGGAGTGGGTTGATAAAAAATCTAAAAAAGAAGGGAGACCGTGGTCTACACTGCCAAAGTTTACAAAAGATGAAATTATACTAATCAAAGGTTTTGTCTTTTTAATTTTAATGTTTTTATATTACGACTAAAGTATAAATAACTTGTTTCACCACCTAGCTATTACAATATAAACACATAATATGCAAGTGGTTTTTGTGTTTTATAGGCACAGCAGATTTTTATGCAATGAATCATTATTCTAGCCGTTTGGTAACTCGAGGTATAGATCCAAATCCTCAAAAATTTAATGTGGATGCTGAATATATTACTTCTGTGGATCCATCATGGCCAACATCTCCTTTTGCACCGTGGATTTATGTAACAGTTTATTTAATTTCAACGTTAAGAGTTCTTATTCATTTATACATTGTAGGTAGTACCCAGTGGACTTAGGCAGCTTTTGGTATGGTTAAAAAATCAATATGGAAATCCACCACTAGTAATTACTGAAAATGGTTATGGTGACAATGGAGTACTCAATGACTTGGATAGAATTAATTACTTAAAAGTACATTTACAAGTGTATTTAGTTAAACTAATCTATATTAAACATTTGATTTATTAATTTAAGTTTAATCACAAATATTTTTTGTTTTAGGGTTATTTAGATGCCACGTTACAAGCAATAAAGGTTGATAAATGTAATGTTATAGGGTATACAGTATGGTCATTATTGGATAATTTTGAATGGATGAATGCTTATACGTAAGATTTATGATATCAAATAAATAATTTAAATAACGCATGTGGTTTATTTGAAGGGATCAGTTTTGAAATAAAAATATTAATTTAATTGTGTTAAACATGAAAAAATATATGTGTAGTATTTTAGATTCAGTGTAGTAATGAAAATATTGAAGTATTATCTCTTTATTTTAATTTAAATGTTTTCATTAACCTAAAGTTCTTATTACAAGATAGTGTTTTTATTAAAGAATAATTTATATTTGAAAATTAATGACAACAAAAAAATGTCTTATAAAGTACATGTGTCTCCAAGTATTTAATTAAAAAATGTAATACCTATAACATGTTTTGAGCAGTATAATATACAAAATTATATGTGTGCATTTATTTTCAGAATTCATTTTGGACTTGTTAGTGTAAATTTTAGTGATCCTGAAAGACCTCGAATTACAAAAGAATCTTATAAGTTTTTCCAAAATGTTGTAACTACAAGAAAATTGGCATAAGTATTTGTAAAAATATATCCTCGAATCAAGAGAAAATCATTTTTAAAATCTCATTTTTTTTTATAAATGTGTATTACTTTTATATTCCAAAGTAAATTACCATTTTAATAATTTCATTATACAGGTTATTAAACGTATAACATATTTTGTTTTTTTCCGAACTAATTATGATGGACTATCCTTAATAACTGGAAAAAAATAAACTCTGTCTATATATATATATACAATAGATATTAGTGAGTGTTTAATAGCTTGTACCTAATATCTACTTCACATAGGTAACCCTATACAAGCTCATACTACCTATGTAGAATTATTATTAAAATAATAATAATTAAAAAAATTAAATTATAATACCTTTCAATATGGTGAAAAAATAGTGGCTAATTAATCAAATCGTTTACATACAGGTGCACATCATGTCATCGTATCTGTTCAAATGATTGGTGTGTCGTTTGTACAATTTTGTAAATATTTATTGTTAATTATTTTTAAATTTGAAAAATTATACATTATGATTATTCAAATATTTATTGTTTAATTAAAAGAATTTAATTTAACCTATAAGTCCTATTAGAACCTAAATTATAACCTTAACAAAAATATAAAGGTATTCAAAAATTAAAACAAAAACGTGTCTCATAAAATATATAATACGTATTTCCATTTTACAAATTAAAAATGTTGTGTGCCAAATATCAAGCGATATGAATTTATTTATATACTTCTTTTTGTCATCTTATTTTTCACATCATCATTTTACTGATCCTCATAAAACTCGTACTCCAAAAGCATATTATACATTTTTCAAGAATTTTGTATCCACGAGACAATTACCATAAAATAGAAAAATTAGTTTTCCAGAATTATGAAAAAACAACTTTGAAATTATATTTTATTCATAAAGAATAATGTATAGGTATTTTATTTTAAAAATATGTTCTCACAATTTCTTCTGAAATATTTTGAATGATTTATTTAAAACATATTCTCCATTATGAATAAAATATAATTATAGGAAATTATTGAGGAAATATGTTTTTTTTCATTTTGAAGGATAAGGTACCTATATTATTTTAGATATTCTGTTTATCCGAATAACGGATGAGTGGTAATTGTATTCTGTTGTAAATTTACTAATTATAAATACAGTTTTATTTCAACTTAATTAGGATTGATAGTGAAGAGTGTAGGTATACGACGTAGGTACATAAAGGTATGTAGTAATATACCTTAATAGGAACACCACTGTACCTACTTATATAAAAAGCAAAATGTGTCCATTTGTTTGTACTTAATGATTATTCTCTTATATCTTAAACGTAAATTGGAGTGTTTAGGTTGAAATTAAAATTTAAACAAAATTTAAAGGCAAATATATTTTCGAGAATTATATGTAGCTATTTCCTCAAAAAAATATACTGTCATTAAATTTTACATTTTTCAAACAGTTTTATCCTTTAAATTTTGTTGTTTGTGGTTAAACTCTAATTTCAATCTAAATTCCACAACTAATGTTTTAAGTAACTTAATTTTGCTACCTATATCGTGTGTTAGTACCTAAGATGGAAATAATACGTCATGTGCATTTAGTTAATTATTAAACCCAGTTATAATAATTAGTTAATTAATATTACCCACATTTAACAGAGGGGCTAATCCCCCTGATAATACCAGAATTAAACACTGCAAATGCGGTTAACTATATAGATGTACCTACCTATAAGGACACATCCTACATATGTATAATGTATTCTTTACAAATAAGTACTGAAATGTACTTATAATTATAGTAAATACATTTTTGTTTATATATTTATTTACGAGAATTAACCATTTTAATAATTTTGTTTTTACTTTATAATTTACTTATAATTGTTGTAGTGAATTCAGTTTCTTAAATTGTATTGTGGTTACATTCAACTTAATGAGTGCAATTAACCTACAGTAAATATTGTCTGTTGATCTTTAATCATTTTATATAGGTACCTAATTTATATTTCAGTATATTTATAACTCAAGTGTGTATTATTTTTAGGTAGGTACTTAGACAATGATGATTTTTTCAATGTTAACTACGTAATAAAATATTGGTTAAGGTTTAATCACTAGTCATTTCAAGACTGTTAATACTCTTCATTTATGACGGGCATACATCTAATTAGTTTGTTATAATAATTATATTCTATAGACTAAATGGATTGTCCTTGTTATCATGTAATCACTGAGATCATAGATATGTTATATAGCAGTGCTGAGATTTTCAAATATTACTTTGGATAAAGTTATCGAAGATTTATGTTTAAAAATAAAGGAAGTTAGCATTATTTATTACATTAATTACTATTACATATTATATTAAATTAAGTGCTTACCTACTCAACAAACAATTATTTTATACATCCCCCCTAAAGGAAATATTACATACGCCCTTGTAGTAGGTATATGTATGCAATTATTAATAAATAGTGACCGGATTTATGTGAAAATGCATATATGTATTGGAATAAGCTTTTTGAAATCTGATGAGCATTATCCCCGATTTAGATCATTCTTATTAAAATAATACTCTTTTTATTTTGCATATTTGTAGTTGTATAGTGCATTTTATTATTTATAGCGCATATTTTCCTTTTTTGTCGTATTTTCACGTGTCTGTAACCACGTTTGAACACATTAAGGAACTTCTGATTATCCAATGCAATAAGGAAAAATATGAATTCAATTTTTGAAGACGAAGACGACAAAATACTTTCAAAGCTTTTTTAAACTTTTTTTAATACCGTATTAATTAATACTTGTTTTTACATAATTTTACATAATACATTTACATATACATACATTTTACATAATTTTAAACAAAATTTTAAGTTCATAATTAAGTACATATTTAAAAATAAATACATATTTTATAGCATATTTGAGGATTTTTCGTACATATAAATCCGGTCCCTTTTAATAAACATTCAAAATGATTTTATGTGTCTACAAAAACAATTGTATAAATTATTACAAAAAAATGAAAATCAAATAATATATATTTACTTACTTATCTTATAATAATTATAAGATAAGTATATATTATGCAATTGAAAAACTAAAGTATCCATAGGTAGGTATGTACTTATAAATATAAGTAAAAAGTAAATATCTAATTTAATTTTAGAGCTTTATAAGTATCTAATACTAAAACACTCAAATCAATAATTATTCAAAAGTTGATAAATTAGACATAGATTATCTTTTGACTAATATTAAAATAATAGAATATTAAGTGATAATATTGTAGTATTTTCGTTGTGCAGATCAAATATTGCTTCTGTCAAAAATTAGTAAATACATTGTTTTCTATTATTCCCTGAGTCTAATTTTATATTGATTTTTATTGGTACATAGATATACCAATGACAAGTCTTACTGAAAAAGTACATTTTGTGTTCACTTTGACTATATTTATGTTAACATATGTGAAGAATAGATATGAAAACCTGAATATATTATATAGCACACATGTTTATACATTCTTGTCTATGCATATAGTTAGTATTTTTTTTTATGTATAATTATATTTACTGGATAAAATGGGAATGTTTCATGTTTAGGTTTTAATCAATCACAATGTATAATTTAAATTATTGATCCAGTTGAAATATGTAGGTAGTTAGGTAATTATTTACACTCTTAGGTAGATAAATGACAATGAAATTTATAAAAATGCATTATTTCTAAAAGCCTAAATTCATTTACAGTTTTGATTGTAATTTAATGACATATTGACTTTTTTAAATAAAGGAATCAATTGAGTCGAAAATTTGTGTGTCATTTTGAAAAAAATATGTTCCAAAAGTAAAAATCTACGTAGGTAGGTAGTAGGTACAAGGTATTTTTAATAACAATACATATCTACTGCCTATACAGTTATAACTATATACATCATAGAAGAATGCAAAAAGTCTTTCCTTATAATATATGTTCCTATGTACTGGCACTTTTTTAATTCATTCATGCCCGGTCATGGGTACATATTATTTCCATTTGTTAGAAGCTAATACATATAGTATATAGTACACATAGGTGGATTCACATTTATTTCGGATAAAAATGAATAATAATTTGCACAATTATAATTCATAAATAAAGTTCTTTATTAATTTGTAACTTGTGAAACACAGAAAAAAAATTTGTAAACTTGATAAACCAATATTACACAAACAATAAAAATATAGGTACATTTATTGTTTGAACCATAAATACATTTAGAATATTTATTTTATTATTAGGGTTAATATCAGTAAGGTAACATAAGAAGGCTGAAAAAGTCCCTGAAACCAATCAAAATGTCTTGGTACCGCCAATATCTATAATATACTAATATAATAATTAATAATAATATAATTTTGAATACAATAATGCACAAATAATATACAAGGGTGTATTATAATTTTGAAAATGTTGGTGTTTTATCTTTGGTTGCTACTGCCATGGAAGCTTTCACAAAATCTTCACTTTGTAATAAGATTTGATTCCAATCTCCCTGTAAATAGAATACAATATAATAATAATAATAATAATAATTTATTTTAATAATCATTTAACAGAGATGTCGAGAACTTTTTTTTATTCTGCCTCCTCCCACTAAAATTTCACCATGATAGGTATAACCTATTAACCTATTAATATAATTTTGTTTTTAATTCTCGAAATTTGTGTGTTAATGTTAAATAGAAAATAATATGTTTTCATAGCGTGGCTAAAAATTTATAAAATGGTGTTTGGTTAACATATGGGTTATAATGTGTGAAGTGAATGATTGCCAACATCAAGTTTGGTTAAACTCAACTGATTCTTTGGGTTTTGCCTTTTATGTGTAACCTTCAAAGATTCTTCTAAGTTATAATAATGCTTTTGGAAAATATCAGTTTTAAAGAAAACTAAGTGCATACAAGAAATACAATTATTTTTTTTTATTTGAACAAATATTTGTATAAGTGTATTATAACAATGCCCTACCAAATATGTTAATGCCTGTGAAAAGTATTTTAAACACAAAACCTTTTATTATAGAAATATTATTCAGTTTTAATCCATTTATTTTTAAATTAATATTACGAATAATGTTTTCATGTTTTACAATTACCATTAAAATATTCAAATTTATGTGTATCCTATAAACTTAACATAAATATTAAAGAATAAAAACAAATGTGGTTAAACCATTTGTTTTTAATTTGTAAACTTTTCTTTCTGAAGGTACTCACACACTGAATGAACGATTTTTACTGCTGCCACTGACAGTTTTCAGTTTTTCTTATAATTTTTTTGAAAATTACTTTCTTCAAAATGTGAATACACCAGACTGCTACCAATACAAGAGTGGTTGACTAAATTACCACTTCTACCACTAACCACCACCACAGGGACAGTGTGTGAGCACCTTAATTACCTATTATAATTTAATATTTTTCAATGTCATTTGAGTAGCTATTTTTTTAAATATTATTTTACCGATTTTGTTATAATATAACATACAAAATTTTATAATTTAAAATGAAAATGTTGACTTACAATATGATTCAATCCATCTTGAACTGTATGGTCGCGTGAATATATAATACTTCTTTTAGTCATTTGAACTCCTACAGGACTTTTAATAGCAATGTTTGAGGCTATGTTCATAACATGTTCTAGCATACTAAATATAAATCATGTTCATTTAAAACTTTTAGAAATACAAAATAATATTATTATATATGTTTATTTTTATACATTTCAATAACCTTATCAATATATTAAATATAAAATACAAGAAAGTAATTTATTATAAATGTATAAATAACAGTGATGTGACATAAATCCGAATTAAAAAAATCTGGATTTCAGATTTCAAAATCCGAAAATTGTCTAGTTGGTACTTTAAAGAAGTAACGTGTTGATTCGTTCATAATTATAATTGATATTGTATTAAACTTAAAACAATTACCTACACATTAAAATATAATTATTATAAAAAAATAAGTAAACAGAATTAATAACACCTATTATAATTAGTATTACTATACACAATAATTACCTATGAATAGTTTATATTTCATAATATAATGTTGATATTTTTGGATTTTTTTTTCCAAAATCCGAAAATCCAGATTTTTCCCACCACTAATACCTAATTATATAGATAGTTTACTCAGTTTTTAAAAATAATAAGATTGAAAATTACCTTTCTTTGGTATTATAAATTCGACTCACAAAACCAATTTCTTTGGCCTCTGAAGAGTCAAATTTACGAGCAGTAAATGCTAATTCATTGAATGTACTCATATTACCAATAATTTTTGGCATTCTTTGAAGTGTACCAACATCAGCTGCCATTCCTATTAAATGCATTTAAATATTCTAAATATCTATGTAAATGTAAAACAATTTTGAGTCCAGCATCATTAAATACTTTGGTAAATTTAAATTTAAAATTGTAAGTAATGGATTGCCATCAAGCTACATAACAGCTATCTTTGATCCAATAACCTCCTAACCACAGATTGACGACTGATAATCTCCCAATAAAAAATTTCAATTTCAGTAGTAAAACCAACTAAATCCATCATATTATTTGATGTTACTATATAGAATAGTGCCAGAATAGTTAGTGGTTTTAGGTTCAGTTTAAGGACTACAACACAACTACTTTTCACATGCTAACAGCCACCCATCTATGATACAACAACCATTGGCTTTTTATATCTTAGTATAGCAATTCCCAACCTTTATTTCTTCTGTACCCCTAAATTTAATATTTTACTAGATTGTTATAACAATTATTATAACTTATTATAACCCTTTATTATAACTTTTACAATTTTTTTCACATAACTACTCTTAAAATGTTTTAACAAAAAATAATAATAATATAATATAATGTAATAATATATATTTTTATATTTTGTAGTAAGACACACAAAAAAGAAATGAATTATTTTACTTATTAAATAAATAAAAAATTGTACTATACAAATTTAGTGAGATTCTTGACCTTATTTCAAATTACATTGTTTTTAAAATTAGATTCAAATGATGTAAGACAAAAACCTAAATAAAGAACTGAATTCAATTTATTTCTATACCTATTTTTAATAAAGATGCACGAAGAAACCATGTCCGTACTAGTAAAAGGCAATAGGAACTCAATTGTCTTGTCAGAGAGTCGCTCTTATTTGTTTCTATCCAAAAAATAATAAGTTGTTTTCTATTAAACTCCCTTTTTAAATAGATAAATTTCAATTTATGAAAGGAATAGTTTTAAAATTTTAAATAAAACAAATTCAACATTTTTTCGCCAAAACCCAATTTTTTTCATACACTACTAGGGTAACTAACAAGGTTGAGAACCACTGTCTTAGTAAACTAATTCAAGTTTTGAAAATCCTATGTGAAATGTGGATGCCTTTACATAACCTACATTAGGGTTGGGGTGAGATGCAATGATTTTTAAAATTTTTCCCACTATTTATTTTTACTTATAGATTACATTAAAAATTTAGAAAACTGTTCTTTTGAAAATACATTTGAAGATTGAAATATTAGGGCATTTTTATTACTCAAGAAAAAAACCACTACTATAATTATGAAACTAATATTTCTGCTCAAAATTGTATAACTATATAAGAGTTATGTTCAAAAATTTCCAGGATTATTTGAATTGTGTGCTAATGGAGTGTCCAAGAGCAGTAAAATTGATAACACTCGCTTCTGTGACTTCTCTTGAGTGCATTTGTATTTTATAGATTATCTATAGCTTTCTTTGTTTTTTAATAAATTCAAAATAACTTTATTGGGGGAGTTGGTTGAAGAAAATTTTTCTTTCATTTTGATTATTTTTTTAATAAAATGTCAAAAAGTTTTATTATCATTCACCATACCAAAAAGTTCCTGATAAAACAGAACTTGGTTTTGTTTTCAAACTTTAACATTTTCAAGAAAAACTTTACTCAGCACATCTGAGTTTTTCAGCTACAATTTTTTGACATAAGCCATTCTTCTACCGACAATGAAGAAAAAAAATCTCTAAACCCCCCCCCCCCCCAACCACAATAAAAAATTATTTTTTAGGATTTATTACAAAATTGCCAAATGTCCAAAAAATATTTTTTTAATGTCATCAAAACAAAAAAAAATTACAGAGTAGTGCAGTGGTACAAAATCTCACTCCCCCCTTCTTAAATTAGATGTTTTCAATTTTACTGATTGTAAACTAACATAATTATTTTAAACATATGCGCTCAATGTGCCCTATTAATCCTACTGCTCTCGAAGGCTATTGGTATGTAATTCAAACAATCCTAGAGCTTTTTGAACACACCTTATGATAGAGTTACTTAATTGATCATAATCAAACAATGATTGTATATACAAGGTATTCCAGACAAAAATGGCTAACTTAAATTATGGCTATAAGAATAAGTTATTTAATATATTTTTTTTTTTTTGTATGTCAAAACTCTTTTATGGGTTTTATTTGTAAAATATCTATAACAAAATAAAAATAAACTGCAAAAGAGAATTTCTTACAAAATAAGGAGTTACTTGATTTTTTTTCAAAAATTATCTTTATCACCACTTTTTTTGGGTTATCATATCTAAAATCCTATTTTTGGTATGACATCTGTACTTTTGTCAGAGATTTCAATTGAATAATTTTTTATTTAAGCACCAATTAAATCATCCTACCGAAAAAATACAATTAAATTAATCAAATTAAAGAAATTATCTGTTGTTGTTCACTTTTATTTTGTATAGATATTTTACAAATAAAATGGGTAAAACCAAAGTTTTGACATTAATAAAATAATAATTAAAAAAAATATTCTTACAGCTATATATTATAGAGTAACTCCCCATAAAGTCTGCCATTCTTTTCTGGAACACCCTATAGAATTTTATTAAAAGTAAAATACGAATGTATTAATTTAAAAATGTATTGAGATACAGGTGTCCCAAAAAGATATACCCATTGCAATTTTTCCTAAGATAATAAATAAAGATAATAAAATTCTGGTCTTTTCATATTACTCAATGGGATAAGGAATATAAATATTTATAAAGTAATTAAATTTTTGTGTAATGGTAAAAAAACTAAAAAATATCTTTTTATTTTACTATCTTTGAAAATTGTTTAGTTTATTATTTTGGAAATTTTAATGTATCAACTTTTTATTTTAATTATATTTATAATTTTTTTAAAGCTCAGAGAAAAAAACCTATAGCTATGCAGCAGGCTGTAAATGCATTCGCTAATTGATTATTATTAATATGGTTAATACAACAGTAACTTTTATCTCTGAACTTTAAAAAATTATTAAAATTCACAAATTTAATGAAAATAAAAGTTGATACATCAAAATTTTTAAAAAAAATAAACTATAGAATAGCCATCTTCAAATTTTTCAAAATTCAAAAATAATAAAATAGTTATTTCTTAAGTTTTTTACTTTAATATAAAACATTAATTGAAATATAAATATTTTTTGTATACATGATCCTTTTAATACATTAAAAAAAAAAAAAAAAAAAAAAAAAACAAAATTTGATTACTTTATTATCCCGAAATATTATAATGATATATATTTGTAGGACATTAATTGTTTAAAATTATTTTTACAAACCAATTTCAGTTTCTTTTATTTGAAACCAGGCATCTTGTGTACAATATCTTATATCTGCTGCAGATATTAAATCAACACCCCCTCCAATGCAACCACCATGAATAGATGTCAACACAGGTTTATCACACTGAAAATTTAAATTACAATTTGATTATTGAAAAAAATAATATTTTAAAATTATACCATTGTTGCTAAATAAAAAAAACTATATTATTAATGTACACATGCTAATTCATTGTAGTATAAATGCCTTGTTCATTTCAAGTTAAATAGGGGTTAACCAATGTATATTTAAAAAAACATCACCATTGGTCAATATTATCAAAAAAAAAAAAAAAGTTATAATTGTTATTGAATTTCATATGAAATTTCTTGCAAATAAAAAAAAAAAACTGATACTGGGGGAACAGGTACCATCACTAATATAGGTGGTTAATGGAAAAAGTGGGATACGTAAAACTACTTAATTTATAATTGTAAACAATGATAAACCATTGATAACAAAAAATGATTCCGAGTGAAATTCAGTTAAATATGTTTTGAAATTATCTTAATTTTTTAGATAAGAAAAAATACTACATTATGTTAAATTTTTTATTTTTGACCACTAAATAGAACTTATAATGAACCTCTTGTCAAATTTTCGAACATTTTTGTTTAATTTAATAATTAATCCACAGAATACCAAATAAAAATTATATAAAAACTCACAATATTAAAATTTATATATATAGCTCAAAAATGGATTAAATATTTTGTAAATTTTACCAAGTCTAGAAAAATCAAAAATATTTGTCAAATTTTAAGTTTATGGATTTTTTCAATTCAATTTTAACAAAAAACAAAATTGAAAATAATAAAATAATTATTATTGTACATTTTCCTGGTCTTTCTGTTTTTTTTGTTTTGCTCAATTAAAAAAAAAAAAAAAATAACAGAAAATCGATGACAATATTCTAACTCATGAATTACATTAAAACTTGAATGAAATATGTCTCTTGTTGTTTTGAGCATTGGAGCAATATTTCTGGTAGAAAATAGCATGCATACAAATTTAAAATAATTGTTTGTTTGGTTTTTCATAATTAATTTATTTCCAAAGTATTATGAAAAATGATTGGAAAATCAAGAAATGACCTTCCATTGGCACAAACTATATAACATTTCTTTCAAAAAAGGTTCTATATTCTACACATTGGAGCAAGATTTCTGATAGAAAAGTTATTCACACATAGGAAAAACAAAATACATACATAGTAAAAATTAAAACCCAAAAGTCATAAAAGGCCAATAACAAATCTAGGTATCTGTCACTCATTGAATGTTCTCTAAATGGTGTGTGGGGTCAAAAAAGCTGGAGATTACTGATTTATTTAATAATTGCTGCACATTTTTCCCAAACTATGTCCAAACTAAGTTTTATCTTTGATATATATTTTTTTTTTTTTTATAGTGGAATTTCCATAATAATATGATTAGAGGCTTTGGCTTAAAACTGATTTAAAACAATTATGGCATCATTTTAATGCATTACTAATTCTACACAAATCATGCACAACTAGCGATTAACAATTCCAAACAGAAATTTTACTTTTTCAAGAGCTGTCAGACAATCTTGATAAGTTTTAATAAAAGTTCGTAAAATTTTTGATTTTCTTGCAATATCATCATGTTTTGAAATTTCTTCTCCAAGATTCATCATGTCGTATAAATCAATTCCTATTAAATAAAAATTGAATTATTACTCATTATTACTTTAAAGAAAATACATTAACAAGGTGTACCAGAAACAAATGGGCAACTCTACAGATAGTACTCTTATAAGTGGCTATTAGAATAAATTGTTTGGAATTTTTTGTTTTAATGTCAAAACATGTGCTTAACAGATTCTTTTTTGTAAAATATTCATGCAAAAAAATTAAATAATGGATATAGGAGAATTTCTTACAAAATCATCTTTCAAAAAATGGGCTCATTTGACTTTTCTTAAAATAATCATTATCACTATTATTTTTGCTTGTTATATCCAAAGTTGTAATTTTGATGAGACACCTAAATTTGTGTATACATTTTTCAGGAATTTCCATAGAATCAATTATTGTGTTTATTTAATTATAATTTAATGATTTTATCAGAAAAATACAGCTAATTTGATAAAAAAATATCAAGAAAATATAAGTACTTATCAATATAAGTATTGAGTGAGCCCCTTTTTTGTAAAAAAATTTCGAAGAAATTTTGTAATGATTTTTTTTAAATATTTTAAAAATAATATAAACACACAATTTTTGACAAAAAAATGTTCAAACAATTTATTCTTATAAGACAATGGTCTTCAACTTTTTTGGACTCACGACCCACTTCTTTAGGCGTACATTATTCGCGACTTTCATAAGGCATACATAAAGAAAAACGTTTGTAGAAAAACAAAAAAAAAAAAAAATCTAAAATTACTTAATACTTTGTAGTAGTACTGTTATAACTGAATAAATAAAAATAAAAAAACTTTTTAACGGATACTTAAATGTGGCTAGAATAATAACGCGACTAACATTTATTCGTCTTTAAACACAGCGGTTACATCGACAATGTTCGTAGATTATTTTATTTAATGTCATACTATGTAGAATCATACCAGTATATTAAACATATACTGTGATTTGAAATCTATTATACTATTATATTTTTGAATATAAATTATATAATATTGTTTATACATAATATATTACAATAAATTTCAAACGGTATTTTCATTTATTAATTTTCTAAGTTTAATAATTAAACAATTATTTGTATACCTTATATAATTGTATAAACTTAATTTTTATTATAAAAAGAAAACTTATTGCGATCCAATTTTTAAGCTTACGCGACCCACTAGTTGAAGACCACTGTTTTAAGATACATATAAAGTATCACTTATGATAATGTTGGTCATTTATTTCTGAAACGCTTTGTATACAATGCTTTCAAATGTAAGTATAGTATTTATCTGTACTGCTTCAGTACTTGTAGAACTTACAGAAATATATAAATGACTAGGTCATTGTTTTAAGAGGGTTGAAGGGAGGATTTATAAAGTAGGTTTAATTTAATTTATATCTGTAAGCAATGATGAACCATTGTTATCAGAAAATGATTTTGATCAAAACTAACCAGTATTATTATTTGTATTTTTTTTTCTTGTGACCAAGGAAACAAAACTTTACAAAACATTATTAGTTTTTCCCATTTATGAAGAAAATTACAAAAAATCAAAAAAAAAAAAAACAAAAATAACCACTTCAATTAGATGAAATATTTTACAAGAAAATACCTATACATTATTTTATTATGGCAAGATTTCTGATAGAAAAGTTGTTAACAGACACAAAAATTAAAAATAAAAACACATCATGTTAAATTAATATATTCTTGCATTGATCAGAATCTAAAACATATTGTTAAATTGACCTGTGAAATGTTTATTTTTATACTTGTTAATATAGGTAGTTTAATTTAACATAAAAGTTTTACCTGAAGTAAAAAATTTTCCGTTGGCTGAAAGAACTACAACTCGACAGTCGGGATTCTCATTTAACTCATCGAAACATTTTCTGATTTCCCTAAATTCAAAAGTATAAAAAATTATCCTGTATGATCTATGATAGGTATATAGTATAGATATCCATAGCAATATAAATCTCTAAAATTTATTACTATCTTCAAATTTGACTTACAACCACATAGTATTATTCATTGCATTCGCTTTTTCTGGTCTATTAATTTGTACATTATAAACAAATTCCTTAGGGTTTTCAATTTTTAATGTATGATAATGAGACAGCTTCATTTTAGACATATCTATAAAATATTAAAAACAACAAAATGACATAAAATTAAATAGATATAATAGTTATACAAATATATAACTAGTATGCTAATTTGTTCTAACTTTTGAATAATAATACTCCGGTTTTAAAATTAGAAATTCTCAAAAACATAGTCAATTTTGTGAATAGTGCTAAAAAAAAAAATAGGTATATAAGTATATATTAAATATTGAACATCAAAATAATCAAAAATGTAATATTTTATATTGATAATATATTATAATAGTTAATAACATTGATATTTATTAAATGGATGAATAATAAGTTCTTTAATCAAAATTCCTGATTTAAATTTAAAAGCGAAAGTTCGAACTTTACTTATTACCTTATAACAACAGTTGTAATATTTGTAAACGGGTTTCCAGCTGATATTTACTGATCTATGGTTAAGCTGGATGGAAATGATAAGTGATAATACACTATTTTATTTATAAAAGAAATCATACCTATATAGAACGAGATGCTACAACTTACTGTATTGATAGTAAAATGTCACAATTAACAATAACCTCGAATTCCTTGATTGTTATTTATTGCCTAGACCATGTATTGCTACTATCAGCAACTGTTTTCTTAATAATATTTGCGACATAAATTATATAACCTGGAAAACAACTACCTAGACACTAAACTGCACTGATAGTAAAATGTCATGAATAACAATTTCCTCGACCAAAATTATTCGAGGAAATTGTTATTCGTGACAGTTTAATATCAATTGATTTTAACTATAATTTTGGATCATATTTTTAGATTAATCTGTAGGTAAATATAAAACAGAAACGTAACTGATTGATCTATATACGTACAGCTCAAACCACTGGACAGTTCAGACTGGAATTTGAAATGCAAATATGCAGCTATATGACGTAGGCAGAAAGGATTTTTAAAAACTCTACCTTTAAGGTGGTTAAAAGGGGTATAAATGGCAAACACCTAGCAGCGTATGATTTACTGGTATTTTAACTTTTATCGAATTTTAAAATTTGAATTGTTTTATTCTCATTTATGATCATAAACTACCAAGTGATGATAAGAAATCGAGATAGTTGTCAAACGATAACGAAGCAGTTGTTACGGAGCGGCGCCGAATCTCGGTAAATGGTGCCCGCTCGTGTAATATAGTACCGGTGGTGCCGCTGGTGATGAGACTAGCACACACGCGGGGAAGAGGGAGATAAATGAATAACACAATAAAGGTGTAGTAAAACAAAAGAGCGTTTATATTTTTCGTGAGTAGTCTGAAGTGAGATTAGGTTTAACGTATACGGTATGATGGATTACGTTTTACAAGGAAACAAATATAATACGACACGCAACAGTGCTCGTACGACGACCGCGGACCGGTTGCTGCTTCCCCGTCACCATCTCCCATAAAGGGAATGATTGGAAGGTCGGGACCTAGACACTGCAGTATCCGCCTGACGGCTGATAAGCAAAACCGATCGCTGACGAGATAGTGTTCGTTCACTGGACTTGCAGCTATCACGAACCGTATCACTACAGATGTGATCTGTTACATTGTTTATCATAAAAATGGATGTTCGATGCAGTGGACTTACTTCGATACGTTCGAGACAACTACTTTGATAACATCCAAATAAATTTGATTTCGAGTTAGGTGTCAACGGAAGCAGTCGCTTTTCAATGCAGTTGTTATTTCCCACATAGATCATATCATATTATATTAGAACCTTTGCACAAAATAATATTTATTTAACGTTATTTAAATTGTTCGCTCTCCCGAGAGAATTGGAATCCACTCTTTTTTAGTTTTGGCAATAACTTGATATACTCAATAAAAAATAACAACTGGGAAACACTCTACATTATCATTATTTGTTCGTCAAATTATGTGATATATATGGTCACACATAATACATGCATTGTATAATCATAATTCATAATGTTTATTAAACCGTCAAGGTTTATAGTTTGTAGTTTATACATTGTATATATAGAACTATCGACTATAATATATAATAATATATAAGTCGCCTCATAGTCACGTACTCACGTAAACAATATAAACCCTCTGTAGCACCAGTGGACAGTGACGTTAGCAGCGGCGCTCTGTTGCCATATAACGTACTTAAACGGTATATGCGTTAATACAGTACCTACCTAACGGTAGTCAATAATATTATTATGAAAACTACTTGGAAAATCAAAAAACAGCTTGCAGGTAGAAACATGAGAAACAAGATCCAAAATTTAACAAAAAAGGTTATCTGTAAACCTTGATATAACATGACTAAATATTTAGCCATAGTGTATACAATAAGTAGTCATTTAATTATGTAATGTATAATTGTATTATACACAATAGTTATTATTTTATCTTGATATTTTTAATAAATATTAATAAATACTCCTAAAAGAAACGCCATAGTTATCTACACCACTGCTTAGTCCTTGTAATTAATCTCGCCATCCAGAAACTTATCCATCTGGACACCTTGTGAAAGTTTGATAAATAAATTGCATTTACTTAGGTAGGTAGGTGCTGATTTCTGCAACTACTCTAAAATATTGCAGTACCTATCCTTTTGTTCCGAATCTTGATCTGTACAAACTGTGTATAAAAAATGTTAACATTTAATTTTGTTTCTGTATGAAGTTTTTAAATTAATATAATATTTACCTGTTTACATATTTTAATAAAACATATAGGTATCTACCTATACATTGCAATATTATAAGTATAATTATTTGGTAGATGTTAAAAATTCCCAGTAGAAATACTGAAATGCTTTTGCTTTCAAAAATTAAAAATATCAGTACAAATAGTACAATATAATCAATTGTAAGTAACTTGTTTGTCAGATTTTTTTGTTTTTAGTTTTAAAAATATGTGAAAATTATTTTCCTAAATTTTCTGTTCTTTCTACGTTTTTTCAGTTTTGCTCAATTATTCAATGTTTCACATTTGCCAGACATCCTGCTGCTCACTATATTTTTAAAAACTTTAATTTCGTTATATTGAAAATACTTGTGGTTGTATACTATTTTCCTTGGATTGTATTAAGTTATTTTGCCAACATAGTTTACCTAGTGGCATAGTTTTTAGAAAAATCAAATGTTTAATATAAATTAATATTACCTAACAATTATACAATATTTAATTTCTTTTTTTAAATAGTGTTTCAAATATAAATATTAAATTATTATTTTATTATGTCAAAGAAAAACAAAAAAATACACTCAGAATCTAAAAAAAAAAACATTGAAAATTGTGAAAATGTATAATACCCAAGATCCAACAAATTCCAAAAATTTAAATAGCCTCTTATATGATTTGAAACATTTCCTACACATGATAATGAAGGATTATTTTTTTTTTGTTTTAATTAATTAACCATACATTAAATATGTGCATTTTAATAAACAAATTTTATTTACTTTAACCTACCTTAAATAACAATTTGTTAGTTGAAGTAAAGAGCTACATAAAACTATCAAAGTACATAAATTAAAAATACATAATATTTAATATCAATGAGCAAATTTAATATTATTGACCTTTATTTCTAGAATATATAATTATATAATAGTTCATTAAGTCAATAGATCATTCACAAAAATAATAAATTAAGGATTAACAATTATTCAATTTACATAAAATGTATGTTATACAAAATATTAATAAAAATACAATAATGTTTATGTATTATTTGTTTAATGTAGTAAATTAAGTATTAAATATATAAAGTGTTTGCTAAGAGACTTATTTAATTATTTTTACTGTTACAAGTGCATGTTTCAAGGTAGCCCATTGTAGAATTAAATTGTATTACAAGATAAATGATTTAAAACTTTTCTTTACAGAAACATATTTACAATAAACTATTCTTAAATGAGATAAAATATAATTACAAATTTCTAGCAATAAAAAATAGACAATTCTGGGATCTTTATATGTAGGTGCTTAAAGTTTAAAACAATAAAAACTACACAAAAAATTATTAAAAGTTATTTTTCTGATCCAATTGTGAACAAAAATATTACTTGTTAGAAATATTAGGTAAATCTTAAATCTTCATTGTCACTTGATAAATCCAATAATATTTGTACTTTGACTACTTCTTCCATCATTTTTTTCTAAAATTAATTAATTTTTAATCAAATCAGACGTCTTTACCTTAGCAATTTATAATAGTAGAATATATTAAATTATTATTATTATTTTAAATTATTGCTATCATATTCCAATAAAATTTTAGATTTTAACTTAAATGCTATATAATTATAATATTAAACAGTTTTAAAAGGCATAATTCAAATAACTAGAATTTTAAAAATAACCTTTCATATTAAAATTAATTTCTGTGAATCCATTTATTTAACATATATTTAACCTTTTAAATGATATTATTTGATACCTCAATATTTCTATAAATTATTAATACACTATAGAAATAATATAGTTATGTGTTTTTTAGTTGCTTATTTGTAAATATTAATTTAAGTGCTTTTTAACTTTTGTATGGATTTATTTTTGTAGGAACTAGTAAGAATGTCTAATTTTATTATTTGTGTATTCAAATAAAATTATAAACTAATTAAGTACTAGAATTATGAACTATATAGATCTGATAAATAGATTATATAAATACCTCATCGAGTTTTCCAATATTGTGTTTAATATGTTTTCGAAAAACACTTTTTAATGCTTTATCTGTACACAAGTCAAGTTTTACTATTTCATTTGTTATTTCTTCAAGAAACCTGTCATAAGATTCATCTGGTGTGCTTTGAAAAAATTTTCTAATAACATTAAAATAACATTTGATAAAAAGATTATAGACAAAATAAATTGGTATTGTTATGTATTTATTAAGGATGGTATTAATTATTGTTGTTATAAATTGTATGGTACTGAAATTTTACATAAATTTTCTGTAAATATTTTAGTTCATTCATTTTAAAGTAAATTTAAATACTTTTGGGTTGATCAATTTTCATTTCCCCAAAAACTTTGTTAAAATTGTTTATGTACAACCCCTTCTACAATAATATTGTATAGCTGTACCTAATTTAAATGTAAATTGGTCATTTTAATTGTTATATTTTATATTTAATATAATACACAAGTATATTAAGCATACTCAGTAAATATTTAATTATGGTTGGGTATAGTAAGAATAGTATGTATTTAAAATGCTTAGCACTAAACAATAAAAAATGATATATACTCATTTTTATTTGCAGTTTCTTTTGGATTTTCTGAATGTAATAAACGAGTTGGTTGTACTTTAGTTTTGGATTCATTTTCATGATCTGCTACAGAATATGTTTGTCTATTATTTTTAATCAATCTAAACTCGAAAACATCATCATTATATGCAGATTCATAACTTAATTTCTGTTAACATAATAATTTATAACATAAGTTTTGTTAAATAATATTTTACTCTAGTTGTCCTTCCTGGGTAGATTTATTTCCTTTCTTTTTCACCATTTAACAATATAATTATTTATTTAATCTTTTCAAAAATATAAATAAATAAATCCAATTTAATAGGGTTCCCTATTAAAATTGTCTTTTACAACCAAATTAATAAATAATAACTACTTTTCTTTCATCTATATTATCACAGTAACCTATAAATTAATAAAAAAAATTTGATTTTTCAAAAATTACAAATACCTTGTGTAAACCAATTTTTAGGGGGTTACATTTTAAAAATTATTCTTTGTCTACACACATACTGTTCATGTATAGGTATTACTTATCAAATCTCTGCATAGATAAATAACAAAAAGAACTTCCATTTATTAATATAAATTTTTGTACTTATATATAAAAAAAATTCAATAAATTATTAAGAATTTCACCCTGAACTTTTTTTTTTAGCATTTATTGTTTTTATAGGACTACTTATTTTAGATTAGGAGCATGGCCAGGAATGTATTGGTTTTACAATGATTTTTATTTTGTTTTTTATCTGCAAACAACTTTAGTAGAGGAAATCTTGCTTTGATATATCATGTGTAGTACCTTTTCTAAAAGGAAATTTTATGTTGTGGTTATTACGGAAATCATTTTTTGATTTTCTAAGTAGTTTGCATAATAATTTGGAAAAAACATAGAAAAAAAAAAGAAAAACTTATGAAAAATTCTGTTATTATTTTAAATTTTGTTTTGTTATAATCAGTTATAAATATTTTTAGAGACTTGAAATTTTAACAGAAAACTGATGTTTACCTTTTCTAGATATGGTAAAATTTTAAGGCCATTTTTGAGTCAGCAATGATTTATTAATACCTACTGGTGTAAATTATGTTACTGTGTATCCTAACTTTTCACCTTTAAGAATTAAGAATAGTACAACCATCTAATGTGGCAGGTCATACCAGTTATTGGCGTAGCGATGGGATTATAACTCTTATTAGTAAATTGTAGGTAGTAGGTAATAATCAAGTTAATACATACTCTATTTATGTGTTTTTTTTTACTCAATTTAGTACATATAGACTTATTTTTTTCATCATAATTTTGTTTTTTTAAACATTTTGCTGTAGAACTTATAGTTGAATTACAGTAATGTGGCAAAACTCTGAAAATACAAATTTTGAATATGTTAAGTAGGTTGTATAAAAATATAAAATACATTATATGTAATAAACTATATGTGTAATTCTGTTTACAATCAAATCCATCATCTATACAAAAATTTAAGAAAAAAGTGTCTATTTATATAATTTAAATTAAATATTATGCATTTATAATATATCACATTAAATCATATTGGTGTTTATATTATGGAAAACCATAGGTAGGTATATTCTATAGTAAGGTATATGTTATAAAATAACAAAAATTATATATTAAATGTTCATAATCGTTCCTGAGTATTGCCTAATCAATAACTATATTGGATAGGGTTACAATTTTAAGAGTGACTCAAACCTATAAACTCTGAACTACAATATTTCGGACAGCAAAATTATATAAGATATTCATTTAATTATGGTTAATGGAGGGTAGATTAGTTGTTGCTTGATGTTCAAACAATTTTTAAAAAAAAATTTAGCAAGCTCAGCTTATGTTTAATTTTTACTGGTATGTTTTGTACCATGAGTAAGCTGTTGTAGGTGTGAAGTTAAAAATATAGGATAGTAGGGTCAAGCCGGTAGCTGGACCAAATTTTATATTCTGAGTGGAGTGATGGTTTTACTATGATATGTATTTATTTTTTTTTTCTGCCAGAAATGTTTCCCAATCAAAAAATGACATAAAGAACTTTTTTTTATAGAATTTTTAATCTAGTTGGTGATATAAGGAGGTAGTTTATGATTTTTCAAATAGTTAACATGATAATTGAAAAAAAAAAAAAATCTGATATTGGGGATGGGTGCACACTCTATAAGCTACTGTTATTGATGGGTAGTTGGGAAGGTGGGATATCTAGTTATTTAATTTACACCTGTAAACAATGATTAACCAGTGATTACGAAAAACGATTCTGAGTGAAGAAAAAAATTCTAAAATAAAAAGAATAAAAAAATGATTTAAGTATCCGAACTAATTTCATAATTGTATTTTATCAGCAATATTTAATCGTTATGTACACATTAAATAACATAATGTATCGGTAGGTATTCTACTTAACCAACTTTCCAACTACAACAGTGTCCTAACCATCAGTGATATCAGCTCTTTTTTTTAAAATTAAATTATTATATTATTTGGGTTAAAACATAATTAATAATCAACATTTATCTTAAAACAATTATTATTTCAACAATTTATATTTATTTAGATTAAATAATATTTTAATACTACTTCATTTCAATATTAATACTTACTGATAATCGCGAATATTGGTAGTATTTTTTAATAATCGTTTACTTGGGCAAGCTTCTGACCAACAGTTTACTCTTGGTCTTACTTCGTAAATTTTTTTAAAGTGACTTCTCATTGTCAGAAACGTTGTAATATTGTCTTCTGGAAATGAAAAATTCAGTCATATATTTTACCCTATGTTAAAAAAATAACCTATTGCAAATTGGGATTTATTCATGGGTTTACACCATTGCACTAGGTATATTACCTTAAAAATAAATTGTTTAGTTATATATCACACTTACTATTTTTAGATTTGAATTGTCAACCAATATTTTTGCTTCAGATTCTACTATAATACCTATTATAGGATAATTTTCTGAAAATTTTTATGAAGGTAGTATAACAGATACCTACCTATAATACCTAGGTACTTATCTATTTATACTAATACTAAATAATGTATTACTATCTATTAAATCAACCATTTCTTACATAATATAGCATTAAAAACCAGAAGGGTATAGTTTATCGATGGTGGATACTAAAAATATATTCACTTTTCAGGAGTGAAATAGGAATCTAAAATAAGTGAGAGGTTAAACAAATTTTCATAAAAACAATATTTTAAATAATTAAATACATAGTAAGTGTATATTCTATATTAGGTTACATCAGGTAACATTATACATTGGGTAGATACGAAAAGACAAGTAACAAGTAAATAAGTAAGCCATCCCCTCTCCCACATCAGATTTACGCCTATTGGCTGAAAAAGTTATAAATTACAGTAGGTAAGTCATAGAAATATACTTATAAGAACTATACATTAATAAACTGTAAAAACCTAGTAATTACTTTACATTTTACTATACCTGGAATTTTAATTTTTACTGCAGACATGGATAATATATACTGTTGGTTCAACAAAATTTTAAATCAATAAACCAAATAAACACTAGAATTAAGATTCTACAAAAATTAAATACTACTAAAATTTGTATAATACTTTAAGATACAAATTATGTTTTAAATAAATTCAATGAACAAAAAATGACATAACTTTACAACCCATAATAGTTTGTGTACACAAATGTACGAAACTGCGTTACCATAACAACGCAATGAAATTCAAATGTACCTATAACAATAATATTGATATAGGTATTATATATTTATATCTATATATTCAATATGTGTAGGTAAAAATATATTATACAAATGATATTCAAATTTAAGTATACATTCAAGAATTTATTTAGGTGAAAAACCATACAACTGTTCTATTTTTGAGAAGTTTTACACTGAACATGGGTACCTACTTAATCACACATAGACAATTAGACATAAATGAAAAACTATTTAAATGTTCAATTTATTAAGTGTCATTTTCTGATAGATCACACTGCTTGATTCATATAACGAGAATGGATAATGGAAAAATACTATAAATATATAGTCTTGAAGTCATTCAGTCAATTGATCCTTTTTATATTGAATATTAAGCCTTTGAGTTAATATTGTGCTTTTACATGCATGTATATTATATACTATATAGACTACTACTAATGTGATTATCTGAGAATCAGTAAGCGAAATCCAGTTTTGAATTAATTATTTACTTATTATTCCTTAAGTCAGGCGCGTCCCGTAAGCCCTGTGACGTTCTTTTAGATTCTGAGTGTAGTAAATTATGTATTGGTTTTACTAAGATGTTTATTTTTTTTTTTTATCCTGTGTACAAAAATTCAACCATAAATCTTGTTCAGATATATACGCGCGGCACCATTTCTGAAGGGGAATGTTGTCCAGATATATACGAAATGAATGCTTTTATTAAGTGGCACTTGTGTTGAATTCTTTAATATTTAATAAAAATCTATTTTAGAGTTATTTTAATAGTATAATTTGTAAACTGAACTTTAATAAATATGCGTGAGGGCGAGTTATAATAAATATTACCTATACATATTATAATGTATATTATGTGTAAGTACTTACGTGTTCTTTAATGATTGCAAATTTGGGATCATAATATTTTAAATTTATATACTGTATTTTTGAAACCCACCACATTTTTTAAAATTTTATTTTTAATTTTTTTTTCATAATGATTATTTTCTGGTTTTTTTTTTCTACCAGAATGTTAATTCATAATTCCAACTTGAGATATCAAAAAAAACCCTTCTCTGTTCTATGTGTTAAAAACAACAAAATCGATCACTTGTAATTTTTGGATTAGAGCAATGTTTTTGGTAAAAAACATTGTGTAAACATAATAAAAACAATAAAAATGGTAACTGTGTGGCACTGTTTTATCTATAATCAGTAACGTAACTACATGGAAAAGGGCCCCGGGGCAATTAAAAAACCAGACCCTTTATATACTAATATACCTAGGTAATCTTAATGAAAATTCGAAATGCACTCACACGTAACAACTTTTAAGGGTAAATACTTACTATGAAATAACAAATGAAAATAATGAACAGACACCTAGTTAATAAATAAACAAAGTAAAAGAAATCCAGTTTGCTATAGAGTTTCTTACCTATACCTACTACAGAGCTCATATCAGTATGGTGAACATAGTTTATTGCATATTATTGTATATATTCTTATTTTATTTAAATATAATAATTGTGACTGGAATTATCACGTAAGAAACATTCATTATTAATACTACATCAAAATTTACAATTATTTTAAGGAAGTAATTATAGAACTATTCGAGCTCCCGAACTCTGAGGACTCGAGGCACTACCCTACTTTGCTCTATGATAGCTATGCCACTGTCTATAATTTGAATTTGGGTTTTGCCAAATTATTTCGAAAACTTCTCTAAAAATCAATAAATGACCGGTTTCAATAAATCAATGAAAGAAAATTATCTTTCCATTAAAGATGCTACTTTAAAGCATATTTTCTGGTATAAAAGTTTTTCAGACTTAGAAAAAAAAACACACATTACAGATTTACTGGAATCCAGCTAGCATTAGGTTGGAGTCCTAATTTAATCCAAAATTGGATTCCATAATGGGATACCTGAAGGAGAGTATTGGGATAGTGATGGACACCTCAAGGAATTTCTAGATTTTTAGATTGGACGTTTTGTCATTTATATAATATAATAACAATATAGCTATTGATTTAACGTTTGATGAATAATTAATTTGTGAATTTGCTCAATAAAAAAAAAATAGATACTTATTTAATAATACATGAAGCGCTATCTATAAATTGTTGATGACGTTAAACTGTGATAACACCACTTTTTTTATTATGTCTTTATGTATTTAGTATATACTTAGTGTACTTGTATGATATGGTAAAATATTTTATTGAATGTTTCTGTAGGATTATTATTTTGAGTTTGTATTCATAATTTATACGTTCAAGTTGTAATAATTGTGTAACATAATTTATATAAATATCATAAACGTGGTCATTTAAATATCTTCAATAACTATGTAAGTATATAAATATTGTTCAGAACAAATTTATAAAAGTAATAATTAAGAAATGAATACATTTTTACTATAATACATTTTAAACACTTGTGCCTATGTGATATTAACCATTATTAATAAATACAATTTTATTAGTTAAGTAGATTCTTATATTTTTGTGTTTAGTTTTAAAATTTAAGGGAATGTACTAATTAACTGATGTGAACTTCACTGGTCAGATTAATTTCCAGAGGACCGAGCCCTTTACCTAAATGAAATTTTAAAAACTTATCCTTAGATACCTATTGGTTGTTGTATCCAAAAACCAGTTTACTATTTCCATTATATTTCCTTTTGGAGCAGAAAATCCATGGATAAACTAATACGGATTAATACTGCAATTATCTGCTGAATAACTCAAAATTGTATAGTCATGTTGACTAGGTTTATAATAGAATCGGATGACACTGGTATTATTTACTTTGTATAAAAACCAACATGAAAAATTTACTAAAACTTTATGATTGTGATATAGGCCAAAACCAAACAATATAATAATAATTTTAATGTTCCATTAATTTTTATATATTTTTGTTTAATAATTTCATATCTTAAATTTGTAAATAAAGTTATAATGTGATAAATTTATTTCAATTATTATGTTCTTAAATGATTTTAATACAACTATAATTTAATTTCACATAGGTAACTAGTTAATATAATTTAGGAATGTCAACAAATACATTTACATACTTATTATTAAATGCATTAAGATAATAATAAGAAATAGAGCAAATTATGTATTACTTTATTTTTTTACTATGATTAATAAGTTTATTATTATTTCTCTGGTGTAGGAGTACTTAGTGTTGCATACAATTTCCAACTACTAATAAATAAAAAAACATACTAATATATTATAATATTTTTGTATGAATTATTGTCGTTTACAAATAATTTATGAGCACACTATTGTCATATACTATTTTGATGAAATAATTGATCAGTGGCCTAGTGGCGGTCTCCAAACCTTTTCCCTAAGTAATTGTAATTAACGTATGTCTGTCGAAAAGTATGCGTAAATTTAAAATTAAGGTTACTTATAATTTGGTAAGGAGATACTCTACTAGCGCATCAAAACTTTAATAATTGAACCATAATTAAAAATAGAAAAAAATAACTAATCGATTAAAAAATTTAAATGGTTATAGAAAAATATATTAGTAATTGTATACAGAAACATTTTATTAGTATTATATTAAAAGTTTAATTTTGCTATAAAATTGTTTATTTAAAAACAATGACTATGTTTTAAATTGTATATTTACTCGGGTTAATTAGTATTATATTACCATCCTCAAAATAGCAAGCTTGGCTCTACTAATGAGTGTAGATAGACATTTACTATATGCATAAAATAAAAATAATATTAAGTATCTGGTTAGTATATTTAGTAGGTATTGTACACTTATGTATGTGATAAGATACCTACTACTGATACCAGATTTTAATCTGGTCAAGGAATAAATTGATGTTTCCTACAGTTTATCCTCCCTCAGTGGGAAGTTAATAATAACGTGCAATAGATATACAGGTGTAACATGTAAACAGGATGTCCAGTTACACCCATTATACAATTGTGTTGTCCGATTTTCAGAATGATCATAAAAAAATGTTTGCCAGGGCTGGGGAAATTAGATCTAATTGAACTTAGAACTGATAGTAAATTGGACTTCTCCTAATTTATGTGAGAATTCTATGGGTGAATAAATATAATTTTGATTTAATATTAGAATTCTTAAAATTTAATGTGTATATATACAAAGAATAAGGCATAGTTTATATAAAAAGTAATGATTAATCAAATATATTTTAGATTATGAGTGGAGCGAAGTAGCTTATGGCTTTATAATGTTTATTATTATTATTTTTTTTAATCTGTGCGCAACTTTTCTACCAGAAAACTTGCCTCGATTTGTACATGTAGCATCTTTTCTGAAAGGAAATAGGTGTGAAGAGGTACTTTAGGGTGGTCATATTTAGATTTTCTCAAAAGTTTTCTCATCAAATTTGAAAAACTGAAATAACGGGAAAATATCATAAATGTAGGTATTAGGCCGCGCGCACATTGGATGCGTTTTCGTACGAATTTGATTCGTGCGAACTTGTACATACACGCACGAACGATCCCGGCCTACCTGATACTATGTGAGCGCGCAGACTGGGTGCGATTTGTTCGTGCGTGTACGTACAAGTTCGCACGATATGTACGTGTAACTTTGACGTACGAAAACAATCCGAACTTGTCCGGATTTCATTATCGTTCGTACGATAATGATGACGACGCAGCCGTCTCCGGACTAGAAGAGAATTATCTTGAAGGTACAGATTATACATTGCGTTCTAATAATAAGGTTAGGTTAATAATAAGGTTATAACAATAAGGTTCTAATAATAAGGACGTCACGATTGCGATATCACCGGAACACTATTTTACGGAAAAAAACGTATTCAGTGTGCGCAATCAAATCGTACGACCAGTATTCGTACGTTTTCGTACGAAACAAATTCGTATACAATGTGCGCGCGACCTTAGTTAAAATATATGACAAATTTTTTTCCTGTGCACAATTTTTCTACTAGCAATTTTGCTACAATTTATAATGATAGCAATGTTTCTAAAAGGAAATCCAACTGGGGAGGTACTTTGCCCTCTGGAACTAAACGTTGCGAGGTATCCATCAGTGAGTTTCGAACTACTTGTTTGAACCGAAATTCAAAGTTTATTCGTTCGTACGAAAACCCCACACTTGACACCAAAATATGTAGTGAGCTCAGGGCTGACGCTCTGTGTTCATACGATTTATTTAATGACGGACTTCGCCTACGTCTGCTGGTGGTAGAGGATTGTGATGGATAGTAAAAACAATTTATAAATACATATAACTAATTACTTTATTTTACAACTCATATAATTAAAAAAACAGAAATAGAAAACGGACCAGAGGTTCGTCCGCAAGGGCTTGAACGTGGACCGATCTTAACGTGAGACGGTGGCGATGATCTGGAAACTGTAACCGTTCTGTCTTAGGTGTATAACAGGACCCGTATATATACAGATCCAGTGGACGCTACGTGATTCCTGAAGGTTAATTTAATAGAAGCATAAGGACGCAATAGGAAAAAGAATAGGTACATAGCGCGTGTCGCTATAGGTCCCCTGTGATAATCAAATATTATATTGACGTAGTTATCGGCCTCGACGTGCATGTAATTATATAGTTTAAATGGGTTTACTACAGAGGTTATTTTTCAATTTTTGCAAGAATTTCCCAGGCAAATGTGAAAAACCGGGAAAAACATATAGGAAAACTAAAAAAAATCGGTACAACATTAAATAAATATTATTAAAGAAAATATATAGAGGCTATTTATTTATTTTACTATATATTGTTGACAAAGCATCCCTATCAACTCAACTTTGCTTAGAATCTTTTTTTCGTAAGCAATGGTTTATCAGTGATTACAGGTATACATTAAATTACCTATAACAGTGGCTGTATCTGTCCCCATTATACTAGTTTTTTTTTTTTAATTTATCAATCTGATAAATATTTTTTTTGTTTTAGGGACTATTTATCAAATTCTGAAAATACATTTGTAAATATTTTGACATCATTAAGGGAACAAAGTGATATAAAATGGTCATTAAAGTCTTTAGATACTGATCAATTGACATCTAATTCTCAAGAAACACATTTATCTAACTATCAAAAAAACCAATTACTTACGGAAAGTGTAAAGTTGTCAATTAAAGAGGTTAGTAAATAGTAATACAATATAGTAAGTATATATTATATGGAAAACTAAATAATATTATTTTGTTATTTTTTACAAATAATAATAATTACTTTTTAATTTATATTGAATATTTAATAGCTTAAATTGGATTGCAATGAATAATGAATTGCCACTATGACTTTAATTATTATGATAGATCAATATAATGATTTTACCATGTTTAATTTATTATATTTTAATTATAGTTATTAATTTTTAGCTAGCTCCAATTATCAATTCTGATTTTGATGTTATATTAAACAAAGCAATACAAATACTTGAAGATTTGAAAAGTTTAAAAAAAACAGCAACTATTAGAATTATGGGATACATGTTAATTAAAATTCTGAAAACAAAACTTCAAGGTTTATATGTAAATGAACATAAATTGATTACGGTAATACAATAGAATCATTTTTAAGTTTCTTTACTGTTTATTATTCAATTTATATCTAATTGTAAATTACATAAATACCTAACTAAGTTGTATATTTTTATTCCATTACATCTAAAATAATTTTGAAAAAATATGATAGATGAAATCAAATTTTAATAAAACACCAGTGATATTTGTTCCGAGTCACAGAAGTTACCAAGATTTTATTTTAATGGCATTTATATGTTTTCACTATAATATTGAAATTCCATATGTAGCAGCTGCTATGGGTACTTTTATAATGATTTACAATATGCACGGTTTAGTAGAAAATTTTGTTGATTGAACCCTTGGTATCTATTTGTATGGTTTTTAAAGTTCAATTAAGTTGTAGAGTTGTTACTGATTAAAAGTTTATAATTTTTGATCAGGTGTTTTGATATCAAATTGCTATTTGGTAGCATGAAAGCCTTAAAATAGATATACCTAATTGAAATAAATTTTAGAATGTTTTATAGGTTATGGTTAAATTTACTGGTGTCTTTTTTCTAGTCAGGTATATTATATTTTAAACCTATATTATGCAATTTTGTAGAGAAATATATTATTTAGTTTTGTAATCCTTTATGCATTTACACTTTACAGTGTTTAGGACAAGTTAAATATAGTCACTAAACACTAATTGTTTGGTTTTATCAAAGGTAATATATAAATATTATATTAAGCATATTTGGATATATATATATAAATAATTTATAATTCATTTTATTTTTCTTTAACGAAACTAAAATTTAAACCAGATAACCATGCACTTAAAATTGTTTTTATTCATTTTTTGAAATTGTTTATTTTCACATAAATATTTAAATTATTTAGAAGTACATGAAAAAAAATATTCATGTTGGATTTTCGTTTTATTGGTTTACTTTGGATTTTTTTTTAATTTGCACATGAAATATTAATGAATATTTTTATTCAATACATGTATTTTATAAAATTAAATAAAAAGAAAAAAATTTTTAAAATGTTTCCAAAGAAACATTTGGTTATGCTTCTGTTATTTTCGATTGAATTTAAAATTATTTATTTTATTTGCTTGATTATTTGAATTGCTTTTGATTTGGTTTGTTTTTGTTTGATTATTACTTAGATGCTTAATAAAAATAATGGAAGTCGTTGTGTATGTTATCTACAATATTTTACTCAGCAGGATTTCATTTGTGTAAATGTTTTAAAACCAAAAAAGTGTTTTTCATTTTGACGATTGTATTTCTGAAATTTGTTGGCAGTGGGCAATACTGTATTATTTTAAAAAAAATTGGGGCATGGTGGATAAAAGTTAAAATGTTTATAAAAGTCAACAAAACTTTGTATTTTAAGTCCTGAAGGGAGTGAGGAACGTATTGGATTTACAATGATATTTATAAATTTTTGTTTTTCTGTGGAAAACTTTTCTACCAGCAATTTCCCTTAGATTTACAATGATTAGCACTTTTTCTGAAAGGGAATCTGACTGGGATACTTTATGGAGATTAGTTTTTGATTTTCTCAAGAGTTTTTATAATAAATGAGAAAAACATAAAAAAAACTGGATAAATAAGTACAATATTGAACCAATATTATTAAAGACACTGTTTGTAGACAAACTTAACTCAGAATTGGGTTTTGTTAACAATGGTCAATCGGTGGATACAAATGTACATTAAATTTCCCCTTTAGCTGCCAAACTTATCACATACAATGGTGACCCACCCACCTACCAAAGTATGTCCTTTTTAATTACATGAGTCACCGAAATCTTGTATATTATTGATATTTACAATTATACAAGACACAAGTATAACACTAAGCTAAACATCATTATCACACATCCTGAGTCAGTCTCTGCCATATCCACAGATATGGCCCAGAATGTAGATAACATACAACTCAAATTCCAAAAAAATAATATTAAAATGTGATAAGTGTACATTTTACTAATTTTATTAAATATTAAATTTTTTTTTCACAGATTTTAAAGATATGAAAATAATGGGAAATATATTAAAACAATGTGGTGCTTTTTTTCTGCATAGAGGTAAAAATTCTCAAGATGATGTATATAGATCAGTGTTGAACACATATATTAAACACTTGATAACACGTGAAAGTTCACCATTACAATTTTTTATGGAAGGTACTCGTAGTCGATCTAATAAATCAGTTGTTCCAAAATTAGGTAAATTACATTATTTATGTTACTAATATACCATAACTTTTTAATATCAACCTATGCAAATATATTTAACAATTAATAAATTATGGTTAAAATATTGTAATATAAAAAAACATATAGGGTGATCAACATTTAAGATACTCATTATATTATAAAGAATCAACTTTTTTTAGAAAATTTAAGAAACTCAGCTTTAAAATGTTTTATTATGTTATTTTTTGGGAAGTGGATGAAATTATTAGATTTTTTTAGTTATTGTTACTGTACTTATTAAGGAAAAATTTCAAATTAATTATTATGTTATTTTTTTAAAAATATTAGAAGTATAATATTAGCTGTAAATATATATTGTGTATTATCTTTATACAGAATGATTCACTAAGTGTGCTCACCCCATTTCTTTTGGTTAAATTTTGCATATATTCAAATATTGATTTTTGGAATTTTTAAGTGTAGTTAAAGTATTTTCGAATACTTAAATTGTTCATAACATTTAAGGAGTATTCTGTATCTTATCATACCAACTTTAGTTTTTAAAATGAGAATCTATATTCAAAATTCCATAAATAGATTGAGTTTCGTTTTATTAGTGCTCCATTATTCCTCGCTAAACTTAAAAGTGGAATATCTGGTTAATGGGTAGACGAAAATCAAAAATGTTAACACCAAAATGTATTTAAAGTAATACTCCACCTATTTATGTAATTTTTAATATAGGTTCTCATTTGAAAAACCAACATTGGCATTGTCACTTGATACTCCTGGGTTTAAAATGAAATTTTGCTCTTTTTAAAGCTATGAATTAAAAAGGATATTTCCTTAAAGGAAGTACCTTTTTCAAAAGATAAATTACTGGACAACAACCAAAATTAACTAATTGGCATTGGGATAATGGTGGAGATGATGAGATATAATGAATCTATTTTTTTATATTCATTTCTGTCATTTAAAGGATCAAGAAGAAGAAATGCTGAGTAAATCAGCTAATATATAGATAAATAGATAAAGTTTAAGTTTACATACATTTTGTTGTTGAAATTTCAAGTATCCCTTAACCTGTTGTAGATATTCCACTTTTAGGTTTTTTGTTTTGTTTGTAGGGAGGTAAGTGAAAATTTCTTTGTGTGGTGGTGTGAGGCTTGAGGTTTCAATAGTGCTTCACTATTCTCCGCTACCAATAAACTGACAAACTTAAAAGTTAACAGATAAATGAAAATATATATTTTAACACCAAAACACATTAAAATTAAAACTTTCATCTATTTATGGAATTTTTAAAATAGGTTACCGTTTGATATTTAAAAGTGAGTAATGGTTTCACCAGCAAAAATAAGAGTAATGAAATAATTTAGAACTACTTGTTTCTTAAAAACAAAATGTTGAAAAAATTTAATACTTTTGAAGATAAAGAGTGTTTGAGGATAATTCTTAGGGCTGATCACCTGTGTTTTGATTACACCAGAGGTGGCCAAATTATAGTTTGTGTCATGACTCATGTTTCATATTAAGGTGTTTACAACAGCACTTCCTAGGTGGACTATTTTAACAAAGAACTTATTATTTATAATTATCTAATTATATTAATTAATTGTATAATTTTGAGAATTTAATGAAAACAAAATAATATGTAAATAATAAGTATTTTGACATATTTATCTATTGTTACCCATCTTTATTACTTTTAAATATAAAATGATAAATTATATTGAATTATATATAATTTATTTATCAATAAACAAGTAATACTTTCCACAATAATACATGTATGATAGCCATAAATAAATTAAATGTGGGTTTGTTTATTTAATCAAACTTCAACTAGTTAAATTTATATTATACCTTTTTATTAAATTTTTAATCATAAGTTTTTCTTTTTTTAAATTCTGAGTGTAGCAATGGAATTATTGGTTTTACTAAGATGTTTATAATTTTTTTCTTTGTTCTTTATTCTAGTTTGTGGACACATCTTTTACTAATTTAACTTGTTTCGATTTTTACATGTAACTAACTAATGATTAGCATTAATCATACTCACAGATTAAATTAATATGATAAAAATATTTTTAAATTGTACAATATTTCATAGAAAAACCAAATTAATCATTTCAAAATGTAAATACCCAAATAATTTCATGTTTCCCAAAATTTTAAAAACAATTGACTCAATCTTAGTAAAAATGTTGACATCAACATTTTTCTAAAAATTAGATATGCAAAAAAGCTATCTTGATTTAAAAAAAAAAAAAGTTTAGTATATTTACATTTAAGATTCTGAGTGGAGCGAAGAAGCTCATGGTTTTACAAAGGTGATTTTATTATTTATTTTTAACTTTTAATAACTTTTTTACCAGAAGACTTGCTGATATTTCTAAGTGTAGCACCTTTTCAGAAAGGAAATTGCTGTGGACAGGTACTTTAAGGAGGTCATATTTCGATTTTCTCAGAAAATGTGAAAAACCAGGATAAGACTTAGGAAAACTGAAAAAATCGGTATAATATTAAACAAATATTAAAGAAAATATATAAAGTCTATTTCATTATTTTACTATAAAATTACATATATATAGTTGACAAAGCATCTCTATCAACTAAACTTTGCTCAGAATAGTTTTTTGTAAGCAATGATTAATCCTTACTTATAGCTATATTTTAATTTATCTATAACAATAGCAGCACCTGGCTCCATTATCCTGAGTGTCTTTTTTATTTTGAATTCTTTAATATTAAAATTTAACTAAAAGTATTAAATTAAATTTTTTTGCTGAGATGTAATAATAATTTTAAAATATTTAATAGAAAATAACTTTGATGAGCTATTCCCAAACCCTCAAACATTGTTGGGCAAATTGTAATCTGATTAATGATTACATTTTTTAGTTGTTAATCATAATATAAATCAATGTAATCAATAATCATAATAAAAAATTTTTAAATGATCAAAGTAATAATATAATCATAGTATTGATTACCATTACAAAATACTTTTAATTTGTAATTATGATTAATTTTTAATCATTAATGGTATTAATGAATAACAGCTATATTTTGAGATAAACAACATTTCGCTATTTGAATCTGCTATTCAAAGGTTTTCCAATTGAATAGAAGTGAAAATGAATGTCCCCTCCCCAAAAAAAACTTATTGAAAGGAGATGTCCATTAGAGGAGTTTTTACTGTAATTTATATAGACATTTTATTCTATTATACAGTTAAGTATACTTATTCATCTAAATATTTTTTACTTATTACAGTCATTAATATGTATAATGTATTACGTATATGTATCCAGGCTGATCTAACAGATGGGATCAACAGATGGCTTCCCCCAAAGGGGAAACTGTCCTAAGGCATTGGAAACACCTTAAATATATGGGGCACCAAATATATATATATATCAAGTTTAGACACTAAACATATGATAATTACCTTAGAGTACTAATAATAGTTAACACAGTACTGTATGTACATTATACATTGTACAATTGTATAGTTGTAGTTATGTGATAAATTTAACAATAATGATTAATGATTATAAATATTTAATCATGATAATTGATAATTTGAAAAATGATTAAATGATTAAATGATTAATAACTAATTTAATTTAATAAATTTATTATAATTGATTACATAATTTAAATGTAAATTAATCAATTACGCCCAACACTGCCATCAGATTCTGAAACCATGATATTCTTCTTTTACTCTAACTAAATATTTTTCCTTGAAAAATAGTGTAAATACTCCCTTTCTTGTATATTGAAAGATATTAAATTTTGGCTATTCACTATGAAATAATTGTGAGGATGTTGCAACTAATAACTTAAATAATTATTTAATTTTTTTCAGGAATACTAAAATGTATTTACAATACTTTAACAAACAATGATGTTGAAGATATCACGATCATTCCAATATCTATTAATTACGATTATCTTCTTGAAGACAAGTTATTTTGTTATGAACTTATTGGCCTTCCTAAACCAAAAGAATCTACTTTAGTATGCATTAATTTACTGTAATAAACTTAATTTTTAATTTTCTTTATAATTTAATTTATTATTAAAACAATAACACAATATACTTATTTATGGAGTTCTATGGAGGAATTCTGTTCATTTATTTACCTAAAAGTTTGCATGGTAATATAAATTATACTATCCTACTCATATAGTAATAAATTAATATTTGTATTGAACAGAAAGAATTAAATAGATATATTATTTACTTGAAAATTGAGATTTTTTTTAAATTTATATATATTATGTATTATGTTTAATTAATAAGCAAATTAATAATGGTATATATATTTTATAGGGATTGATTAAAAGCATTAAAAATATGGATGATCATTATGGTAATATTTATATTAATTTTGCTTCTCCTATATCACTTCGAAAATATATTCATGATATTAATTGGACTAATAGTAAAAATGACAATGTAATAACAACTCTTGCTTATGAAATTATGTATAGGTATATTTTACAGTGGTTTAATAATAATATTCAAGCAATAAATATAATTCTATAATTTTGATATTTTTAGGCAACAACATGGTATGATTTTATCATATTTTAATATATTAGCAGTAGCATTGGCTTACAATTATTTCAGAAATAAGACTTATGTCATACATATAGATGTGATGGTTATTCAAATAAAATGGATAAGTGAACTTTTAAGAAAATGCGGTGCTGAGATTGAAGCGGAAGGTAAAATTTTGTATGATTAATAAATTGAAAAACTTAACATTTTTATTTATAATGAAAAAATAGGTATATATTTTTTTTAAAAAAACTTATTGTATCCTAAAGTTACACAATATATTGTATTTTAGATTCTGATATTGAAAGTAGAATCATTGATGTTGTACAAATTCATCAAAACTTTGTAACAATGAATGACAAAATGATAGAATTAAAAAAAAAATGTGTTATGTATGACAATGTTGATGCATCAAATTCATCAGGTAATAAAATGTATTTATTTTAATAGTTTAAACAGTTATACATTTATTTATTCATTTTAATCTTTAAAAATAATATATAATTTTTATTTAACAAATGTTAATTTTTTATTATTATAGGAAATCAAAACAAAATAACTGAAAAGATGAATAGTGCATTTCCATTAATTTTAAATCAACTGTACATCAATCCATCTTTACACTTTGTTATAAATATGGGGCTTATAAATGTACTGTCAAATTGTCGAATAATTTGGAATAATAGTGAGCTGGAATTTGAAATTAAACAGAATAAATTCTTCAATTTTTCCAAAAAAAATAATCATGATAAAAAACAAAATATATTACAGTATTTAGTTGAAATTATTATAATTTTAAATGTTAATTTTTTTTTTTCAGATATATTGGATTTGGAGGAAAGTTTTATTTTATTAAGACGATTATTTGAATTTGAATTTGTGTTTTATGATGGATGGGAAACACAAGTAAGTAAACTTGGCATTTTTAAATATATTTATATAAAAGGTTGAGAGAGAAACCATAACAATAAAGTTGGTAGCAATTTATTTAAGAAAAACATCTCTTAAAGAGAATGAACAAACAAATTAAGCAAATAAAGTTGCACTTTGGGAACACCTACCATCAACTTTTATCCTCTTTTCTTTTTGTTCTGTATCCCTTTTTTTTTTACAGTAATTTTTTATTATGCTCCTCTTTCCTTCTGGCAAGAAATCAATAAAGAAATTTCCTTTTAGTCCCAAAACACAAACACAACTTAATTGCTATTATTTTCATCTGGCCTACAATCACAAACAGGCATTACTTTCCAGATGACTACCATATATGAACAGTGTACACATTTATTGTGTTATTGTCTATATGTACAATATTAATTATTGTAATGTATATAAACATTAAAAATTCTAAGCCATATGAAATATATAGGTGTAGGTAACTTATTAATTTTATTATAAATAGTTTAACAGAATTTCAAAGTATTGTCAAAACTACTAACTATTTTGATGGGGAGATGCTGTCTGATGGTCTCATCTAATGTACCTTTCAGATTTCCCTACCCTAAATACATTACTAGTACTATATAATGTATGTGTTATAGTATATGATATGGATAATGAATATTATTCAATCATTACTCATATAATTCCTAACCATAATACATATTACATATTTACATGTGTGCTTATAATCTAGGATAACAGCAAATGATTTAAAAATCAGATAAACAAGTTTAATTTATTGGCAAATAAATTAACTGAGACTATATCAAAATCCCCTACTCTAATTATATTCTTTTATTTTGTATATTTTGTATATTTCTTTTACAGGATTTTAATAATAGCCTTTCGATGTACATACACACACTCGAAAAAGAAAGAGAATTACTTCGGTGTTTAACTATTAATCCTTTTATTATATGCTATCGACAAATTTATAACAGTTTAAAAAATGTAAGATTAATTGGTTTTCTTGTATGTATTTATGTATTAATTTTTATTTACATTTTTAGATGAGTCAAACTATAATTTCAGAAAATTTAGTATTTAAAACAATTTTTATGGACATGGAGTTCATCTCACACCCTTATGGTTTAACTAAAGATTTAATCAAAACTGCTTTATGTTCACTTCAAAAAATGAAAATAATTAAAATATTTAAAAAGTAATATATTTTATATAGTATAAGACAGTTTTAGTAAACACAAATTTGACATATATAACAGTGTACAGTCTAAATATTTAATATAGGGGCATCTTAGCTATTATGTAAATACAATTGCAGTAACTCTTTTACAGTCTTATGGGTAAACTAGATGCAAATGGAAAAAAAAACACGAGTTAATTATTATTTTATTTTGTTGTTACAGGCAAGTACAGCAAAAGTCTTGTCATATTAATTGCAGTTAATAATTTCCACATTACACTTAATTAATATCTTCATTAATACTGTATTACTCTACATTGCCAGCAAGGCTGTACAAGAAAGATAGTATATGAATATGAATATGAATTATAAAGTGACAAATAAAAATAACCATTATTATAACTATATAATGATAGATTTGTTGCTTTTTATTTTAAAAGGCTCTATTTAAGAAAGATTTATAATATAATACATAAAATATAAATTAAAGATTACACTTTAATCATTAAAAAATTAATAATAATAATAATATAAATCTTTAATACTGCTAATAGATGTGACTCTATTTTTGGAGGAAATATTATATAGAGCAGAGGTTCCAAACTTTTAATTTCCCGTACCACTTATATGGATTATGGATGTGTCACATACTACATAAAACTAAAAATTGAATTTGTAAAATGTTTACATTTATTTCAAACCAATAAGACAGTAAACTATTTAAATATAATATTTATATGAAATATAGTATTATATCCATTAAAAACATTTGTAGGAATATTGATTAATTTATTTTCTGTATTGTTAAACCGTGTATACATATGGAGCCAAACTTTATGTGAACCACTCTGGAAGTGTTTGTGTCTATGTTTCTACACTTATGATATAAGTCCTATACACTTGCACACCTCGTAAACCAATACTGGCAATAAATCAACAACTAATGATACTAGGTTCATGTTGTGTTCTTCAAAGAAACCTACATTCAATGAATCAGGGGCATGTATACTGGCTTTACCAAGTGATCTTTTGCATACCACCTTGTTGCCTACAGTTTTTCACCAGTGGTTCCCATACTATAGTTTGAGAACCACTGATATAGGTTAATTTAATTTATATCCATGTAACAATTAACAATTCTGATCAGGGTATTTTTATTTATATTTTTTTTCCCTTGTCAATGTACCTAACTCAGAAATCCTCAAAAATTATGATATAATTTAATTTTTGATTATTGATAAAATTTTTTTATAATTTTATATTTTAAAACATTGACAGTTTTCCCCATTTATTAAGAAAACTACAAGAAAATTTAAAAAGTTACCTTTAGAACACCTCAACTAAATAAAATATTTTTTAAAAAAGTTCTTATAAAATTTTTGATTGTACTAAGTTTTCTGATGGAAAAATTGTTTATACACAAAAAATAATTGCTGATTTACGGGAGAAAAAAGGAAATCTAAAATAATGTATAAATCCAAAAATAATCAAATTAAATTACAAATAAATTTTAACAGGTGTCTTAAAATAACATATTTAAATAGCCCTTTTTCAAATATTGGGGATAAAAAAATTTCAATATAATTTTTAAGTTTTATTTATATATATACAATTTTTTTTTTCAGTGATGAAACAATACAGTATAAGATAAACAAAACCAATATTTTGGATTTGGTTCGTATATTTGGTAAGATTTATGAGAATTAAAATTGAGTAAGAATGGAAGAAGGGCTTGTATATATTGTGTATAATTTTTAATATAAGCAAATACAATTTAATCTTTACTTGGTTATTCTACTACTTGTAATCTATTACTTGGTTATTTAGACCAAGTAATAAAGAGGAAAAGATTATAAAAGATGAAATAATATAAAAAAAATATACCAACAATTTATGTAAGCCCTTTTTCTCAGAGATCAAAAAATAAATACTATATTGTATTAATTTAAGTTATTTATCATAGAGTGTTAAATAAATTGATATTATTTAGTAGTGGATATGAAAACAATTTAAATTATTGTAAATTGTATACTTATTTAACTTATAATTCTACACTGATATTAGACATTAAAACATTACATTGTGTTTTAAAAATAATATAAATATGTATTTATTGTGTTTAGATGAAATTATAATGACTGGAAACAATTCAATGAAATCAAAAATTTAAGTACAGTAGAACCTCATTAATTCAGTTTTTGCTTAATCCGGACAGACCAAAAAAATAAACATGAAAATAATTTCCCATAAATGTGTTTCATCACAATTATTTATAAATTATGTTTATTATAATAAAAGCTAACAAATTTATAATACATACACTATTTTCAGTTGTTAAATTCAGTAAACTATTAAATAAAAAATTACATAGTTTTAGTTTTATTTAATCTGGACAACCTAGAGCCCCAATTCTCCCCAATAGTTTGGATTAATGAGCTATTATTGTAATGAAATTTAAGTAAAAATATTATATTATGTAATACAATGTTGTATATATCTTGATTTTAATATTAGCTAGTTATATTATATTAGATTATATTATATTAGACACCATTAGACAATTCAAATTTACTTTTAATAATATTGATATAAGGTACATAATTATTGTTATTAAATAATATAGTACGCAATTTAAATTATTAGTAATATAGTAATACTCTATTTTATTATTATAAGTCATTATTAATATCACAATGGTAGTATTAACTGCAATTTATTACATTGTACATAAAACACTTTTTTACCAACATTTATACATTTATAACTGAATAGTAATTTTCTTTACATAACTACTCAATATTTAGATATTAAATTAAATAGTGATAATCAAAATTTGAACAAACTATTATGTATGTAATCTAACTATTTTATTATCAAGAGATTTTTTACTACTTACAGATACATCGATTCTTATTGATAAACCATATTTCAATATTATATTCAAATTTTTTCTCTTTTTGTCTCTCTTTTACTTTGTTAACTACATATATTTTAAGGAGGGCATAACAAAAAATATATGGGTCCCTGTAATGATTTATACAATGGTTTATCATGATTTTAGTATTAGTTATATTATATTAGACACTATTGGATTTAATTAGTTCTTAAGCCAATTTATATTTAATATGTTGATATTAAACTCTTACACTTTTTCTCCATAAATACTTCTCGGTCTAATTTTTTTCTCATTAGAGCCTCTTTTTCTACATTAATAAATGTAAATGTACTACTTCAGCATCACTACCTTAGGAACACCTACTGTACATACAGTAACAAATATATAATGGTTCTAGTTGAATACTGTAGCTGAAGAAATTCCACTTAGAATAGATAAAAATATTATTATAAAATGTGTGTTTTATATTTTTTCCTATTATCATAGGAGGTACTTAATATATGATCTAGGTAGTCGGTTGGGTTATATATTCAATCATTCTATATTCTATTTCCCTCCTACAGTTTAATTTATTACAATGATATACTTGTATATATTAATAGTTCAAAAATATTAGAAAATGTATACATTTTTATTTTATAATGATAAATATACTTAGCAATTAAAATTTTAAAAAATAGTATTATTTTGTTGTTAATTATATTTACAATACCTAACAATTTTAGGAGTTAAAAAATATTTATGATTATCCAATTATATTAATATATTAGGACGTTTGAGGATATGACGATTAAAAAAAAAAGGACTGTTTTAAGAAAAGGACATATTTTGCGTGTGGGTGCAACCAATTTTGTAGGTGGGAAGTTGGGAAGGTAGGATACAGATGGGAATTTAATATATATCTATAAACTATTGCATACTAGTTGAATCCCAGAAAAAAAACATATTCCTTCCCATTTTTACAGACTTATTACTGTCTAATTACAGTCTAGTTACAGGTATGGTTAAACATTTTTTTTTTCTAATGTTTACTATTTTATTTTTATGATTTATGTCTATAGGATTTTTAATTAATAATTGGGTTGAAATTTATAAGATATAGATTTAACAAATTTGTAGCAATTAATTTTTCTCAATATTTTTTCCTTTATGAAATCTTATATATTATACAGTTTCTTCTTCTTCCCTCTGGACTTCTCATTTTAATATAAATGTCAATTTGAATATATTTTAAAATGTGTATAAATTGAAATATTTTTGGGCAAGCAAAATAAAACATTGAATATTCATATGAATATAAGGATTCAATACACAGACCCAATTTAAACACTATGAAGTAAGAAGTAAATTACTGATGTAAGTTATATTAAACACAATTTATGTCAATATAGCAAGATAATAGTTCTGCTCCATCTAACCTACCAACTATAAAGATATTAAAATACTGTCAATACATGATGATTATATCCCAAACTAGTGATGGTTATAATGAATAAAACTGTCATTTCTTTGAAAATCTCATGAAAAATTAAATGTATTTTGGCCCCCTTAGATATAACAAAACACAATCTCAATACACATTAACACTTTTAATAAGTCCTATTTAAAAAAAAAAGAAAAATACATCTCGTGGAAAAAATACTGTGTTATTATTATTAAAGTGCCTTAATATTACAAATAATTAATAAAAATACTATTTCAAATACTTCTTAAATATTTTTTGACGAGTGTATTTTAAATATTTTCAAAATACTTTTTTTACATTTTATTCCATAATATTAAATCATTTTTTTTTTTTTTTTTTTTATGTTATTTACAGGTCAAAAAGTAGTGACTTTTACACAACTTAAACATATTTTCCTCTGTTATACCACAGATAAGAAAGAAAAAAATGATTTAAAAAAAAAAAAATACAAATTTTGGTCCATGATAGTGTTAGCCCATTTATTATATTTTGTAATTACTCACAAATTCAATAGTATAAAAATTAAATACATTTATAGGATTATAGGTAATATAACTTAAAGTAGTACAAAATAATAAAAAATATATTATCTCTGAGGATTTTAATTGAATTTGTTTTAATGATTATGGAATCTTTTTAGCTTTATTTTAAAACCATTTTTAATTTTTACCCCTACTCCATATATCTTAAATAAGATTTTCAAATAGGACCCTCCCCCTTTTGAACCCAAATTTAAATAGAGAATATGTACTTATTTAGAATATATGGAGTAGGGGTAAAAAATTAAAAATGGTTCTAAAATAAAGCTTAAATAATTCCATAATGATTATAAAAAATATAAATCATTCACTTAAAATCCTCAGAGATAATTGCTGGATAAAAAAAAAATCACTCTGTATACATATATATTTACTAGCCCCCTTTTTACCATCTTAACAGGTAACACATTCTGATACCATACTATTCTTCATTATTCTTTCGAACCTTTAGAAACGTCCACTGGAGAAGGCTACCTGTACTGATGCTATTGCTGAAGGGCTTTTTCAGTCAGAAATATGTATATGTATGCATGTGTCAGTAATTATGAATAATATTGAAGTTATGCTATTGTTATGACTTATGAACTAATGTTAATCAAATAGTTATTAATGTTGTAATGTAGCTAGTTTTCTTTTTTTTTTTACGATTTTTTCTGTTGTATCTATACCCCCCTCTTTTCTTTCTTTCTGCTTTAAATGTGATTTAATAACTAAAATTAAGTCTGGAGATAAAAACTTTTGACATTGTTTTAAAAAAGATTCTTCAGAATCTAAATGATTTAATAAATAGAGCTTGTTTTCTAATGTCTTAATATGGTCCTTGGCTAATCCGAGTTTTTTCTTCAACTTCAATTCTCTAGGAGTTGCATTTGAAAGGTGCAATGTGGTTTGAGTGGATGAAGTTGAACTGTTGACAGGCATCTTCAATTCCAATTCTCTAGGAGATGCGTCGGAAAGGTGCGATGGGGTTTGAGTGGATGAATTTGAAATGTTGTCAGGCATCATCAACTCCAATTCTCTAGGAGTTTCATTTGAAAGGGGTAATGGGGTTTGAGTGGATGAATTCGAAACATTGACAGGCATCTTCAACTCCAATTCTCCAGGAGTTTCATTTGAAAGATGCAATGTAGTTTGAGTGGATGAAGGTGAACTGCTGACAGATAAACTTGGACTTGAACAAATTAAAGGTTTAGATAAATCCAAAATAGTATACGCTGCTCGTTTAGCCAGTATATCATCTAAAACCAATGATAATCATTACTATGTCATTATTTCATTATCTAGAACATTGATATTTATTATAGTTATATCTTACCGTTAAAGAGTGTAGGGATAGCATTAAATGTTAACCGGTTTTTAGTAAGAATATTCAAAAACATTTTGTTTTCAAAATGTTCTTGACATATCCGAACATCTTTAATCTGAATGTTTTCTTCAAACATACAATTTTCAATCCATATTGCACGTCTTAAACCATAAAAAGTATACCAGTATGAAATAGTTGTGATACATATGAAAATTAAAGAATACAGAAGTTAATTTAAATATTCTTACCTTTCTGAGTCCTTTGGTAACGAAAAGTAACTCAGCACATTTGAATGTACCGAACTTTTGTTTATGCAGTATTTCACACCACATTTTCGGTAAGCAATACTATTTCTATAACTCTTCGTCATTAAAATAAATAACCACACAAAGATAGATGCAAAAATTAATAATGAATCAGTTTTCTGTCCGAAATAAATAAAAGGTTTCACGGACTCAGTGTACGTAGTTATGCGTAAAACGGTAGAGCAGCAAAAAAATGCACGGTTGTTCCGCTAGCAATATTTGATAAGAGAGCCCAGTGGTTCTCAAAATGCGTGAAAATTGAATTGAAGGCGTTAGGCAATAAATATGCAATAATCCACGATGTGACGCGCAAAAAAAATTTTTTTTAAGTAATATCATAACGTCATAGTAACCAGCCGAAACAGTTTTCTTTGTAGCCCGATTAATAATAGACGCAAATCGATTGAAATTTATTTTGTTTTACCAAACGATAGGTCGTGAAGCCTACTTTCATACAGTGTACTTCGCTAAGGATTTTTTTTGCAGGAATATCCCTTATAGTTCGGCGGTAAACGAGATGAAAATCGAACGAAATGGTCGATTTTGGACCAAATGAATCTGTCAAATCTATAAAAAGTTATGAGTCTCCAATTGACAATTCATTGCCAAAAATACCTTTATATGAAAATAGATCAGTGAATGGCATTTATTATTATGGTCAGGTTTTCAAAGCTAATATAAAAAAAAAGAGTAAAATTATGTTGTTGGTAACTATATTTTTTTTTAATGATATTACACTGTTGTTTGAACTGAGATGTAAAAACTATAATGTGCTATCAGATTTAGGAATTTTCAACGACGACTTTGTTAAAAACAAACATTTCTAATAGAAAATGGTTGAACAGTTTTGTAATTGATATAGCTATTATAGGCGTGTTAAAAATAATATGCTGTGAATTGAAATATACCATTAAGATGCTTAGCTGTATTATTTCATATTATTTATATGACAAATGACAATAGTATAGGCGGAAATAATCATAATACAGACACTTTATCGATTCTTAAAAAAATGTGTTGAATGGTGTTGAAGCACCTCCCTTTGACTATATTTATGCTAAAAATTATAATTTCTAAATGCAATTATGCATCAGATTTATACAAGATGTGTTCTCTAAAGTATATATAATTATTAAGTATGTTATGTTATGTGTATTACATGTGCTTGTGTAAAGTTACATCTAAACACAAAATGAAAACACCCACCTTAAAAAAAGTCCTGGCTACTCCATTGGTGACCACAGTGTACGCAGATACATGAGAATATCTACCAAAACTTTTGACAATATTGCTAAAAGTATAAAATTTAAATTCAGTCTTAAAATGACAAATTTCCAAGATATAAATGATCCAATACCCTTGAAGGAAAATTTACTAGTAACATTGCGATAAGTTTATGTTTGGCAGAAATATAATATCTATTCATCCATCCAATACAGAGAGTACATTTGGATGCATTCACCATTCAGATTGGACAGGTCACATCATGCATATAGGTTTGTTTTTAAGAGGATTTTATACCCACATATACTGTTTTAATCCAATTACCGAGTAACATACAAAAACAATGATTACACAGAACCGGTAAAACTATTAAAATGAGTATAACTAATTTTTATTCGGTAAGTACTTTGTAAATAAAATTATTAAATTAAACAGAAATGCTTTTAAAAATTATTAGAAATGCTTGAAAAATTAACAGGAGGTCCATTACGACTTAAAAGTGGTAGTTTGTGGTTGAAAAAAAAAATTGAATGTAGAATTTTTTTATGGCTTTTTAAAACTTGTATAACCAAACTTCTCTCAGAATCGTTATTATTAGCAAAGATTAATTGTTGCGTACTTTATATATTAAATTCCCCTCTATATCCTATCTTCCTAACTTCTCACCCACAACAGTGGCCTACCCATCATGCCATATAGCACACATATATCTGTATCTTTTTAACCTTACATTTGTCTATGTTATTCTAGTTATTAGTAAATTTCTATGATATCTATGTATTCATTTATTTTGCAGATAGTTTGTACAAAAATATTTTGTCTTCTTTAAAATGTATAAAACCTTGACTTTGTCCTACATTAAGTGAAAGTAAATTAGAAGCTTTTATTCTCATGGGAATAAAAAAAGATGTTCTATACAATGTAGGTAATGATGAAGTGATTAAAATACTATAGTTTAAAAGTATATTATTATTGAATTAGCTTTCTAAATACAAAAATTGTATCATAATTTAAATTATTCAGTATTCACTGTTATTGTGTTACCCAGGTACTTACTTAAACAAACAAATAAACTAGACTTGTAAAAATGTAAACATAAATCGTGTTAAAAAAAAAAGTTTGATGATTTGTACTAATAAAGTTTTAATTGTGCACTGTCAGATGTGTAGAATATGTTTGTAGCTATATAATAATAATAATAATACATTTTTCTTTGATTTCAATATTTAGTAAATTAATATGTGAGCCAGTACTATTGTATTTTCCCGGTTCGAAATGGTTTTCTCCAATCCGCCCCTGGTTGTACATAATAAATAAAAAGTAATATTATTAATATGGTAATTCTTAAACTAACTATAATGCAAGGTATTATACTTCAAAGTGTTTTAGTGATTTCTAAATCGGTGGTCGCTAAATAAATTTTTTGGGTTACCGAAAATATAAAATATTGGGTTGCCTATAAAATATATATTTAAGGGTGGTTAAAAAATTAAATATTCATTTAGTAGGTCACAACAGTAAAAGGGTTGAGATGTATACTAAAGTATACATATTTTTTCTATGGAATATATAATCATTCAATATTCATTAAGTATTTATCATTAAATAATTATTTTATTAATTTTAAATAATATCCATCAACTTTGTTTATAACTTTTTTATGTAATATGTATTTTGTATTAATATTAAAATGTTTACTGTTTATATATATTTAGTTGAACTGAAATATTTAATTAGAAAGTATCCAAATAAAAATTGTAAATAAATAAAACCACTTCATTGTGAACAAATACTTGCTCAAATACACATCAAAGCTATAACATCACCTACTTAAATAATTAAATAAATTTAAAAAATGTATAAATACTTTTAAATAGTATAAAAAACGCATAAAATCAAATAGTTTTACATTGTACTTTTATTCGTATTTTATTTTATACTTTACTATATTATAATCATAGATTAAATATATCTATAGTAAAATACAGTGTATATGCTTCACCTTTGCAATAAAATTTATTAGGTACCAATTTTCATTTTTAATTTCATTAAATTCATTAAATTAATTCATTTTTTAATTTTCATTAATTAGTTAACAACTAATAATGACAATGACTGCCAAATCATAAAAATTATGCATTGTTCTTTTTGTTTATATCCTTGTGTATTGGAAGGTATATGAGAGTATATGGCGTGTACCAAACCGTATTTGTCTATCATAACTTCGAACTTTTTGTTAAATAGACCAGGTATACGCATAGATAATATATATTATCTATGGGTATACATCAGTCTACGAGCGTATACTTGCAAATGATAACTGAATTATTAATATCATTATTGACATGTTAAGAAATAAAATACTGACTTACATCGAATTTTGAACTTGTAATTATCATTCTTATCGATTAAAATAATTATTATTATGCATGGAAAAGTAAATTATTTTATTATTTCTTCCACAATCGGGGCAAGTTATGAGTTATCACTCAATGTTTGGACTGCAGACCTTAGGTGAGGTGTAGGGTATGCGCAGTTAATTTCTTAACATGTCTATGAGTCATTGTTGTACCCATCGTCAAAACATATTTGAAAAAAAAAAAATATTATCAGATAATAAATTTAATACATACAATTATCATATATAATAAAGATATTTTTAATCTTTATTATCTATGACAATGATATAATAATATATCTATGTACATCATATTCTTGGTCCGTGAACAGAATTGATTGATAAGTCAATTTGAGGGTCAATTCAACCTGATCAATGATGAATCGCCAATCGAAACACGTTTAGACTAGGAGTGGAAAATCGTATACTATAAATATATAATAAAATTATTAAATAGGTACCTATTTAAAGTTTTGTAATTTCATAATATAAATATGAAGTTACTTATATAAATTTTATTTATTGGGCGAGAAATTGAAGAATAGTAAAAAAATGATTTTGAGCGGAGTTCGGTTAATAGTGTTGCTTTGTCTACAATAAGTATATAATATGCCATATTATGGTAAAATAATTACGTATGCATTATATGTTTTCATTGATTTTATTTGATTAATAGGTATTGTATCTGTTTTCCCGTTTTTTCCCATTTATTGGGAAAACTTCTAGGAAAATCAAAAATGACCTCCGTAAAGTATCATCCCATTTAGATTTCCTTTCAGAAAAAGTGCTATGTCATTAAAAATCGGAGCAAAATTGCTGGTAGAAAAGTTGCTGGTAAAAGATATAAAAAACTAAAAAAAAAAACATCATTGTAAAACTAATCCATTCCTCGCTCTGTTCAGAATCTAGAACGACGATAAAAGCGCATATTTCGCACAATTCAGTGAAAAAACGTCCAATATTTTCATATTCAGGACGTAGTGAGAAAATGCTTGTAGCCAAACAATTAATTTACAAATATGCCACTGGTCTCAGTAATGTTTCTGTGGTTCGTATAGCAACGCGCGACATAGCCACAGTGAAAAAAAAATTACTATCGATCGATGAGAATAATAATAATAATAATATTATAATAGGTATACAATAGTGTACCACTATCACCCGCCACACGAACGTACGATCCCCACCGTTACCGTGGACGGAACGCTGTTATTATAATATGTAGTACCCTATAATGGAAGGTTCATGTGTTGCTATATGTATATATGTACATATATTTTTTTTTTATACGAGTTCGTGACCATTAATACAATAGTATTATAGGTATATTGTATACTAAACCTGCGTAATACGTTTACACGTGGCGGCTCCAGGTCACATCCAGCCGACCGACATCCGGCGGCGGGTTAGACGGAAAACGTCCATGTACCCACTCAAATATTTTTTATTGAAATTGTACCACACGCCGCACGTACAATAATAATAATAATTAATAGTACCGTCTTATCTTTATTCAATACCAGAGTGGAGTGGTGGTCGCGGCGGTCAGCAGCAGCTGCAGTCGCTACCCCGTACAATATTATTATTTCTTTCTTTATATTTTTTATCATATTATTTTCGTGCGTGCCTACTACGCAGTTGGTATTCCGTGATGCGCGCGCTCAACTCTGCAGATGAAGTAATAGTAAATTTCTGTAGTGTATTACAATGATAACAGTCGTGGTGAATACCCCGCTTGCGTCGCGTCCTTGTTTTTTTTTTCACGTTCTGACCGCAGTCGCCCAATAGTGTTTTATCCTTTTTAGCCAGGCACAGACATGTCGAAAATTGCGTGATTATGTGACGTCCTGATCGCGTACAGAAGAGCACTGAGCAGCAGTTGCAGCCGGCCGAACTTTGATTTTTTTTTCAGCCGTGTCTTGCTACTAATGTTTTTTACTGGATTATTCTGCGCAAAATGGTTAAAAGGTATTTAGCATTTCATTATTTATTGGTTGATAATAAAAGGTACAGTTTTTCAATATTATTAATGGACAATGGTCATCGGTAAATATTAGGAACTTACTTTATTATACCTACTTACCTAGCTTTACAAATATTATAGGTATATGCTGATAACCTATATTAACTAAATGGTTTTTTCGTGAATGTAATTAACGGATTAAACTATTGATTGCATTCATATTTTTTGTTTGGTACCTAATAGATAACTTAATTGACCAAGTTGACTTAAGACAACTTAAGAGTTGGAAACTTATAGAGGTTTTAGCCATAATCATAACTGATTGTATAAATATATTTTATTCTTAATAAATATAGACCAATTACCTATTATCGAACCAAGTATGAATATAAACAAAAATATACTAAATACCTATACATTTTAGCAGAAATGTTTTTTCTATGGAATCAATAGAGCAATCAACATTTTATTTTGTATACACATTACACTTGTATATTTATAATTAAAATATTGGCATTTATAATTTTAATCATACTTCAATTCAACTACCTAGGTTAGGTAGATTGATCATTTTTAAACATTCTTATATTTTCTTATGTTAATATTATCTAATGGTATTTTAATCTTATGTATCAGTTTAAAGTATTAGGTTACAGATGAATTGCATTAATATATCTTATTCTTCTTAGTATATCACTATTAAGATATAACTATTAAACATATTTTCTGCCACTGCATCCCGTCCATTGTCAAATTAAGCCAATCGGTTCCCAGTTTTAACCTTTTGACATCATTTTTCACCTCATACATAGAAGTCTCTAGGAAGGGTCACTTTCTTCTTGGAATTTTAAATTCTACTAACCGTAATTGAGCTTTTTTTTTCAGCCTAATGTTTTAGTGACCTTTTCTTCTCTTTTGAATCTAAAAGCACTTATCTCCAGGTGTGTGTGATTATGATCTATCGTCTTTTTTTCTATACTATAGAGAATTATCTCTAGAATGATCCTATACCTAGAGTCTATAAGATATTTTGTTTTATTAGCATTTATTATTAATTCCACCCAGTTTGCTGCATCTAATGGTTTTTCTGTTTATTTTATTAGATATTCCATTTCCTCTTATTAAGACAATATCATCTGCAATACTCCAAATATTTGTTAGTCTAATTGTATTCTGTACCACTACATGGTTCTAATTAACTAGTCATGATTTCTGTGTGTATGATACTTGTTTGCATTAAGTTAATTAATATCTGTGATAGGCCAAACTGTTTCAGTAGGTATACTATAAATAGACTTCCTGGCTACACTGTCCCATAACTTCTTAAAATCAATAAACAATACATTATTTTACTTCCTTGTAAAACTTCTTTTGAAACAACTGTCCCAAAACAAATATATATTTTGACTATGCATGTTTTTATTGATTTTAATTAATAAAAAATAAATGATTTATTTTCAGATTATTATTTATATTTTATTTTATTATTGGCATGTATACAATATATATATATATAATTTAAATACTCGTTTAAATTTATTCTTTGTTATTTATTATGTCCTAGATGTGGTACAGTATACCAACAATACTGTAATAATAAAAATATTAGGTATACCTATAATATTATAGTTACAGTATTTAGAACTAGGAGGACAACTGCATTCTGAATGCTGCTTTTAATTTCAATACTCCAAACCACAAACATTTTTAAAATAATGAACAAAATACCTTTAAACTTTATATCTAATATGTATTATAACCATTAGCTTAGTTTGGTTTAACAAAAAGTGTACAATTTTTACATACATTTTACATTACAGTATAAGTCACTACTTAATGGTATTCCTTATCAAAGATGTGCACATTTTTTTTTTTAACCAAAAATAGCTATTGATTATTGCTAAAACTACTCATAGACATAAAAATAATTTGTACTTATGACTATACTTAATCTTTAACGTATCATATTATAAATAATTAGGGTTTACAACCTGTGATCTGTAGACCACTAGAAGTCTGCGAAACTACCTTTATTATCTAAAATAAATAAATAAAAATAAGATTGACAAAGGTGTAATAATAAAAACTATAAAAGATAAATCCCATAACTGGTAATTTAAATTGAAAACTATGAATTAATATTGACTAAATTAACCAATATATCAGTGGAAATCATACATTTTTTAAAATTGATACCGATAAGTAAAATCATCAGAAAATCGAGGTGGTATGCAACTCATTGAAAGTTTTCTAAGTGGTTTGTTGTGTTAAAAAGGTTGGGAACTCTTACTCTAAACCTATTTTAAAGACTTTATATTATCTGATATATATTTTATTTAAATACTGTTTAAATACATATTGTTCTGTTATTGATTTGTTCTAGAGCTGAAAACAATGAAACAAAAAAAAGTGCTTCAAAACATGAAAATGCTGTAAAATATGGAGAGTTAATTATCCTAGGGTAAATTATAATTTCTTAACCTTCCTACTGCTATTTGTTTATTTTTTTTTTTTACAAATACCAATTTGTAATATATTTTAAATTTATGTACTTAAATATATATTATTTTGTATATTTATATATTTTAGTTACAATGGTCAATTAGCAACCGGGGATAAACGTAGGCGGCGTAGTAAATTTGTCTTATGGAAGCGAGATGTACCCAATGGTATAAAACCATCCAACCACTATGTAGTGCCAAGTCCGCAAACATCCCAAGTATGTTGTATTATTATTATACATTTTAAATAAAATATTAAATCATTACAAGGTATTTTTCTAACAGTTCAATAAGGTAACAAGTAAATTGGATTTACATACTGAGTATTTTGATGTATAGAATGTAACAGGACTATTTGACAGATTAAATAACTTTTTGTCTACTAAATATTTTTAGTTGCACTTTGATGTTTAAGAAATTAAGTATAAAGAAACTTAGAATTGAATAAAAAAAATCTAGAGCTATTTTGGAAATCCGATTTTTAGAAAAATGTTGGTGTCAACAACTTTTATTAAGGTCGAGTCAATTATTTTTAAAGTTTTGTGAAACATGATATTTTATTATAAAATTGTACAATTTAATAATCTTATCATATTAGTTTAAGCCGGGAGTCTGTTAAACACTTATTATTTATTGTTAGTAAAATTAGTAGGTAATAAATTTGAACCTAAATAACAAACTTTTAAGAATTAATTTATAACAAATTCAATTTTTTAAATTTAAAGTAATAAAATAAAATATAGAAATTATAGTTCAGAGCTGGTATTCATTACAAAAAAAAAAAAAAGTATTAAGTAAAAAAAATGATTACATTAAATAGTCCTGTTATACTCTGTTTATTAAATTTAGTGGATTGGAATATTAAATAATGTAATTTTATTTGTTTAAAAGTCCATGTTCATAATGCATTGCAGTGTGTATAAGATATATATTTTATTATATTTTAGGCCGTATTGGATAAAACTAAACACTCCATTTCATATACCTTATCTAGGACGGAAGCTGTTATAGTTGAGTATGTTAATGATGAAAATACAGATATGTTTCAAGTAATTATAAAATAAAATAATATTTAATAATAATTGATTTTTATATTAATTAGATTAAGAGTTGGAATACATTCCTCTACGACCTTTACTCCTATAATATTAGTTTTAACGAGCAAAACAAAAAAAAAAGATACAGACAGATATACTTTGCAGGATGAGTGGGCCAATGTAGTAGGTAAGAAGTTGGGAAGGTAGAGCAAAAATGTGTATGTATTTGTGTCACAATAATTACCCATTGTTCATGAAAAACAATTTTGAATGGAGTTAGGTTATAGCGTAGTTTTGTAATATTTACTAATTAGGCCAAATTTTATTAAAATTTGATTTAAATAAAAAAATATTACATTTAACTCAAATTTTTTTATTAACCACAAAGCAAAGTATGATTTATAATGAACCTCCTGTTAAATTTAATAATTTTATCGAGTACCAACCAAACAAAAATTACATAAAAAATGTAAAAAACTTGTTGAAAACTACACATCTAAAAGAGGCAAATATAAGTTTTCTGTTCAATATTTGAGACTACAAATATTTTCAACTGAATTAAAATTCAATTAACAAAGTTAAAATAATTCAAAAAATTGAAAACAATAATTTTTTTTATTTTCCTTGTTTTTCTTAAGGTCTCCCCCAAGTTTTTTCCCATTTATTATGAAACTGGTTGGTAAAATCAAAAATTAATCTTCTTAAAGTATTTTTTCAGTCAAATTTTTTTTTAGAAAGTGTTATACTTGAATATCAGAGTGAAATTTCTGGTAGAAAAGTTGTTCACAGAAAAAGAAAATAAACATTGTAAAACCAATCCATTCCTTGCTCATGATTCAAAAAATAGTTTTTTTCAACTAGACTGACACTTATTAATTTAGATAATATTTATTACCTATGTATTTATTAAAAACAAAATAATGTAAACAATAAGAGCACTGTTTTTTATTCTTAGTTAAATAATTAATTTATAATATATGTTTTAGGTGGGCCGATCATCTGATACACCGATTGATTTTGTTGTTATGGATACAAATGCTGATAAAAATGTTACAACTGTTAATAATTTACCCAATGTTGATAATAAAAAAGGACCTTCTGCTAGTACTATTTCAAGGTTCGCTTGCCGTATAATATGTGACAGAAATAATACAAATATAGCTCGGTTATATGCAGCAGGTTTTGATTCATCCAGAAATATATTTCTAGGGGTAATTTTTTTTACATTTGTATTTTTAAAGCAGTTGGTTTTGATTTAAAATTTTATATTGGGTTTTCTGTTAATACTAAAATTTAGGAAAAAGCAACCAAGTGGAAAGATTGTGATCAGATTGATGCTTTAACAACTAATGGTGTTTTAGTAATGCATCCAAGTGGGAAGTTCCATATTGGAAATACTAAACCAGGAATTTGGTTAGAAGTGTCAGTTTGTGGTAAACTTTTCTCATTGCGAGGTTCTAGATCTGCTCAGAATAAAGGTGATATAGTATGTAATTGAACTTTTTTAAGTTAGGTATATAATACATACAAAGGTATTTATTATTATTAATCAGTACATTTTTTAAGGTTAATGATTCAAACAACATTTTAACAGACGGAACTTTGATTGATTTATGTGGTGCAACTTTGCTTTGGAGATCAGCTGAAGGACTCAGCTTATCACCTGTAATAATATTATAATTTATACTAATATATTAATTGTTGTACATTTTTAATTATGACTGATTTAATATTTTACAATATGTTTAAAGTTAATTTGAGTTAACCTTTGGGTGTGCCTCAGTGTTTACACCACACTTTTGGAATATTTAGGAATATTGATTAAAACATTTATGTAGTTTATTTACTGTTGTAATAGGTATTCTCTAATTACTTATTTAGATGAAATATAATACAGTCTATAGAGTTTTAACATATTCAGGCAATAAATATTTAAATATTTCAAATGTAGCTGTAAATGATTGCAGTGTAAAATACCATAGTGCACTCTTGTGTGTGCGACATCAATAAGTGCACATACCCAAAGGTTAAATGATTGTGTTTAATATTTTAATTATTTAAATTTAAAATAAATAATTTGCTAACAAATAAATTAAATTAATAATGTACATGGTTCAATTTTTAGAGTAGAGATTATTTGAAGAAATTGATTGAAAGAACGAATCGAGAACGACCAACGTGTCCAGTTGGTCTTTATACTTTGGTGTTCCCTCATCATTCAGAAACTGATACTGCCAGTGTAGCTAGTACAGAACTTGTTGAGGTTAAACAAAAACAGCCATATGTCTACTTGTCTTGTGGACATGTTCAGGGTAGTCATGAATGGGGTTTAAATAAAGACTCTAATAATAGAACATGTCCAATGTGCTTAAAAGTAATTTAAATATTTTTTAAACAAGAAATACAATTTTACTATTTACATTTAATTTATAGATTGGAGGAATTGCTAAATTAAATATGGGAATTGAAGCTTCGTTTTATGTCCAGGATAAAGAAAAACCAGATTTATATGCATTTAACCCATGTGGACATGTGGCAACAGAAAAAACAGTGAAGTAAGCTATAAATGTTCTAAATATAATTAGTTTTTTTCTGCATTGATGTTTAACCCCAAACTTCAGTTTTGAAAATCTTTTATAATATCCTATATTATATAGGTTTAATTAATTCCAGAATAATCTCTCACTTTCAAATTATTGAAATTTGTGTCAATATTTTTGTATTTTATTTTTTTTAGTAAATCATAAAAATATTCAAAAAGTGGTTAAATAGTTTACTTTATAATTATAATTTTTTTATTTGTCTGTAGATTTTGGTCTAATGTAGGAATTCCGTATGGATCGAATGGCTTTGAAGCCTTGTGCCCATTCTGCGCTACACTACTGGAAGGCTATCCCGGGTTCATAAAATTAATTTTTAATTAAGGGATATAATTATTTGTTCTTAAAAAAACTAATTGAGTCTCCTTATTAGAATTAATTTATATTTTTCCTCAACCTTTATTTAGAAGAATTATATTTTAGGGTCATTTATATATTTTTTTTTTTGCAATTTTGAAACTCTGGTAGTTTATAGACAATTTAGAAAATTGTACTGCTATTTAATTTTTTCTTTTAATTTTTTGATCATTGTTATCCATAATACTCTTTTCATATAGTAGATATCTTAAGATTATAGTATGAGAAACATTTTTTATATAGTTACAATCTCAATAAATAGTAATTTTAATTAAATATTTTGAATTTTTAAAGATCTTATTATAGTTTTGTTTATGAATAATGGTTGAATAATGTAATTATGGTATTACTTTTAATAGCATTGTTTGTTGATTTTACTTTTAAAATTGTGTTTTAAAATAATGCTAGTTTTCATGAATATTATTGTTCAAATAATAATACAATTTTTTTGTGAGGTGTGGTTAACTTAAATATTGTAATATATTTGTGAATTTGTTTCTGTAATAAACTTACACCATTAAAAACATAATATTATGAATTATGATTTATTTTCGTTATATTAACATTAAAATTTCAAATCATTTAATACTGTAAATTATTGGAAATTATAATATTGCGTTAAAATTATTTTAATTGGTTTAATAATTAATATACTATACAACCAAAAGAAAATGTATTCAACTATTGATTGGAATTTATGTTATATAAATGTATCATAAACTTTTTTCAGCATTTACAGTACTTTATATTTTGTCATTTCCAAAAATGCACTGAAGTTTATAAATTTAGTCCCAGGAAAGAAGGACTTGAGTCAATTTTATAGTTTTCAATATAGGTGCGCCTTCTTTACCAATTAAAAATACAGTGACTCAAAATATTTTTATTTTCAGTAAAATATATATAAGGATATAATATATTGTACACTTAGACCAAAATATAAATAGGAAAAAATGAGATTTAATTATTAACAAAATTAATAAATATTGACTTAAGCTTTTTTTTCCTGAGATATAATGATTCACTAGACATTAATTATAATAACTAATAAATTATTTTAAAACTATTTTAAAAAAATCATTAATAATAGTATTAAAATATTTTATATTTATATAGGTACTTATATTAATTATTATGTACTAAATTTGTCTTCTCTTGTAGTAAATTATGTAATAAAAACTGTCAAAATTGCTATTTGATTCTAAAATTATTAATGGTAATAGTAAAATATTAAATTGTTAAAAAAACCGCAGCATCTATGATAGGTGTTTAAGTAAAATAAAAATTAATTTTCACATAAGTTTTTCAATTACTAAAATTGTACTTAAACATTTTTTTTACAGTGATTACAGGTTAATATAGGTATCATATAGAATAAATCATTTATTAATTATATATATATAATTATGATATATTAATAAAACATTATTTTAATTTATATTATGTAATTTATTTATTTTACCTAAATACATTGATAAACTATAATTATATATTATTTTAATAATTTTACAAATATTACTTGTGGAATAATACATCATTAATAATAAATTGTAGGTATTAACTATTCAAAAATGATAATTAGGTAAGTATGTGATACATAATTTATGTGAAACTATTAAAACTATTACAGATTTATATGTTGAAAAATAATTTAACTATTTAGATTTATGATTGTGATTAATATTTTATTGGTACCTATTTATTTACTTATCTTTTGTGTATCTATTAATATATTACTTATTATTTTTTCATTATGTCATCAACGTGTAATACTTATATTAAATATTGAGGTAATTCATTTTTAATAAGTATTTTCTTTTCTAAATAGATGCATAAATAGTATTTATAATCAATATTATTATTTTAAATTTTATTTAACTAAAAATGGACTTAGAGAAACATAGGTTACCTACCAATCATTTCACTTTCAGTGAGTAAATAAGTCATGTTGGCAATGAAAATATCAGGAAAACATGTATTTTTAAGTAATTACCTCGAGGTTTGGAGGACAGTGTACCTCTTGAGCTATAACCTGGGTTAAACTCTGGTTTTTGTATAACGAGAAAACAAATTTAAAATATTTAAAATTGAAATAGATAAAATAATTAATATAAAAATATTAAAATTACTCACCAATAACATAGTGGTACCGAAAAAAATGTATTCATGTTAATCGAAAAATAGTTCTCAAAATTGGTAGGTAGGTACTTTAAATAACGGATTACGTGGGTCACCTTTGTGAAGAATTTCATAAAAATTTGTGAAAATGCGGAGTTATTATTTTTTGGCATAAAGACATGACGAAATTATAAGTGATTCGATTTTATCAATTTAACTACGAAACAACCGTTGTTTTTGACAAATTAAAGTAATAAATTGACATCTTTATTGTAAATAAAAAGCAAAATTGAATAATGACAAGAAAATAAAAATACATAATACATTATTACCTACCTACCGACTCGAAACGTAGAGGTGGCGAACCTAATGCAGGCGTGCCAAAAGATAGAACGTTGGCCGCATTATAATGAGACGCGAAAGAAAAACAGAACTTATATGAATTTATGTAAAACAAATTTATAGGAGATGAATAAAAATTTACATACATATATAAGAAATTTAAAGAAAATATTGTTCACGTTTCTACACGTTTCAAAAAAATCCTATGTAAATTATTATTCTTATCGCTAAGTAAAATTAAATTTTTAAATTATCGATAATAAGTTAACCGAAAGCAGGGTATATAATAATAATAACTTTGGTACAGTTATTCGAAAAGATAAGAACTGTTTTAACGGCAACGCCGTAACATAGATCTGTATTTTATTGGACAGAAAAATGAAAATATTTTCAGAATAAACCCATTAACAGTGTGAGTAATAGAAATGTATACACAACTATAGTTATTAAATAGTTTAACAATAACATCAACGAGCAGATAGATTTATGGTCGAGCTAAGATCAACAGAACAACTAATTTAAAATATAAGTATAACTGCAGCACTACAATATTATGTAATAGACACATTTAATCCATGCGCAGAGTGTAGACAATCTAAATTTTAATGACTTCTTTTATATTAAATATATTAACCTGGTCAATATTGATAATTTGCTTCGGAGAATTCCACAATTTTTAAGTATTGATTTAGGAGTTACTACCTATCCTATTGCGATAATAGGACCTATACAATAGGTTTAGACAGTGGTTCAAGGGGGAATGACGGAGAGGGACAGTCTCCTTTAATATAAGTCTTTAAAGTCCGAGGAGTGAGGGGGATGCCTTAGTTATTGTCAGTTTATCACTAAAATATTTAGTATTAATTTATTGAACCCCGCGTTTTCAAAAGTTGTCGAAATACAAAAATGTATTATTTTTGCATTATTGTTTCATTTAATCGTAACGTGGTGTCAATTTCCCAGCATCACAATTTTTTTTTGTTTACAGTGTTTTGAATTTTGTTCAACATTTTTCAACGAACCCATGTGAACTTTTTTGGATGAGTTTTTTAAAACTTTAAATCCTATTGTACTGCTGGACATGTACTTGGCAGTTGACACCAAAAATATATAAATCGAATAACTATTTAGTTTTATTCCAACAAATTCCAACAGTTTCTAGCAAGTCAGAGTATAGACTATAGAGTGTTGGAATATAATAATATTCCCTTATGATGCTACAAACTTTGTTTTAACTGTACGTTATAAAACTAAGAGGGTATAAATAGTAAGTAATAAGGGAATAAGGGAGTCATAAAAAGCTAATAAGTATTCTATAGCTTAACAAAAACTAAATAGACAAATTAAGTCACCCCCTCCCTTTCTCCGAAGATTTATCCTGGCTATGGTACTGCTAAAGACACAATAAATCAATAATCAAACGGTTTAACCACAGAATAGATTAAATAAAGTTGGTTTAACTATGTAAAACAATGTATTTTCAATGTGATCTATTAGTCATGAGACGAATTTTAGATTCAGAGCGTAGCGATAGTTTGTTCACTGTGTTACCAGAAATATTGGTATATTCCATTTAAAATATGAATCGAGATAGATTTTGTGACTTTTAATATATGACCGTTGACTAAGAAAAATGTTTTTTTATATCTTAAGTATTTTTCATAATAATCATAAAAGACGAAAAATACGATTTTTCCCAAGTTATGACGCAACGATTTCATTATTTTAAATTTATATTGATTGTATGTTATACAATAAAAAAATTGTTCCCATAGAAAAACAACAAGAGATCTTTTTTGTTGAATTTTTAATGAATTTGGCAATGAAAAGAGTAGCTTTTTAAATTCTCTTTGTAGTTTTTTTTAACAATTGAACAAAACTGAAAAATACACAGAAAGAACAGGAAAATTTACGAAAATAAATTTTCGTTAGAAATGGTTTACTGTTGGTTACAGGCAGTGGCGCTGAAGTCAAAAATTTTACCTATGCCATTAGACACCTTCACATTAAATTTTGGCCCCTACTTAATTCTTATAATTTCCTTACCAAATATAGTTTTTATATTGTCTATTAAAAAAATTATATTGCCAACATTTGAAAATAACACACAATGTATTAGTTTCAGTGACGTTCCGTTAGGGTGGCATAATGGGCAATGAGCCATGGGCCTGATGATGTTAAGGGGCCCCAAATGCCTTAGGCATTATTTTAAGTGGATGGAAAGGTAAAAAAAACAGGTGATGATCTTTTTTGCTTATTAAGTAATATGAGGTGTACAGACGGGTGTATGAAAACAGGCAATGTCCTTTTATTTTTGCTTCAATTTGATTAAATTTGTCCTCAACTCGGATTGTGCATTTGGTCCCCATTAGGTTATTATGCCAAGGGCATTAAAAATTATAGTTACGCCCCTGATAAGTTTCTTTGTATTGTTACGTACCCACACGCGTCTCCTGTAAGGGGCACGTGCGAGCCGTATACGGTAATAATCAATACACATGAAATCAAATATCTACCTGACGCAGTAGGCCTGCAAAAATGTACAGTATCGAAGTATAGTTTCGGCACACGGACCTACACCGGTCATATTCTAATTTTAATACGTGCATACATATTAATATATGAGCGGGCCTAGACTCTAATATATGTGTATTAAAATAACATGTACAATTATTGATTTTAGCCATCACCAGAATCCGGTGGCAGCAGCAAATATAGATTGCAGCCACAAAGAACAACGGGTTGAGGGAGCACGGTATTAACATATATAACGCCGTCCGAATGATTGTCTAATCAGACGTGTTCACCACGATTGAATGAGAGTAATTTCGCGGCACTCTATTTACTGTTATTTGGACTTTTATTATTTTTGTGAGCATTTCATCGTTGAACTTGTATGGTATTTTCATAGTGAATTATAGAAAGAATGTCAATACTTTCTTCAAATCAAAAATAATTTCTGACAAATTGCATATATACTGTTTTTAAATGTTCTATTGATAAGAATTAATAAATACCACACAACATTTTAAATATATCTACAGGAAGTTTTTAGAGTGCTTATTTAGTTCAATAATGCATTTTCAGAGAAAAGTGACAAATCTCTTAAAATACCAAGTTGGTTATTATTAAATCGTGTTTTTAATTTGGTTATACGAATATCAAGAGCAGTATAAAATGTTTCTGTTTTCTTTTCTTTTAAAGAGTCCGAGATTTGTTCATCATAAATTTATTGTTTGTCAAACTGACGATAGCCTTTTTTTTTCAAATTTCTTGCAATACTTTAAATTTAGTTTATTTAGTGGTTTTAAATTATTCAGTTTTAGCTATAATGTTTTAAATTCTAAATGGAGCGAAGAAGCTTATAGTTTTACAAAGATGTTTTACATGATTTTATTTTTTTACATGGATAACTTTTCCACCAGAGATCTTGTTCCAATTTATAATGAAAGCAATTTTTCTGAAAGAAAATCGGTGTAGGGAGGTACTTTAAGGAGGTCATTTTTCGATTTTCTCAAGAGTTTCCTCATCAAATATGAAAAATCGGGATAAAACATGGGAAACACGTATAAAATAAATTAGGAAAATCTGTACAATAAACAAATATTATTAAATGCCTATTTCATTATTTTACCATAATAAAACATAATTATTGTTGGCAGTATCACTATCAACTGAACTCTGCTCAGTATTGTTTTTCTTAGCAATGATTCATCGTTGTTTACAGGTATAGATTAAATTAATTATAACAGTGGCTGTACCCGACCCCATTATCCTAGGACGGGGTGTCCAACCTTTTGTGAAGACCGGATCACGTCATGTAAGTAGAAGTTATTGTGGGCCACATACATTTTAATAATAATACATTTTATTTATAATTTTACCATAGCTAATTATGAGTAGAAACATTTTGACGAGCTATTTAGTTTTATATTCATAAAATACATTTTTTCACATAGTATTATATATAAAGTAATTAATATATGAATTGAAATTGAAGTCAGGACCATATTTAAATCTACCATAAGATCTAGGACGTATTTTTTTTAAATTCATTGTTATTATTTCTTAAATATAACAAATACCAGAAATAAATACAGCTGTAACTGTAAGTAAAGCAACATCTCATTTTTGAAAAGCATTTTTAAGTGGCTCCAATACATCAAATATTGTTTAAAAAAATGATGTGTGTATAGAAACTTTGAAGACTTGAAATAATTTAAAAAACCTCTTACCATAAAACTAATATTTAGCATCTGACAAACCTTCAACTTTCCGAATTTCTTCTGAAGTTTCTATTATAGTATCAAACTTTTTATGTACTTTGATCAATGCTGTGGCATGGGACATCCACCTAGTAATAGTTACTCTTTTCAAAGAATACTTTTTTTCCTTTATAAAGTTTACTACGTTTTTGCCCAAAAATGCTTTCTCTCTTTTTGCTACACCATAAGAACGAGTAAAGAGATTCTAAATTCTCGAAAAGATTAAGTGTATCTACTATCTACACCTTTTGACGTTGCTGCTATAACAACCAAATTTAGCCTATGGGCGTGACACCAAATAAATGTAGCCTGTTTATTTTTTTCTTTGATGTGAGCTTGTAAACCATTTTATTCACTAGACATTCCCAGGGACTCTTTCCCCCCGTAAATCCGCCACTGCATGCTAGCAATAATCAACCATAAACGATGCAGAGCGAAGTTCAGTAAGACATATTTTAAAATACATACTTTTTGAAGTGAAAGTTAGATTGTATAGATAACTATGTACAGTTTTAGTACGGGTTAAAATAAAAATAATGTAATTAAAAATTATTTAGTTATTTGATATTTCATTAAATTCACAATTAATTTTAAAAAAAGTACCAGTATTAACGATTTTTTCCTAAAGAAAACTACACAAAAATTCAAAGCACAACTTTCTTACTATTATAAAAAATAAAAAAGCTATTCGATTAATTCAATACAAAACTAATATTTTTTTTAAATATAGGTTTATTATTTTACATTATAATAAATAAATGAACACGAGCCCAAACCTTATTGATCGTGTTCGTTTATATTACCGTTTACCGTTTTGTTACAGCACACGAGTATACGACGTATTGTTGTATTGGTATATAATAACAGTATTACGTTATAATGGTCTATTTGGTTATTCCGTCCAGGATTACCAATAAAGATTCGTATCTAATATATATACACGACAGTTTTGGAAAGTAAATAAACGAGACAATTTATTGGAGCTGTTTATTTGTTTAGCCAAAGGATTTCGGGTAAATAACTACAGACATTATACGCCCGTGTAGTAACGAGCTAAGTATCATTGGTTCCGTCATATTCAAAATTTGGATTTTTTAAGTTTTTTAATAATGCTGACAAAAATATTGTTCATTTGTTATATAGATTCCTAAAGGTAAAAATATTATGTGATTTTATTTTTTTTTGAAATAAATAACAACTTAAAAAAAATGTTTGTCACGTTCTTTTAAAATTACAAATAAATAACAAAATGTGTGTTCAAAGCAAACCAAAAACCTCGATTATTTCAAATAGCTTTTTATATTTAAAAATAAACCCAAAATATTTTAAGAATTGAACCATTTCTAAAGCTTTAATATAAGTTTTTTGGTGAAAGCTTTAGGTCTCTACTAATATTTTTACAAAAAATCAAAGACAAAAATATTAGAAACGTCATCATGTAAATATTCCTGGTTTTTTCCAATTACTAAGAAAACTAAAAGAAGTATGAAAAAATGATCAAGACAAAATTAACTCTCAGAAATCATGATTGGTTATTGGAAAAAGACTGCCGGTCGAAAATGGATTTAAAGACAGAAAAAACACTTCAAAGTTAATCGAATGTAAATTGGTCAATTCGCTCAGAATTTAAAAAAGGTGATGTTAATTTAGATTTAATCAAAATGAGTGGGTTTTATTATGTGTGAATATTTTTTTCTATCTGTAAAAAATTGTTAAACCAGAAATCGTTCGTCAATTTTAGGTTTCTGGTAAAAAATTGTGTGCGATTTGTTCATTAAGAAGGTCGTTTTTCGATTTTTCTTTTAGTTTTCTTAATACACGTAATTAGTAAAAACAGGGTTTTTACTTAATAATATCAGTATTCATTATAGTATTATCTAAAAAGTTCAGTGGGTATTTCAGAATAATTTGTGCATGTAACAATTACAATAATTATTTTTTCAGTGGCATAGCCAAGGGGATTTTGTGTGTTTAAACCCCCCCCTCTTTCATCACTTTTGTTTCACGTTTTAATTTAATAAATGTATTCATATTATTGTATACTTCGTTAATTCTATTGTAAAAATTATGATATTTTTTGTCATACTATTATTAGATTAATACCGTCTAGACCTATTAAAAAATGCATAATAACGGATAAAGTAAAATATTATTTATCTTTATTATAAACACGTTATCATAAGGAAATTAGTTGAACAAAATACTTCTAAAACTCGTCCAGAGACCAAATAGATTATTATTATAATATAAATTAACAATTATTAATTTACCATATAGTTTACTTTATATAGATAGTTCAAAATATTGTCCATAACTAGTCTAGATAAAAATACTTTTTAAATTTATTCATAAGAAGTTTTCAAATACTTGTGTAAATTATAGTTAATTAATTTAAAAGTTGTTTATAGACACACAGACAAAAAAAAAAAAAAATGTACATATCATAGTATAACAAATAGATTCCTCGCTATGCGCCAAATTTAAAAGTATTTTACATTCTGGAATAAAAATGCGATATAAAAGTATTTTTAATGTATTTAAATTGGTATAAGTATTCAAACACTTAATGAACTGTCCATAACAATTGCTTCTGTAATAAAAATTGAAAATACAAAATATTGTATACGTAGATATGTTATCTTTTAAATAATAATGAATTTTAAGAAAAGATAGCAATGAGAAAAACAACAAATGTAGTTTGGTCTAGGCTAATGTAAATTTATATACTATTATAGTATTACTACCTATAGTATTACTATAGGTTTATAATGGTCTATATAGGTTTATATATATTATAGTATTTATAGATTAGACTTAATATAGAAAGTTATATTTTATATAGGTTTCGCCTATTGTCAATAAAATATTATATAGATATTCTAATATGCCGGGAGCACTTTTTTTTAACTCCTCAACGTAAATTTGTCTTTTTCTATATAAATATGTAAATATATACTGTAATATAAAATAAAATAATCAATACTTCCCAATATCTTTAATGTCGAAGTCAAATGTCAATTAAATACTAATTAGTGTGCGGGTGTTTTTACCACCAGCTACCTACCTATATACCTAATTCTCGATAGGTATCTACTAATAAGTGTTCGATACTAATGTTTTTGATTCTTGAGTATATAATTTTAAATTAATGTTAATCGTATTTCGTTTGTGTGTTTAGCCATTTAGGTTGTCTAGGCAACACGCAATTCAAATCGTTTCGACAAAACGCAAATATATCATACTTACTGCGAAAGCATAGGTAAGCTTCAGTCGGTCATGTGCCTTTGAAGTCTAAACAGTCTGGATACGTTTTCACTCACTCGAGCTATCAGATATTTGAAGGTACGTACTACGTAGGAGTATAATGTTGTTTTTAGGAGTCGGTTAATATTGTGTTTTGGAATGTAGGTATAAATCGGTAAAATTGTATGTGTGAAGTAACCATATTTTTGTATTTTTTGTTTACTTACAAACTTTGTTCGATTGTGTTATTCTATATCTAATAGGTAATTTAATAGTTCTTGTTTAACCAATAGTATTAAACATTTCAAAATATCATCTGTGCACTATACTTTTATTATGAAAATATATAATTAGAAAGTTAGATGTTTTGGCAATACAGGTACAGTTATCTAAAAATTATAACAAAACAGTTAGACGGTAGGTATACTTATTTTAGTATAACAAATAATTAAAAATAGTTTACCTAATTTCAATATATTATTATTATTTATAACAACTCAATATTATGTGGGAATTTCTGATTTTAACCATAATTTGTATGTATTATTAGGTTAAGTTATCAGTCGTTATTTATTATAAATTTGTATTTTAAAAATTATATGGAAGGTTTTTACATTTTTTGCGCGATTTACCTGATGATATTATTATATTATATTAACCGGGTAGGTACGTCCTATCACGTATTAGGAATTAGGTCACAATTCACAGGTGTGCATTTTATTGATCTTTCAACCTATCTATAAGCTATGGAATGAGGATAATTAAGTACGTAGGTACATAATTTATAAATGACGTGCTGTCGTTTTCAGTGCTAAATGTATAGTCAATTTTAACTGGATTTATTTTATATCGATAAGTTTATATATATATATATAGATCCAAACACATATACCTACTTAGGAAAAACAAATATAACAATTTATGGTGTTCGGTATACATAGAGGCGTAAATGGCAACATTAAATATTATATTGCTAAAAGTATAGGTTGAAAATATTCGTAATTATGTAGGTACATCAAAAATATTGTTTTTGTCATGAATAAAAAAAAAATTAGTTTAAAAAAGAAAGGTAAGATAAAGGGGACGGGTGTAGCCACTGGTGTAGGTGGGAAGTTGGGAAGGTAAAATACAAATGGGAAATTAATGTATATTTGTAAGAAACGATAAACCATTGCTAACGAAATAACGATTCTGAGCGGAGTTCAATTGATAGTCATGCTTGGTCAACAATAATTATGCCATATTATAGTAAAATAATTAAATAGGCTCTTTATATTTTCTTTAATAATATTTGTCTAATGTTGTACCGTTTTCTCCGATTTTCCTACATTTTTACTAGTTTTATCATGTTTTCCACAAGTTATTCACATTTGTTGAGAAAACTCCAGAGTAAATCAAAAAATGACCACCATAAAGTACTTCTCCACACCGATTTACTTTCAGAAAAGATGCTGCACTTAAGAAACTGAGCAAGTCTCTGGTAGAAAAATTGCCCACAGAAAAAAAATGGTAATATTATACAAATATATTTTGTACATTTTCCCGTTTTTTTTCGGTTTTTCAAATTTGATAAGAAAACTCCTAAGTAAATCGAAAAATGACCTCCATAAAGTACTTCCTCAGATTTCCTTTCAGAAAAGGTGCTACACTTTTGATTGAAGCGGTTTTCATAATATCTTGGAAAACTCTGCACACAGATAAAAAAAATATAAAAATAAACATCTCTGTAAAACCATAAGCTTCTTTGCTCCACTCAAAATTTAAAATTGAGCTTAATGTAGTATTTTTTATAAAGGAGTTTTAACATCAAATATTGACGAAATTATGAGGAACGCATCTAGTTACGGGTCTACGAAAATGTGTCAATATTTTTTGTTTTGAACATTGTATATTGAACATGTATATTACCGATTTAAGAACGATGGTGAAGTCAGAATTGAGCAAACTGACTTAGTTTCAAAATTATAGCTTTTAAAAGTTCTGATTTTTACTATCCGGATATTATATGTGTTATGTTAAATAACTCTATATTGACAATTTTATAGTATGTATTTTGTAGTTTAGTGGAGGTACGCACCTGTTTTCATCCCAGAGATCGGAAAATTCAAACACAAGTTTTGAAAAAAGGTTTTTTTACAAAACCACGTCGGGTAGGTATAAAAGGGATAAGATAAATGCATTTTGAATGAAATGTATATTTTTGAAAAATCAATACTATTAGCCGAGTTCCGCTCAGAATCATTTTTCGTTAGCAATGATTAATCTTTTAAAATTCCCTCTTTATACTACCTTCCCAACTTCTCATCTACAACAGTGGTACACTCATCGTACGAAGTATGTCCGTCTCTTTTTATTAATACAATATTTTTCATTATTTTCATTTCAGTATTAAAATTGTTTTTATTAATACATAATATCTTCTAAAACCAAAAACAAATACAATTGAAGTGGGATTGGAATAACTGTACAATTTATTCAAAAAAACAGATTGCCTTTAAAGGAAGTTTATTTTGTAGTAAAAAATGTAAAACCATATGTATAAAATAAAAATGAATAGGTACGGTAAATACGTGCGCGCACTCGCTCCCGTCGAATGAAGAACGGAACAAAAGCTAACTATGAATAATAAAATTATATAGAAACAAAATATAAATCGCTAGATTATAATTAACATACGATTACGATTAATTAATCAACAAAAAATGGTCCACAACCAGCAGACAATAATTAAATCCACTTGATGTCGGGAGTGGACCGCCCAAGTTTAAATGAATATGTGAAAACTTTGACCAGGGCAATCCGAAACTACCTAAAGAGGTTTTAAATGCCGTTGAATCTTTGATTTTTGACATCACGAGCTTAAATAGCACAATCTTTGTTGGTATTAGGCCAAACAAAACGTTTCCACACAAATTTAACCGTGGCTCGAATACTCGGATGTGATAAACCATATAAATTATTGAACATTGCACGCAGAAAATCCCCGTTAAAAACGGACGAGATATGCCGGACAAAGTACCACAAATAATCTTCGAGTTCGTAGTTGACATAATTAAATTTTCCGTACTAAATCTGTGATCAAAAAAATCACTTTCTCTTGCAAACGTTGGGCGATGTCGTGTATGTGCGGCAACGAGTACCAATCAAGAATATTAACGGCATTAAGCCGACGGTAACCACGGTCGACATATACCCTGTCCCAACATAAACTAAAATTCACGTTTAGCGGTAGTAAGCCGGTCCAGTTGTAACCGCCGAGGACGTGAGAAAACAGATGGGCCACTAGTTTGTATATGGTGCGTAATTTCGTAACTGCGATTAAAATTTACAGCATTTGAGCGAATAAGTTACAGAAATTGCTTAAGGTTAAAATATTTATTATTTTTAAAAATTGCCGAAATGCCAAAACACGCACAATTCGCCAGTTTTCCGCCCGACGGTAAAGTAGTATTTGGGTCTATCAAACATTTATTTTTTAGATCGATCGCAAACCAAAGTGGTAAATAAAATCAGTTCCCAGGATTGGTTTAACGACTACAGGCTATGATATAAGGCCAGCTAAATGAAAGTTGAAGTCTGAAATTTAACGTAATTAATTTTTTTTCAAACTGTTAGCTGAACCGTTAGCGGCGTATTATATTAATTTTGGAATAAATAAGACCCGGATGACGGCCATATGGAAAAATCCGCGCCGGTAACAAGACATTTTTTTTTTGTATTTTTTTCAGTAATGAAAAGGCAATGTGAAGTGAAAACCTAGCCAACAGTCACTTCGGCGGTAGGTAAACTCAGTTTCCCGAATTCGATTTATAATTACATGGCTCGAGACATTGCGTTGCTTTTTCTCCGAATTTAAAATGATACCAACATTTCTCATATCCAATAAGTTTCTTGGGCCCAAAAAGCTCAAGCTACGCCGAAAATTATTTGTACTCCCTCGTGAACGGGATCCAGATCTCTTCATCCTTTCTATCTTCTCAGTAAGCACCGCGATCTGTTTCACGAAAATAGCTAGTTGTGGATTCTCTATCTCTGCCCGTGACCCTCGAGGGTTAGAATTCCTCACGAAAGCTATAGACCCAAATTCATTTCTATTTCCGTAATTTCGATTATTTTATCGGTCATAATCGCGATATTATTTAACGTGTTCCCTCTAGTCGACAATATAGCTAAAATTTGACTAGAAAGACGTTGAAACCAGAGGGTTTTTAAAAAACCGTCAAATACTTACCCGGCTGCCAACTCACGTATCTCAGTCTGCAGATGAGATGGCTTTTTGTCACCTAATTAAATCTCCTTCAATAGCTTCCTCAAACGTAATTCCTCGGATTCCGCAAAACGATCAATTAAACGTGCCTGGAATGTGTTGTACATATTCTGCCGGGGAGGGGGGGATTTAAAATCAAATCACTCACCTGCGAAAATATCTCACTCTCCATTGAAGCAACAATATGGTGAAATTTCCTGGAGTCGGACAATATCCTTGACGTAATGATTCCGTTCACTTGAACTAGAGCTCTGGATTGCAGGACACTTAAAAACACCACGAGAGCCTTCAATCTCCTCACTCGCGGGAAACTAATTTTCACTATTCGACATCACGTTTTGCGTATCAACTTTCCACACGACAATGATGTATGGCCGAACGCTCACCGTAACGATAAAAATAACGAATTAATAGCTTAATTTGTTTTTGTTGAGTTCAACAAATGTAATGAGATTGGAATGACTACACAATTTATTTAAAAAGAGCAGATTTAGAAGTTTATTTTGTAGTGAAAAAAGAAAACATATGCATAGATAAAAATTAATAGGTACGGTAAATACGTGCGTGCATTCACTCCTGCCGAGTGAGGAACGGAACAAAAACAAAGTATAAATCGCAAGATAATAATCAACATACGATTACGATTAATTAATAAAATAAATACCTATTGCTTAATCATGGCATTAATAAGGACATTTATAAACATACACACAGTTTAAACATTTAACACACAATACGTAAAAATAATATGCACAGAGTATATTGCAGTCACCACAACAATATATATAGTATACATTTATAAGACCAAAATTAAACAATTTTGTACTATTAACGGAATTTCAAAATATTACCCATGTAATGAGAGGCAAGAGGTCGAAATGATACAAGAAAGGTTCTATTAAGTTTTTTGATTTTTCTTATTACATAAGGTCTTCTGGTAGAAAGGTGATTTTCTAAGAAAAAAACCAAAATGAGCTAATGGGATGAACTGTTGAAAATGTCTAAACGTGTCATAAAGTACCCACCACTTTATAGAAATTCTGAATTTATTTAGGTACTATATGAATAAATCAAACCATTTATTAATAAAAAAAAATGATATCAGTAATAGCAGTGGTTCTTAACTGGGGTGATATGGACCCAGTATAAATGTAACATAAAATCTCCGGGGAAAAGAATAAAATAAGGAAACTTAAAATTTTTTCGAATAAAATCGTGTTATTACCGTTGTCGTCATATAATCACTACCATCATCAGAAGTTAGAGCTATTATTGTATAATATTAACACATGGAAAAGATATAACCACTTAATATAATCTGACTAATAATTAAATATTCTAATAAATAATTATAAACCGCAATAATATTCGCATTTGAAAAATTTATAGAAAATAAATGACCATTCCTAAAAAAAAGTTTCAACTACCAAAAGTTTTTTAAAATTTAATTTTACAAAATGGATATTTTGAATTTGGATAAAAAACTTTAGTAAAATTTAAAATTTTTATTATTTATAAGAAGAGAAGTTCCTTCTCTTGATTATTTAAAAAAAAAATTTAATAAAACAAATGTTTTTTCAAGGATCAGATCATCGTGGGACACACTATACTATACTCGTATGCCTACATATGTGGGACTAGACTGGTTTCCGCCAAAAACATACCTTTCCCTTTTCTCGATTCCGCCAAATGAAAAAAAATTGGTCTAATATTTGAATATTAATGTACAATTATTGTATGTATTATAATTATTAATTAAATAAAAAATTAATTAAAAAATTATAAAGTTTTTTCTATTTATCTATGATGAAAATTATGTTTCTTATTTTTTGAATACAAGGTTGTTAATAATCATAACGATTGTCTTACTACAATTTTTTACACAAAAAATAACAAAATTATAACCACTTTTTTTATTATTATATTATTATAAATTTTTTTTATAATACAATAATAATAATTTATGATATAATCTTCCATTAATATTCAAATATTAGATTAATTTTTTTCATTTGGCGGGAAAGTGAATTGGTGGAAAAAAAAAAGTACGATTTTGGCAGAAAAAAGAAAGGTAAATTTTTGGCAGAAAAGGGTAACACCCACATATTTGTACTAGTGTACCTACCTGGATAATAATTGTTTAACGTTGAATGCCTTACTTAATTACGCTAGTTTTGATTATGAAATATTAAAATAATAATTATGATTTAAGTATCTAATATTTAATTTTATAATTTCAATTCTGAGCTGAGCGAGACAATATATATTCCTCGCTTTACAATGATGTTTATTATTTATTTTATTATTATTATTATTTATTTTTATAGTTTTTATCTGTAAATGACTTTTCTACTGGAAATCTTGCTCCGATTACTAACTGTAGTACCTTTTCTGAAAGAAAATTTTTATTTGAGTGGTGCCCAGATTTATGGTATTTTTTGAATTTCCAAGTGGTTTTGAAAATAATTAGGAAAAACTGAGAAAAAAACGTAGGAAAAACGGAAAAATTTATGACATGATTAATGTAGAATGAATTAATCTTTTGTTAATTTATATGACATTCGGCATAGATGTAAAAACCAAGTCTAAATATAGAAAACATTGTTAGAAAATAGAATACCTAGGTGGGTAGGTATCAATATGTGATGAATAGGGCCTGGATTTAAATGCACTGAAATATCGAAAAATATTATTAAAAAAGGTAAAAATACCTTTAAAAAATAAATTTTACCGCAAAAATAGCCTTTAAAAAAGTGATATACTTTTTTTTAATTAGTTTTTTTATTGGGTAATTTATAATATTTTTATTTTATTAAAAAAAAAAAAAAACAGACAATTGAAAAATTCGATTTGTGACTAGCGAAAATAGATATTGACTGAGAGCCTGAGGTATTGACTGATTAATTGGAAAACCCAAAAAACATGGGTAATATTTTGAATAAGCTAAATTTAAATTATTAAATCGTATCATAGGTTAAATAATTAAAATAATTAAAAATAATTAAATATATTTAATCGATAGTCGTATTATGTACAAATGAAATAAAAAGAAAAAAACATTGAAAAATGCAAAAAAAGGCAAAATAAATGTTTCACATTTGAAGTTTCTGTTACATGAATCAAATTATGTACTTGGAAAGCAATGTCTAATATTAATAAAAAAGATGCATTTTGTACCGAAATCCGGTTCCTAGTAATAAACATATAACATTAATTTTTATGAAATATCAGATGTGTCAGTATATTAATATTGAAATAAAAACCTATGATCTAAAAATCAATTTTATGCATACATAATTACTTTAATTACACATGCTTAGAATTCTAACAGGAATTCAGTATACTAATTATTAATGCAAAACAATTTGTGTATCCAAACTTTAGGTATATATACCTGGAACTTATGGAAATTTAAAAATAGATTTTCAAAAGAATAACGTATGAACAAATGATGGTGGTGCAAAAAAAGGTAAATTGATTGAGACTGTTGGGCTGGATATAAAAAATTTAACTCCACCCGAAGAAATTTCAATTTTCCTAGCAAATGGCTAGAACAGGATTTATAAAAAGTTGGCCAGGAAATTAAAGGAATCGAGCATTAAATATTTGTGCTAAAAAATTTGCAAATATTTCAATTTAGACGATGGGAGAGGCTGGAATACAGGGATAGATGAACTTTCCCAGCAAACGGGTAGATCGAAAATTATAAAAAGGTGATCAGAAATTTACCATTAATTGTTGACAGTAAAAAAATAATGAAATTCAGATTAGGGGAAGCGAGGTAATATAAGTCGTTTTTCCCGGATTTTTACAATTGTTACGAAAACGATACAGAAAATCAAAATGTGAGTTTTTGAATCACCAAATATACAAAATTTACTTTATAGGAAAATGTTATTATTGAAATTTAGAGCAAGATTTTTGGTAGAAAATAAAAATTGAAAATAATGAAATTGTTAAAATCTTAAATATGTAGGTACATGACTATTTTTCTAATTCTTATAAAAACCACTCGGAAATTTAATCTTGGAAAAACACCAACTAGATTTAAAATGTACCAAAAAAGATATATTATTATTTTATGATTGGTGCTAGATTTCTGGTAGAAAATTTTTTTACTAACAAAAAATCAAAGACATTTTTTGCTTCGTGGAGAATTAAAAATTGTGCCTTTTTTTTATAGTAATAGTTAATTTTTCAAGTTGTTTTTAGTTTTCTTGGTCTGATAAACAAAACACCAATAAATTATAACAATTGCTTGATACTCATTATATATTATACATACGTCCTATAATCGAAGAGGGTCGTTTTTTATGGCACAACAAGGTCATTTGATAAAAAAATATATACATTTATTATATAGATCCGAGAATCGGGTTAATGTTAAATAGGATAATAATATAATATTAAGTACAAATATCTAACTGCAGGATAAAATTACGAGCGGTTAATCCTTAACACGCAAATTGTATGGTAATCTAAAACACTGACCTTTGGCGAGCCGAATATTATTATATCACCTATTTTAGTTATTACAGTGTAATTGGGTCGAAAACACTAAACCTCGACCCCAAAACTTCAATTATTAATGTCTACTAGACGTACGGCAGCGGCAGTATTGTACGCCTGAATATAATTTAATATAAACTTTTGCGTGTACAATCGATTTCCAAATTATTATCATAATTCACTCCGGAGGCATAGGGAACAAGGTCATAGTATTATGGCCATAATATTTCAATAAAATGATTAGCCTTTACCATATTATCAAATGGGTAAGAACTCCGTTTTATTTTTTATTTTGAGTAGAGCGAGGAATTTATTAGTTTTACAATAATGTTTACTTTTTTTATTTCTATTTTTTTTTATCTGTGAACAATTTTTTTACCAGCAATTTTGTTCCGATTTACAATGAAAGCACTTTTTCTGAATGAGAATCTGACTGGGATAGTACTTTTGGAAGGTTATATTTTAATTTTCCCAGGAGATTTCTCAGCAAATGTGAAAAACCGGGAAAATCGGTACAATATTAAACAAATATTTTTAAAGAAAATATATAATGCTTATTTAATTATTTTATCATAATATGACATATTTATTGTTGACAAAGCATTACTATATTAACTAAACTGCGCTCAGAATCGTGTTTTCATTAGCAATAGTTTATCGTTGCTTACATGTATATGGTTAATTATATACATTAAATTAGCTACAATAGTGGCTGCACTAGTCTCCATTATTCTAGGACGTCATTTTTGTTGTTATTCAGTTAAAAATATTTGTAGAGACTTGAAATTTGGTCAGAAAATTATATTTGCATTTTCAAGACGTAGTAAAATTTTAAAACAATTGAGCCATTTTTGAGCTATTTATAGACATTTTAATTTTATCGTATTTTAGCGTGTAAACCAATTTCGTCTAGAATCGTTTTCTTTAAATGGTTCATCGTTGCGTAGAGATATACATTGAAGTGTAAAACACGAATGCGTACGTTCGTTATCGGTGATACTTTTTTAAGCTACACGATTGTGTACCACGTTACCTGATTTTTGATTACACGTCACGTACGAAATTTTAAGCGTTGTTGTCAATTTTCATATCGATATATATACCACACAAGTGAACTAAAAAAAATGCATGAATACTTTTCGTTTTTCCATAAACGTTTAATGTTAATGATAATCAACGTAACATAAATACATCTTAATAGGCTGGAAATTTTGTTATTTCAAATATAATGTATAAGTATTTTCTGCCCTTTTAGCTCGTCGTTGATCGTCATACGTCTGTATATTTTATCGACGTTAGTAATATCAAAAATTCTATTCTTAAACTTATAAAATCCGAAAAAGGAAAATAGTTATTATTTTTAAATTTTTATAGACAAGACGGATTATACAATTAATTAATAACGAGAAAATAAAGAAAATAACAAAATAGGATTTTATTCAAATTCAAAATATTATAAAGGCTTATGATAAGTATAAAATACATACAAATGTGTTATAATATTTGATAGTATAGGATTATAGATGTTCAAAAATTAAAATTTAGGTATTTTAAAATGATTTTATTTATTTATTAATATTTTTTTTAGTAATAATATTCTAAAGTTCAGATAAAACTATTGTACTGGATAAGTATTAAATATATAGTATATACATTTGACAACGCTGCACACGAATTCGTATGTAATCGCGTTGATTTTTTTTTTAAATATTACCTATCGTGCGAAGTATGCCCGTTTTTTTATTTGTTAAAGTGTATCAAAATGATTATACCTATATTATATAAATTAGTTACGTAACCAGGAGACTAAATGGGCTTTAACCTCCCATTCTTCCTACTGAACGAGTTTATTATAGCCTATACAACCGTTAATACTTTACTACATTACTTATAATACATTTAAATAGGTAAGTATTTTAAGCGAACGTTTTCCAACTTGATGAAAATGAAAATAATAACAGTGGGAATCCTTAAAAGTTTTGTAATGGTAAATATAAACAAAAGAAAATGTATTAAAAAAGTAGATGTCATAGTTTTTGCCCAAAACTCTCCAAGAAAGATGCAGTTAGAAGATTGGAATTCATAACTAATAAAACAGTATATTTTAAACTTTATAACTATTTAATTAAAATTTATGTATCATACTGGATACTATTCAAATTATGTCTAATGAATACCTAATAGTTAAGAACTATTAACTATCGACTGACTAACTATATAATATATAATGATAACAGTTAAAATTAATTTTTGTTTATCAATATTTATTACATAATTTATTAAAAATAATTTTATAAAAAGTTGTGTTTTACAAAAAGAATGTTAAATAGAGAATTATTTTTTTGATGGGACTCATGTTCGTCTCATACAAAATTGCTGTAGGTATGCCAATTATATTATCAACATTAATATAATACTAGCTTTAGTAACAGATCTAACTGATCTAAGTATCAGCTATACATAATACGTATAATATATTATTTTAAAAAACAATATTTGAAAATGTCAACGAATTATATTTATTTACATATTTACAACTTAATTTGAATATAATTTTTACAAATATAAATTATACCGTATAATATAACTATTCATAGGTGTAGTGTGAATTCGGTTGATAGTGTTGTCATATAATATGTCATATTATGGTAAAATAGTTACATAAGTGTTAATCATTTCCTTTAATATTGTACCTATTTTCCCGTTTTTCCTATTTTTTTCTCGGTTTTCCCATGTTTTTTTCCGGTTCGCTACACTCAGAATCTAAAACAAAATTGAAAATAATATATTCGTATATTTTTCCCGTTTTTCTACGTTATCATGAAAATCGCTTGGAAAATCAAAAAATGATCTCCCTAAAGTACCACACAGATAAAATTTTTTTTTTAGAAAAGATATTACACTTGATATTAAACAAGATTTCTGTTAGAAAATTTGTATACGGATAAAAAAAAAAAAAATAAACATTATTATAAAACCAATATATTCCTCGCTTCGGTTAGAATCTGAAATTATGTTGATGTAAAATTAATATTGTTTTTAGTAGGTATCTGCCTATATTGAAATATCATAATTATTTTATTTTTTTTAATACCTACTACTATCATAATCTTTGTAAATTTCACAAGCTCTACAATTCTTATTTAAAAATTTGAATACTTTGAGAAGTATATAGTGTATAGACTAACAAATTCAAATGATTATACATATATTATATTTGTATATATATTTACACATATATAGTGTGTCTATTATTTAACGTTACAAAAAAAATCGAACACTTTGCAAAATGACCAAAATTATTCAATTCCGAACTCTACACATGTCAAATTATATAATTAATTTCATAATTAAAATGAAATACTATACAAAATATCGATATAATATTATATGTACAGGTGTAATGGTTTGCTATGTATCCCTTTCATAAGATTGGTGTAAAATATTTATGTAATGGCTACATTACGGACAGCTACGACAACTGAATTTCGAAAACGAGTATATTTCGATGGATCACCCACTCATGTTTTCAACGACAAATTTTTAACGCCTTTGATGAAAGCATGCATGTACGGACGATCTGAGCAAGTCAGATTAATACTGGAAGAAAAAGTAAATAATATATTATTGTTATGAATATTTTAATTTTAGTAAAATTAAAAAGGTTTGATTTAACTCGTTATTCAAATTTGTATACTTCTGCTACATGCTATAATCTATAACTATTGGTGGTGCCAATTTGGCACCGTTATCATTTAACTTAGACTAATCTTTTTTCGTTATATTTGTGTGTGTGTGTGTGTATAGCCTCTATCAGTGATCGAGAGGGATGGTGTTTTTAAGACCGCATTGCACTATTGTGCAGAAAATGACGAAGAAGACGCCGACTGTGCTAAACTTCTTTTGGAGGTAGACCCGTCCATAGTAGACATACCCGACGAAGATGGTCACACGGCTTTACATTTAGCTGTAATCGCCGGCAATTTGCCATTAGTTCGATTTTTGCTAGTATCTGGCCACGCAGATCCAAACAAACGAGATGCTGAAGGACACTCGACTATACATTGGGCGACAGGTGAGTAAAAATAATTCAACTTGATCCAAAATAACACTTCAATAAGTTACCTAGTTATTCTTATTCTTATACATGTATTATAATACATTATTTACGATATATATAATATATATTATGTGTATAGCATTGTATATATTTGATTAACTTTTAGATATGAGCGGATTGGGAATGTATTCGCATTAACAGTTATGATGTTATTTAATTTTGTATAGGTAGGTTATTTTTCGAATTTCTCAATAATTAACTAAAATCGGAAGCAATCAAAACCATATTTTATATTGTCAGTTAAAATTCAGTAGACAGTACTATATTACTATAATTCTACAGACTTTAGGTATTAGATATCCACCGTTATTATTTATTTTATATTATGTAGATATTTTTTGGATGACAACAATTTAGTTTTAATTTTTTTTATTATTTAAAAGAATATTTAAAATTTATGCTTGATGCAGTCATCAAATTTGGCTATTGTTGTAATATATACAATAACAGAGGACGATTTGAAAGGGGATCGGATTCTATCCAGGGATAGAATCCAGCATTAAAAAAAAAAAAATGGGAATTTTTATTTATTTAAAAATATTTTGGTTTTTAACACGAGTCAACTAAACTATCAGAAGAATAACAATGCGTAACATAGTACGAGATAGATACCATATATAGATATAAAGATTTAACAAGATAGATTAAAGTTAATTTATTTTAAGAGTAGTTCCAGTTATAGTGGTGATTTTATTATTATTAAAAAAAAATTCACGTAAGAGTCCTAAATCAAAACTTTAAAATCAGTTTATATCTGTGGTTTATTAAACTAGTTCTAGTTTTATAATTTCGTTACTAGGTCACTGATATAAGTAGATATCTACTCGTAAATAGGTACCTTCTTTAACGTGCATTGTGGTCAGTTAAACAATCTAAAATCAATTGTTTATTAATTATGTATAATATTGCGTGACATAATATCGTCATCATATTGGAATGATTGTCATAAAAAAATAAGTCTAGGTACATAGTCATTTGCCATTATACTTCGTCGTAAATGATATTATATTATATCATAGTAGTATTATAGGTACCTACTACTTAACCCCAAAAAAAAAAATATTTAAGCCGATTTGTATGGAATGTTTAAGTAGGTGACCTCATTTTTGATTTGTATACTTATAAATGCCCTCTGCGTATTAATATCGAAGTAGTGCTTTATTCTATTTTACCTAACCTATATATATATATACATGTATATACTACATAATTTACATGTGTGTTTGAAATAAAAAAAAAAATATAATAACTTCAAATATGTTCATAACCCAGAAGTTATTGTACTCTATATATTAGTGGTTCTCAAACTTTTTTCCGTTACGGCACATTATTAATAGTTATTTAACTATTTAACTATTTAACACTTTGAAATCATTTTGATAATCAATATATATTTGCTAAAAATAAGTACTTTTAGGACCAGGAATTATAGGTTTATCTATTAAACATATTGTATTTTATCTAATAATATTATATTTAATATTCCTTTTTTTTCAATAACGAACAATATTTAATTATATTGTATAAAACAATAACGTTCAAAATGCGTGACAGTTTTGAACGTTAAAAATATTGGCGTGTCACAATATTTAAACAAAGTTTTGTGTAACTCATTTTTTTTTTAAATGTATAAGCTTTTAAATAAAATAAAAAGTTTGACGATTCCTTACTCATTGTGGAATTTATACTCATCCTATTCCCCAATGTTTGGTATGTAGAAAAAACGCAGCAATAATATGTGTAGTGTATGATATTTATTAAATTAAAAAGACATCTTACTACTAACCGCGGTAATTTGTGAAATAAAGATAAAACTTCGGTATTTTAGTGGTTTATTATTATTAAATGTAAAACAATCAAAACTATTCAAAAAACTAATTCATATATCTGATAAAGCTCAGATTGCTAGTTATAAAGTAGCTGAATTAATAATGAAAATAATGTAGCCTCCCACTATAGGTGAAAATTTAAAATTACCAGCCTACAAAGAAATTGTAAAATTAATCTTAGGTGACAGTACTGAGAAAGAAGTTTCTCTTGTTCTAGCGAAAAATTCGTCGATAAGAATATTATAATTTTAACAAAAATTTATAAAAGAAATTGACTATTTGTGGACATAAATCTATAGGATGTTTCAAAAATTATATCATAAAGTAAGAAATTTAAAAAAAAGAGCTGATACTGGTGATGGGTGTGGTCACTATTGTAGGTGGGTAGTGGGGAAGGTGAGATATATAAATTTATTTAATTTATACCTGTAACTAACAATTAACCATTGATAACGAAAAACAATTCAGAGCGAAGTTTGTTTTTTACATGTTTTGAAGTGTCATAATATTCACGATTTTCGTCAAAATTTGATTTTAGAACTCTTATACAAAAAATATAATAGTTTTTAAAATAATATTTTTTTTCGACCACTAGATATGACTTATAATAAACCTTCTATTAAATTTTCAATCATTTCTGTTTAATTTAATAATTTTATCCACAGAGTACTTACCAAATAAAAATTACGTAAAAACTTGCAAAATTAAAATGTCTATAAATAGATGAAAAATTGCTCAAATGGTTTTAAAATTTTATCACATTTAAAAAAGCAAACATAAGATTTTTTCCAATAACTATTTCAAGTTTACGAATATTTTTAACTGCATTAAAATAAAAAACAAAATTTAAAATAATATTGTACAATCATTTTTTAGTGCATTTTCCTGTTCTTTCTACGTTTTTTCTCAATTTTTCCCAATTATGGTCTCCCCAATGCACCAACTAGATAAAATTTACCTTTAGGAAATGTGCTTTTGATATATTGGAGCAAAATTTTTGGTAGAAAAGTTGCTCACAGACACAAAAATAAATCAGATATAGTAAAACCCATAGATCTCTCGCTACGCTCCGAATATAAAAGTTTCGTCCCGGTACGTCTTTTGCAAATACAAAACATCACACTGACTCTCTCCGTACATAAGGTAGCAAAAAGCTCGCCCTTAAATGCCAAAAAATCTTCGATGTTTCGTGTAAGCATTGTAAATGCTAAGTCATTAACTGGGGTTAGTCCTGAAAAGGACCGTTTTAGGTGGCTATTTGTTGCCATTTTTATCACTGGTTTTGGCAGAATTAGTTAGCTGTGAGAATACATCATTAACAGGGGCACTACTTGAAGGTTTTTGTCAAGCTCCTCGAATCTAAAATATCACTTATTATAAATTGTGAAAATGTTTATATCTGACGTTATACTGCTTTTTAAGATCATTTAGTAAGAACTGTCATTGATCGTTGTACTAATAAAATGATATTGATTATCATTATTTGTATTAGACAATGTACTCGTACATTTACCACTAATATGTTTTGATTGTTTTTCTTAATTTACCACCCTATAAACCTAGACTTTCGGTGCCAGTGAATTTGAAGTTTTCCCGTTTTCCCAATCCGTCTCTACGGCTAATAATTATAATTTAATTTCCTTATGACAACTGATGATATTGTGAAAATATTTCACAGTTTGCGCCGACGTAGATGCACTCGAGTTAGTACTTAGTCATGGCGGTACGACCAAATCAGCTGATGTTCACGGCGGTTACGCTATCCATTACGCCGCTCAGATGTGCGGCACCGGAATTTGTCGTTCGGGAGAAGCACGTACCATTGGTGTCCGCGTTTTACAATCGTTACTGTCATACGGCGCTGACGTTCACGTCACCGACAAACATGGACGTCAACCGATTTTGTGGGCGGCTAGTGCAGGTATCTATAATACAACTTTAGGATACTTAAGAGCTGTAAACGTCACCATGGAATCAGGGGGAAAATAATCGGCTACCTACTCGGCTCTAAAGATATTTCGATTGCAATCGTAAAAGACAAATTATTTAGATAGATGAAACGTATATACGTAAAATAGCCAAGGGTGTTTTACACGGAAAAATTTCCAACGCGTTTAATTTGTAATATTTTCAAAATTGGATATTTTTTTACCGACAAAGGGACAGCATTTTGTATGGTGGTATGATAATAACTTCCATCAACCTATATTATATATATGTTTTTTAAAAAAATCCACCCACTGTATTGGTTTATCTGAATAAATACGATTTTGCTACGACACTAAGTTATTCCATTTTAATATTGTATTCCTCTGATGCAATTTTGCCAAATGAAATTAAAATAAATTACCTAGTTCAATTAAATACCTATAGTTAATTTATTCTTTTTTGTAGGTAGTGCGGACGCTATTATAACTTTAATCAACGGTGGAGCAAATGTTGAATCGCACGATAAAGATGGACTGACAGGTAAATTAGAATACTTTTATAAATTATGTATAATAATTGCGTATTAAACTGCCATTTAATCCGTAATCGTTCTGTTTAATTTCTATAAGTTGTTTAAAGTTCTAATAAAGATTAAATCTATATATATATATATATATATATATTACCTATTATAGTTTGATCATCAATCGATACAAATTATATCTAATAATTAAATATTATAATATTGTTAATGCACACCTATGTTATTCACATCGATAGATTGCATATGCATAGGTATTTTATGTATTTGAAAATATAAATTCATATCTCGGTCTCAAAAGCTACGATTCCATAAAGTTTAACGTCAATATTGTAAATATATTATGTTTTTGATTATATTTTAGATTCTTAACCGGTCGAAGGACGAAGAATAAGCTAAAGCGATATCGTCCGTAGTTGCATATTATTATAGTATAATTCAGCAGATGTTTATTGTTGTTGTTAAAATAGCATTGCACTGTGCGGCCAGTCGAGGTCATGTTGAGTGCGTAGACGGACTATTGACGTTGTGTGGATCCGAGGTGGACGCGGTGGACAGCAACAGTTGCTCCGCTTTGTTCTACGCCGTGACACTAGGCCACGCTGACGCAACCGAAATATTATTGGAACACGGAGCTAATCCTGACCGAAAGGACGGAAAAGGAAGAACGTAAGGCAGTCTTTAAAGCGAACCTAATCTTAAGTAGTTTTGTTCAAGACATTAAAAAAAAAAAATCAATTAAACCACCACAGCTACATAGTCTATAGTACCTAATCAATATTAAAAATAGACATTATTGAAACGGTTGTTATTATTTGTATGCGTTTAAGGCCAGCGCATTGCGGTGCATTTAAAGGCCAGTTGGAAACTGTCCGACTTTTAGCCGATCACGGTGCCAACTTATGGTTACGGAACTCAAAAGGCGGATATCCGTTGCACGACGCAATGAGGTCTGGTCGCAAAGATCTGGTTCTTTGGTTAATATCGATGCGTCCCGAATCAGTAGATTATTATGACGACGACGGTAAGCGACCATTGCATATCGCTGCGCTTAACAACAACTTGGAAATGAGCAAGGTACTTCATTTGCATATAATTTACGTTTATTTACAGTGGACAAATTATTATGACGAACGGTCAATTGTACACTGTTTAATTTTTTTAAAGTGTCAAAATAGAATATAATGTAACAAATTTGAAAAAAAAAACCGTACTTATTTAGTATATTAGTTATTTTTTGGTTTTTTTTTTTAATGCCTTATAAGCTATATTTATAAGGCTCTTTGTTACTTGTGTGAAGTTAGTCCCCCCCTACTTTGTCCAATTTTCTCCAAACCTCAACCATCATTTTGAAAATAAATAGAGAAAATTTGAAAACCAGTCTTCAGAATTTGAAAATTCTTAGTTTCATAACAAGAAGTTTTTTAAGTAAGGAGGGCCAAAGTCATGAAGCCCCCTTATGTTGTAAAATTAACTTCAAACCTTTGCTAATAATTTGAAAACTTTTATTTTAGCTATAAAAATGGTTAGGTCTGGGTGCCAAATTCACGTATTAATCTATAATATTACCGTATGTATTTTTCTTTCCCTTATTTTTTCTCTCTCATATTTTTTTCGTTCTTGATGTTATCATTATCGACTGTATTCAAAGAGCTATTGTCTCGGAAAATTTTAAAAGTAAAAAAAAAAAATAGTTTCACTTCTGGAGACCAAATTCACGTATCACTCCTGCGTCTATGAAATTGTCTCCCCCATATATGTAATAAGAGGGATTCGAAAAAAAAAATTAAGTGAAAAAAAAGTATATGGAAAGTTATTTTAAGTTGATTTTTTTATATTTTTTGTACCTACACTACATTAGTAGTTATTTTTGTTATTTTCGATTATGGACTGCAGATTTTGATAACTTGTTCCGATAATTATTTTGTGAAAACGTTTAAAATATTATGATTGAATAAATAATATAGTCAATGGTATTGAAATATAGTGTAGGTACCTTCTATATATTATATGGCACTATATAATATTATGTAAAACTAAGCAATAATATTAGTTTTTATATTTTAATATTTAAAATAAATATATTGCTTTTTTATCACTTGCTTTTTTATTTGCTTTTTTCCGAATTCTTTCCCTGCCCTAATATATTGAGGGACAATTTCATAGACGCTGGAGTGATACGTGAATTTGGTCTCCAGAAGTGAAACTATTATTTTTTTTTAGTTTTAACATTTTCCGGGGCAATAGCCCTATTAATACAGTAACCAATGATAATATCAAAAACAATAAAAAAAAAAAAAAACGAGGGAAAAAAGGGGAAAGAAAAATACTGTAGAAGCCGCTTATTAGGAACACGGATAATTGATACAATCGATATTCATTAACCTATTGAAAAAACACCCAAGTCTTAAACTACATTTTTATAAACGAATATACCTTATATTAATATTAATACTTTTTAAATATGTATAGGTAAATAACTATTTAGGTCGTTATCAAATTTAATTATTGGAATATCAAGTTCATAATAATGAAGTATTATTTATTTTGTAATAAATAATTATTTAATTAGTTACCTAAGTACTTACTTAACTGTGACAGATAAAATAAAACCTACCTTGAAAACAATTTTGAGAAGCTTACAATTTAGTTTCAATTTACATATAAGTAATATAATGTAATAATAGGCGGAGATTTGGTAAATTTTGGGGCTTAAATAGTCCTAAAAAGTGACCCACATAGTAAATAATTTTAATTAAATAATACAAATTTTTATAATAATATTAATAGGTAATTAACTCATAATAATAATTCCAAAAAAAATAGTCACAAATAATACGTAGAACAATTTGATATATTATTCTATATTATAGGATTATGAGAATCTGGAACGTATAATATTCCGGAATGTAATGCTCCGGAACGTAATATCCCGGAAAAATATCAATGGTTTGTTCTAGAAAAACGTTATTATCACAAAAGCGTCAAAACTTGTATAACACAAAAGAAAAAAAGGGGCCAATGGAAAATTCGGGAAAGTAGAGAAAATAGTCATGGAAGATAAAAAGGTTTAGATCTAGTTAAGGGATAGGAGGAAGAGAAAAGGCCAGAAAAATAAAAATTACTATTGGCGACACATCATTGAAAAGACTGGAGGTTATAGTTTTAGAAACATTGAATTTTACTTAGTTACGAACATTTGAGATTTCGGAATATTACGATCTGATTATTGTGGTCCGAGATTTTATTATACCTATCTCGGACTACCAATATTTTTATTAATATTATTTGCATAAATTGAATATAATATTTTATTTCAAAATTATATATTTAACTTTTAATGATTTGCATCAACAATATTATCTGTAATTAAAGTTACGTATTTTTTCATGTACAAAATTGCTGAGTTGTTAAATCGGTCTTGCTATAGATGTACAAGTGCGTAAATATATCTTAATCCTACGTATAGCCAAAAATTCTTCACATATATTTGAGTCGGTATAATTTAGGGATCACACTTTTAGTTAACGCAATTTTTACTTGTTTCATAATTAATTTAATTTTCATTAATTTCTAATTGTAAGATGCGTTCTTTGTCACATTCATTTAGTACTGTTTTAACAGAATACGTTTTTCGTGATATATTTTTCAGATGGAATTTGGGATTTGTTGACTAAATAATTATTTTGACGAAATATTTTTGGGATTTTTACCCATCCCCGTTAAACATGTTCAATATGTGTCTGCATGGGAAGAACCGAAAGCAAGCGTTCAAAAAATAAATTTACATAAAATAACTATAATAATATACTATATATATTTTATACAACATATTATATTCTGAAGAGTGAATAATAAAAAAGTGGTATTTGTTCAGTGTCTAAAAACCAAATGGAAATAAACAGTTCCTATTAGGTACTTTTAAATAAGAAAGTACAATTTGTTTCAATTGCGATTTGATTTTGTTCTTAAATAATTATGATAAAATTATATTTATAATTATAATATATTTAAAAAAATACATGTTTAAACAAAAAAAACGTAAAAAAAAAACCAATACAATGGTTTTTTTTAAATCTTGCATTTTGTTGTACAATCACTGTTTACTGAAAAATAAAGAAAACTGATACAATAGAATTGATAACGACGTTGTTGCTTTTGCGAAAACAAAACTCATTTATAAATACAATCACAATTATGATTCGCTCTACAATCGTAATTACAATAAAAAAGTGATAAACATAAACTTATTTACTATTAAAATAATTAATAATTAATTTATGTTATAATAATGGCTACGAAAAAAAAAAACCCGTATTAATACTGGCTTCTTGTATCAATTAACATAAATTGTTGGAAAATAATTTGATGGGATTATATAGATAATTTTAGGAGGCTCTTCTAATCTCCAAACTCAGTTCGTAATTATTTATTTAGTTTAATTTTGGTGGTAATGGTTCAGGCACGGATCCAGAACAAAGATCTGGGGGGCCCAACTATTTTTTACAACACAAATACAACTAAAATATAATACATTATGCATATTATTTTCTCATATAATTCTCATACAAAAATTAGAAAAATAATATATCTGAGAGGGGCCTGAGTTCCTAGGCTCTTCCTGGATCCGTCCCTGTAATGGTTATTTTTTAAGTTTAAATATCTAACTCAAATAAATTATAGATTATTTTAGATAACGGTGCGTCGATTAATCCTGTGATGAAAATCAAAGGAGAACGTCTAACACCTCTAGATGTAGCTCTAAGAAAAAACAATGGACATTTGGCCAAATTCTTACACCTCTACGGGGGTAAACCAGCCAGTAAATTAATCAAAACGTTCTCTAAACAGCAATCAACTGTACGCGTTAAAACTAAAAGGTTAGTTACTGCTATATTGTGCATTTTTTTTTAAGATTCTAAGATTTTTTTAGGAGCGAGGAATGTATTGGTTTTACTTGGATGTGTTTATTTTTTTTTGTGTCTGTCTGTATATAACTTTTCTACCAAATTTCTTGTTGCAATCAAAACACGAAAAGCGAACTTTTTGTAACATTAAGGAGGATGTATATTAAGGAGGAGATTTTCCAAACAGTTATCATAATAATAATTGGAAAAAACTAGACATTATGATAATATATAAGAAAAACTAACATATATTTTAAATTGTTTTCAACTTTGTTTTTTTCCAGAAATCTTTTTTGTTTCAAATTTCAGTAGTAGTATTATCATAGTAAAATTAATAGATTCCTCGCTAAACTCCGAATCTAAAATAAATACAACCAATGGGGGAGGGGTTAACCCCCCATGACCACCCTCCCGTGAGTACGCCTATGAACTCTGGACTATCGTCTCCTTTTTTTTCGTTTTATCTCAAATAGACAATTTAATCAGTGCTATTATTGTTTTTAATCAAATAATTTTTAGATCGGAATCTCGAAGAAATTCACATTCGTCCGATTCAATAAGCCGAAAGTACCGTAATGGCGTCAGTCGGAAAAAACAAGTCGTACAACGGAAGGGTGAAAGTCCGAAACCTAACAAGACATCAAAGAGTCGTTTAGTTCAAGTAAATAAATTATTTTTAGTAATATTATTTTAACAGGTTTCCGTTTCTATATGAAACATAAAAATGTAGACAACTTTTAGAAATATTGATCACGTCTCTATAATATTATAATAGTTGCAGAACTTTTAAGATTATAACATAATTATTTAATGAATTACGACGAAATAAATGAAATTGATTGTTTTATGTACTGTTTTTTGAAGTATTTTTAATAAGATTAGAAAGGCCATTTAAAAAAAATCAATAAATAACATTTTTAAAAGTATCGTGCGGTATTATACTTGGTCAAATAAAAATTGATTTAGTTTTATTGATATATCAATAAGCAATAATTAATCATAATAAATGGCTTCAATTGTATAATAAATTTTTGTTTTAAAATTTGGATTGTAAGTTTTTAATCTCTAATATAAATTTATAAAACTAATAAAAAGTAAAACTGTTTTCTCAATCTTTAACGAATAGAATTTGTTGTCATTACATTAGTCTGTTGTGACTTATCTAAAGTGATCACGTCCTAATCAGGCACGTATTTTTTTTTATTATTTTTTTTTTTCAATCCGTAGATTGGTTGAATAATGATATATTGTCCATTTATTCTCATAATTTCCCGGTCTTTCTGTTGGTTTTACTCGTATTATTCCATTTACCACCTCGAAAAATTTTTTGCTTGTTCCTTCCTGCTTAAGTTTTTCCATACATCATTTTTACTTTGTCTCTTTTAGACTTTAGATTTCTTGTAGATTTTTTTAAAACATAATCTTGTTTCCATTATTATCAGATTATGATCTGAATTTATGTCTCCCCCTGGGTAGCTTTTACTTTGCTTTAACTGATTTTTATATCTTTTTTTTTACTAGTATGTAATCCAACTGATATCTCCTCCTGGCATGGTCCAAGTGTATCTTCACCGTTTTTATTGTGAGAATAACGTGTTGATGATTATCATGTCCCTTTCCTTACAGAATTCTTTATTTTATTTCTCGTTCCAAGTCTAAACTTTCCTATTACTTCTGGTTCTGTTCCCTCGCCCACAACGGCATTCCAATCTTCCAAAATTATTAAATTTTTTTTCTTTGCCATTTTTATTACTTCTGAAATTTATTCGAACAATTCTTCGATTACTTCATCTTTGTGATTAGATGCTGGCATGTAAATCTGTATTATAAATGTATCTCTTTGCTTAGTTTCTATTTTGATACCTACGATTCTTTCGTTAAAGTGGATAATACTCTTTATCTTATGACCAACGTATTCGCATGAAGTACCTATACTCGGATCTGTGTACACAACATACCAGACACTATGAACATACAGGAATTTTTTTTGGGGGGGTGGGGGAGTGTGCGCTTTTATAAGTAATATAAATCGTAAAATTTAGTTAAATTGTACCGTGTGCATCGCTTTTATAGATGTATGTTTTGTGTAGAAAGGTTTTTTTTTTTAATTTTAGGTACACATAAGAGCAGATGTGATGACCAAAACAATAGGGAAATCTAGAAGTGATAAAAAGTCGTACTGCAGCAGCACGTTTCCGAAAACTTTTAAAAAAAAATCAGCATCCATTAACGAGCCCAAAGAGTGTTTCAGCGAAAACGATCTATGTTATGGCGAAGACTACGACTGTGATTACGACTACGATGATGAATACGAGGATGACGTAGATGATGATGACGAAGAAAATTTGAACGAAAACGACGAGGAATACGGTGACAGCTTAGACAGACAGCTGAATGGCGGAAACAAGAGACGGAATATGAATAGACTTCGTGGCAATAGAACAGCGACGCAGTGCGTCAAACGCGAACTGAAGATGACTAGTGATGGACGTCGGCGACGTATCAATCGCGATAAGGCAGCGAAGACTGCTGCCAACAAGGTGCAGGTGATGACGGCCACCAACAACAAGCTTAAACAGGGAACAACAGCCGCTAATAAGGCAGAGGTGACTATTTCTAGCGTACCGACTGGTGTCGTCGATGATGGTAGCAACAAACATGAAGACGAGCCAAATATATCCCATATAGTTTGCTCAGACGAACACGACGCCGAGTGAGTTTCTGTTATTATATTTTTTTTACACCTGATTTTAAAAATATATCCAAACATGTTAAAATCTTTATAATAATTATTTTTAATATGATGCGCGCAGGCAACCGAAAACCACTACGGGAAACGTATTGGATACTGTAAAAGAAAGTGTAAACTTGACATTTACTGACAACATGAACAAGGATGGCAGTGATGGTGACAATCAAAATATGCCGGAAGCCTATGTACCGTCAAATACGGTGGAACTCGATCAAAATGTAAACGATTCGGTCAGTAGCCAACCAGAAGGGGGATCCACGAAGAACGATGATAGCCACCTCACTCCGGCCACGGAAACGAACGGAATATCACTACAGCCAGCATTGTTACAATCGCAACCTCAGCTACCGCAATCTCAGCTACCACATCCGCAGCCAGAGCCATCAACTGTGCAAACGATAATGATCGAAGGTCCGCCGACAACGGTTACCATTTCAAAAAGAACGCCAGCAGACAGAGTCCCTGTCAAACGGTCGGTGAGTAACGTGGACGGCAAAACGTCGACAGGCCGATCTATCAATTGTAAGGCCATAGTGGAAGTACTGGATCGCGTGAACACGCCTCAACTGACACCTGTCATGGTTGGCGGCGCTGCTGGAGATAGGAACACCGAAGAAATTGCAGGCAAATTAACCGCGTTTAGTGTGTTACCGACCGAAGGTCGAGATGATGACAGAACTTGCGAGTGTCCAAACTGTCGCAAAAAATCACTACAATCGATTTCGAGTAAGTGTTTATTTACAAATTACAATTATAATATTAATTAATCAAATTTAAGTTTACGAATACCAAATGCAGGTGATATATGTGTGTGATTTTTCTTTCTATGGTATAATACAATTGTATAAGGGTGATTTTAAAAGGCGTGACATTCAGTTAAAAATTAAATGTATAAAGTGTTAACACTTAATTTAAAAAAAAAAAAATTGCCACCTGATTAGCGAAAGAAGATTGTCGATACCGCAAAAAAAAGTTTTGAATTTGTATTATTATCTTTTAATCTTTTTTAAACAATCGTTGTCGTGAAAACACATACTGTTTAAAAAGTAATACTATTGACCGAGCTCCGCTCAGAATCGTTTTTCGTTAGCAATTATTAATCGTAGCATACCTACAGATAAAAATTAAATTCCCTCTATATCCTACCTTCGCAATTTCTCATCTACAATAGTGGCCCACCTGTAATGCGAAGTATGTCCGTCCATTTTTTTGTTTTTTATATCCTATAACAGGAGAACCTTTTCAGGTAAATGAGTCATTCAAAAAAAAAAAAAAAAATGGAAAACCATAATTTTCTAAGAGCCACACTGGTTAACATAAAAAAAAAATATATACCGTAGTATAAAAAACGACTAGTATATTTTACTAAGTAATTTAATTAGAAATTGGTAGGCATTAGTAACATAATAATGTATTCTTGGACTCTGAATGATGTCATTACAAAGAAAATTGAAGCTTTTGAGTAATAACTGTATAAAAGAATACTAATGATACCATGGACTGCCCGGATTACCAACATTGAAGTTCTTAGGAGGATGAACAAGGACACTGAGCTCGTAAACATCATTAAAATAAGAAAACTCCAATATCTAGAACGCATAATGAGGAATAAGATTAGGTATTTTATATTTAAATCCATTTTACAAGAGAAAATATTTGGGAAAAGAAAACCTGGTAAATATAGAATATCATGGCTTCAAAATCTAAGGGTATGGTTTGGAAATAGCACATCACAGTTTTTTTGCGTCGCAATCGACAGAGAGAGTATTGCTGGAATGGTCACCAACATTCGGATTTGGATAGGCACCTGAAGAAGAAGTGCTTTCCGTGTACTTTTTCACAGATTCAAAATGATCAAGATTTCCGCTATCAAGATCTTCTGCATAAAGTTGAAGTTGTTGTTCGAAAGAAAGAACGGTTTCTAGTAGCACATGTTCTGTATTACCTATAACTTGAAGCTTTTTATTATGAGTGATTTAAAGATGGAAGTCAAATCTACAGAAAGATACAATTTTTGTAGCCACATATTATTGCATAATTCGGGGTAGTTGATGCCTTTATTCGTTAGAAAATGTTTTATGTGTTCAAAACAAGCTATAAAGCGCTTCAAAATTGCCCTTATCGATAATCAACAAAAATTAAAATTATATCTACTTTATAATTTAGAGAGGTCATTTTTTTTATTTTTCAAGTGGTATTCATAACATTGGAATATCTGGGAAAAACTGTAGGTAAACCGGACAATTTACGAAATAATAATAATATTATTTTCAATTTAATTTTTTTGTTGTGGTTCAGTTTTCATATCTATCCCGACAATGAAGATGTGGGGATTTCTTTTTAAATTATTGATTTCATAATTTTTTTTTTAATATTCGTATACTTGATACTCAAATAATTAGTTTTTAACAAACCAAATATAAATTTTGAATGGGTAAAAATTCTTGATGTGGGATAACGCTATAGGGGAATGTAAAGTCAAAGCCTACCCACTTCCCATCTATTTGTTCTCATTCAATTCTGACACTACCAAAACCAAAAATGAATGAGGCTTAAATAATAATATAATACAAATTAATAATAGTACGAATTGGCACAGGCAACGCCGGGTGCGGGACAGCTAATTATAGATATAACTAACTAGTGATAGCAATGGCTATTGCTGAATAGTGCATCTTGTAATAAATTTAAGCATAATTGTATTAATGTTTCGTTTATAGAAAAAAATAAAAGCCGCATTCCCCGATTGAATAACTATTGTAGTCTAGCGCCAACTTCCGATCTAAATACCATGTCCGTTACCAAAGCTGTTCAACTGAGTAGTAGAAAGTAAGTGACTTAAAAGTTGTTGCAAAAACGTATTATAATTATATAAAACTAATAACTAGGCCCTAACTTTGTTTATAGAAACTTATTTCAAAGTGATATTTGAATATATATTAAATACACCCCTTTATCAGTAGAGTTACGTCTGTTAGTATATTATAGAAATATTCTCTGTATTCTGTAAAACAATAGAAAATAATCGAAAGTCATAAAAATACGTAATACTATACTATCAGATGATCCATTTAAGTTGGTACATTCATTATCTCAAAAAGTATAAACTTTTTTCGAAATTTGTTTTCTAGAACATTTAAGAAATAAGCAGCTCTACAATTTTATATTTATGTTATTTTTGGGGGTAAAATCACTAACTACTTTTAATTTTCAAATGGCAACTTATATTAAAAAATCCATAAATAGATGGAATATTAGTTAAAATAAATTTTAGTGTAAAAATATTTTATTTGTGAAACGGTATGGTGTGCAGCATATTAATAATGCAACACTACTCTCCTTCAACCCAAACTTAAAAGTGGAATATCTCGTCAATGGTTTGATAGAAATGAAAAATTACAACTCTAAACTCTTTTAACTAATACTCCATCTATTTATGGACTTTTTAATATAAGTTGTCATTTGAAAATCAAAAGTAAGTAGTTGTTTTACCCCCAAAAATAACATAAATATAAAATTGTAGAACAGCTTGTTTCTTAAATGTTCTAGAAAACAAATTCCGGAAAAAGTTAATACTTTCCGAGATAATGTGTGTACCTACTTAAATGAATCACCTTGTATATACTGAGTTTTTATGAACTACTTATATTCTCGGATGATTCTAAAAAAAAATTTTTTTTATTCATTATCGAATTGTTTAAGCTTTATTTTAACTTTAATTATTCACCTCAACTCCCTGAAAATACCTGAAAGGTATACGCTTTAAATTTTAAATTAGTAACCCTCCTTTCAGTGCCGGCCCTAGGGGGCAAGCGTTGTGGCCACACCGGGCTTGTGCGGAGCTCCAAAAATTATGTATTCCGAATATCACTTCATCTATAAAAAATCATCATAATATTGTCCCAATAGTAATCAAATTTCGATCCATATGCTGTGTAGCCGTATGTTTTTCGTGGGACACGGGTTTTTATTTACGAAAATCAAGGTGGTATTATACATAGCTAATAAAAATATTAATGAATAAAATATTGTTTGTACCTATTCATTTTGTGTCTAATATAGAAATACAAATTTGATTTAATTAGTTTATATTATGTAGGTATACACATTTAGATTTCTAACAAGACCTTAAAGTTTATACGACTGTATGAAAATAAAGTAAGTCCGTTAGAAAATTAAATAAATAAATATAGATATATTTATATCTATATATGGAGCCCCGCGAAATTCTGCAACGGGTCCCGATCTATCGGGCCGGTACTGTCTCCTTTTTAAACACAGAGTCAATTTGATAGAGAATATTTTTCTGACAATTTTGATATAAATTTTAATAACATTGGATCTATCGTTTATAGGTTATAACAGTTTAAAATTTAGATAAGATAAGTAGGAATGTGTATATTATATTTCCAAAATACAGTAAAATTTTAGTAAAAAAATGATAGGGACAAGAGTTTAAAGTTGAAACCCCATATAAGACAACAATAATGCAATACACCTACATTCGGTACTGAAGGCCTCGCCGGCAATTGACATATGATTAAGCACCATGTCCAATCTAATCATGTAATATTGATTTTACGGAAAGGGGGTCCTAATTCGAATTGCACTTTTGGTTGAAAAATATAATATACGTGAATACAATTTTAAATTATAATAATAAAATCTATGGATTTCAACAAAAATCATGGTGCCTATAAAATATTAATTTCAATTTTACTCAGTAGGCAGTAGCATCCCAATTATATGGTTCAAATTATATTAGGCCACTCTATATTTTGATTTTTTATATTATCTCATTTATTGTTACTTATCATTATACATCTCGTATATGCTATATATATATTAAAAAAAATTGATCTGTGCATATTAAAAAAAGGCTTCATATAGATAAGGCCTCATTGGCCAGTCTATTATAGTGTAGAAGTCAGTTCAACCCTGTCTATTACAGGGGAAAATTTGACAAAAATTGAAATATTTAAACTAGCATTTTTTGTAAATTAATAAGTAGGTAGGTACACGTAATGCAATTTTACTGCTGTATAATATAATAACTAAAGATTACATAATAGGTATGGATTTTTTACCATTGAACATCGTTATAAAAAACAATATCTACATTTTTATTTGTACGAAATAAAATGAACCCACTATTTTTGTCATCGTATAGATATCACTTGGAAAGGTTGATTTTTTATCAACTTTCTGAACTAAAACGACTACAAATTAGAGCGGGTAAGTCCGATGAACGAGTACTGGTTAAACGATTGGTCGAAGAATACGGCCGTACAGGTTTATTTACTGGCTTGAAAAGATACGATGGACCGTTTTCCTTCAAACGCTTTGAAAAATATTTGTACGGTAAGTTAGTTTAAAGTAAGTAACGGTGAGTTTAAAATGTTTAGATCACCAAAAATACATAGGAATGTTGCTTTCTAATATAAATAGACATTTTCATTTAATTCAATGTGCTTATTGTTACGTTAACAACTGTAGGTTGGCTAATATGAAGTCAGGGTTTTAATAAGTGGTACAAAATTTTAAAGGAACTTAAATGTGATTGTATAGGTTCAAGAAATAATAATAATACTAAATATTTTCAAACTATAAATCCGACAAATATTTTGTTTTATTTTTATTATTTCTAGAAACTTTAAATTTATGGTGAAATTCGCCCATAACATTTGAAATTATCATGCAACTAATATTTATTATCTACCTACCTACAACCTACAAGTTACAAAAAAATGTATTCTCTCAGTAGAACTTTCTCCAGCTGTGTTAAAATGAACAATATATTATCAATAAAATAACTTTCGATACAACTTAATTCTAGACACAAGGGGACCGAAAGTTCCCTTGTACGTCCTTCTCTCTCACCCATGTGTCTAAACACTGTATTATATTTTCAGAACTATTCGTGTCGTGCGTGTCTGTTAAACTCGTGTTTGTATTTCCAAGTAAACATTTCCAATTTAAACGTTGTTTTATGCTAAGTCGACTTTTTCGCTATAATTCAGCATTTACTCATATTATTGACAACAAAACTGCCTTGTACACTTATATAGGTATATTAACCGTGCAGTAGGTTTTTTTTATATCTATCTAAACTTGCACGTAATGTTTATATCGATTGTTAAAAAGTACAAGAGACTTTCAAGAAGTACCGTAGTTATAATATTTCATGTCAAAGGTTATTATAAAAAAAAGTGAAAATATCAATATGGGACAGTAATGTATTTTAGATTCTGAATTTTGAGTGTAACGAACAAACTTTATATTAGTTTCACCATTGATTTTATGATAGATTACATTATATTAGTCTACAATACGATAACTGGAGAGGAAGTCTAGGGATCCGGTCTCACCTTCGAAAATAAACGAATTTTTAGCAGTGAATATCGACTATTCACTATATTGTTATAAGAAAAATTGTAAATTTTGTTAAAGCACTACCTCGAAATAAGATAAAATTTAACGTTTTATGTCAAAAAATATGTAACATGATTAGGTTATTGCCAATAGGTAACAAAAGAGAATATGATGTTATTTCCATCTGATAATCTGAACTTGGACAAAATGTCGGACACAGAAAATTTAAATTATTTAATGAGGTAGCAATATTATATTACTATCTAACGCTCTTTTCACTACTGTCTGCTTATATACATGAAGTGAACTTGTGATTTATGAAATTACAAATACAAAATTATTTTACGAAACGTCAAAAGTTATGTTAAATATTTAATATAAGATTCGGTATATTTTTACAGTTAAAGTGTTAGTAAATGTTTTTACTAACCTATTACAAAACCAATTTGGTCATACCATATCTTAGAAAATGCGCGTTTTCCTCATAACTGTACTTTATTCTAAACTATTTCGAATATTTTTTCTATAAACTATTTTTTTTTATATTTTTCGAAATTTCAAACAGATACCTTATTTATCATTGCTAAATAAACTAAATTATCTTATATCTTATAACCTTCTCAATTTTCCATCTAAAACAGTAACTTACCTGAGTAAGTTTGACTTTTACTGCATATCTATAATAGATCTGCAAAGATGTTTAAAATAATGGAATGTTGACCTGCATGTTAGATATTATTTATATTTGAAATGCAGTCGATAAACCGTACATCCGTGTACCCACATATAATTTACACAATTAGGTACATTTACCGATACAGAATTAATATAAAATTAATTATACTAAATTACTTTTGTTTTTCACAGATCAATTGCTCGTATTGCAAAAATCATTAACCGATGGGAAAACTGTGATTCCTGCAGTGCAACCTATCGATGAAGTCGAAAAGTTGACTGGAGCTTTGCGCCGAATTAACGTTGGTAAAACTGTGCTGGAAAATCCAAACGATTATTGTTTCCTGTGTACTCAAACCACAAATAGGTGTTTTCACGCCACTCACGCGTACACAGGCATACCTTGTGCTGCATATAGTGAGTAGATGTTACCTACAGTTTCCCTATTATGTGGACAGAAATACGATTGAAAACGGTCATTATCGCCGATATTTTTCTTAGACCATTTAGACTATTACGATTGAGAACGTTCAGTTTTTATAATTCTACGCAACGTTGCCAAATATGTACAAATTTTAAAATTCAACCATTAGGTAATCAAAAATATGTATATTTTGATTCAATTCATTTTTTGTATCGTAATCGAGTTTAGTGATTACTTATTGTTGTTTAAGGTAGCATATTACTGAATCTATTAATAATGATAAATGATAATCTATATAAATACAACGATAAATAACAAATTGTTTGAATAATCAAAATATACGCATTAATGCATTACACAGTACGTGATTTCATGTATTATGCGTTTTACGTGTGAAATATTTTACATTTATACTTAAATAAAATGGAAAATAACCAAGACTTATACCCTCTGAACGTAGTAAAGATTTAATTATTTTAAACTCCCACAAATACCGTTTTATTAGACATTTTTCATAATTTATTTATGAGTTTTGACTCGAATATAGTTCAGCACGTCACATATAATTTTGTTTTCAATAGTACTGTTTTTTTTGGATAAGCGGTTATTTCATTGTTCCATTTTGAACGTTCTCAATCGTATGTTATAAAAGGTCGAACGTTTTTAATCGTATTGTAACCAGATATTTTGTTTAGCTGAAGTTATTATTAATTTGTTATATTTGTACATTGTACACTTCATGGTCACAATACGCTTAGGAACGTTCGACTTTTTATAGCATAACATACGAGAACGCTCGATTTGGAACAATAAAATAGCCGCTTATAAATGTGCATACAACAAATTAACAATAGCTGCAACTCTGACTGAAATCTGACTAGGGAATTTTCCCAGGAGTTTTTCCAATAAATGGGAAAAACTGAGAAAAAACTTGGGAAAACCTGAGAAACGAGAAAAAAATTACAATATTAAATAAATATTATTGAAGAAAATGTTTAATGCATATGTTATTATTTTACCATAATATGACATATACTAGAGGGTGGAACAGGACTAATTAATATTTTTTAGCTTATCATTTACTACTTTAAATATAATATTTTCATCCTTGGTATTATTTATTGTACCTTTTTAGTAATTAATTCTTGCAATTGCTTACTAAAATTGTCAAATTTATCGCTCATAAAATTTACTGATTTGACTAGGTTTTTAATCGTTTTATTTTATGATTTCTGCGGATCATACTGATCTATGTTTGTAGTTTTTTTAGTAACTTGAGTTTTAACAACTTAGCAGCTGCTCATTCAATTATTACAATGCCAATTTTGCCTGACATTATTTGGAAAGCAGATTCTCTCAAAGTCACACATCTGAAATGTAGTATTTGATTAAATTTCGTACACTTTAAGTTATTAGTTTATCACCTTGAAAAATGTCGTCATTATAAATATTACATATAATAAGAAAAACCATCTAATTGGAAATTCACAATTAAGGTAAAATTTCGAAATAAAATTCGAAACTGAGCGAGTACCTACACAGAACATCCAAACAGGTCAAACACCAACTGATACCGAAAACTGTTTAATTAATGGGTTTGTTATTAGATTAGATTATTAAGATTTAGACTATTAAGATATTTTGATTTCTTGTTTTAACGTCGATTGGTATTTATACCCATATTTTCCTGAACCAAATCAATTCATGTCTTCCATGTAGGTTTTTAAAATGTTATGATTAATTTTTGGTTATGAAAAGTTATATCTGTACGAAAAGTTACATAGGCTAAAAAATGCTTTTTATGTTTTTAAGCTTTTAAATTTGTTAGTGCATTGAAATGACGTAACAGTTTTTTTAGGGGGGAGGGTGTTTTTATTTTGTGTTAAATTGCAACTTCGTAACTTTATTTTGCGAATATGGTATATAACACACATACCATATAGGTAGGTATCTATTTAATAATTATCTATGCGTAACACAAAACATCTTGTAGAAATCTAATGCATAACTGCATATAATACAAATTATAATTTTTGGCAAAATAGGGGGCATTTGAACACCAAAAGACCCCGTTCGCTACGCCACTGGTACTAGCATCTTCTAATCACGAACAAATTATTTAATTCTGAGCAATATTTTATCAAAGATTTTACATAACAGTAAACTTTTTTTTATTATTTTTTTTTATAAAACGATATGCTCCCAAAACACACTTTTTTCATCATTAATTATATAATACTTAAAAAAAAAAAATCAACTGCCTGAAAACTGAAACTGAAACCACGAAGAAAACCAAAAAAAAAAAAAAAATTATTATGATAAAAAGGCGAAAATAAATTAATTTTAAATAAATAATAATGATGACAAAGTTGATACTTTCCTTTCTTGCATGGAAATATAATTTTTAACATAGTATGGATAGGTAGGTAAATTATGCCAAAAATAATTTTTTTTTGGTTCGGAGCGTAGTGAGAAAACTAATATGAGATTTTATTTATTTTTTTTCTATCTGTGAATAACTTTTTTATTAGAAAGTACCGAAGTACTGACTATAGTATCTTTTCTAAAAGTTAATTTTCTCTAGTTGGTGCATTGAGAAAGTCATTTTTTGATCTTCCAAAGGATTTTCGAAATAATTCGGAAAAACCAAAATAAAAATTATTGGTGAAATGGCAAATATAATAGCGACGTTACAGTTTTCATTGTTTTTATTATATTTACACGATGTTTTCTACCAGAAATATTGTTCCAATCTAAAAATGACAACTGATCAATTATTTTATAATTTACACATAGCCACCAGCAGAGAAAGATGTTTTTTGATATTTACAGCATTTTTCATAATAATTGGGCTATTCAAAAAAGGAGAAATAAACGTTTAAATTACAGCTCAACAATTTCGTTATTTTATATTTTTACGGCTTATGTTTTCTACTATAAATATTGCTCTAATAAATAAACGACAAGAGACCTGTTATGTTGGATTTTTAATCTAGTTTACGAGTAAGTTATTCGTTTTTTTATTTTAAAATTAAAAGTTAGGTTAGGTTAGAAATTGAATAAGTATTATCAATTTTTAACACTGCACGCTCGCTTCGTCCCATGCAAACCGCAAAGATAAAATCCCTTATATAGGCTTGAGAAAATTTGTTTGTTCTTATCCAGTACCAAAATTCAAGTTGGACCATCATCGAATGCCAAAGCCCGGGGACTGCGGTCGTGGCCGTTTCTTGCCGGACATACGGCAGCAACAGGAATCAGGCCCGGGAACGAGGTGTCTGAGGAACGTGGACCCATCCAGGCCGATCACACTTCAACTAGGCAACGGGCCTTGTACGCAGGCTATAGACTTGCCCACCGACAAGCTGGACAAAAACAAACGGTACTTGGTGACCTTCACGATAAAAGGTGCCACCGACGGATCGCAAGACAGACGCCAGCAACTACCTCCGACACGGGAAGACATCAGCCACCGTCCGTTGGCCCACACTCACGCTAAGAGCTTTTAACCGCCATCGCGTTCATCTTAATTTTATGTATAAACATACGTCAATAATTTTTTTCTATCGCTGTTGTTGTTTCCATAGTTTATATATCATTATCTTTAAGTATAACGTTAATATATTAATTATTAATGTAAGTAGGCACCTATTTAATGTTAAAATGAGTTCATACCAGATGATGTGTGAGAACTGAGAAAGTGTTCTTTAGAAAAAAAAAAAAATAAATTAAGAGAAATACCTATATGTATTTTATTATAATTATATATACATACGTCAAACCTAAATACCTAGTATATAAATAAAATATTGATGAGCTGATGCTTTGATATATTCAAATTTGATATATATATATATCAGTTGCGGTTTTTCATGGAGATTTTTTGGATTTAAGCCTCTGGGGTTTTGTAAGTTGGGCACCATAGGAGTGAATTGTTAGGGACAGGAAAGAGATCATTTTTTCCATTCGTTTAAAAGTACTTATTTTTGTCCAAGGGCTGAAGGACCAATGTTGCATAGCCTTGGAAGTCATTGTGTTGGGGTGGACTTTGATGTTCCGGATATTATACATATAGAGTAATTCAATCGAGAATCTTCAATATAGTATATAACTTAATAATGTATAACTTTAAATAACTAATATGTAACTTTAATATAGACATTAGAAAATTAAAACAGTAATATTACACTATGGGGTTTGTAATTATCTACCTACATGGGCATTTGGAATAGTTGATAAAAAAACATATTATTTTAATTTGAATAGGTACTACCAGTAATTTTGTTATTCACAATTTTCAAATATTTATAATTAGTAAAGCCATCAGTTTTAGAATGTATCCTAAAATAAATGATAAAATTCAACAAAATTACCAAACTAGTATTATTGTCACAAGAGTAAATATCATAACTGTTAATTAAAATAAAATCAAAGTTATATATGATATTATATTATGTACGTAATAATATTATGCTATAATTGTGATATTGTTATAGGATATCTGTTGGTAATCTAACTTGATTGATTTGTTGTAAAGGGTTGAATAATCCATAACTTATTTAAATGAAACAAATTAATAAATATTTGATCTAAAACACAGGTACCTAGTATATTGTCAGCTCAACAGAGAATCCCAGTATTTATAAAACTTAAACATATTTCTTGAGATCCTACATTCATTAATTTCAAAATGTCTTGAAACTATATAAAATTCAAAAAATTCAATTTTATGTACAAAATTATTAGATTATGAAACAAATTTTGATTAAATTAATGGTTTTTTTTTTTACCAACCAATACAAACATAGAAATGCATATATATATCAACCCTATTTATATTATTATAAATGAGGAATTCACTCAACTTGATTAATATTAGTAAATGATTTTCATTGTTTCATTGTTTTTAATTTTTGCAGTTTTATAGTAGACATATTGCTCCAAATAAAAAATTACCAAATACCTTTTTTATTGAATTTTAGATCTAGATGCTCACAGAAAAAGTATTTTTTTAAAATAATTAGGAAAAACCAGGAAAAAATGGAAAATGAATAAATTTACAACCTTATGATTCCTTTATTTTAAATTTGTATTCTTCATATTTTCTACCAAAAATATTATTCCAATAGAAAAACAACAAAAGACCATTTTAATGTAGTTAGTAAGTAAGAAAGTTGTTTTTTGATTTTCTTTATAATTTTATTAATCATTGAGCAAAATGGAAAAAATGCCTAAAAACAAACCGAGAAAATTTAATAATACTTAATAATACAAAAATAATAATTTTAATATTTTCAAATTTTGTTGCAATCTACTAGTTAAAAATATTTTTAGACTTGAAATTTGAATAGAAAAGTTATGTTTGCATTTTCTAGATGTGGTTAAATTTTCAATACATTATAGTGTATCAAAAATGTGATTTTTGAGTTATTTATAGATATTTAAATGTTGAGTTTTATATTTAGTTGGTTGGTACTCTGTGGATTAAACTGTCAGACCAAACAAAATTGCTTGAAAATTTAACAGGAGGTTCATTATAAGTAGTACTTAGTGGTCAACAAGAAAAAATTGAGTGAAATGTAATAATTTTTTTTTTTATAAGAATTTTATTATCAAATTTTGATGACAATTGTAAATATTATGGCTTTTCGAAACATAAAGAACTTTGCTTTGAATTGTTTTTTGTTATCCACAGTTTAGGCCCACTCACTTACAATAGTAACACAATAATCCTTAGTATTAGCTCTTTTTTTTAATATTAAATTTTGTTTACTTATTTTAACTGTATAGGCTAAAACCCAATAATGGGATTAAAATTATTCTATTTTACATTTATTTTAATAACTAATACATATGTACTTACATAATCAAATATCAATAAGCTACACAAATATGTTTAAATTTAAGTTCCAATTATATAATTTTCTTTTATATTGTACATTTCATAAGCTGTTTCTTCAGTGTGCGTAGGATCATAATCTGCTCCTATATAATCAATTTCCAATTGAAAAGGACCATCACATCTGTCAGCTGTAGTTATACCAAAATGAGTAACTTTAGCTAGGGGCAATGGAGCTTGTTTATCTTGTATTCGTCCTTTGCTGGCAAAAAAGAATTTAGAAAATGGTATCTAAAAAAAAAAAAAAAAAAAAACAGTATACTAATCAGTAATTTTAACCATACAAAAAACAATTTGTTTAAATTAAAAAATTATAAGTACAATAATTTGAATATGGAAAGGTAAAGATAATTTGAAAATGATTAGCTTCTACAATATTATTATTATTATTAATATTGTTTATTTCTGCATATAGATGATGCGCCCCACTAAACAGGTTTCTATGGGGGCACATGAGTTCACAATTTATAATAAGGAAAATAATACATTCAAATAATAATTTACAATTAACTTGAACACATACAATGTAGATAACAATAATTAATAAATGAAGACTTAATGTATAACATAGTATAATAAAATACAAATGCTAGCAACTATATTAAAGGTATACAAATATTTAAAGTTGTATATTTGTTTTTATGTTTAATGAAAGCATATTTTATATATTTGATCCTATATATAAATAAGCAAATCGAGTTAGTTTTTTATGCATTAAAGGTACAGTAATGTTTGACAATTGTCCTGTGTTACGAGTTTTAACCATGACTAATATAATGTGTTGTACAATTTTTTTAATGGTAGAACATTTAATTCTTTATATAGATATTCTGTGTGATACAAACTAATAATTTTTTTTAAATAATTTGTATTATTCTTTTTCATATTATTTTTAATGGATTTAGTGTAGTATTGTAGGCATCTCACCAAATAGTTACTTAGTTAATTATAGATTCTACTAGAGCTTGGTATATAATTCTAATATTTTTAATTTCAATTAAATTAGCTCAATTTTTGTAAGCATAGATTACTTTTCTTAGTTTTATCATTGCCTGTTTTAGGCGGTTATATCATTTAAGATTATGACATATTTTAATGCCTAAGTATTTACAAGATTTTACTATTTTTAATGAAGTTTAACATATACAAGATTTTGGATTTGAGCATAAATGTTCATGAATACACAGGCTGGTTTGAATTAGTTATATAGTGTGGTAATAAGAAGGTTTTATCTAAATTTAAGAATAGGGTATTTGAACATAACCAATTGATCATTTTTCTCAGGTAATCTTATATGGATGAATATATCTCTTCCCAAGACAATTTTAAAATTAAATAGGGTAGAAGAGAGATTGGCACATTGAGATAAGTAGACTTAAGGAATCATCTATTCAAAGTCTTTTTTTTCTATTTTTAAGCTGATCCTTGGATACCAAATTTATTAAAATTATTTAATAATATTAAATGGTCTATAGTATCGCAAGCATTTGATCTATGTAGACAGTTGGACATTTTTTAAACTTTTAAATGCATTATAAATATAGTTAGATACTGTTAAAATTGATTTTTCTGTATTTTTAACAGCCCTATAACCAAATTGTGCATTTGATAATAATTTAAAGTTTTTTAGATAGTGTACTAACTAATATATGATCATTTTTCTGAAAGATTTAGAAATATTAGAAATTTGAATAATGGGACAGTAATTTTCTATGTTTGATTTGTCAATCTTTTTTTATGTATAAGAGTAATTACTGACTTTTTAAAATTGTCAGGAAAAGTAGACTTTGAGATGGTTAAACTAAAGCTGTGAGAAAGTGATTTTATTAATGAATCTACATTTGATTTAATAATTTTAACAATAATTATGTATATTCCAAGTGAGGAATCTTGTTTAAGTGACATTATGATTGTTTTGTTTTTAATAAAGTTAAATTTATCAAAAATTATTGATGAGTTATTAATTTTAGTTTAATAAACTCTATGCTATTGATATTATGTTATAATTGATTTTTTATATTTAGTTTTGTTAAGTTTTGTGTAGAGGTGGAGAAATAATTATTAAAGTAATCTGATATTTCGTTTGTTTGGTTGGAGATAGGTAATTATTCACCAAAAGGACTTTGTATGGATTGGATAGATAATTTATTTTTTATTTATTTTTTGGGTAATAAACAAATATCTTTAATTATTATCCAGTTAAGTTTGGAATCATTGTGAGCTTTGTCTAATTCTGATTAATAATAATTTTGTTTTGCTATTTTCATAGTTTTAGTTAAACATTTGGTTTCTGTCATGCCATTGATGAGATATTTCATTTTTAAGTTTGGGTTGAAAAAATATATATATAAAATTGTAGAGCAGTTTGTTTCTGACGTGCTCTAGAAAAAAATTTTGGAAAAAGTTAATTTTTTCAGAGATAATGAGTGTACTTACTTAAATGGATCACTTGGTATATAGGTAATAAATTATACATTATTATTACTTACTCTAGTTGTTTGCCAATAAGGCCCACCACGTGTATACAATACAAATGTGAATACATCATTCCACATAATATCAAATTGTCCTGATACGTGTATGTTAATAAGATAGCTGCGTCCATCACCTCTTAATCTCAAATTAAGATGAGTATAAGGGCTCCAGTCTAAATAAGTGTCACGTTGAAATGATTTCTAGTACAAATTAATTTTACTTTTAACAATATACACAATATATTTTTTTTTATTTAGGTTTATGTAAAGATGTTACCGAAACACGTTTAGTGATTATATTACAATAACCAGAATTTTGAATTTTTCCATCTTTAGGCACTCTAGAGCATAGATTTCCAGAAAAAAGACCATATCCCTGATCACTGATTTTGAGATCGCATTTACTGAAACCTTCGGCATGATCACTATCACTTGTGGCTATCCAATGATCTAAGGATGAATTATCGTAAAATCTCCAAAATACATCAACTTCTCCTAAAACAATAAAATATATTATAGGTGTCTAACTAAATATTTGTATAAATAAAAAAAAAAAAAATTAGAATTATATGTATTATATTAATACTGATATAAATGGTCAGAAATAATGAAGGTAATGGACCATTAAGCTAAGAAAGATTATATTAATAATTGCCTGCTCTATAATCAAGAATTGGATCAAATTCTAGAAGTTCTTTCATTTCTTGTTTCCATAACTTAATTTCTTTTTTGAGTTGTTTAAAACCTAAACGGATTTTTTCAGTTTTTGTGTCAGCAATATCAAATCCTGTGTCATATCCACTTCGCTTGTCGTATTCATGAAATTCGTTTGTTGCATGGGATGTATGAATTTGTTTAGTATTTGGTGTGTGCCATGTATTGTTTTTCATTAAGTTAATATAGATGTTTTTCCAACGGTTTCGAAGTAATACTATGGTAAACCTTTTAGCAGATTGCATTATGAGCAATCGTATAATATGATAACATTAAGTTTCTCCCAATATTTAAATATACAAATTTATTTAACAATAATGGAAACAATTCATATTAAAAATTTTACTATATAATATTATATTTTTTAACAATTACCAAATAGTGTTATCGTTATCATATTACTACGCTAACATTGGTTTTCTTTCTTATCATATACAAGAACATGTTACCGTGATAGTTATCTTAATCCGTGGTTACCGTCATTACGCGTAACCACCTAATAATTTCATTGGTAACCAAAATATTTATTTTACTCTTGATTTTATTAAAAAATTTCGTGTATCTACCGAATACTATTCTCATATCGTGTTCAAAAAAACATTTTGATAACCTTAAAGTTTTTGTACCCTGTTCAATTTTTTCGGAATACAAATTTATGCCTAAGCCAGATCCTTGCAAAAAATTTGCTTGTGCTATTCAAAAATGTTTGTCGGGTAAGTATATATGTGTAGAAACTAAAATTGTGTTATTGTATACTTTTTCTGTTAGAATATCGATATGACCATTTTAGTAAAATATTTTTATTTAAATTAGATATTATTGTCTACAATAATTTTAAGAGTTTATTACGTTAGATAGTATTGAATAGTTTTTAAATTAGGTACTCATGTTTTATTATATTTGAAAACACTCTGATAATACATTCACACCAATGTGTTTGTAACATATCATAATTTTCAAAAACCAGAGTTCTATGTTTTCATGCCTGGGCCAAATTATTCTAAGTTTCAAAAATATGTTCACAACTTGGCAATAAATTATGCAATTAATTACTTCAATTTTTAGCATACTAGACTAGTTACAGTTGATGCTATAAAATATTTCCAAATAATTATTATATAATTGATATTTATAAGTAAAAAAAAGAATATTGAATATTATGTACCTAATAAATTATGATTTTTATTTTAGAAAATCATTTTCAAGAGTCTCGTTGCATTAAAAAAATAGAAAATTTACAAGAGTGTTGTAACAAATATCGTGAAATTTCACTCGTATGTTCTGGTATGAAACCTTCACCAATAACCGAGAAAAACCAAGATATTCAGGTAAACAAGATTGAAAATATATTTTCAAACACTATGTATTACACTTGTTGTTTATATATTTTTAGTTGGGTTATATTTCTATTGAATCTTTCAAGGTCAAATCACCAGATTTTGGCTATTCATGATTGTTACTTATATTATTGTTAATTTTCTATAGCCAACATTTATATCAACAGAAAAAATATATATTACAATTTTCATATATAGTGATACCTCACTTAACTAACACTTCTAAATAGCGGACATTTTTTTGGGAAATGAGCAAATTTTCACTACTTATCTATGGGAAAATCTCTAAATAACAGACTAACTTAATTAATAAATATGTTCATACATAAATTAAAATACTTTCAAATAATACAAATATATTATATCATTATTACGTTGAATAAATGTTATACAGTTATTAATTGACTTACTAAATATATTTTATTTATTTTTTTTCCTCTCTAAATACTTAATACCTACAAATAGCAGACAAAATTTTGGTAACCGATGATGTCCGGTATTTCAAGGTTTCATTTTTATAATAATTAGGTTTTAGACATGAGTTAATACAATATTTTCAAAATTAACAAATAAAACTAAATATTTTAACCATTGAATTTCAAAACCATTATTTACTTACTAATTGATTTATTACTTATAAGTTATTAAAAATGTAAAAAGTGATTACAATATAAATTGTAATGCTCAAGTCAAGATTTAATATATAAAAAAAAAGCTTGATAAAAATGGAAAGTTAGATATAATATCTGTATGCACTGATTAGCTAACAAAAAACGCATATTGAAGAAGCTATTGGTTTTACAATGCTGTTTATTTGTTTCCTTCTTTGTTCTAGTCTGTGGACACATTTTTTCCTAGTAAACTTGCTTCAATGTATAAGTGTAGCACTTTTTCTAAAAGTTCAAGTTGTCTAGATTCTACTTTATTAGAGAAGTCATTGTTTGATTTTCGATGCCATTTTTTAAATAAAAGCACCTAAGTGGGGAAAAACGTACAATGTCGCAATTTTATTATTTTATAAAAACACAGAATTTTTTTTGATTTTTCTATCAGAAAAATGATTTAATCGAAAAATCACAAGACACCTTTATGATTTAATTTCTTATGTTATTATTACCAAAACATTTTTATCACTTTTGAGCTTTTAAGGAATTTTAGTTTTTTTGTTGTAATTCGGTTATAAATAGAGGCTTTAAACTTGATAATAATACTTATATTGAACTTACTTAGACGTGGAAATATTATCGGACGACTTGTTTTTTTTTTATAATAAGCATTTTGAAATAAAATTCAAATGAAAATCCCAAAAATAAAATATAGCACTTCAAATTATGTACTGCAGAATCTTCTTTCATCAAACAATGGTTTATCGTTGCCTACCGATATAAATGAAATAACCTTATGTATCCTACCTTCCCAACTTCTCACCAACAAAAGTGACTGCTTCCATTCCCAGTATTGGTAATTTTTTTTTAAATTTTTGCCAAAGTAACCCAGAAATCAACAAAAATTATAAGTTTTTTTTGATTTATTATGAAAACTACCTAAAGGAAATTCAAATAATGACCTCTCAACTTGACCACAAATGTTATAAAAAGTTAATTTAAAGGTTTTTATTTGAGTAAGATTTATAATAGAAAAATTATTTACAGACATAAAAAAGAAACATACACCTTATATAAAATCAATCAGTGTTGGTAATATATGATTACAAAATATTTTATATATTACATGTATAATATACCTTGAGTATAAATTGACTAAGACATTATTATTAATTTTTTTTTGGAGTTTATTATAATAGAGATTATTATATAGATTTTTAATTTTAATAAGTATTTAAACTTATAAAAGAATATAACAAATTAATAAATCACATCAACTTAGTGAATTTTCTTAAATTTAGAATAAAATAAAATAAAAACAAAACAAATTATTTTTTGGTGTTATAAATATTAATTTAGTTATTAATAAAGAATAAAAATGAACTTTATAATTAATATAAATTAAGCAAGATATATAAACTGATAATTAAATTATTCAATTGCTAATTATTTTATATGATAATTTCTGTTTAACTGCAGCCAAAAAAAATTGTATACTGTATAATATGTATACAACTAATAGTTTTATACTGTATGATTTATGTTTTATACATACTTATAGTATGTGTTTTATACTTTACTGTATTATACGTTCCAACCCTGAAATCAATACATTCCTTACTTGGCTCAGAATTTAAAATTAACAAATTTGAAGATTAAAAAAATCAAAATAATGTAATATAAGTCTTAATTATGTGGTATTTTTATTTTTTTAACTGGATTATGGTATATCAATATCAAGTAGTTAACTGGTAACTGTGTCTTATTATATGTATTAAAATGTGTTTCATTAATTTATTATTTTTTAATAAATTTATATTTGTATCCCTAAAACTTTTTTTTTTTTAACAAGGATTAATATGCCAGAAGAATTACAAAAACCACAGAACTATCAAACATTTGGTGACAGAAAATTGTTAAAAGATTTACCATTTTACAGAAGATATCCCAAAACATTTGTTATTGTTGGTAGTACAATTGGATTTCTAATTTTATTTAGTAAAGGATTTTATGATATATTTAAACCAATCTCTGCAGAAGATTTAAAAAGAAAATTATATATTGAAAAAATAAAACAAATGAAACTTCAAAAAGAGTTCAAGTAAGTTATTTCTAATAATCAGAACATTTATGCTAATGTATATTTGTTCAGCAATTACATAAAAGACTTTTAATTTGATAAAAATTTGTTTTATGAATTAAATTCATATTTTTATAATGCATACATTTTTTTTTTTTTAAAACCACCTGAAAGCTTTTATTGTATAGATCAAAATAAATCTTTAACGATATATTATCAAAGGTGTACATAAATACTTATGATGTATGTATATACAAAAAATTAAACATGTGTGGAATCTCACTCCCAGTGGAGTGGCCCAGATCTTAGTCTAAGAATCTTATACTAAGTCATATGGTCTTTGACATTTGAGACGCCTAATGTCTAGAGACAACCCCACAGTTAAATTCCATAAGTCCATATTGGTTTAATTAACTTAATATACAAGAGGTGTTTACTTGTGAGCTCAAGAACAGAATAACTTCCGACCAATCAATGTAGTTGCATTTTTTTCTAAATTTTTTAGTTTTTACTTTCTAACGTGGTGTTCTTCAAGTTAGGCCGAGAGTCCAGGTGCTTTCCTAGATATTTTGCTGAGTCACACTGTGGGATGATTTGCTGATCTAGCAATTCTGGTTTATAGGTATAATTAACATGCACCCATTTTTACTGTCTTCTATAAATGGTTTTAAGTTTTTTTAGTAGTTTTTCGAATAATTTTGAGATGTTTGGAAGAAGCGAAATTGGTCTGTATGAAGTTACTTGTTCTGATGGTTTTCCTGGTAGCATGATCACTTGGGCTTGTTTCCATTGTTTAGGAACGTATTCCATACCTAGGATGGCATTAAATATGTGTGTTAGATGAATTATAGCTTTTTAGAGAACTCTTTCAGAATTTTTGGATTGATCTGGTTATACCCAGGCCTCTTTTTTGGATTGATACTCATATAAATTTCTTTTTCAATTTCAATTTGGGTAAAGTACTTTATCTTATCTTGTATTTCATTTAGTGGTTGGCACTGAGCTATGTCGAGTTCGGAAACCATTTCTTTTGGTTGAAATACACATTCTAAATGACATGCATACATATCTGCTTTATCTTGTTCACAACAATCATGATTCATCTTCCATTCAGATAGGTGGTAAATAGGCTCTAGACTCTTCATGCGTCTTGTAGCCTTCCATAATGAATAATTAGTGTTATTTGTCACAGAAAGTTCACTTAAGTATAATTTGAACATTTAGTTTTTTTTGTATAATTATAAGATTTTTTGATTTTTTCATCTTTCTTTTAATTGTTTTAAATCATTTAAATAAAATTTTAATAAAATAAATAACTAATAATTTTTAATTTTATACGAAAAAAGATTTAATACAATATACTATTTTATTACTTTGTTACAAAATAATTTATTTTATATATAGTATGTAGTTGTTAATTTATTAGAACAATTTTTTGTAAATTTATTACATATAATTAAATTTTGTTTTTTTTTTTTTGAGGAGAGGAGTTGTCCAACAAACATAATTATAAACATAATAATATTTTTACTGTCATTACTGTCATTTAATTTCATACAAGCATATAAAAAATTTTATTTTGTAAATGACAAACTACATAAATTATGGTCTATTGAAAAGTACTCCATACATTTTTTTTTTTTTTTTTAGTATTTGTAAAATTGAATATTGGATTTTTGAGCTCAACTTGACTCAGTAAAACTTTATTAAAAATAATAAACCATTGCTAACAAAAAAACGATTCTGAGCAGTGTTCAACTGACAGTAATTTTTTGTCAACAATTTATATGTCGTTTTATAGTAAAATAATTAAATAGGCTTCCTATATTTGCTTTAATAATATATGCTTAATGTTTTACTGATTTTCCCATGTTTTATCTTGGTTTTTCAAATTTGATGAGAAAATCATAAAATTACCTCCCTAAAGTACCTCTTCACACTGATTTCCTTTCACAAATCAGAGCAAGTCTTTTGGTTAGAAAAATTGTGTACAGATAAAAAAATTAACATCTTTGTAAAATTATAAACTTCTTAGCTTCACTCAAAATTAGGGAAATACTTACAATATGGATAATTGTTGTGTATATTTAAAATTAATTCTATGAGTAAATTGAAACTACTTATTGAATTAGGAATCAGATAAATACAGATATAGAATAATTAAAACAACCCAAATCATTTAATTCTTATTTAAAAATACATACAACCATAACAAAAAAAAAATTAAAAAAGATATTTTAAAAGTATTTTTGTGATCCGATTAAAAATAGTGAATAATAAAAAAAATTTGAAAATCTGAGTAAAAATAATATCAAATGTTTGATATTAAACACCAGGTGATTTTTTTAATATAAAGAATTGTGGCATTAGAATTTTTAATTAAAAAAAAGTAAAAATATGCTTTTGAAATTAAATGACATAAGATTGATTGAGGGGGTTAATTTATTCTGATATTAAAACTAACAGTATGTATTGGTTTTGCTGAACTTAAATTATCTTGTGTTTGTAAGGTAGACAAAAAATGCATGTGTAGCGTGCTCCTTAAGAGGATACCTGTTTATGTTATCTCAGTCCAACTAATGCATGATATAGCAAAATCTACTTTACACAGTTTGTGTAAAATTACTTTATTTTTTGTTTTAGTGTGAAAAAAACCTATTATGAAATTAAATAAGGACAATATTCTGAAGACAAGATAGTGTTTTTTTCAATTAATTTTTGAATATGTTACAGTTATTTAAAACTGATAAATGAAGTTTTATTCTTTAACGATGTATTGAACATTATAACCAGAATAGTAGAAAAAACACATGCCCTCCAGAATATTATCCTCTTTTAATTTTATAAAAATTCTAACTGTGTAAGTTTGATTTTGCTGTTTCACCTGTTATTTGCAGTGAAATAGTACATAGCGGGTACAGTATCCTCATAAGTTAAATTTTTAAAACTCTTCATTTATTATTATCTCCACTATTATTTGTTAAGAAATGTTAAAATGTTAAATCAATTAAATAGGAAAAAATGATAGAGTATATTTATAATGGGTGATTCATTAAGAGGTACTTTTTTTAAATGGGATTTTATGACAGATAACGAATGAGTCGTATCAAACTGTCGTGTTATTTTTGTTAGCGTCTACAAATTATTCAACTTTATTACGAAAATCAGCGTTTAAGAGAACTGTTTTTCGTAAGCTTAGAGAAACTTATGGTCCGCATAATCGGCCTAACGAACACACAATTCGCTATACAATTATAAAATTTGAAACCCAATTTTTATTATTAGATAACACACGACCAAATAGGCCGCATCCAGCACGTAGTCCAAGAATTAAAGCCGGCCGACCTTCCAAATCGTCACCGTTTTAGTGAATGGATTCTTGAAAAGATTGAAGAAAATCCACTGTTTTCGACCAATATTTTGTTTAGCGATGAGGCCAATTTTTGGCTTAATGGTTACGCCAATAATCAAAATTACCGTATTTGGGCTGAAGAGCAACCCTAAGAGGTTTAAGAGCTGCCATTACATCCAGACAAAACAACCGTTTGATGTAGTTTTGGGCTGGTGAAATCATCGGTCAATATTTCTTTAAAAATGAGGCTGGGCAGAACGTAACTATGTTTGCGCTCGCTATCGCAACATGATAACAGACTATTTGTGGCCTGAAATTGAAGCCTGTGATCTCGATGGCATTTGGTTTCAACAAGATGGTGCTGCATGTCATACAGCTCGTGAAACCCTGGCTTTATTGAGAGAGCAATTCAGTGAACAATTGATTTCACAATTCGGACCGATTAGTTGGCCAGCTAGATCATGCGATATCACACCTCTCGACTATTTTCTTTGGGGCTGCGTGAAGTCCAAAGTCTACATAACCAAGCCGACTACGATGGATGAATTGGAAGCCAACATCAAACATGTTTTTGGCCAAATACCAGATGAAATGTTGGACAGGCCATTGAAAATAGGAACTTCCGAACGGATCATGCTAGGGGCAGTTACGGCCAACATTTAAAAGATATAATATTTAAAAAATAAATGTAAATAATAGTTTTTTTATAATAATAAAATTTACCCAATAAAATTGAATTTTTTTATTGTTTTTTAATTCTTGAAAAAAGTACCTCTAAATGAATCACTCTTTACAATTTCTTGCTTGACTTCTTGAGTATATAGGGATTATATTATAGAATCTTATAACAACATTTGAACTTTTAAATTGCATATTAATATTTGAACTTTTAAATTGCATATTAATATTTAAGCTTATTTTTTCAATAATGCATAATAACTGCACTTTTTAATTTTTTTATTAGATAAAATCTTGAATCCTCTTTTTTTATTTATTTACTACCCCCCCCCCTACTCAACAGTTGCTTAGGCCAATTTTTTTATTTTTATTTCATTCATATCACCAAGGTAACCTATGAATAAACAAAAATAAATAACAATTAGATATTTGTACCAAAAATACCTTTACAAAATCTCTATTTTAATCCTTTAGGGTTGAATTTTCAAAAATTCTTAGGGGATGATATCTATTTGTATGCCACATTTCAGCCTGATCCATCCAGTAGTTTTTGCTGGGGGATTGTGAATCAGTCAGTCAGAACATGTTATTTTATAATCATAGAAGATAGTATCATTTAATTCAATTTTAGAAAATTAATTAAAATTTTAATTTGTTTACAGATCTTTGGAAACTGACAAAAATAACCATGGATGCAGTGAATAAAGCAAAATCACGTTTTAAAAGATATCCTGAACTTCTATTATCATGTCGAGTGGAAGGCTTGGAATATGCATCTTGTATTATACAACATGAAAAAGATTTGAAGCCTGATTCTTGTAAAATCCAGTTCACTAAGTTTCGAGAATGTTTAGTTTCCAATGCATTAAAGCATAGTACTAGATTTTAGAAGTTAATAATAATATATTAGCTATAGTTATTAGTTAAAATAACATGGACTTTACTTGGCATTTAGCATTTGCTTTTTTTATAAGAATATGTTTAATTTTTTTTGCACAATGGTATGATGATAGTTCTACTGGTGTACATTATACTGATGTGGACTACACAGTATTCACAAATGCAGCCGAACATATATTAGTTGGTGATTCTCCATATATGAGACCAACATATAGGTATACACCATTAATAGCTGTTCTTTTAATTCCAAATGTTTTACTGAATTGCTGGGGGAAATTATTATTTTCCATGTTTGATTTAGCTACTGCAATTGTTATACAAAGAATTGTTTCAAAATCTCACCCTGATCAAAGTAATTTTTGTGCACATTTGTGGTTGTACAACCCTCTAAGCATTATTATTTCTACTCGTGGAAATGCTGATTCTATATCTTGTTTTTTGGTTCTTCTAACATTATATGCCCATATCCAAAATAATTATTTATTGTCTGCAATTTGTTTCGCTACATCAGTTCATGTACGTATATATCCCATTATATTTGGTTTCACATATTATTTAAACATTGATAGTGAAAAAAATAATATGTCAATTGCTAGAACTATATTCTATGCCATCTTACCTACTCGTAAAAAAATAATGTTTGTGGTAGTATTTGTTTTATCATTAATTGTTGAAACACTGCCTTGGTATTACTTATATGGTCAAAAGTTTTTAGATGAGTCTTATTTATACCATATAAGCCGATTAGATGTACGCCATAATTTTTCTGTATATTTTTATGTCAATTATTTATTATCAGGTATGGATGAAATGTTAATTATGAGTTTTCACAGTCTTGCTACAAAATTGCCTCTCTTAATTTTATTAGGGTCAATATCATTAAAATTTTCTCGTAGCGAAGAATTGCCCTTTTGCCTTTTTTGTTTAACATTTGTGATGGTAACTTTTAACAGTGTTCTGACTTCTCAATATTTTGTTTGGTTTGCATCATTTCTACCACTGTGTTATTCTTTTCATGACTTTACATTTATTGAAATCATAAATTTGATAATGATTTGGGCTGTACCTCAAATTGGATGGCTTGCATTTGCCTACTGTTTAGAATTTTTAGGTATTAACACATTTAAATTAATTTGGGTACAATCCCTTATGTTTTTTATAGCAAATTTGAATGTTTTATGGATATTTATTGATAATTACAAATACAACAAATTAAAGAAAAAGTTGTAAAATAATTATAGTTATTGAAATTAAACTTTTAATTACAAATTATTTTGTCAGTTATTGTTTAATATAGAATATTTTTTTTTTTTAAATAAAATTCGTAGAATTTTAGTTTGAAATATTAAAAATAAATTGTTATTTTTTTTGTTTAACCTCTGATGTATAATTTGTTTATGTTTGAAAACAATAATTATCACCATAGGAAATTTGATTTTGAGCTGAAGAAAACTAATGTAAAAATTAAAATAACTAAAAATTTACTTTTTCAATTGGTATGTAATAACAAAGATGTAACCACATATCTTTCCCTTTGAGGGGGGATACATTTTGTTACATTAATATGTAAATGTTTGAAATTTGTATGCTATTAGGTATTATGCTGTTAACAATACCATAAAAAAACAAGTGTAATTGGTAAGTTTTGATTCCACTAAAATTGAGTATAAAAATACCTATTAGCATTTATAAAAAAAATAAAAATAGTTACATTTTTAGAATTTTAATCTTAAAATACAATTTTTTGAAAAAATCCAGCATTTTCAAATTGTTTGACCATTATTTCCAAAAGAAGTTTGAGTAACTTTTTTTGAAATTTGATAAAATAATGGATGAAAAACACACATTATGAAAAAAAAATTCCAATAAATATCTTGGGAGCTAAACTGTATTCATTCCCTTAAATTAAACAAAATCAGTTACTTGATAAACAATATAAATTTATTGTTGGTCAACTGTAAGATCAACCCGAAGGCTGGAATGGAAGTTTTCTTATCCTCTGACTATAGTTACCACTCTCACATTTTATCAGTAAGTTATAAGGCCTATAAGACTTTGAATGATCTGATTTTAAGCTAACCTCTCCACTAGAAGTTCTTTTTTGATCGTTAATTTGTTCCTGCTAGAAAAACTGGTCAATGACTGTAGGATTCCCTATTTGCTTCTAATTATGCTACCATAGAGTGACTTCAAAGAAGTTTTCAATTCTATGCCAATTGTATTTTAAATATTCCTCACACATTGCACGACTATTCGTCTGTTCTCCATTGGTTAGATAGATGGATAGATTGGATAGACCTAGATCATAGAAGAATATACAACAATATAAAGTTCCAACCAAAATTTATTTGGCGGTTCTGCTGATGCTCCAATGCTCCTTTTCCTTATTAACTTCTGAGTCTCCTCATACAGCTTAATTTATTGCACGATTATTTACTATTCCTAAACGCTCTACTAATTACAGTCAAAATAATTCAATCTACCATATTATGCACCTAGCCAACTTTCTTCCTGTTTTAAACTAGTTAAATACCTAGTTTTTCTCGCTTTTACTGACTAGTTATGCTTATATATTTACCTATTATTCAGTGGAGTGCTGTGATATTCTATATTGGACAAGCGCTAAAATAAAACTTCAAGTTAAATCTTAAAAAAAAAAAAAAAAAAGGTAGTTATTATATTGGTATAAGTTTACTATACCAGACACCCTTTGTTTTTCAAATTTTCATTTTTTTTTTGAAATCGTGTGTGTTTTTGACTTTGATTTCGGAACTGTTTGATTTTTTTTTCAAATCATTAAAGAAGTTATAGAAGTTTGAATTTTGTAAATAAAGTATGTCGTTAATACGGTTTTAGCCTAAATATCTATTTATTTCTTTTATATGTTGAATTGACCGTGGTCCATTGGGTAATACGTTACTTTATAATCACTACGATATCGTGTTCGCAACCATTCTAGGAGCCAACAATTTTTTGCGCTTCTTTTCTTTCTTTAAAACGCGTCTAAATTCCTTCTGTGATTTAAACATTTTTTTTTATTTTTCTCCGAGACTCGTCCCAATCGATTTTTTTCTCTGTTCGTTACCTACTCAACGTGGTTTTGCACAAAAAAATCTAGGGTTATTTGGAGGTACACAAATACCGTACACTCGGTTATACACACGTGTGTAAACCGAACTTCTCAAGAGTTTTCTGCGTAAAATAGAAAATCATAATAAACTGGAAAATGAAGGAAATATATTTGTAAAATATTACGACTTTTTTTCTGTGAACAACTTTTCTACCAGCAATTATGCTCCTATTTTTAATGAGAATTATTATTTAAAAGGTTATTTCACCTTTTAAAGGATGATTTTTAGAGAAGTCAATTTTCGATTTTCTCACGCGTTTTATCAGTGGAAAGTAAGTGTATAGAAAATATATTCCCGGAATTTTTTTAAAACATCTAAATTGTGTAGATGTAACTTATTTTATTTATTTTTTAAATCACTAATTTTGTAATTTTACAATAATGTTTGTTATCATCTTAACAGTATCAGAAAACATAAACACTGTTATGCAAAAGTAAACAAAATTAAGACACTTAAAAGTTAAATTCTGCCCTTTAAATTGAGAGTGCACATACAATTACAGTTAACCATATGTTCATTAAAATTAAGATCCGATAATTAAAAAATACCTAAGTCCTAAGTTTTTTTTTATGTAGTAGGTAAAATAATAATATTAGGACTGTTGTTTTGCGAAATACGAGTCAAGTGTTCACTTCATTATGTTTGCACACCGATACACATCAAAATTAATACTTGTCATTAGAAATGGGGCAAATCAATATTTAATTGCGATAAACGTAATAAGTCAAATATTACAATAATTTGTATGGCGACCGTTATATTGAAATATTATGAGGAAAGTGATAAGTCGTATCAGTAATTCGTTTTATCTGAAAATGAAAATGTAATTCACTTGTATGGTAAATACACATTAATTATTATTATTGATATATCTTATTTTAAAAATTATAGAAAATTAATACTTATAACAGGTATTGTTCAGACTTCCATAATTTACTTGTAATAAATCACTTTTAACAAACAGTGTGAATGTTATACAAATAGTAAAACACTACAGCTTATATTAGACACGAATAATTTATTTTATTTATTATAAAAATTATTAATTTTCATTTATACTACCTAGTGGATATTAAGATAAATGTCGAAGTTAGAATATTATTTTATAAATTAATACTATATTAAATTTTTATTTATTTTTATTGATTAATTTCTTAATCTCTAGAATGTGATTTCACTAAGCAGGTACTAATAAGTCTAAAGATTTTTTTTACATCAATGAAGAATAAAATAAGCTATTCGTGTCTCAAATGAGCTGTGGTTTTTTACTATTTGAATAACATTATACTAACTGTTTGTTTAAAGTGATTAACTACAAGTAAATTATGACAATGATATCAAAAAATCTTCAGCCTTATCACTTATAGGTAGTTGCTTATTGAAGTCACAGTCTGTAGATTAACAAATTAATTAATAAAAACAAATAATAATTTTACATATTGACAATTTATAAAATTTGAAAAACTTCAATATTTGTTAATTCAATTATTCTTTGATTAATCTTTGCTAACAAAAAATGATTCTGAGCGCAGTTCAGTTAGGTATACATAATTTAAAAGGTCATAATATTTAAGATTTTCGTTAAAATTTGATTAATAGAAAAAAATTCTACAATACACTAAATTTTTTTTTACACAAAGTACACTTTTTTTGAACCTCTTATTAAATTTTCAATCATTTCTGTTCGGTCTAACGATTTAACCCACCGAATACCTACCGAAAAAAATTTACGCAAAAACTCGCAAAATTTGAATATCTAAATATAGTCTGAAAACTGGCTAAAATATATTGAAATTATACTATGTCTAGAAACAGGAAATATAAGTTTTCGTCCTATTTTCAATTCTCTACGAATATCGTTAACAGAAAAAAAACAAAATTGAAAATAATAAACATACTATTTTTTTAATTGTTACCGTTTTTTCTAAGTTTTTTTTTGGTTTTACTCAATTATTAGAAGAAAAACTACAGGAAAAATAAAAAAAAATTCTTTCTTAATTACTTAATAGGTCTAATGTTCAACAAAACAGGTTTCGTGTCTTTTTAAATAATGCAAGATCTCTAAGTGAACATATTGATTACAAAAATATAATCATAAACTTTGAAACACCAACGCTACTAACACATTTTTATACCAGCTATCAGTAGTCGTAAGAGGTAAATATTAGTTACCAAAATACCTAATATAAGACATTTAAATTTTGTGAGATTTTACCGATTTTGTATTTGATGTATTTGATAACGGAGATAGGACAATACTACTATTTAGTCTTTAAATTGAAATTATAAAATGATAAGACATTATAATATCAAAATATGTGTTATTTTTTTCGGATTTGTATGATATATAAATCGCAAAATTGATTTTTTTTTTCTAGATACGAGGTATGAGTCGCCCATCGAATTATAATATGTGAAATTTTGTATAAATCAATATTAGTATTTTTATTCAATAAGTTATTAAACGGCGATTATGTTTAATATAATGTTTCTGTAAATAGTAAAACTATTTTCTAGGTCATAGTTGATGGGTTGGTGTTTCAGAAGCTTAGATAATTGTTCATTTTTGTTTATTGAGAAAACAATATCACTAGTTATCCAATTTTTTAGCTTCATGTATTTATTTGATTTATTTATATTGATTATACAATTATTAATAAATAAATGATCAAATGTATGATCATATGATTTGGAGTTAACTGATACTCTTGTATCATTGTTTATACATGAGATCAGATTAAAACTAGCCATTGTATCCAAAAAACAATTAACAATATTAGAAATGTCTTATATATTTATGTTAATATCATCACTTATTATAATGTGTTTAATATTTAAGGTCAATAGTAAGTCTTTTTACAAATTAATCAGGAGTTATTCAGCATTATTTGGTGATATATAGATACCTACAATATAGTAGGTTTTAAAAATTATTATCTAATCAGGGTTCAATTGAATTACAAAAGGGAATTATATTTACATTATCATTAATAATTTGAAGGTTATTTTTTACAAATATTGTTACTCCATTATATTATTAAAAGTACCAATTGTGTTTATAGAAACAAAACCATTTAATGTATAATTAAATCTCGTTAATAAATAATATCCACATTTTTTTAATAGAACCTTAATAGGTAGCTAGCTGATTGAAATGTGTCTTAATACTATTTATATTTAGAACAAAAGTATGTGTATAATTTGATTTAAATGAAATATCTGCTACCGTTTCAATTATTTTTGTTGTGATAATGTAGTCAGAAATAATTTCATTTAAGCTATTTTTATTAAAAAAATGCATAGTTATTATAATAATAATATATAACAATATATTATTATTATTATTGTTATTTATATTATCATTATTTTAATTATTATTTATTTTATATAAAAAAAATAATTTTAACTTTTAAATTGTACTGTTTTACTGTATTTCTAAAATACATCAGCAGTCTTCTAAGCTAATATAAGTTGAAATGACATCAGACATAAAGGTTTTAGATATGTGTTGACCAAAGCGGTGATATTCCAAAGAGAAAATTGTTCACTACACACCCCTCTCCCACTCTGGAATTGATCCGAAGACGCCCTCGAGCAATTCTATTAACCAAACTCTTCTCAGAATCGTTTTTATTGGCAATGCTTAAATTTGCTTAGGTATATATATATAAATTTCAATCAATATCTTACATTCCCAACTTCTCAATTATAACAGTGGTCCACACATTGTGCAAAATCTTTTTTTCTTATCAATCATTAATATTAAATTTATCCTTTCGCGCCCCACTCCCTCCAAAGACAAGGTCTCTAGACGCTCCTAGTACTTATATCTTATTAATTCTGTAATTCATTAATATCAAATTAACTAATATCTAATAAAAATAATTACCTAGATTTAGATAAAACAGATAATTAAAATAAAAAAAACATTAATTATAAACTATTACGTTTATTGTTATTATGGTAAATTACAACGATAATTATTGCATTTTAACATCCAAGTAATTTAACTTTTGATTTTTTTTAGAAAATTTATTTGATGATTGATTTAAAGAACAATTTATAATATTTATTAAATAAGAATACAAAGAAAACAGATTAATTTTAGTAAAACAGTGAGCTTGTTAAGCTAGTAATCTGTTTAAATTTTGGATTATTAGCAAGCGTGCTTCATTTAAGCTTGTCGAATCTGTTGGTCTGGGTGGAAACATATCCGAACAATGGGTGCCACCTGAAAGATTTGACACAAATTAATTTTATAGCTACCAAAGTAATTATGTTATTTGTTTAAATTATACATGGTAAGCTAAATTAGTTTTAAATATTACCATTGATTATAACAGCAACATTGTCGTTTAACAAATTTACATAATTAATTTCCAAAACGCTCCAAGGGTCATCTGTCCCCTGGACAAATATCATGCGATCCCCATTCGCTTGCAAGTTTGCCAACATCAAATTTGTTTGCGACACTCCACGTGTAATTGTATTTAAATTGAATCTAAAAAAAAAAACATTGTGTTAGATCAGTGGTTCCCAACCTTTTTTATTCTACGCTCCCTTTGTAGATTTTCGAAACTCTCGCGCCCCCCCTTCTATAACATGAAAAATATATCATTTTTTTATGTTCTTTACAAAGAAATTATAAAATATCCGAGATGAATTCAATTTTATTGAAAATAATATTTATTAAAATAGTAAAATAGTCCATAATATAATATAATGAAATTGACAATTTATTAATGTGAAGGCTGGCACAACACTTTTCTGTAGAATTTTTTTTATGTTTGGCTCAATGTCTGTTAAAGAGCACCACAAGTCTGATTCGAAGTCCAAGCAATTTCTGTGTTTTGTTTTCCATGCACCTACTTCCCACTACACCACTGACTACAAGATTAAATGTAAACATTTTTAATGTATCATCAACCATAATTGCTTGTCTATTACAAAGAGGGACACAAATCAATTTTAGTGGTATCATTGTTTTCTTCGTATAATGTACAATAACATGAAGCAACTTAAATTTGTTGAGTTTCACCTTGATAAATAGTTAGAATTAAAAATTATGAAAAGTATTATTATAAATAAAAACACATAAGCAGAGACCGGATTTATATTAATTTATAAACCACGAAAAGGCACTTTAAAACATCAAAAACTCTTTGAAAAAGCATTTACTGATATTTAAAAATTAAAAATGATGTGGGAGTTTAAAAGACAACCCCCCCCCCCGATCCCACTATTGGTTCCTATTTAACCAAATTTTCCAACACTACAAAATAATTTCATTTCAATAAAATTGCATGTATTATAAAAAAAAATTAACTTTTATTAATCATTTTTGAGGTGTTTGAAAATTGTTTATCAAATTAAATCCGTTTAAGGGGGACTACTAAACTCCTCTATGATTTTTGGGTTTTTATATATTTTATAAGTAGTTTTTTTCAAGACGTTATACTTTGTCAGATGCTTTTTTTGTCGATTTCAAGAATATAATATAAATCTAGTCTCTACGAGTAAGCAAAAGAGTTTTGCCATTAGAGCCGAATTTCCCCCAAGCCAATTTTTTTTTTATAAGAATAGCTCAATGGTATTAATTATGTATAATATTTGAATAACTTATAAATTTAATTAAATTTGTATTTATTTGAGATTTGTATTCACTCGGCACTTAACAGGCTGTCCCACAAAGATATAACCCTTGAATATCTCCTGAGATAATGAAGACAACCAAATTCTATTTTGTTTGTATTGCTCATAGGAAAGAGGTCTACAAGTATTTATATTTATTTAATATTTTTTTATATTTAAATCATGTTATTTTTTTTTTAAACAAAATTAAAAATATAACTTTTTTTTCGGAAAATTTTAAGATAGCGATTCTGTAGTTTATTTTTCTTAACATTTTAATGTATCACATATTTATATCTTCAAAACTTCAAAGTAACAGCTGTTTTAAATTCCACTAATCCGTGTGAAAACTGATGTTATCTAGGAAATACCGTATAACCGTAAATAACATCTGTTTTCAGTTCAAAACTTAGTTACTTAGAAACTATTTATCGGATATAAATGTGGAACATTAAAATTTTCAGAAAATTAATCTTTACAGAATAGCTATAAAATAAAAAGTTATATTTTAATTTTTTTAATTAAAGAAAAAAAATAATATATAAATACAGAGCCTTTTCTCTGTGAGTAATACAAAGAAAAACAGAATTTGGTTATCTTTATTATCTCCGGAGGTATTCATGGAGTATATCTTCGTGGGAGAGCCTGTATTTATATATATATATATATTAAAATACATATAGTTTTTATTAAATTCACTTACTGTTGTCCAAAAATATCCTTACACATATCAACATAAAATGCTACAGGTAAATAATCATGAAAAATTAAATTTTCATGATTAGATGAAAATAAAAGCCCAATTTCCGTACACATTTGGTAAAACCATTGTCTATCTGTAAAAAAAATATATTGTTCTTGACAAAAACATAAAAACAAAGATAGATAATAGATACTGGGATACTGTAGTAAGTTGGTTGTATAGAGTTAGAGTATAAGATCTTTTTTTTTTTAATACCTAATAAAGGTACCGACTAACCATAAATGAAAAGTAGGAAAGATAGGATACACAAAGTTAATTAATTTTTATCTGTACTCAATACATATAAATAAATCAATCCTAATGAAATATGATTCTGAACGAACTCCGCCAAACATGTTTTGAAATGCTGTTATTTTTTTACGATTTCCATTAAAATTTGAAACTAAAATACTTTTTAAAAAAACTACTGCATTAATGTGTTAACCTTATTTTTTATCACCAAGTAAACCATATGATGAACTTTGATAAAATTCTTAAATATGGCCAATACAATTTAACATAAATACATATAAAAACAAATCAATGTGTACATATCAAATCCCTATACATAACTGAAACATCATCAGAATATATTGAATATTTTACTAAATTTATAGAAAAGACTAATAAAAGTATTTACATTTGCATATACTATATCAATTTTAACTGTTAAAAACTATTATACATTAAGCTCAATTTTTGTTAATTTTTTTCAACCCACTAAGTGCAATGTGCAATAAACCTTCCATTTTCAAATAAATTTTGTAAACATTTAAAATATCTACAATTTTTTTCAACTGAACAAAGCAAATATACTTCTTTCAATCAATTCAAGTTTATTAAAACATGTTTAATCGAACTAGGTTCAGAATCCTGTTTTATTTTATTTTTTCGTTACATACAGATTTAATTTCAATGATACTAATATGTATCATATCTTTCAAACTTTCTACCTTTAATAGTGGCACATCCATGGTGTGAATTAATCACTTTTTTTTTTATACGCATTTTTAATAATTATTATATATATTTATATGTATAAATAATTCATATTCAACAGTTATACTAACATCCGAATTTCGCGATATCAGCATCCCAAGATGTTTTTCTTGCACCATTTATATCTGCGATATAATTGCAACTGGTACACGGTATGTTATGCATTGTATTGAACTTATTTACAATTACAGCGTACCTGTCAATCTGAAAATAAAATGAATTTAATAACAGTAAAATATTAATACGCATAACAAACAAATTTATATAATATACACCATACAATGTGTGTATACTTATAGGTACTTTATATATTATACTCGTATATAGTATGTGTCTTATTAATTTTATGTTAATTCAAATCTATTCAGTAAAATTTTAAATATGCATAGGTTAGGTTAGGAATTAAAACTCTTAGAAAATTCCTACATTGATAATATAATTTCGGCTGAAACCCGATTGAGCATGATTGATCTTTTTCACAACCCAAACAAGCACAGTTGCTATCAAACAATAGGTATCCCAAAAAAACATGATGGAGCACGAAAATAGAGGGGATTTTAAACCCCTACAAAAGTAGATAATTTCCGAAAAGATAGTGTTAACTTTTACAATAGATAGTTGAAAAAATAAAATAAGGAATTTTAAAATAAGTAAAAATCAGTCATACACTACAAAAATATGAAATAGAGATTGTTGTATTTCCAATTTACAGAAATAACGTAGAAGTTATCGAAATGTTCCGAGAATTTCCGATACATACGATGCCCTATAATATGTTTACTAATTTTTATTTTTCATTTTATTATCTTACATTCATAATTCTCTAAGAATATTTATCCAAAATTAAAAATAAAGGGCTTCATTATTTTTCCATTTGAGAACGATTTTTGGTAAAAAAACGTCATGCGTGTCAATTTAAAATAATGATATGGTAAAATCGTAGGTTTTTTCCCACTTAAGTGCAAACAATCATTTTAACCTATACATTCCTCTCTACACTCAGAATCTAAAATGTAAAAAAGCATTTTTAATTTTTATGTGAACGATTTTTCTTTCAAAAGCTTATTGCAATGTATGCGATGCAGACCTTTTTTTGAAAGGAAATTTTCTTGGAGTGGTGCTTTAGGGAAGTTATTTTTCGATTTTCTCGAGAGTGTTGTCACCAATTGTGAAAAACTGAGCAAAATATGGAGAAACTAGAAAAACGTAGGAAATACGAAAAAATCCGTACAACTTAAAAAAATACTATTAAAGAGAAAATATGTGAAGCCTATTTAATTATTTTATCATAATATGACATGTATATATTGTTGACAAAGTATCACTATCAACTGAACTCCACTCAGAATTGTATTTTTGTTAGCAATGGTTTATTGTTGATTACAGATATACATTAATTTCCCTTCTGTATCCTACCTTCACAACTTCTCACCTACAACAGCGGCTGCACCCGTCCAATTTTTCCACAGGAAATTTTGACACAATTTACCACGATAGCAATTTTTCTAAAAGTAAATCTAACTGGGCAAGTACTTAAGGGAAATCAGCGTTTAATTTTCCCAATAAAAAGAAAAACTTCGTAGAAAACGGGAAAATATGTTCAATATTAAACAAATATTATTAAATAAAATATATCACGTACATGTTATTATTTTACCATAATAATATGCTATATATTTTGTTGCAACAGCTACAAAATACTATTGGTTAGTACTACATAATATATAGTACCATGTAATAGGTGTCTACACCATATTTAAATACCATTGACTATATTATATATTCATTGATAATATTTTAAACATTTTCTCAAAAATAATTATCGGAACAAGTTATCGAAATTTGCAGTCCATAATCGAATGTAACAAAAATTATTGTTATTGTAGTGTAAGCACAAAAATACTATTAAAATATTGTGTAAGTAACTATTATATGGTACTAATCTAATTGATGTATTCAAAATAACTATTAACTTAATTTTTAATTTAACCGAAAAAAAAAAATTCAACTTAATTTAGTTAAAAAATATTATTAACTTGTCCAGCTTAGGAACAAAAGTTATTACAAGTGGCAGATCTTCGTGTTAAAACCTATATATCCAAATAAATAGCTAAGAGAGAAAAAAATGTAATTGAAGATACACCATACATTGAAGTAAAATATTGTTCTTAGTAGTTTTTATTTTTTTTTCTAATTATTGTTATGATACTATTATAATTGTTTTGGCTGATATCTATTGTATAATGTATAAAAGGTTTTAAATAACCGAAAAGTAATATGGGGAGTTTAGGATTGGTGTTGAAGTATTAATTTAGAGGTTATTAAATTCTTAAATAGTTTGTTTATTTCTAGATACATATCTATTTATTTACCTAAAGATTTTTCCATTTGATAGTAAATCTATTCTTACACTGTGATTAAAATTTAAAATATACTTACCGATCTTTCAAAAGCGTCATTTTTCATGGTCCCACATGAGCTCGCTATTGATAAATCTTGTAACAAGTCTTCGTATTGCACTATTGCGCTCCAAATGAAAGCCAATCTCGAAAATAAGGCACCCTTATCTTTAAGGTTATTCGGACTTATACCGTCACAGAAACTAAAATATTAAATTTATTAAATTATATTAATATATTTACATGAATAAACTGTAGTTAAAACTAATAGAATACTTGAATTTCGATTCCAGAATCTCTACTCCACTTTGCGTCTGAAGTAGTGCGTTTACTATTTGATTAGCATCTTTTATTCTTTCAACGCATTCTGGGTCATGCTTCTGGATAATATTTTCAATTTGTTTATTATAATCTATTAAAATAAAATATGTTATAATTTAATTATTTAAGGTCTACATGATAGTTTCAATTTTTTTTCCTCAAAATAATGCTATACAAATCGAGGTTCACAAGTTTATTAAATATTAAACTGATATTAGCTAATTAGGTTTTATAATTATCATTCTTGTTGTTTTAAAAACGGGAGATTATGCAAATAATTATAGTTTTATCATTAAAGATTTTTTTTTCTTCGATGGTAGAAAAAATTATCGTTCAAATTTTTAAAGAAATGCCGAAAAAGATCATATTAGTATATATCTAGCCGCTATAATTAGCTTCATGTCTCCGCCGACCGTTAAAGTACCGGCGTATTAAAAAATACGAGAATAGAACTGTACTTTCCTGTAAATAATTAAACAACAACAAAAGGTTCTTGGGAAAGTAATATTGTGGCCGATAGCTCGTGCGATAACTTTGAGAAATATACGTATGCACGTGATTACGGTATTGTGGAATTATTATATAACGGGGAAAATATAGGTATGTGTTTATACACAATTCAAACTAAATAAAAAAAATAACAAATTATAAATCGTACCTATTTCAACGGAACAACATCGAACTGTTTTTCGTACTGCCAAGGGAATTAAAAGAGAAATAGTCTTAATAACATAATAAAAAAATTTTAATTACGGATCCTGACAAGGTTGTCATCTGAGACGTCCCGGTTCAGTCGGTCTTCTTTTAAGAGCCATTCCGAGCATCCAGCTGACTACCCGCCTAGGAGCAAGGTCGCTAATCTAGAGCCGAGGTCTGAAGACCGGAGTTCTAGGATTTTTCGTTAGGAGGGAAAAGGGAAAATTACATTCATCTAAATAAATAAACTTATGTTTTTTTTTGGAGAAAATAAAGAACTATTTTATTAAATCATTAATCATCACATAAAAGTAAAGTTACGTTTATGTGACAGAAGCCCATAGGCATAAAAACTGTCAACTGAGAAAAAGTGAATGGTAGGTACGATTTTACATATATGTATACATAAAATGATAGACACACATATCCAAACAACATATATTTAAAATATATGTACCAACTGGGGGGTCAACCAGTCTTAAAAATTGTCGTCCGGACGCAGGTAATGATATAATGGGGAGCGTGCAGGCCTGGAGTCATTAATAGTTATTGACAATGACGAATTCACATTCACGTGTGTGCATCGACATGTGTATTTATTGAGACGAACCTCCACGTGGAATTTCCGTGGACACAGTGTGTATTTGGAAGACCTCAGCAGGAATGTGAGATTGCCAGGTCACACAAATTATAACCGAGAAGGGTAGCTGAACGCTCTTATTCCAAGATGACTGGTCCGCGGTTGTGGTGGCCCTACGGGTTAACGGCGGGGTGCGTCCGAATATGAATCGCGAGGTGGGGATGATCGATCAATATTATAGTTATTCTTTTTTAGATACGCACACACACGTGGTTGCAAAACTTAGTGCTTAAAGGGAATATAGATAAAAATAAGAAACAAAATGCGGAGGGGTTTGGCCTATCGCACATAGGATGTGGAACGCGAGGATTATTACAATGAGACGGACACACAAACCTAATAGACACTGGTTGATCCCCGTAGGTATAACGGAAGTAATTAACATAACATATTATATCGTACACGAATTTAACATACGAGGGAAAGAAAAAGAAAACATTTTTGACAAAATATTTATACGGGGGACCTTAACTAAACTACCTTAAAAACTAACTAACTAACAGGGTATCGGCCAATTATTAAATTAAATGTATATTACCATTCATCTCGCCCGAAGATGTCCGCTGGGCGGATCAGATCGGGACTCACTTTGTCGATTCGTTTGAGGCACCATCAGGTAACGTGCCAAGGTATACGACCTTTTTTTAATGACAAAATATGTGAATCCGTGCAATACGCGAGTGTTTTAGTAAAAGAAACTGTATTGAAAGACTGTCTGGTGACAAAGTCTCGAGACGAGGTCTAGACACGAAGAAGGAAAGGAACGAACAAAAAAAAAAACTAGATGGCGGAGACGTTCGTAACACACGTTGCCGCGGGCCGACGTTTATGGCGATAAGGGAAAACGTGATCTAATTGGCCGTTAACCCGTAATCAAGAATATAATATTATTGTAAATATAATATTATAATATTATTGTAACGAAAGATTGTGATCGCATAAACCTTTGCGCGAGGGGGGGGGGGATTATTGTTCATGATGACATAACATATCCGTCGACGTGGGCGTCACCTATTAACCGATCGACTATATCGATTGTAGGTATGATTGTCCTTTGATAACGGAAAACGGTCGTTTTTGGACGTTACAACTTATTTCCCTAACAATTTCGTGCGGAGCAAAGGTACCTGCTATCTACTATTGTTTTCTATCTACATTTTAAACTCTTAAATAAGTTTTTAAGACTTGTGTAAACTCAAACAATTAGGTATATTGTATATAATACGGACAATAAAAGTATTATTTATTATATTTTAAAACTGAGGGGGGAGCTCGGGGTATTGATAATGTTAAACAAATTATTTTTCCTCATAGATTTTTCCCAGTTACGCCAGAGAGGAATAGGTCATGTGTGAAAACAATTTTTCTTGCCAAAATGTACTAACATACCTTCAAAATCTACTTTAACCAACAATGGGGTACTTGAAGCCACTACCGCGTGTACGAGATTTGGAATATTTACTCGTGACAACGCAGCCAACATTCCTGTGTAATCCATTCCGAATAACACCCACTTGGATAGTTCAAAAAAACGTAATTCCGATGTGATGCGAACAATGAATTCTTCTATGTCGCCTAACGCTTGATCTATTGTCAAAAATTTTAAGTTTTCAGTAGAGATATCACTGAAAAAAAAAAAGATTTTACTATAACTAAAAATAAAAATCACCAAATACTATATGAATTAATGATAGAATTAAATATAATTGAACTGATAAAATAATTTACATTTATTTTAGCAACCTACTTTTGTACACTGTATTATCTTTATCCATACCTAAAGCATACTCATAATAATTATATAACAGATGGCACATCTGAAAATACATTTTTTTTTTTACATTTTGGTTCAAAGCACATTTGCACAAGATTTGTTTAACATTTGAGTATTCAATATTTTGATATATAAAATTCGGTATTGAATAATTGTTTAACACATATTGGCATGTACTTCTTACATATCACATACTATTGTATGGGTAATATAGTTTTTTAATGCAGGTATTTAAAAACAAATTTAATCAAGTTTCTTATTTTAGTGAAAACTTCAATTCACTTATAGTTGGGGACAGTTGCGCAACCAGGATTTTTTGAATGGGGTGTTATAAAAAGCACGTTTTTTAATACATACATGTTGCTTAAACATGGATATAGATGGGTGTCTAGACACCCAAAACTCTCCCTTTGTTGCGCTACTAGATGGAGATTATTATAAAACTCAAAGTTATGCTAGACAACCAAAATAATTTACCCAGTAAACTATTAAGTTAAATAGGTACCTATTAAAGAAAAGAGTAAAAATAACAAAAAACAATTAAAAACAATTTAACACGTGAAGTTAAAAGTTAAAATTAAAAAAAAAATCTTTAAAAATATATATTGATAAATATATGTGAAGGTCTTTTCCTGATCTTCATTTACATGACTACAGAAAAAGTGACCGGAAATTATTGTATATGGATGTAGAAATTCCCATCACTTGTGCAAGCAAAGATATGTCGATTAATAAGAAGAAAAAGACTAGGTATATATATATATTAATTTGTGTATACCTACTACTATACTAGGAAGGTATATCATTGTTCATTAAAAGTGGCTATAGACTAAAGTTGACTGGAAGATAGTTCAAAAGTATAACTTTGAGACTATTCTGGAATTTTGTTTTGCTATTAAGTGAATTTGTGTATTTACCTATTATTTTGTATACATTAAACTGATATATTCGAAGAATACTACTACCCAAACTAAAGTATTATATCCATATTCAATTATTGGTCTAAATTATAAAAAAAGTTAAGGGATGAAACTAAAATTTAATTAATATTAAAATCAAATAAATTAAAATTTTCGTGCAATTAAAATATAGCCATATGCATCTAAAACTATAATTTCTCTTACATTGTAGGGCGACTTGCACCATAATATCTATGTGTGAGTCGTATACAGAATGCATCGAATATTTTGCAGTATTCTTCAAGCCATAATCGGTGAAAATAAGATTCCATGATTTCTTCTTGTACAGCTTCTATCATTAGGAATACTGTACCATTGAAATCATAGTACTCTGCATTCAATGTATAACTCTGAAAAATGTCAAAATATTATTTTCATGATACCTTATATTTAGATATAATATTGTATGTTATAATAATATACTTGATTCCATGTTTCTGTTGTGTTGCTGAAATGGTCCAGCTTTTGCTGAAACCATTGGTCAGACCAATTATTAGTGAAATTAGGTGGTGTTGAATGCAAATACGCTGCTGGGAAATTCCAGCAAACGAAACATAAAAGAAAGATCAAAGTGTTCATTTTCGAATCTAAAAAAAGAAATCACAAAATTTATATGATCTTGATGGTTAATAGTAAACATACAAAAAAAGGATATATTTCGCACGTGGGTGAGAAGTTAGGAAAGCAGATGGAAAATTTAGTATATATATCTGTACACAGCGATTAACTATTGCCAGTGAAAAACAAATCTGAATAGAATTTGGTTAATAGTGTTGCTTTGTCAAGAGGAGCTATATTTTAACTGAAAATAATATAGACGGCAGTATTTAAGGCGAAAAATAAATAATCTGAACCACATTTTATCGTATTTTCACTGAATCGTATTTCAACCGACAAATCCCCCTCCGCTACGACCAACGCTACAACGCTACCGGCAGTGTCGGTAATATTGCGCGCGTGAACTGCAGATGAGGTATAGCAGAGCGCCCTAGTAATGATGAATTTTTCCATTATCCATTATATAATATTTATTATTTTAATAAAGTGAAAAAAAAAATACATATTAAAAACATTGACTGTTTTTGCATATTTTTCAAATTTTTTACAGAATATAGGAAAATATATTTTGTAGATTTATTTTAAAGAATAAAAGCATCATATTTTAGGTGCTTTAAGAGAATATAAATCCGGACTGTAATGATGACATTCGTTAAAAACATTTAAATTCGCAATTTTTTTGTAGATACAAACTATTTTCACACAATTTTAAATTTAGATTTATCAAAAGATGTTTAACTAACTTTACTCAAAATCGTTTTTTGTTTTCAATGATTTATCGTTGCATACAGATATTTAATAGTTAACCGTATGTATCCGGCTATTTTTCCAAAGATATCTTTATACTTTAATTTATATATCTACCATATCTACCTAATTTAAATATAATATTATTGTAAGAAAAAAATAATATATAATTTTTATAATATGCGTTACACCTATAGGTTTTTAATTTCGTATTATTTTTAAAATTACTATTAATATGAATTAAACCAAAGTATATAAATCTTAGACACTATTGTTTTTAATTATTTATTTATCACTATTGGTTTTTATTCTATTGTTGTTAAAAAACATTAAATTAATCAAAACGTAACAAAATATTGATCATTTGATTTTAATGAACCAAAATGGCAAATGCATACTTATAAAATTATTGAGAATTATTTGACAATACGTTTGAAGATAACAATCTGTTTAGAAAAAAGTCGTACCCTATAACAGATAAACAGTGAANTTTCAAAATTTACGTACTCATAATATCTATTAGGTATTTCGTAATACTTACACAAATTCTAATATTGTTATATTTGATATGGCTAATTCACTTTTCATATATTATACTTGAGAGAAAATTATTTACTTATTAATGTTAGGTTTAATGTTTAATTAATAATTAATAATAAATTGTAAATAAAATATTGTATAATACTAATATTATAGTAATAATAGTTACTCTACCTGTTCGGTTCGCGAGAAAACAATATTAGTAGTGAAATTCTTCTCTGGTATCCAGTACATACGAAAATCGCCACTATACTAAAGTATACAACCAGTTTCAATATACCTGTTGGCTGGGTAAAGGTGGCATTTATGTTTAACTAGCGCTAGTAGTCGTCAAGCTATGATATGTATAACGTATTCCCACAGGTTTGCCAATTTGACGCATAGTCCACTGAACATTAAACGTTTATATAGTATTGTTACGTAGGATTTTATGATCCCGTGTACTGAAATAACCGCTCTGATTAATATTTCTTTCAAAAGCGCTTTCTTATCCGCGAGCCACGATAACCAAATGTTATTATAATTTTCGTTTTTTTCATCATGTGTGACCCTTCAAAATAACCCACCATGGATGAGCTATTGTTTTATGATAATGTAATTTATATCTATACAAGATGGTAGATCATGCCAAACGATAAACAATTCTGAGTCAATTTTGGTTTCAATATTTTAAAGATTTTCAATTAAAATATAATTTAGATTTATTGTACGGGATTTAGATAAATTTTAATTTAAAATATCGATAGGTATTAAATTATAAAATTATTATTCGCATAAAATCAACTAGACAATTTTAAAACTCTATACAAAAAATCCTCAAAGACTGCCAAATATTGATCACTTTTAGACAGAGCTAATATAAATATTTATTGAATGCAACGAAAAATCTAGGGTAATGATAGAAAATGGACTTAATACCTATACCACTTAAGAAAAATAATAATTAAAACGTTACACACCTATAATTTATATGAGTATATACACCTTTTTACCGATAATGATCAGTAAGTAGAATGAGTTAAACGGAAAAATTGATGACAATTTATAATGAATTCTTTATATTATATTACAGGGGTGGCCAACTTGCGGCTCGCGATTTTATTTACAAAATCAAAATTTACTTATTTAGAGAACGCTACGTTAGAAAACTCGTAATGTAGTAAAAAAAAAAAAATGAAAATGAACTAATACGTAATTTTATAATATATTTACAGGCTGTTAGCTATCGTTTTTACGAAAAAAAATACAAGTTAATACAATTTTAAACTGAACGATCTTATTATACACATGTGCAATATATTATTTCGGCATTGTACGAAATAATATATTGTGAAGAGAATTCCACGTTTTAAAACGGTCGAAAGGTTCATGGGGGAAAAAATAGCGCATTCATGTTATAGGCATGCCACCCACAAAGCCGGCGGCGACACGACAAGTGATATTTGTTGAAAACGTGACTAAGACCCTACGTTATTGTATATTGTGATCTATTGTTCTGATTATATCGGAGAATCATTGGACTGAACGACTTATAAACACAATATGTGGGTGATATATTTGTTTGCACCATATGGAAGGTCAATAATATAATAGGCAGTCGTCCGTTTATAAAATTATAAAATGTATTTACAAAAATTTTGGCTCTTGATATTATTGAATTTATATACGTTGTTCGAATCGTTTCATGTTGGCCAACCCTGTTATATAGGTACCTACCTATATGTTATGGTACATTTTATGTAATGTATTACAAAATAGTTTAACGAAAAAACGATTCAGAGCGTGGTGCAATTGATAATGATGCTATGTCAATCATATATATGCCATATTTAAACAAAATAAATAAATAGGCTCTTTATATATTTTTTTAATAATATTTGTTTAATGTTGTACTAATTTCCCAAGTTATCCCATGTTTTTTTACCAGTTTTTCAAATTTGCTGAGAAAACGCGTTAGAAAATCGAAAATTGACCTCTCTAAAAAACCTCCCCGGTGAAATAACCTTTTAAATAATAATTCTCATTAAAAATAGGAGCATAATTGCTGGTAGAAAAGTTGTTCACAGAAAAAAAAAGTCGTAATATTTTACAAATATATTTCCTTCATTTTGCCGTTTATTGTGATTTTCTTTTTTAACGAGAAAACTCTTGAGAAAATCGGTTTACACACGTGTGTATAACCTAGTGTACGGTATTTGTGTACGTGTTTAGATATATTGTTAGGACCGTGCCCGGATTAAAATTATAATTTATCTCTTGGTGGGCGACTCGAATAGCGCCGACACATAATAATATAATAGGCATATGTTTTGAATTTCGGTCGTTGTAACGAACACAATCAATAAAAAGGTCACAAGGATTTCGTGAATTTAATGAAACTTAGATGGGAGAATGTGTAGAGGCAGCAATATATGTCCACCACTGTAGGTGGTCAGTTATATTATTTACCTACATATTTTCTATACACTTACATCCCACGAATGACTCCCTGCTGCCATGTATACAACTAATTTAAAAAAATTGAATCTGCTATAGCGCAAAAACGTTATTTCATACACACATATTTGTTTTCAGCTATCAAAATTTTTATTAAAATCATATTGATTAGGACATTTCAATCCATGTATAACCAAACTCCGCAAAGACTTGTTTTTCGATAGCAATGTTTAATAGTTTCTTACAGATATTAATTAAAAAATTTCATGTTTCCTATCATACCAACTTCTCTGTGTGTCAAGCATTTTTCTAGTGGAAAAAAAAATTCTCTGAGAAAGGTTTATGATAGCAAATTCGATTTAATTTGTAATTTGACAATGTAACTTTGACAATAGATACGGACATACCTCGCGCAATAAAAGGGTCAATGATGTAGATGAGAAGTTGGGAATGTTGGATATAGAAGGGATTTTAATGCATATTTGTACACAATGATTAATCTTTGCTAACAAAAAATGATTCTGAGTGGAGCTCATTTAGATATACATAATTTGAAAAGTCATAATATTTAAGATTTTCGTTCAAATTTGATTAATAAATACAAATTCTACAATACACTAAATTTTTTTTTACACAAAATACACTTTTATTGAATCTCTTATTAATTTTCAAGCATTTCTATTTGGTCCAACAATTTCATCCACAAAGTACAAGTAAATTAATTAAACGACTCGCAATATTTGAATATCTAAAAATAATCTGAAAACTGGCTAAAATATATTGAAATTATACTATGTCTAGAAACGGCAAATATAGGTTTCTGTTCCATTTTCAATTCTTTACGAATATCGTTAACCATATTACAACAAAAAAACAAAATTGAAAATAATAAACGCACCATTTTCTTAAATGTTACCGTTTTTTATACATTTTTTTTTGGTTTTACTAAATTATTAGAAAAAAAAATACAGGAAAAATCAAAGAACTTCTTTCTTAATTACTAATTAGTGATAGCAATTTTTCTATAAAGGAGATTTCACTGTGGAGGTACTTTAAAGAGGTCGTTTTTCGATTTTCTCCGGAGATTTCTTAGCAAATGTAAAAACCTGGGAAAAAACATGGGAAAAACCGTAGGAAAACCGCGAAAATCGGTACATATTAAACAAATATTATTAGAGAAAATATATAAAGCCTATTTAATTATTTAACTACAATATGACATAAATATTGAACATTTAGACATTATATATTATATATACATATTATATATATACACAATACATTCAATTTATTGAAATTTTATGATAAATTTTGAGCAATACCTTTCAAAAAATCATTTCAAATCAAACAAAAGACTAAATAGTTTAATTTAATTTGTTTAAATAATTTTAATAAGTAACAAAACAATTTATAAATATTGGGCCATGTAATAATTTCCACTACTTATTATTAATAACACAGTTTGTTGTCTATAAAATATGTTTTTACTTATGGAGTTTTATAATATATTATGACCAATACAAGACAATGAATCATTAATAAATGAAATCATAAAAGTTGCTACTGAGAAAGATAAACATTACTGGACCGCATAAATTTATACTGAAAACGAGCGTAATTTTTAGACACTTCCCCCAACACTGCTGGGCAAGAAAAAAGACCACCAAATCACTTTAAAAACATAATACGATTCGCCCTATTCAGCACCAGCATTAATTTTAACGAATTATATGAGAAAGGACACAAGTCAAAATCTTTTTTTATCTAAATACGCAGTAGTGCACAAGTCAATATTGTGTGTGCAATTGATCACAAGTCATTAATAACTGAATAATACTGTAATTGTTTTAATAAAAGTAGATTGAAAAAATTATAAAATTATTATAAATAAAATAAAAAAAATAAAATAATTTTGATTTAATGGAAAATAAAAATGTTGGAAAGTTTTTTGGGCCTACTGAAAACCAACAAAAATGACTTGTCTCCCTTTACATAAAAACCGTCCATATTATCCTATTACTTGTTTACATATATAATTGTAATCCAATTAAATACTTTATAATAATTTATCAACTTCTTAAATATTTCAGTTTTCATTGAATTATTTAAAAAAAATTTAATGATTGAACCACTAAATCTTATTGGTACTTATGAGGCAATTATTTGGTTTATAAATTTAAAAATCATTGATTTATAAAAACCTACACATCAAAAACTTATTCTAAAATATTATCCATTTAATTATTGGTCTAAAATATGAACGAATAACAAACGCAAATGCGTTTTTCATTTTTTTTCATTTTTCAGTTAATAATTCACAATGTATGTTATCACTAGAGGTATTAGAAAAAAAACAACTTATTTAAATAAATTAATTTTATTATAATACTTTATCAATATTATGTTAGTTGGTATTCTTTGTAATTTGCATGAAACACAATAGAAAAACATCTCTTCAAGTATAGACTATATACTCCAAGTATACTTTATATAGTTACTATGTATAGTTAGTACTATATACAAGTATAGGCTAATTTTATATTATACGTACTCCATGTCACTATCAAACATTACTATTTAAACTAACAGTGTTAATTAAAATATCTTAGAATATGATACATTTAAAAAAAAACCCACAGTCTCTTAGATATCTAGTTATAAATTAATATAGACATTAATGCTTAACATCCTAAACATTATTTGATAAACTTCTGAAATATTATTATTATGTAAGTACCTATATCGAGTAATTACGTAAGATAATATTATAATATTACAAACTTATAATCAAATAAGTTATTTGTAGTATCGCGGTATCCGTGGTGTGTCATGTGATCTTATGATAATATGATAATATTATGGTTATTATTAATTATCAATAATTATTATTGATATTCGTGATAACACATTATTTGTGTTGTGTCTTGGCAAAAAAAATTCAAAATTAACAATAAATGTAACTTATTAGTAAGAAATACATTTTAATTTAATAAACTTTAAAAATTGTGATAAAGTATTATGATAAGTGTATTATACGACTAGTTTCAAATTCAAAATTCACCATTAGGTATATCACAGCTATTACAATTATCATAATACTCTAAGCAACACATCCATTCAATTATTTATTTTATTTTTATGCATACATTTTTTATTTATACATTTATTTATTATATTTGACAAAAATCTTAATAATCTTTGTAAAGGAAATAACTCCCATTTTCAAAAAGTATAAAACAATATTGTATAAAAACATTATATAAAAAATAGTATTTAATAATATATTACATATTTCAGAATATAAAAGAATATTTCACAAAAATTTTTTAGCAATTTCATTATAATTGAAAAAAAATCAATATCATAGCCTTATTACATAGGTGAATAACTATAAAATAGGTATACTACCTAATAAAAATTGTGTTCACTGTGTAATGCGTTGTAATAAATAACATGCATTTTACTATGATATGCCATATATATATATATATATCGTTGATAGAAACATACTGGGATAATTTTAAGAGGTAGGTATGACAAAAAATACTACTATTTAAACTCAATTATAAAATAATTGATTTAATCTATATAACAATATTAAGTATTAATAGTAATATTTAAAAACGTTCGAATGTACACAATAGATATAATTAAAATAATTAAATTTAAAATTAATTTATTTGAAAATTTTGGAAATATGTCATAATTGGATACTTTTTTTAAAATAAAAGATAAATAAATTTATTTATAATTTTTATATCCTATTACAGACCAATATATATGCTATGCAAGTTTTTTAAATTCTTGAAAAAAAGTCTAGACAATCCTGCTCAGATAAAAATCAAATTCTATCTCAATATCAGTATGGTTTTCTAATCGGTAGCTTTAATTATTATAATTAGATAATAATGAAAAAGTCGTAGCAGTATTTTTAGATCAAGCAAAAGTATTTGCCGCAGGAAATCAAAAAGTATTAATTATTATTTTGCTAGGTTTTAGAATAAATATGGAAAGTCTGAGTTCGAACGCTTGTTAACTGAGACACAGGACGCAGGATGTCTCAGTCAGCAGTATCAAAATATAAATATTGGAGACATAGCAAATTTGCGTTCGGTAGGACACATTTTGTACTCCCGAATTTAAAGGTAAGAAGATTTTATGTACCCTAGCGTTGATGGTTTTTCGATATTTTTATTTTTAAATGAGACATGAGTATGGTTAATATCACAATTTAAAAATAATTATTATAAAGTACAATGCGAAGATCTATGAATAGGTGGCGCTGTCTTAGTATTCTAATAGATAAAGGGAAAACCGTAAACAATTTGTCATAGTATAAACAGCGTAAATCTGGAAATTTTACGTAATTCGATTTCGACAGAATTTCACATGCACAATTCGGTTACCGTTAAGTCAATACAAATAACTCAAAATGACGAATACTAACGTGAATTTATCATAAGCTATATAAGAACCACACTAGCGAGCTACAGTAGCCAATATTGGACACTATCTCCCTTTATTTTTTATTGAATGACGAATTATCCCAATTATTTATTATGGACTAAATTACTTGACAAACAGACCTATTCGTCATGTATTACTGAATGAATGTCCTGTAATTCGTTTATTATTTTTAGCTTTAACATTACCCCTACATAGGCAACAGTGGCGGATTACGGGGGGAAGGGGGGTCGATGCCTGAGGGGTACAGACGGATCTGGATGGTAAAAATAATAATTGATACAGTAGTGATGAAAAAACCAAACACAGTTTATATTATGTCTATTAAGGGATTAAGGCAAATCAAATATTGAACACCTAGGTAAAAGCCAGAGTAGATATCACGCGTATGGTGACGGCATATTCACGGGTGGTAATACCTAAATCGTTTGTATTTTTTAGATTTAGAGCGCAGTGAGGAAAGTATTTGTTTTAAATGATTTATTTTGTTTTTTTTTTCTGTGAACAACTTTCCTACCAGAGATTTTGCAATGGTTTTCAATAGTAGCACTTGTGGAAATGTGACTGGTGTGGTCAATTAAGCGGGTTATTTTCCAAGCAATTTCTATAATAAATGAGAAAACCGGAACATTTATGAATTTTATTATTTCCAAATCGAAAATATTATGGCCTTTCATAAGATGACCCATAATAAAACTCCAATGATTAATCGTTGCGTACAGATAAACATAAATATTTAGTAGTACCTCCATTAGCACGAATAGTGGCATTAATTCTATTTGGAATTGTGTCATAAAGTGTTTTGATAACATCTTGGGAAATTAGTGCTCAAGCATCTAAAATTGATTGTTTCCACCCACGAACTGATGAATAGTGTTTGGCATCTTTGTAAACTTCTTTGGCGAGAAGTCCCTAAACATTTTCAATAACATTTAGATCTGGAGATCGAGCAGGCCAATCTAATATTGATATAGAATTTGTTTCAAACCATAATTTTATGATTCGAGCAGTATGTATTGGCGCATTATCCTGCTGAAATTTAAAATTTTTTCCTGCTATTTGTCGAAAACATGACTTTTGTGTGTCATTGAGGAGATCTCTATATTTCAAATCATTTATTCTACCATCTAAAAACCAACTTCACTTCGTCCTTTATATCCAATTGAACACCAAATCGTTACGGATCCTCCAACCATTTGACGTCGTAATATTATACGTTCATTTTTTCTTAAATCGTGATAGTAATACGAAACTCCATCAGGTCCATCATTTCCTCCAACCATTTGACGTCGTAATATTATACGTTCATTTTTTCTTAAATCGTGATAGTAATACGAAACTCCATCAGGTCCATCATTTTTAATGTACCTATAGTTTCGCATTATTCCCATATGAAGATTTACTGGAGCATGATAAATTGGATTTAACTGATTTTATACATGTAATTATGGACAATTTCCAATTTTTAGATATGTGTTTTATTTTATGAAAGCTGAATATTCATGTAATGATAATTATTATGTTTGTTGCTATACATTGTTGGTTAATAGTAGTAAACACGGTGTTGCTATATCTGTGTCAGTTAAAGATGTGTCTAATGGTTTCTTCATAAAAGGATAAATCCTTAACAACTCCACGCAATCCGTTATTAGTTTCTCCAACAAATCCTTCATGTTAACTATGTAGTATGAACGTATAATGATATTTTAGTCATCATTCAGTTTTTGTATGGTAATCTATATTCGTATATACCTATTTCATACTTATATGAAAATATAAAATGTATTATTATCAAGTATGGATATTTTAAAATGTTAAACGCTTTCTATAATTTAATATCTATATTTTTCAAACATTAAAGAATTGAACCAATTGATTTAAAGTAGAATAAATTATTCTAATGTTGCTTCTGAGTATTGTAATTAAAAATTTATTAAAGAATCCATTAGTTTTACCACTAAATATTCTATATAAGGCACGTTGTGTAAATATGTCTACAATATAGAGTTTTCAAAATTTGAATCAAAAACAATTGACTACCAAATTCAGTTATAAATAAATATTTTTCAATGATGTGACTATTTATGAAAACATTGTGATACATCTGTAATGTAGGCATTTTAAAAAGTAAATAAAATAAATACTTAATTTATTTAGGTTTATTAAAAAAAATATGCCAACTATTTTATAAACTCTTCCAAGTTGTTTTTAATCATATGTTTATGAATTAAATTTACTTCTAACTGAAACTAGAAATAGCAATTTTGCCTAATGGTTGTTGTTTAGGGAATAATAAAATAAATACTTAATTTATTTAGGTTTATTAAAAAAAATATGCCAACTATTTTATAAACTCTTCCAAGTTGTTTTTAATCATATGTTTATGAATTAAATTTACTTCTAACTGAAACTAAAATAGCAATTTTGCCTAATGGTTGTTGTTTAGGGAATAATCATTAAATTGTTTTGCCTTTTGTATATTATATTTCTCCGACTTTTGATGACTTTCTCCGAGGTTCCTCAAACATTTGGCGACCTAATTTTTTTTCAATTGTACGTTGACTGGTTACAGTAAATTATTTTTTATCATTTTATTTAATAAAAACAAACAAAAATTAAATTACATTTCAAATGTTTTAATATTTTATTATTAAGTATAACATAGGTAATACGGTCTGTTTCTATTTTATACTTTTATAATGTGAATTAATTATGTTCATAGTTTCACTAATCTGAAAATCCTGTTATTTTTAAATTACTTTTACAACAGTAATCTGCTGTGATTTAGTTTATTGGCTTTTTTAATGTTTACCCATTCTTTATTAAATTTATTTTAAGATTTCAATGACAATCAGAATACTCATAATAATCATAATTATATCATATGTTTCGGTCATATGTATCCTATGTATCATATTAATCAACTGTACTTATACCTTCGAGTGTGTATTCAATAAATATACATAATATAGATTACGTAGCCATTTAAAAATCTCTTATTAATTTGTACCTTTAATACGAACATAAAACTATCAGACCAATCTTAAATTAAACACAGACAAGTAAAAAGGCAACAAAAAAAAAAAAAAAAATGATAAAATATTCATACTGTACTTATACCTTCGAGTGTGTATTCAATAAATATACATAATATAGATTACGTAGCCATTTAAAAATCTCTTATTAATTTGTACCTTTAATACGAACATAAAACTATCAGACCAATCTTATATTAAACACAGACAAGTAAAAAGGCAAAAAAAAAAAAAAAAAAAAAAAAAAAAAGATAAAATATTCATCTATTATCTTAGATATTAAATAACTGCTTTTTTACATAAAAATTATATTTCTATGAAATATGGAAAAAAGTTTTTACTCTCAAAACTGTGACTTTTCATGAATAATAAGGTGTTGTTAATTTTCTACAATAATTTTCACTTTAAATTGTTTTAATTGTCACTACTAATAAAAAATCAATATATTCACTAATTTGTTCACAAAAAATAATTCAGTCGATGACCTTTGCATATATTTTTGATATAACACAATAATGTTGTTTCTAGATAAGATTTAGTTTCAATAAAATACCAATGGAATTTCAAAATATCGAATAGAAAAAAAAATGATTGCATTAATCAAATCATCGTAGAACGCCCTACATTTTGTTTAGTAATATTAAAGATTGTTTTATGTCTACCAAATGCATGCAGCAATTAAGAATTAATACAGAAGACACACATAAGAACTAAAACATACGAATACAAAACAAACATTTGTGTAATGCATTATAATATTGGGATATCTGAAATAGATATAAGAATGTGATAATGATTGCTATTCGACCATACATTTTTCTAATATTTAACTGTCTATGTTCATCAATGTAAACCCATGAGTCATAACAATTTTTTGATGTTTAATCTGAAATCAGTATTTATTGAACTATACATATTAACTGAATACATTTTTTTTTATGTTACATTCGCTCAAGAATTGGTTGTGGTGTGTCAGATTTATCCCCATAACCATAAAATTTCAAAAATAAGATGGTATAGTAAAAATTCTGTTAGAATAATTAATGTACCCAATTTTATGTAAAAAAGTAATAGATATAAATATAGATAAAAATAGAAAACTAAAAAAAATTGTAATGCCAAATAAACTGGCTTAAACATGAATGTATTATTTATTTACAAGAGGTAGTACTAGTATTAATCGTATTTCAATAGTTAATGAAAAACATGAATATTTCATTAAATCATTGTTATAAAGAATCGCATTTTAATATTTTAACTTTTATGTACCAAAATGGGTACAATTACATTTTACATTAACAATAGTCAACAAAAATATATTGTTTTAATTTTATTAGCTATTAAAAAATTTCAATCAATATTTGTTAATTTAAATCCTAAATCAGTAAACTAAGTACATATTAAATGTTGAAAAAATATTAAATATTATATCTATCTATTGGTTTTATTGTATTTTAATTAAATATATAAATTGTACGTTGCATAATATTACATTTCATAATCGTTATACATATCATATTTGTAAGAAAAAAAATGATTGCATTAATCAAATCATCGTAGAACGCCCTACATTTTGTTTAGTAATATTAAAGATTGTTTTATGTCTACCAAATGCATGCAGCAATTAAGAATTAATACATACATACATTGGTTTTATTGTATTTTAATTAAATATATAAATTGTACGTTGCATAATATTACATTTCATAATCGTTATACATATCATATTTGTAAAGAAAGTGTTTACATATTAAAATATACCTTCTTATATCTACTATACATACTATATATACAAAGTTAATAAACTAATTGCTAAAATTTAGAATTATTTCTTTAATATTGGCCATTGAAGTCTACTTAACATACAATAGATAATAAAAATCCCATGTTTTTTTCCAGGTTTTTCACATTTGCTGGGATTAACTAACATGGCTTTTCTACAGTACCTTTGCATTCAGATTTCTTTTCAGAATATGTACTACATAGTATATTTCGGAGTAAACTTTTTTTAGAAAAGTTGAACAGACATAAAAAAAAATAAACATAATTGTAAAACCATAAAAATCATTGTTACTTTCAGAATCTAAAATCAAACAAATTTCATACTAGGCACATCTTTGCCTTTAGTATTAAAGGTATAGTTAAGTTTTGTAGACAATTTAATAATAATATTATTTGGTTTAAGCAGGTGATAATTTATTGTGTTATTATGGACCATTACTTAATACATTTTGTTAAATTTAACAGAAGTTGTAGGAAATGCAGGACAGCACTGTATTTTATACATTATAAAAGTTGGAATAGTAAATGGGAAGAATATGTGTACAGCGACTCATCATTAGCAGTGAATGTTGATGATATGGATAAAATGGCATAATTAAAAGAGATTAAGTAAATAATTTGACTATCAGTACTTGGCCGTTTTAAGTACTGCCATTATTAAAGAAGAAATTGTTCGAAGTATACAAAGAAATACTACACCTTCTGATAAATTAAACAGAAATGCAGGAAAGCACAGTATTTTATACATTATAAAAGTTGGAATAGTAAATGGGAAGAATGTGTGCACAGTGACGGATCATTAGCAGTGAATGAGGATGATGTGGACAAAATGGCATAATTAAAAGAGATTAAGTAAATAATTTGACTATCAGTACTTGGCCGTTTTAAGTACTGTCATTATTAAAGAAGAAATTGTTCGAAATATACAAAGAAATACTACACCTTCTGTTAAATTTAACAAAATGTATTAAAATAAATTCTGTTGGAATTTCAAAAATTTTATGATTCCATCTTTTTCTAGTAGGTGTGGTATTTCTTTGACTATTTGAACGGTTTCTTTTTTAATTATGACTGTACTTGACAGTTTTGTTGCTCCTTTTACTAGTGTGAAATATATATTGATAATTGAAATGAATGCCTTTAGTAAATTATATTAACTTATTGTAAAGGGTACTTGTTTGATATTTTTCCGTCCAATTTAATTATGATACACTCGGTATGATATAACCTTAGATCGTTTCACTTGCCATCTGAGGTGTAAGCACATATCGAACTGTTAATTAAAATAAAACTCCTGATTTGTTAACAAACCCGCGTGGTAGCGAATACATTTATTATGCTGGCGGAGCTATAACAAAAAAGAACATTATAAAGGTAGTAATTCATTTCAAATTATTTACTGTCAAGTACAGTCATAATTAAAAAACATACTGTTCGAAATAGTCAAAGAAATACCACACATACTAGAAAAAGCTGGAAAAATAAAATTTTTGAAATTCCAATAGAATTTATTTTAATACATTTTGTTAAATTTAACAGAAGGTGTAGTATTTCTTTGTATATTTCGATGTGCTTTCCTGCATTTCTCTTCCTCTGTTTTAAGCATTTTGATCAAAATACAACATTGGTCCCTTATAACACAATAAATTATCACCTGCTTAAACCAAATAATATTATTATTAAATTTTCTACAAAACTGAACTATAACTATACATTTAAAAAATCGACTTAAAAGTATTTTACCATTTCATAAAGTACAATTTAAAATTTTATAAAAATACTAAACATATCTTAATCAACTATATAAGTGCTTTTTCTTGTAGTGATTACTCTTAAGTTCATTTTTAATCACAATCAATAACATCATACCTAGGTAATTAGGTAAACAATATTATGCATAATTTATAATTATGTATTAAAATCGTTCGGATTTACGCCGGTTTGCACAAACGAATTTCTATACAGTATTCAGTTCATCGATAAGTGCTTTTTCTTGTAGTGATTACTCTTAAGTTCATTTTTAATCACAATCAATAACATCATACCTAGGTAATTAGGTAAATAATATTATGCATAATTTATAATTATGTATTAAAATCGTTCGGATTATTTTTATTATAATTATTTTAATATTTTAATATCTTGCAATTGCAACGTTGCAAAACGTGTGAACGAATTTGGTGTAAAACACTTACAAAAGTACTAAAGGCAAATGTGTAATTAGTTTAAAATTATTTGATTCTAGATTCTGAAAGTAACGAATACTTTTATGGTTTTAAAGAGATGTTTATTTTTTTTTTTTTAAGTGTCCTAAACTTTTCTACTATAAAATTTACTCCGAAATATACAACGTAGTACATATTCTGGAAGGAAATCCGTCTGCAACAGTACTGTAGAAAGGCCATTTTTATTTTTTCCCAGCAAATATGAAAAACCTGGAAAAAACATGGGCTAAATGAGTCTAAGGCAACTGAAGAAAATTATTTAAGTGAAAATCTAGTGTTTCCAATCAATTTGCTTACGTCAATTCTTTCAGAATTATTATTATCATTTTCTTTAGTTGCTTCAATCAATTTGCTTACGTCAATTCTTTCAGAATTATTATTATCATTTTCTTTAGTTGCTTCAATCAATTTGCTTACGTCAATTCTTTCAGAATTATTATTATCATTTTCTTTAGTTGCTTCAATCAAACTTGTAAAGTATATTACTTCAGGTGTTCCAACAGATTGGATTGTTAACGTTTCTTCGGTTACTACAGTTGTTTCAGCGGGTTTTCTTTCTTCAGTTATCTCAAGTTCAGAAAAACTACTGATTTTTGGAGGAAGACATTAGTGAAACAAATAACATATTTTGTTATGCTAAATAATTAATATAAAATATAAATTACCTCCTCTTTTAGTTTGGACTCTGGTGGAGGAGAAATATTTATCACTGGATAAAATTCTGATGGAATTTCAGAAATTTTATGTTTCCTTTTTTTTACAGTGGGTGTATTTCGAAAAGTTTCTTCTGTAATAATGACAGTACTTAAAACGGTCAAGTACTGATAGTCAAATTGCTTACATAATTTCTTTTAATGATGCCATTTTGTTCATATTGGCATCATTCACTGCTAATGCTCCATCGCCGTGCACACATTCTTCTCGTTTACTATTCCAACTTTGATAATGGACAAAATATTATGTTTTCCTTCGGTTGTCTTCCTTTGTTCTAACCATTTTGCTTCATACAACATTGGTCCACGATAACACAATAAACTATCACACAATCAAAACAAATAATATTATCATCAAATTTTCTACATAACTGAACTATAACTATACATTTCAAAAGTCGACTTAAAAGTATTTAACCATTTAATAAAGTACAATTTAAAATTTTATAAAAATACTAAACATATCTTATTATGAAATACAGGACATATGGTTATATTTTGAACTCTTTTAATATCATATGACAACTGAAAAAGTATGTATAAAAATAATTTAATAAATTTGATTGCCAATGCCAGTTAGTTTTAGAGGAAATAAAAATTAATTTGACAACACACAGATATGATTTTCAACAACAATGTTGATTGATTAACGTCTTTATTTAACCCAAATCTTTTAGTGGTCTAAATATCGAATCATCTGAACGCACCCTATACAAACACATTTCCACCATAGGCTGATTAGATTTATCCACTGTATGATAACACTCTACGATGAAATAAACGAAACGATAATTTTAATTTATTAAGTTCATGACAAAATTGTCTAAATGTAATCGTGTAAATTACGCAGCACTATATCGTACATTAACATAACTGATGGAATTGTGTGAATTACCTATGTTGAACACCTTATGAATAATTATAAATTATACTCGTAACAATATAAGTGATAGGTTTCATACACTTACCCTCGGCGAATCGATACTTATTTGCCATTGTTCAATTGAAAACTAAACTAAGAGGATATAGTTTACATTAATTGAGAAATTCAATTATTTGATAAAATTACAAATTTAAAACAATGGCACAATAATAACCATATACCATTGATTATAGAAGAGGTTACTTTAAAATGCGCATGTGTACTATAGATCATATACTATGGATAGTGCAAGGAGGTTGTAACTCTAGGACGTTATTGACACTATAGTTTGTAGGCCCGCGACATACCAACGTAACGAAAATTGTATTTATCAGTTAGATATGACACTCTGTTTATTCAAAAATTTTTTTTTTTTTTTTTTTCATGATCATGACGCACTACGCAGAGACGCACATTATCATTATCAATATTTTTACAATTGATACGCGGACGCGCATTTAAGATTTCAAACCAACCAGTTAGGATTTTGAACATTTCGTGAACAGTTTTTAAGATTATTGTTGATTTCATGCCTTTTTATATTTGTGCCATTATTGGTTGTGATACTAACTATAATTTAAATTAACTATAAATTAACACAATGACATCGTTTTTCAAAATATTTGACTACATTTATCATTTGGGTAGAGAGGTCGTCTGGAAATAATAAATTACAGTGCACGATAAAAAGATAAATGCACCTCAATATATTGACATTGTTTAAAGATTTCTTTTTAAATAAAAGTCAAATCCCTAACTATGTGGTCCAAGCACTTCCCCATAATAATGTTGGTCTATAAATTATATTACCTATAATTTATAATTTTAAAAATTGTTATTTTTTTATTAGACTTGTTTGGTCATTTATCCATTTCAATTAGTGATGCATAAAACTATATTGAAGATATTGAATTACTATTGACGACTAAGAATGATGAATTCCGAAAAAAAAAATTAAACCTACACATTTTGTAGTTATTAGTACCAAAGTTAACAGATCATGAATTTAAATTACATTTTTGTTTGAGCAGAAATAGCATCAAAGTATCATGACACCTTAATATTTATTCTTCATTAATTACAATGTGTAACAATTAACTGTATTGGTTATTATGGCACATATAAGGCATTTATTAACTCAACAGTCTATATTCAGATATTATCAGATAAATATTGAAAAACAACTTTTGATAATTGTTTTGTACCTATATGTCAAATAATGAAATACATCAGTAAGTTTATTCTTATGATATTGTTATTAGATATGTTAATAAGATTGTTTGTGAACTTTACAACATATATTTTAACAAATTTAATGAAGATTTTAAACAAATTGCTAACAGTTAATATAGCTTAAAGTATGATCCATTAAATTATTTAAAATTGTTAGCTACTAACAATGTTGCTGGAAAAATTATTGTACAGCCATCAGGAGAAGCTGCTTGTACAAATATTAATAATTTTAATAATCTACAAGGCGTTAACTTATTTCCCAATGTATTTGGTTGCATTGATGGATGCCACAATATTTTATTTCCATGGGAAAATAGGACAAAGATGGTAAAGTAAATAAGAATATGTTATGTAATCGCAAACAAGTTTTATCAGTTATTTTGCAAGTTAGTGTATACTAGTATTGATTATATCAATGATTTATATTTTTAAAAAAACTAATAATTTAGCTTAATTGATATTTTAATAGTTAATTCAAATTAGTTTTATTTACTTTTGAATGTTTAAATTTCCATATTGTTTATAACAAAATTAGAGATAATCATGAATAAAACAAATGATTTAGTGTGTAAAATCACTATAATTTACCTTATCTTCTTAAGAATTTACTTTCATAAATTTAATATATTTTATTATATTATATATTTTACGTAAAAGTATTAAGATAAATTAATTGTTCACTATTTAGGGAATTGTTGATGCAGAGCTGAAATTCATTGATTTATTTGCTGGTTGGCCAGGACAATCACATGATGCTCATATTTTCCGCCGAAGTAAAATAGGCGAATTACTCATAAATAATCCAAGGTGTTGGAGTTGAAATGATAGTGTTATGATACTATATAAAGACAATGTTCATTTAACTGCTGTTCAAAAAAATTTCAACCAGAAATTAAGCAGTACACAAATAATAGTTGAAAATGCTTTCAGTAAATTAACTTCGGATTCAGAAAATTAAATTAAATTACTCAATATTTTGTTTAAGTACATTCAAATTTGTTTAATCTATGATTGTTTTTTAAATTAGACACATGGATATTTATAAAAATGATTTCTGTAGAAAGGTGATAACTGCACCATGTTGTTTATACAACATATATATATCTAATAAAGACAAATATCAAACCGATGATATTTTTCATATAGACGATGTTGTACAAGAAACCCCAGAAGAAACAACTAGCAGTTTGGCTAAATGAGATTTAATTTGTATTATATTTAAAACAATGTTAATATATAAATGAGAGGTACATTATATTATGATACATATTTACAGGAACATTTTTTTAATTCAAAATATTGGTAAACAAAATTTTTTACTTGTAACTGTCAAATGATAGAAAAATATAAAACAGTATTAGAATTATTAAAATGATTAATAATAATAAATACTTATCTTTTAACAATATAATAAAAATTAAAACATAACAATCTTAATTTAACTTCACTATGACAGGAAAATATTAGTAATATTAATTTATGTTAAACATTCCTAACTTTTACAATTCAATATTGTTTGCATCATACAATTTTGTTATCATAGTCTCTTGTAAAATTAATATTTTTTTTTCCTGTTTCTCTAATTTGTCTAGCCTAAAATGTATTAACCATTATTATTAAATTTGATTTTTAATTTACATGGCAGGTCAATTATATGTAAAATATATTCTATTTTTCATGTGGTTGTACTCCTCCGGAACAGCATGGCCGATTTTAATAAAAAAATTTTTGTATATTTGGTAGGTATGAAAATAGGTCATAGAGTTTTTTTTAAACACAATTTTAATATTTTCTCTTTTATATATTATATATATATAGCTTATATAGAAACACTAAATAATTTAGCTTATAATAAATACAATTTTTTTTATTGATTTGTATTACCCCGGTAACAGGATGAAAAAAATGGTGATTAAATATCATTAGAAATTAATTCAAAAATATCATGTGATCATCAAAATCAATCCAGCCATTCTTGAGTTATAAATGGTGTCACTAACCTGACTTAGTTTTATTTATAAAGGATTTTTGTTTATTCGAAGATTGGAAAAAAAAAAACTATTATAATTATTATTATTACTATTATTTACATATTCAAATTTCACAATAGAACACATTTAGTCCCCGAATGTGGATCCACTTTCCACCTATTTGTTTTCATTCAATTCTAATACAGCCAAGACTAAAAATGAATATTTGTAAAACAATAATAATACAAATTGGCACAGGCAACACTGGGCACGGGACAACTAGTAATATAATATAAATATATGTATTATTTGAAACAATTGTATTATTTTGAACTTTACTTTTGGGAAGTGAAATAGTTTGTTTTTGGTTTCGTTATAAGAACAAAAGTGCTGTTTGGCCTGATCATGCAACATCACTCGGAATAAGTAGAAATCAGAAGGGGCGAAGTCAGGGGAGTATGGTGAGTGGGGTAGTATGTATCATTTCAAAGTTTCCAGGTATGTTTTCACGACCTTGGAAACATGCTGCATGTTATGCAGAAGTATTATCTTATTGTGTCTTTCAGAGTATCTCAAACATATTAGTTGTGTCCTATAGAGGGCTCCTGTAATGGTTTCGCCTGGTTGCAAGAGTTCATAGTACACTACGCCGAGCTTGTCCCACCAAATACACAGCATCAGCTTCGAGCCATGAATGTTTGGGTTCACTGTCGAAGTTGATGAATGGCCGGGAAGTCCCCACGATTTTTTCTGCTTCGGGTTGCCATGGTGTATCCACTTTTTATCGCCAGTTACGATGCGATGCAAAAAACCCTTTCTGTTTTGCCGTTGCAGTTTTTGGATCATTCCTAAGCATTTTAAGCGATGAGAAACGGAATGCTGAGTCACGCCCAATAAATTTGCAAGTTCTTGTGGCGTTCTACAAGAATTTTCATCCAGCAGTCTCCAATTTTGCATCCTAAAACTTTTTCATAGGAAAAGCCTTCCACCTCATATTCGCCATTTTTAAACTTATGAAACCATTCCCGACACGCTTAAATTTCCCCAATGTTGCGAATGAACAAAACAAAGCACAGTAAAAAATAGACAAGCGAGATTTTGTAGAGTTGTTGACTGATGCCTCAACTGGCTATGTAACGTTTTTTCTCGCACTTATCTACTGATTTACAATGCTGGCGCAACCTATTGGAAAACAGGGGTTTTCTATTTGTGTAACCAATAATTTCATTTCATCAGAAATAGTTTTCCACAATAAAACCTTTTGACCTTCTTTTTGTATTGGCTTTTTCAAAATTAGCATTGCTGGTCCTCTTAATGATATTAACAATTATGTAGTAGTCGTTGATCACTTGACTATAAAAAATAAAATAAAATTATGTCTGCAATTTTAATTTTCATACTTGAATAAATTATATACATACTTATAGTAAAAGGCAGGTCTTGTTCATATGATTTTTCAATTCTTCTTCAATAATATTATAATCTCTCCAATATTCAATTTTTATTTAAATATAGAATACCAAATACTCGAATAAATAAATACTACAAATAATAAACTATATATAAATATGTTGTATGAGTATAACATTACAAAACCATTTCATACAACTACACCTAAATTAATACAAATTAAATATATATTATACAAAAAATTAGTTCTTATAAAAACAATAACCAGAAAAATACCTGTTTATGTAGTACTACACTCTAATACTAAAATTATAAATTTCCAACACTTTCAAGAAATTGTGATTAAAACCACTAATAACATACAACAAACCATCCAATCATACTATAAGTATACCAAAATACAACCCGAAGTGGTTTAGTGCGATGATGAATCAGTCAGTTAGATATTTTCGGATGTTAGGATGTTATTTTACACATAGTGTTGGCATACTCAAAACTAATTATGTCATTATATGCAGGATCATACCATTCAAGTCTAAGAGTCTTTAAGTCTTCCTCAATTGATAAAAAAAACCTATTAAGAAGAAATAGATGAATTAGTTGTGATAAAATCACAAAGGAAACTTACTTTAGGTGAGCCAAATGGTCTTCAAATCTGGTCCAAACTGATCCAAATCATATTATAAATCATTCCAGACTGCTAATGTTATATATCATGAACACCTACAGCATAAGCTACATAATTTAAACCTAAAAATATACATTAACAGTAATTAAAATTATTAAATACAAAGTATTTTCCAATGCTTAATCCATTGATATAATCAAAACTTACCTATCATATTTACTTTTATAGTTATTGAACATAAACTTTGAAAAATAGCATTTTTGGAATTAATCCAAAACGTAGTAAAAATTAGAAATGTTTCATTATTATTATCATTTGTAGTTATTGATATTTTGATAATAAAGTTTTTTTATTGAAGTCAGAATAAGTCTATCTGGCTTAGATTAAGAGTTACAAATGTTCAAACACGCCGTGTTTCGCTGCGCTCACTCGGACAATTGTAATCGAAAATAACTCTCGATTTCTTGTGCAAGACTACGTAGGGTAGGTATTACAGAAAAGTGAAAAAGCATTTTGGGTGCACCAACACTAAATCTAAACCAGATTAAACATACTCCGACTTCAATAAAAAAAACTTTGTTATTAAAATATCAATAACTACAAATGATAATAATAATAAAAATGTCTTATTTTTATCACATTTTGGATGGAATAGTATTTAACCAGATGGATGTGATAAATATTTTACGCGCCAAAATTAAAACTAATTTACTAACCTATATTTGACGAAAAAAGAAATATGTTGCGTTAAAATTTGTTGTTTAATGTGTTAACGTGTTTCGTTTCCCATTGCTAAATAATGGTTATTTATTCATGGTGTTTCCAAATTCCAATTCTAATGCTTGATATGTATAATACAATGGAAATACGGTTTTTGTGTACTGAAAATACTTTTATAAAATATTTAGATGCTAACTTGATTTTTAAATCATTTAATCTTAGTATGAATACCTATATTATATTTTATTATAACTTTTAATTAAAGGCTTTTATAGTTTATACTTTATACTTCTATATCTCGATGAAAATAATGAAAAAATGATAAGAATAAAATATTCGTGATTATGGCCAATTGGTAACCTTTAATAATGGTTAACTAAATGGCTAACCTAACCAATATGTCCCAACTGAATAACAAAAAGAGTGTTCCTAAACTCTATCAATCTGCAGAGCAACCCGCTGGATTAGCTGATTGATTTAGGAACACACGGCATATTGGACCCGACGATCATAGGGATGTAAGCGGACGAGTAGTTCATTTATTAATACATCTTTGGTGTGAAGTCGCCTTTAGATAATATCATAGGTCACGGTCTTAGATTATTAACTAAGATTTATGTATTATCTATAAGCCTTGAGCATTAATCACTGTATTATCTACTATCATATCATATTATAATTTTAGCGGCTGTGCTATGATTTTACGAGAATTTGTTCACATTAATAAACGAAATAATAACAATTATCACACTATTACGGCTATAGATACTAAACTCTGTCCCACAAGAGTGCATGCCGCGCGATAACGAAAATTGATCGGCTCTGAGTATACCCATCGTTGTCGGCAATAAAATTTGAATGCATGGAAAGGATACGATGGCCCGGTCGGTCGACGAACAATACGAAGATCCGGCATGCTCAATCGTGGGACAGAGTATAGTATCTATAGCCGTGGTTACCACATGGTGAAAAGTTGAATACAACTCAACTTTTTGGTATACTCGGTATCTACCAAACCGTTCAGCTAATCAGCTAATCAGAATACGTAGATTTCAATTCACTTTTATTTTTAAAAGATGTAGTAAATAATAATACCAAGTAAATTATATTGGATCTCGTCGATTATTATGATTTAATATTAAACCTATCAAATTCTTACTGTTTATACTTTATTTCAGAATGTCTTCAAATTTGATATAACCAAAAACATTACAAACAATATTACAGATTGGTCTTCTAATTCTGGTCCAGTATATTCAAAGTCTAGTAAAAGTATGTTTTTTTCTTGTATTTTATGCTAATCCAAATTTTACTGAAATTTTAAAAAACGAAATTCTTTTAGGGTTAAAACAGTACTCAGATATTTCACTTTTATTAGAAAAATTAAGAGAAACCAGGCCTCCTCCACCTTTAATTATAAAGCCTGCTGTGGAATCTGATGATATGATTTTTATAACATATCTTGTGAGCATTATGAAAGATTTACAAAACAATAATTATTTAAAATTACAGAACAGTTCTATTAATGCTGTTATGTTACAAAAAATCAAAGACTAGGTAATTTTCAATATTGAGTTATATACAATTTTTATTGTATATAACTATGTTATATTCATTAAATTCACTTTTTTCCAATTATAGTTATTAAAATGTCTATTTTGTCTTGCATGGCTTAAGAAACTGAATTTTAAAAAAACTTGTGCTACAAGTTCCACATTCATCATGGAAGTTCTTTCAACTAAAAGATGACATTCACATGTATGTTTGTAATGAAGCAAAAAATCGCAAATTTATAGGACAGATTAAACTTAGTTGCTCATCAAGTTGCTGAGTAATTACTGAAAATTTGTTATGAATAGTCATAATAAGATTTCTATTCCTAAAATTGTATCATTCAAAAATAAAATCTCAACTAATGAACAAAAAGCAGCTAATATGTATTCCGATTACTTTTCTTTAGTTTTCTTGTAATCATGTTGTAATAGATATTAGTGTTTTTAAATTCTCTTTTTTTGATTTCCCCAATAATATTTTCTTTAATGTAAATGATATTCTTAATAAACTGTTACATCTCTGTGGTCAATGGTCAATAGATCCTGACAGTATATGAGGTGACTTCTTATTTCAATTACATGTCATTATTTCTTATCCTTTATGGCTTACGCGCGAGACCTTCATTAGAATTTGTCCATCAATGTTAAAACAAAGTTCAATATTGTCAATTCCTAATTCTAATGATTTATGTTTTATATATAACTACAGACCAATATCACATCTCAAAATTATTTGAATCCTTAATTCTTGATGGTCTTGATAATTGTTTAGGCTTTCAGTTAATAATTTATTTATAGAGAAACAGCATGGCTTTAAGAAGTTACTGTAACTTGTAATATAGTATTTACTAATTATGTTTTCCAAGCTTTTAAGCAACATTTACAGGTTGATTTAATGTATTTATACAAAAGCATTTGATTTGGTCAATCATCCAATGCCCATCAAGATATTAGAAGCCAGTGGGATCGATAAATTGCTTCTCTTATGGTTTAGAACTTACCTAACCAATCAATTTCAGTTTGTGAAATTATTTGAAGTTTGGTCTTCTGAGTTATCTTTCTTATCATGGTGGCCACGCATTTTTATTATTATTCTTAGTATTAATAAATAATTTAAGTAAGTTTTGAAATATTACAAATTTGTATGTTTTGCTGATGACTTAAAACTATTCTTAAAAATATATTCATTGGATAACAGTTAGCAACTTTAGAAAGAGTTGGATTTATTTGTTGAATGGTTTAATCCTATTGGGCTTTACAGGTGGTCTACCACTTCTTTCATATGTTTCTTCAATATTTTTAATTCTATGTTACTAAATTTTAAAAACTATTACTGATCTTGATTTTAAACTCACAAAAACTTGATCCAAGTGCACATATCCAATATATATGTAGCAAAGCATTTAATATGTAGGGTTTTATAAAGAGGCTATCAAAATAATTTCAGCACCAAGTATGGTTGAATACTTTATATTATTTTTTGGTCCATTCAGTTGTTTGGGATCTGTTCACAAGTGATTGTGTCCAATTAGAAAGTATTCAACTTAATTTTTTAAGTTTTTCTGGGTTTTAATTTAAAATTTAACATTCGCAGCATGACTATGCTCTTGTGACTGTGCGGCTTGAATTAGACGCCTTGACGAATTTTAGACTATTGTTGAATTTGCAATTTTTGAACAAATTATTATCTGATAAAGTAGATTGTTCATCATTGCCATCTCTAATTTGGTTTCAAATTTCCTCAGTATGCCACCCGTTCCAATTTACCTTTTAGACTCTTGTTTGCAACACCAATTATTTTAAAAATGAGTATTAGATGTTTGTTAGCTATTGGTAATGTGGACCCTTCTTAAGTAGGTTAGATGTTTAGACAAATACCATAGAATGTTCATATTATAGAAAATGTTTCGTTTACAAGTAAAAGCATAATTCTAAAAACCCATTTTTTATATCAACAACATTCCAGTTTTTTACAAATTATATTTATATTTATATTTTTTATAGGTACCTTCATGGCTAAATAATGATTACCTCCACAAGTATATAAAAACAATTATTTTATATATCTGTAGGTACCTCTTAATATTATAACTATAAAAACAATAGTACAATAATAGGAATATAATTTCAGGACAATGATAAATTATATTAATACTTGAAAAATAGTGTTATTATGCTACGAGTTATCATTAGGCTAAATGCTAGACTGAATCATGATAGAAATAAATCAAATTATAATTTTAATTTCATGGACTTAATCTGCTTGTATAGATAACAAAATATAACAAGTAATAATTAAATACACCATGTTTTTTAGTAAGTATTTTATTGTTTTTTTATAACATTTTTAATGTAATTAAAATATTACAAATAATAATAACACAATATAATATATTGTAAATAGGTAAATAAAATGATTATAATATTAACTATAACAAAACACATCATTGATTTTTTTGTTGAATAGATTACTTGTTGTCATAGATTAGTCATAAATTAACTTAAGTTTTGACATCAAGGTTATATTTATCAAAGTTATATTTTTTTTAATTTGTAAATAAGATATTTGCATGTGTTCTTAAATAAAAATCTTATCAAGGATTATTTTAAAAAGTGTAGGTTTTTGTATTCCTTTCAATATTTTTATACTTAATTTTCAAGATTAATGTTGTTAATAGAAGTTGTGTTAATATAGTTTAAATAAATAAAACTTAACAAAATATCTTTATAAGTGGATACCATTTTGTCATGTAACTGAGTTATCACTACAGATGAACTTTGAGACCTGAAGTCTGGTATCTTCGCAGTCAATTAATATGTAAATACCTATTAATTAATGTGTACTTTTAATCCAATTTTGTTGATGCTGCATCAACATCTACTTTTGTTTCACACAGCGTACAGTATAAAACAATTCCGTAACAAACAAATCGGTAAAAAATATATTTTGTTCAAACTCGATTATGTACAAACTCATCAGATTATTATTTGATATTTTAGGAATTTTTAATTTTGAAAAAATGCACTAAATCATGTAGAATAGTCGATAAATGGTAACAAGGTGGAAATACAAAGTGAGACTTATAACTGAATGAATCTTATAGGCGAAGTGGGAAATAATGTATAATGTATTTGAATAAGTCGGAATCTTTCCAGGCATTTTTGAGTCTTATAAGTAAAAGAATCTTATATCTGTGAGTTTTAAGTGGCTTCAACTGTACTATGTTTTTTTTCATAATACAAAAACTAAAGTCCCTTTTTAATTTTTTATCAAAGATGAACACTGAAATATTACTATGATGTACTCGTATTTCAAATTGCACATTTAATACACAAATTAATGTATTTAATCATTTTATTTACGTATCTAAATTATCTATGTTATTTAGATATACATACCTAATACAAACATTGCCGTACACAAAATTTTGCTTCTCATAAAATACATTTCTTCAACCGGCTCAACAAAACAATAAAAATTCCACTCACTTTTTTCATTAAATAGATGTATCCAAAGGTAGAGTAATGGGGTATTACAGTGATTACACACTTTCCTCGAGAATATGAGAATAAGCCATTGATCCTTAGATAGCACGATGATAGTAACAAATAAAATAATTTTTAGATTCTGAGTGAAGCGAGAAATGTGAATGTATTGGTTTTACAATGATGTTTATTTATTAATTTTTTTGTAGACAAATTTTCTACCAACAATTTTGCTCCATTTACAACGACAGCATTTTTTCTGAAAAAAAATTTGACTGGGGTGGTACTTTAGGAAGATCACTTTTTGATTTTTCATTAGTTTTTCCAATAAATGGAAAAACCAGGATAAAACATGCGAAAAAGAGGAAAATAGGTACAATATTAAAGGAAATGTATAATGCATGTGTAATTATTTTACCATATTATACCACCTTTATATTATTGACAAAACAATACTATCATCTGAATTTGTCTAGCTAGATATAATATTATCGAAATATTTAGTAGAATATCAAGAAGACAAATACGAAAATCTATTTTAAAAATTCTTTTCGCTTAACCTAATCAAACTATAATACGTTGGAAGTAAAACACGTCTAAATTGTGCAGGTACACAAACATTTTTTTAAAATCACGACTTTTCAACTTTAAACTTTTTTATCCTTGTATACGGTAGATAACAGTACTACCAATAGCAAATACAAGAGAGGGGGGCAACAAGGCGATCGTCTTGGTAATTCATAACTGTCTTGTTATTGAGATGTCATTCTGATGATCATTGTGATTTTATGATACAGAATATTTTCGATGGATTTTAATATTAAAAAAAATTCAATCTGCCTGAGCAATATTTTCCAATATCACCTTGTAGTGTTTTTATTATCACGATGATTTGTCATGTGATTAACTATTAATAATATCCATGGAATTCGCGTATTTACAAATGAGCTGGTCCAACGATAAAACGTGGCATCCCGCAGGAGTCACAAGTGGTTTCAATGGTTTTACCATGTCGTTATTAAAGTCGTTATTACAGTTGTCGACGGTGTCGTAGGACGATGACAACAACGAATGCGGCCACGATGGTAGTTCATCAACGGAAGATGAGACGCCGATAGACGCTGAATACGACTGTAGTTCATCAACGGAAGAGTCGTAGGTCGACGCTGAACTCTGTTGTCGGTGGGCATCGTCGTCATTATCACATGCATGCAACTGCAGGACCCTGTTAGCGATTTTGCATTCGTTTCGGAGTGACCCTTCCAATTTTCCATAGTCCTCGCTAAGTTGGTCAGATTCGATGGGGCAGTCAGTTTCAATAGGACAGTAAGGCACAACGGGGCAGTCAAGTTCGATGGAGTGATCTGGTATGCCGGGACAGTCACGTTCGGCGGGACTATCTAGTACGACATGGTGATTCGGTTCGACTGAGAGATCCGGTTTGGCAGGTCGCGACGCCTGCAGTTCGTCCAGCTCAGACATCCGTAAGTACAATGTGTCCACGATAATCTTGCTCTTCTGTAGCTCGTGCGCTAGCCTATCGTTGTCCACGCATATTCCGGCTATGCATCTCTTTGCTTCTTGACTATAGTTAACAGCCCGGTTAATTATTTGACGCAGAGCGTCTCCCCGTAGTTTTTTCTTCCATTGCTCGTGGTCAACCCTCGATTCAACCCGGTTCAAGTAGGCCGACATCTGCTTCATAATCACCCGTATGTCCCCTACAGTCCTGTCCTGTCTGATCTCTTCCACTTCGCTCAACGTCGTAATTTTCTCACAACGCTCAGTTAGCCACGTTCGCATAACATCCAACTTCGCCAATTGATCGTTGATGTCGGTGAGTTCCCTTGACATCTGTTCACCTCGTACCTTGATCACGTACAACTGGTTTGTTAACGTGTTATAACTCTCCTTAGTAATGTATTACAACATAATATTATTATTTATTATTAGAGTGTAAAATTGACGATAGGGAGGGGGAGATATTACGATTATACGTCGTATAGGTATAAAACCTTAGGCGGGTTACAAAAATAGTTGGTAAGGTATTCGGGAGTGGCTTTTCCAGTCAAAGGTGATTTTTGGCGCAGGAACGCTCAGTGGTTTTCAACCTTTTTTTATTACACGCTCACTTTTCAAATATCGTATGCCTTCCATCGATAAATTGAAAAAATAAATTGCTTTTTTTGTATACTTTGCAAATAAATTAAATATATATATATATATATATATATATATTTCAATCTCGTCGATCGGTCGTTCCGCGGTAACATAAAAAAAGACAAAGGGATTTATTAAAATTTATGGGTAAAATTGTATTCAGTGGTAACAGGAAAAAGTTGAGTTGAATGTAGAATTTTATTTATAAAAATGTTTGTATTAAATTTTGACGAAAATCAAAAATATTTAGGCCTTTTAAATATGTATAACCAAACTTCACTTAGAACCGATTGTTCGTCAGCAGTGATTAATCGTTGCATAAAGATATAAATTAAATTCCCCTCTATATCTTACCTTCCCAATTTCTCACCTACAACAGTGGCCCACCCATCATGAACTATGTCCGTCTTTTTTTAAAAATAATCACTTATCTTACTAGAAGTTCTAGTATAATTTTTAGACACAGGTAATACAACCAGTAAATTTATTTTTCGAACTGAGTTATATAAATTATAATAATATTTGGACGACGTGGTTGGGTGGTTTACTGTAGTGGTGACGTATCCAGAATTTTTAAATAGAGGAAGGATTAAACTAAAAAACCAATAGGTGTATTCCTTGCTTCGCTCAAAATGTAAAATAATATTTTGATTATTTTGATTATTATTTTAATAATTATGTAGTGTAATTATTTGAAACTCACTTGCATAAGTAGGTAGTGAAAATATGCAATGATTATAAAATAATAATTTTATTAATTTCTAGTTGAATTGTCCGATATTTCCAGGGTGACCTTTATGTCTATCATAGAAAATAATATTGTTGTTCAGTAATTTATCTTTTAAAATGTGTACTTCCTTGACTATGACAACAAAATTAAATAATAAATGTTTTTTTTATATGTGTTTGACCAAGGTAAACCATAAATCAACAAAAAAGTTCAATTTTCATTCCAATAATACCAAAAACTTGTGTCAGCCACACAAGTGACCTTTCTCTTGTTTTGAAGGTCAAAAGCGCAAAGTTTCATCTATATTTGAATATTTAAATAAAATTGTAGATTTTTATAAAAGCCAACATATCGAATTTGATTACATATATTATAGGTACATAATATAAATGATTTTTCAATATTGAATAATTTTGTATTATTTTATTTTGTATTTAAAACTAAAGCACCCTTATCCACCTGGGTACGCCACTACTGACTATAGTATATAATATAAGACTCACTTTCAAAGTAGAAACATTATAGACTATAGGGCTGTCAATCGAAGTAGTTGTAACATTACATTGGCCGGTTAACTCGTTGACTTTGGCTGTGAAACGCAATCCAATATTCTTAAAAATAATATTTTCTGCATTAACTAGTTCGAATTGTTTGTAGATGTCCTTGCACTTGTTCATCATCTGATAATAGTTGGCCATCTGTTTGTTAATTTTTGAGTTGACCGACTTCTGATGTTCCGCCAGTTGGTTGATTTCACACATTTCCAAATTCGTTACTACGTCTATTGTACTTGTAATAAGCCCAGTTGATTTTTTTCAAATTTCAAAAAAATTATAATGATGTACGTAGACTTATAATTTCGGTTAAAAATAGCTACATATGATTAAAGTCCATAATGTCTGTTTATCCGTTTATTTAAAATAAGTTATGGTTACTGTATTGTGTAACATATTATACATACATACAATTAAATTTGATTATAATTTGTCCAATATTAACACAGTAACTCTTTTATTGCTACTTAACAAAATAACAGTTTATTTACAAAAAAATAATTTTTTTTTTTTTTAACCAGTATACATACTAAGTAATGTACCTAACTAATAAATATTTTGGTTAGGCGAGTAGGTCGCATTTCAGCAAGTATTATAATACACGTCAAACATACTAGTCAGCGGACTAGAGTACTTATAATAGTATGTTGCATTGTTGCAGTTGGGAAGTTAGACTAATAAGACATAATATGGGGTAATTTAGTTCAGATATTATAATCTACAACTGAAAGAAACGTTAAATCATCGAGAACAAAAATTGTTGAGCTCAAAAAGACGTCCTAGGATAATGGGGACGGGTGCAGCTATAGCTATAGGTAATTTAATGTATACCTGTAAGCAACGATAAACCATTGCTAACAAAAACAAATTTCTGAGCGGAATTCAGTTGATAATGATGTTTTGTCAACAATATATACATATGTCATATTATGGTAAAATAATTAAATAGGCATTATATATTTTCTTTAATAATATTTTTTCAATGTACAGATTATAATTTATTTTATCGAATGTACATTTAAATGTATATGAGTATATGACTACCGCACGCTTATGATTATTAGTAATCAACTGAGATTAAATTAAACCATTTAAAATTTAATTAAATGAAATGTATTACTTTTGTCTTAAGTTTTTTTTATAATTTTCTCTGTTCGAGGTATAATAATTATAACATTTTTTTAGATTCTGAGTGGAGCGAGGAATGTATTGGTTTTACAATGATGTTTATTTTTTTTTATGTGAACACTTTTTCTACCAGAAAACATACACCAATTATCAATTATAGCACCTTTTTTGAAAGGAAATGTTCTTTGAATGGTACTTTAGAGAGGTAATGTTTGAATTTCTCATTAATATTCGAGATTATGATGAAAACCTCGGTCTTTAGATTAAACAAAATTGAAAGATTAAAAATAAGGTTGTCATTAGCAACCGTTTTTATTTATTTTTTGTTATTATTAAGTTTTTATTTTTTTAATCTTTTTTAAATAATTATTGTTGTCATGGAAACGCACATTGTTGTAATCATTTTACCATATAATATTTACCATATATTTTATTGTTGTCAAAGCAATACTATCAACTGAACTAGTTGAGAGAATCGTTTTTTCGTTAGCCATGGTTTATCATTGCCTACAGGTATACATTAAATTCCTGTTTTTATCCTATCTTCCCAACTTCCACCTAAAACAGTGGCTTCATCTACGTACGAAGTATGTCCGTCCTTTTTTTAAATTTTTATTCCTCATTTATGCTAAAACTTGGAAAATTTAAGGTTCAATACTTACAAATTTGTGTAGATATTAAGTTATTTTAATGATCAAATGTAAAATCAAACAAAAATAGTTTAAAATCAGATATACCTAGATAATTTTATGAAAAATGTTACAATTGTATCTAGTCTCCTCTACCTATTTATATTGAACTTTTTAGGCAATTGAACAACTATATTCCGTAGAAACCTATTATATTTATAATATAAATTTTTTTATATAGTATTATTAGTATAAGGTTCAATTCTTACACTAAACGAGTATTTTTTGAATCGCTCTGTATACTGTATAGTGTCCTGCAACAATTAATCAATATACACGAGATCAAACCGGCAACACTGCAAATAAATCTTCCTTTACAATGTGAGAATTTATGATGTTTCCAGGTGGAATTTTACTGTCGAATTTTCCCTGAAAATGAAGACTATTGCATTATATTGAGTCTATTCTAAATTCATATAGAATAATTATAATATTAATTACTGTAGAAATCCGTAAGGATATATTAGCATATAAGCATACAAATATGATATGTACATAACCCAAATGCAAAAGGTAAATTGCAAAAGTTACGTATTATTTGTAGCTACTGCAAAAAGGAGACATGTCTTTGGCATACAAATAATTAATTTAAAAAAAAATAATACTATACTTTTTTTATTCTAATCAAACTTGCATTTATATAATATATTCCACTGTAAAATTAAAAATTAACCCTTAATTTTCAAAATCGTTTCTTTATACCAATAGTTTCATTCAGTATGTTTAAATTTAAATTTCTCCTGGCTGAAAAATTGGAAAAAGTGGACGTGTCCCATTTCTACAGTTAATGATTTAATTATTCTCCATGATAAGTCCGACGAGTCTACCTCTCTATTTCGAACAAAAGAGCCCTGCGCCTGTTTATTGACTAACTGTATTATGTGTACACATATATAGGTACACGCCGAAAGCCCGGTTGGTTGCCACGGACAACCGCCAGCTTGTACCTATATATAGAACGGTTTTATTACACGTTTGATTGTAGATATCTTTTGTAATATTACAAATGGAAACACGATCGACAAATCATATTATTTGTCTGATGCGCGATCCCTGTTTATATAGTGCGTGGCCGCCGGTAGCGTTGGCGTTATTGTCCCGATGACGTCATGTCATGGCGTTCACATCATAAACCATTTTTTCTACCGGGGATATGAACAAAATAATATTATTAAATATTGGTACTACAGTATTTTGACGATAATCAAATGTTTTATAAAACGTCAAATTTGATGTTTTAACAATTATAAAATGTTCTTACGAAACAATATCGTTTGATATTAACAATTTTTTATATGCTTTAAATTAAAGCCCAGGTTTAAAAAAAAAAAAAAATATTACTATCATTTTTATTATTACTCCCTGTCCCACCCGGCGTTGTCCGTGCCGAAATAAATAATATACAAATTATTATTATCAAATTATTTTATATACACTATACCTTATTACTTATTATTAGTTTTGTTTGGTTTAACATTTTGTTTTTCTCATTCGTAACACCAAGGTAACCCTTAAAACAACAAAAATGATTAGATTTTCGTTCCCAAATACCAATAACCCGGTGTCAGCCTCCCTTTAAGGGTTTAATACGGGAAAAAAATAACCTATTAGTAGTTCTCTAGTCTAGAACTAAATTTATGGAAAGTTTCAGCAGCTTAGGTACTTTGGGCAAGAAATATATAATAAACATCAGGGCCGTTATTGGAAAATAGTTTCTGAGAGGGGGGGTGGTAAACCCAAAATGTGTGATGTTCTTATTTTATTGATTGAAATAAAAAATTATTTCCTCACGACATAATAAAACACGAACAATTTTCAGGAGGGGAAGGTGTTGAAATCCCAAAACCCCCCTTAGGTATAGCTTTGACAAATGTATCTATAGGACCATCTAATAAACGTTCGCATATACATATATATATATATATATATACTATTATACTCAGATGTATAATATACTAGTAGAATTACGCAAACTATTTTAATTACCTATCTATAAATTAAATATTTATACAGTGATCACCATCATTACAAAACACTATGTAAACCTACGTGAACTAAATATAATGCTAGCACGTTTAACGCTAAAAGCTCTATACTTTTTATTTTGACCCTTTGAAACGTGTCCGATGCGTATACCTCAAATACGCTTACTGCGCCGACGCGATTTTATTGACGAGTAGGAGGTACGTGTATACAAAATGAGTCCCTTGCAGGATACTCGACCGACCCACGGGTCGTACACTAGTTCACCCTATAAATACACATTATGTATACAAAACAAATATACGCAGTTTGATGTTCATATATAGGGTGTGCAAACGAAATATGTATATAATATGTATACCGATATACGTAAAAAACGTGTTGAAACCTAAGCCCTATTCGTTTTTTCCCACACGGAGGCTACATACTCAATTACTTCATTCCTCACGACTTTAGCAATATCACTATTTTTTCGCACCATACTATATTATATCACGAGACATTATATGGACTTGGACGTTGTCTTGTTTGTACACGTTTTTAGAAATCAACGTCAAAATACGTTTATGTGCAGTAATAATAGTGTTTGTACCGTTATAAATATTCCAAAAACCCTTCAACCACAACCTCTAAATATAGGATAAGTGAATTTTAAAAACTATATCAAATTAAGTTCCTGAAACATCAAAAACCTATATATCAGTGAAACTTCCCCTAACGGATACCTCTCAATAGCGGACGATTTTTTGAGAACGGGTACATTTTCATTACTTTTCAATGTAAAAACCTCCGAATAGCGGACACCTATTTTAATCTTAATTTAAAATATAGGTATACTATTGATATGCTATACCATAAATTACACCGAATGAAAAAATACTCCCTCTTTATTTTTTTTATCCCCTTAACCTTCTAAATAAGGGATACATTTTAAAACTGATAGCAAGTTTGAGTTCTAGGACCTTTAAAATCCATGATCCGATATATTTTATTTGAAATAGAACCTATAAAATTTAAAAACAATCAGCTTAAGCAAGCTTTTTACGATTTTAAACCACTGTACTATACGCGTATTATTTTACTAAACTAGTCTGAAATAAAACTTGCAAATACTACAGGAAAGTATTTATATTTCCGTAATACAAAAAACACCATCTATTATTACGGCATAGTGATTGATGTCTAATAAACTGTATAATTTAAATTTAAAATACAGTAATAAGTAATAAGTAAAAAGTAATAAGAAAAGAAATAATTTTTAATTTATCATATATATGACGTTATTCTTATTTGAGTTTCATAAAAAACTGAATAAATAAATTTAAAAAAAGAGCTGATACTGAGGACGGGATACAGCCACTGTTATTGATGGGCAATGGGGAAATTAGGATGTATAGAGTTCTTTAATTTATCCTTGTAACCAATGATAAACCAATGATAACGAAAAACGATTCGGAGCATAATTCGATTATACATGATTTGAAAGGCCATAATATTTACGATTTTCGTTAAAATTTAATTTGACGACGTCTAGAAAAAACAAATATAAGTTTTCTGTCCAAATGTCAAGTCGTTATAAATATATGAAAGTAAATTACATTAAAAAAATAAAATTGATAACAATAAAATATTTATTTTAGTTTATTTCCCCGTACTTTCTGCATTTTTTTTTCGATTTTACTCAATTATTAAAAAAACCTACAAAGAAAATCATAAAACGACTATCTTGGTCAACATCTAGATGAAAAAATTCAACAAAAAAGATCTCTTAATATTTTACTATTGGAGCAATATTTATGGTAGAAAACATGAGCCGTATAAATTTAAAATAATGAAATCGTCATGTAATTTGAAAAAAATTGTACATTTCGTCTTTTTTGGTTTTTCTTAATTATTATGAAAAATACCTTAGATATTACAAAATGACTTTTTCTGTTAGTAGCCTATGTGTTAAAAGTTACAAAATCGATCGATTATTATTTTTCGTTTGGAGTAATATTTATGGTAGAAAATATAAGTTGAACATATTAAAATAATTAAGCCGAAACGTTACGATGCCGTAAATGATAATTAATTTTAATTTTTGGTTTTTCCCAATTATTACAAAAACTAATTTGGATATCGGAAAACGACTTACTTTGAAACTAGCGAAATATTAATAGGAACAAAATCGATCTTTTGTCGTTTTTCGATTGAAGTAATATTTGTAGTAGAAAACTTCAGTATAACATAATGGAAACAATAAAAACGATAACACCGTGACGCACCGTAAATATTTGCGTTTCACCTACAGTTTTCTTTCGATTTTTCCTAATTATTTCAAAAACCCATTGAAAAATCAAAAAAATACTTCCTCAACACACTAACGAGAAAAAATTACCTTTCAGAAAAGATGTTTTAGTCTACACTTCAGAATAAGTTTTTTTTTAGAAAAGTTGTTCACAGACACAAAAAATATAAATAAAATAGTAAAACCAATAGATCCCTCGCTACACTCCAAATCTAAAAGAGATTTTATTGTGGATGGGTAGTTTGGAAGGTAGAACATATTAAGTTTTTTAATTTATATCTGACGCAAAGACAAACCATTGCCAACGAAAAACGATTAGGAGCGAAGTTGGGTAAGAGATGTTTTCAAATGCCGTAATTTTTAAGATTTTCATCAAATTTAATCTTAAAATGCTTATGAAAAAAAAAAATTAAACTCAAACTTTTTTTAATCCACTAAGTACAACTTATAGTGTACCTTGTGTTAAATGTTCAAGTATTTCACGTAAATCATATAATTTTAACAACAGATACCTACCAAATAAAAATACATATCAAAACACGAAAAGATCAAATGCTTATAAACAGCCAAAAAATAGATAAAATGTTTTGAAAATTTTACCACATCTACAAAAGGTCAGTATAAGTATTTTGTAAAAACTACAGGTTTCTACAATAATTTTTAACCGAATAACAACAAAAAACCCAAATATCATAAAACACTTTGGCGTATTTCCTACGTTTTCCCGGAATACTATTCAGACAAATTGAACAATGTTTTTCTTATTCACAAACTAGAGAATAATCCTATTCTTGAAATTTGGACAAAGATTTCTTGTAAAAAAATATTATCTTAATAATTTTAAATAATGAAATCATAACGAAATAAATATCGTAATTTGAGTAAAATTTATTTTTTTTTTTGGTTTTTCCCAATTATTATTATATTTATTATCATAATACTTAAGATATAAAAACACTTAAGTGGAATAAAATCGATATTTAGTCATTTTTCGATTGAAAAAATATTTCTGGGAGAAAATATAGTTTGCAAACATTAAAAACAATTAAACGGTAACTTTGCGGTGCGCTTTAAATATTAGGCGTTTTACCTATAATTTTCTTTCGAACATTTCCAATGATTTTGAAAACCCATAAGAAATTAAAAATTGATTTCCAAATGCACAAAGTAGATAAAATTTTCTTTCAGAAAAAATGCTACAGGTACATCGCGCATCGGAGCAAGATTTCTTTTCGAAAAATTGTTTACAGACAAAAAAAATAATAAAACACATATTATAGGTAAAAAAAGCTGATACTATTGACTGGTATGCCACCTTTGTAGGTGGGAAGTAGGGAAGGTAGGATATAGAAGGGAATATAATGTATATTAGATTATATATGTTATATAATCGGTTATATATGTTATGAAAGGCCGTAATATTTATGGTGTTCATCAAAATTCTTACAAAAAAAAAAAAAATCTGCATTACACTAAAAGACCAATACTTCGAACGAATATCTACTAGTGGTGGGAAAAATCCAGAATTACCGGAGTTCGATAATTCGGATTTTGGTAATCCGAAATCAACAATTTATTTAACATCCGGAATTCGAAAGTTTGATTTTGAATTATTTTAGGCATTTTTTTATGAAATTCAAAAACCAATTAAATAATTATAGGTACCTATATATTTATTTGATATAAATAAAAACAGAATCGGAAAAAAAAAACGCGGATTTTGTTTCCAAAATCCGAAATCTAAACTCTCGGAGAATCCCGATTTACGTCGATAAACGTGTAGGTATTTCGTTTTACCGGGATACTATATTCTGCGGTTATTCGATAATGCGTAAATCAAATATCCGACACTTGTTGCGTGTCCGCGCATTATCCTAATATATATATATATATATATCCAACGATATACTAATATAATAATGCTACGAGTATGCGGTTATTAAGCCTCTTCGAAATATATTCCGACCGTTTGAGTACTATGACTTTTGTGCGCGGTTTGATTTCAAAGACCGCGGTCGCTTCCTTCCGCCTTTAGGAGGATCTGCGCACGCTTGCGAGTGTGCCGAATTCGGCACTGCCATGGTTACAGAGAGTAAGTTCGCCCGCAGCCGCCGGGTATTGGTTCCACGCCAGGTTACCCTGCCCCGCCGCCGACCGTTAGTGTACGTATATAATAATATTATAACGTCGCGGAGTCCCGGGTGAAATTTTCAGTCTATCGATTTCATCCCGGACGGCCGCCAGCCCGCGTGTCGTGCCGCCCACCACCCTTCGCGACCCCCCGTCAAAACCGTTCTGTTGAACGCCGTATTATATAATTTGGCCACCGTTTGCAGTTGCCGCGACCGCCACCGCCTGCAGAGTGCGACTGTCTGTTGCGCTGCTCGCACGTCCCGCGGAAGCACGCACCTTAAGCTCGCGTATTTGTATACGCGTTCTCACGTTCGTCACCTATAACGTCTTATCAATCAGGTAAAAGTATATTAATTCGCATTATAATATAAATAAATAAATAAATACAATATATCGGTGGCGTATTTACGGAGTGAAATCTATTTCCTATTATTCATATTTATTAGGGAAATACATCTCCCCCTCCCCCTTTGAATCTATTAATTACACGACTGCCTATTTTTCAATTCAAATTTCTTTACTTTTTAGTCGGAAAAATAAAAAATTTAACGTGTCGGTACCTACCAATATTATAGTCAATAACGTTAATTTATCACAAAAATCTGAACGTATACATTTTTTGTTTAAACGAAACCCATACAGTCCATTAAACCATTAAAATACGAATAAGTTATATATATAATGTATATATACAGGTATATACAGATTTACTTATTTATTCGTTCGATCGTAGGTACGCCTAATAACTTATATAATATTTATTTATATATTTGAATAATTACACGTTGTTTAATATTATTACTTTTTTTTATAGAAGCCGGTAAAATTATTGCTCGAATCCAGCTGAAATAATATTCGTTTTTTCCGAACATTTTAATATATTGATAGGTACGTATTGCGTGTATATATTAATATACCCATCTATATAATTGTAATTAATTTAATCAATTATTATTATAAAAAACGAAAACACAATTTCTATCATGGTTCAAATAACATTGCATTTATTTTAGTGTTTGTTTTACGAATTTTAGGCATGAAGGTATTATAATTAATTAATTTGACAAATTATTTAAATAAGCAGTATAGTATCTATCATTATTATTATTATTATTATTATTATTGGTCTTGAAAATACAAAATACATCATTATAAAACCATAAGTTTCTTCGCTCCACTCAGAATCTAAAACACATGAGTAAAAGAGCTCTGTCACTAGATCCGAATTTTCTCCCAGTTAACTTGATGCCGTTACAATATTTTATTTGTGTTAATTTTTTGTGATTCACTTGACACCCATTAACAACGTCTATCTCTTCACCCTCCCTTAATGATCTACTACCCTTTCCCTCTTTTACGTAAAAAACAGGTAAAGAACCACCTATCAGGTAATGATACTTTCCAAACTTTAAATCGTTTTAAATGTATTAATTTATGTTACACGAAATAAAATATGTTGTTTTATTTGTTTTATTTTTTATCGTTGTTTTATTGTTTTTATAACAGGACCGCGGTTTCGTGATGGGTAGAAAAAACCGTCCGAGGAAAAACAAATTCACGGCGGCCGAAGACAATATCAGTTTTTTGCTGTTCATGTTCTTCTTCGTATTCATTTTGGCTTACGTTATCTTCTATTTTTTATACTTCAGAGCTATTTTAATAAACCCTGAGAATTTGATCAATATGTATTTTATGTTCGAATAATTGCATATTTTTTTTGACATCATATGCAATTATTGCTGCATTTATTTAAACACAAAAAACAACTATAATAACTACCTAAATGTTTATATCTTATACCTAATACAACTGCTGTAATGCAATTTCATTGTTCAAAACCTAAATATTATTATTTGATGTTTGTTTTGTATACATTAAGAGATCCAAAATACGCGCGCGTATGTAAATTAAATATTAATCGATTTCTCTCTGGTTTGGAATAAAGAACACAAAAAAATCTTTATTATTTAACGATTTTTTAAACTTTTTACGTGAACAACCTTATGTTTTTGACTAATTAGAAAAAAATAATAATTAAAAATCCCAACAAAAATGGCTCAAAACTATCAATTTACAAAACGCTCATTAAAGGTTCCTAAACTATTATACAAATTACTAGGTATCTTGAATCGGCATTTTCTATACATATTTTATTTTTTCTTGATAACATATTTCAAATTAATAGTTCAATACAAATAATAATGTTATTACTTTTTTTTGTTGCTGTTTGAACAAAAACAATTTTACGTTATCTAATATATGCGTTGTACCGTTTTATTAAAGCCGAAACTTTATACGCATAAAAACACAAACAAAGGATAGCTGGGGGTGCCAAGTCCCCTCTCAAAATCAACCGTAAATCTACCTCTTCGAAAAATGTATTTATAATACGATAATATATTAAATTGACGTTTTTTTATTTAATAAAATAATTAAGTAAAAACAAAATTATTAAAATATAGTTTATGCTCATAAATAAATAAAGTAAATAAATATATAAATAAAAAATGTATACATAAAAATATAATAAATAAATGAATCAATACGTCGCCTGGAGTAAACTGATGATGAATTTTTAATTCGAAATCGGTCGTATAATCGTATACACTTATACATCTGATATCACTTATCATAATACTTCAGGCGACACATTGATTCGTTTATTTTATTTTTATTTATATATTTATTTACTTTGTTTTTTTATTTGTTTTGCTCAAAATTATGACTTACGAGCCGAGACCATTTTTTTTGTTCATTAACCAATTTTTTGGTCGAAATTTTCACACACAAAGTTCAAACCGCTATTTGTGTCTATGCCATTGTCAATCCGAGCGTTTGAAATCGTTAATAATAATAGTTATTAATTATTCTAAGCCCACGTTTTAAAAAAAACTTTTATAATTATAATTTTTTTTTTTTTTAATAGGTAATCATAACAATGTATAATTATTCAAAGTAATATTATTTTACAATTATTTCTCTGTAGTTACCCCTTTATACTGTACCTATGTTTATCATCTATGTATACTGTCTATAATTATATAATATAGTGGAAAAATAAATTGTAGTACTCGTAATTGTAGTATTATTAGCTAGTGTTATTTATTCTAACCTAATACTTTACCGTTGCTTGTTTAAATTTCGTACATAATTTCTATTTGATAATACAGAACGAGAAAAATATAATTTGTACAATAGTGTCGTACCTACTTACCTACCTCATGATATAGGTACTTAGACATACCTATTTTAAACATTGTATTGTTCCACAGTAAAATACTAATATTATTATATACAATGTAAAGTATAATAATACAAATAAATTAAAAAACACTGTCTTGCGAGTGAGCTCAGTTCGGTATAAAATAAATACAAAGGTTATTGTGGTAGACTGTATCTTGTACAATTTACAAAACCCAGTGGTGTAGCGAGGGAGAGGGTTGTTTTGGTGTTCAAACACCTCCTTCGACTATATTTATGACAACAATTGTTATTTTTACTATATGCAATTATACATCAGATTTCTACAAAACGTATTGTGCAACGTATTGAATATAGATAATTATTAAGTATATGTTATGTGTGTTACATGTGCACAATAAAGTTAGAAAGTTGCATCTAAACACAAAATAAAAACTCTCCCTTTACGAAAATCCTGGCTACACCACTGACAAGATTTAATATAAAATTAATATTTATTGATAAAATTATTTTCAAAAAAGCATGTGACTGTGCCTCCTCTGCCTCTTGGCGATTGTTATCGACAGGTTTATAATTTATCAACAGAGATAATTCTTTATTATCTATGTTTGTTGGTATCTATGATTTTGCGAGTAAGTATTCGTTCTCCCGTGGTAAAGTTTTGTCCATGAGTGATAAACTGATAAGCTAACGAAATAAAGATACGAATTTAAAATCAATAAAATGACTATTACAGCGACTTTCATAGACTATAGAAATAACTTCTAGATTTTCTTAAAATTTCTGTTGGGGCTGCATTCCACTCAATCCCCCCCCCATAAATACGCCCCTAGCCCTTCCCCCTTGGAGTTTTAGTCACTACTATATATTATTAGTTTATTACCTACAACTTAGTAGGTGGGTACCTAACTACTTGTGTAACCAATTATTCCTGTGAATTTGAAAATTTTTCTCCCCTAACCCCTCAGAACTGGAATATATCCGCCACTGTTCTATAAAAAAATTTAAATTTTACCTGCAAATTATTAATTATATTTATTTTGACATTTAATCGAAATAATTGTTGGTGGTAGGATTTTATTAAACATTTGATACCCTCAGTGGCGTACACAGTGGGGGGAAGTTAGGCGTTATATCTCTACTCCCCATTGGCTTAAAAATACAAAAAAAAAAAATATAAGTAATTTAATATCAAAATATTTCAGCCAAATTACTAAGAAAAGCTTGATTAAATTAATAAATTGATTAGAAAATGACTTTTTTTTAGGATCCAGCATTTAAATTAACAATTCCATAGACGAATTGGGTATAGAGAAGATGATTTTATTATTCATATTTACTGCATCCCCTTCAATTGAAAATTCCTAGATGCGCTACTTACCTATATTATTTTTTATAGATATACATAGGTATGTATAGGTACCGTGTCGAAAATTTACCACATTATTGCAACACAAATATGGGTAGGTAGTTTATTTGTTAATTTAGATTCCGCGAACCGCGGGGTGAATGGATTATACTAATATACGATAGGAACTGGGTAAATTTACGCAGTCTAGTGTTATTAATTTATTACCCAAACCCGCACTTTCGCTGGCTCGCCTTTGTGAGTAATTACAGTACGAGACTCTGCGGACGAAAAGTCGTCCCGCGATGTGAATTCTTCGAACCGAAAGTACTCGACGACCTTTCATGCGTATTTTCTACACATAATAATTTGTATTGTAGTCTGTAGGTACTCGCGAATTATTCTCTGTAATAATAAAGATACGTGTACTATATAATCACAGAAGCTGCTTACAAACGGTAAATGATCCTCGGCCATGCCTTCAGGGTGTAGCCGTGTAGGGTAAGTACATCGATTTATACATCTAGACGAAACATTTAACATAAAAACGGGTTCTGGCAAGTAAAGTTTCGTTCCGAGGACAGAAACACGTGAGATAATAAACGAAAATATGTTTTAATTGGCTTAACTCGCCTCCTTGGAGTGCAAAATTGCTTTAATCTGTAATCTCTACATTGAACAAATATTATTAAAGAAAATATATAATGCCTATTTAATTATTTTACCATAATATGACATATGTATATATTGTTGACAAAACATTATTATCAACTGAATTCCGCTAAGAATTTGTTTTCGTTAGCAATGATTTATCGTTGCTTACAGGTACACATTAAATTATCTATAACAGTGGCTGTACCCGTTCCCACTATCCTAAAATGTCTTTTTTAAGGATGTAGTAATAAATTACTGGCAAGTATGATTTTAGAAAGTATGTATGTTCTGTACTTCTCCCAATACTTTGCAGCCTTTAGATATATCCTTTCATTAATTTTTTTTTACCACTGAGTGATTTAACTCTCTTCTGTTTGGCCACACATCGTTTTTGTTTATCTATATTATTATTTACAGGTTTTTTATTTTCTTATAAATAAATAACATAAATAATTTTTTAAGACTTGAAATTTTTAAAGAATACTTATATTTGCCATTTCTAAACGTTGTAATATGTTCAAAACATTTGAACTATTTTTAGACATTTTAAATTTGCATGTTTTTAAAATAATTTTTATTCGATAGATACTGTGTGGCTAAAATTGTTAGACAACAGAAATATCAGAAATGTTTCCAATTATAATTGTTCTTCATAGAGAATAATAATCGATCAGAAGTCATTAATTATCTTTATTAAAATCAAAAAATAATTTAATCAATAAACTATACTGAAACTTGAATAAACTATTTTTGAAATAAATGTTTTATTTTATATTGAATTCAAATTTATTATGTTGAAATGTTTTTATTTTATTAAATAAAAAATTAAAACTTAAACAAAATTAGTTCTAAAATAAATAGCATGTCCTAGGATAATAGGGACGGGTGCAGCCACTGTTATAGGTGCGAAGTTAAAAAGATAGTAGAGGGAAAATTCAAAGTACATATGTAGGCAATGATAAATCATTACCTACGAAAAAACGATTCTGAGCGGAGTTCAGTTATTATTGTCAACAATATATATATGTATGTTATTTTATAGTAAAATAATTAAATAAGCTTTATATATTTTCTTTAATAATATTTGCTTAATGTTGTACCGATTTTCCCAGTTTTCCTACGTTTTTCCTGGTTTTTTTACATTTGCTGATGAAACACTTGGAAAAATCCAAAAATGACTTCTTGAAAGTATCTTCCTAGTGAAATTTCCTTTTAAAAACATTGCTATCATTATAAGTTGGAGCAAAATTGCTGGTGGAAAATGTGTACACAGAAAAAAGAAGGCCGTAATATATTTTAATTAATACCTACATTTAATTTTTTTTCGGTTTCTTCAAATTTGATGAGAAAATTCTACAAAAAATCGAAAAATGACCGTCTTAAAGTACCTCCCCACACCAATTTCTTTTCAGAAAAGGCACTACACTTAAAATCTGAGAAAAGTTATCTGGTAGAAAAGTTGCGTGCAAATTTAAAAAAAAAAAACAGCCTTGTAAAACCATAAGCTTTTTTGCTCCTCTCAGGATCTAAAACCAAATAATTTTATTAAATTTATAAAAATTACAATTATAAACTTACAGAAGTACATATTTATACATTTTTTTTTTATTTACCATTGACTAAGATGAAATAAAATATTGGAATTAATTGCATCTATTTTTATTCTCAGTACATTTTTCTGTAAAGTTTTTTTCAGCGGTTTGAACTTAAACGACCAGGTATATGATCTAAAGTGCAAAGATACTATAAATTTACCTAGATAAGACAAATCATGTATCAATAATTATTTATCTACTACGAGATAAAATAGGTAATCTCATTTTTATCTATAGAAAAACAAATTAATATTTTTGTTTGTTTTTGGTTTAAATGTGAAAGACTTTCACAATATGTAAAACTTCAAAAAAATAATAGAATACCTATGTTTTTCTTTTGCTATTTATCATTTATTCGATACCTAATGAATTATGGTATATGTTTCATAAAGTCATTATACTTACCTAATTTATTTATTTATTAATCATTAAAAATGAAGAAACATCACCATTCAGATTCAGCATTCATCACCAAATAAGACGTAGGTATCTAACAAATATCTATATAAACCTACCTATTAAACATTGTATATTTGTTTGCCAGTACCAAACGCACATTTATACAATTTGATCACACATATTTGTCTTCACTTTTCATTACACAAATTACTTTTTTCAATATTTGACTAAAGAGTGTCCTTTTTGTAATTTGTAATACCTACTTATAATATTGAAACATTTTTTTCAGTTTTTCCCAATTGTATTTAACAAAATTTGATTAAGACCATCTATTTTGTTCTTATTCATTTTAATAATAGTTTTTCAATCATTACATTATTATTTTTCCTCATTATTTATTATGTCCTATGCCCAGTGTTGTATTTGTATTATTTTATTTTTTTACCCATATTCATTTTTGATTTTGACAGTGTCAAAATTGAATGAAAACATTTAGGTGGAAAGTGTGTGGTTCACCTTTGGTGGATTAATAGTGTTTTACTGTGAAAATTTAATAGTGTAAATAATAGTAATAATTATAATTATATTAGTTTTCTTGTCTTCAGCCCTATCCATCCAGTAGTTTGGGTTAGGCATTGATGAATCAGTCGGGAAAAGGTATTTTATATACATAGATTATAGATAGATAAATATAATTAAACTTAAAATATAAAAACTTATTGTTAGCACCAAAAGAAATTTGTATTATAGAGAAATTTGTTAAATAAGATAAAATAAAATACATTTTTTTTTATAAAAATTGTATTGCATAATATATATTTAAAACAAATTATATAGAGCACATATTATATATTGGCATATAATTATTTTATACATAAGTAATCCATTTTAGAACAATTTTTTCAACTTCTTCATAAACAGTTTCGTTAAGTTTCCATTGCTAAGGAGATTATTTGATTCTATACTTAATTAATTGTATTTTGAAGATTTTTAATATGTTGAAGAGAAGAATGAGAGAGACATCAGAAATAATTTTATATTTTTAATCAATATCTTTTTTATTTAACACCTTTGTGGACTTTATTTTAAATTTCAAATGCACTGGCAATTCATAAACATTTACATTACAATGAGAAAAAAGTTGATAGTGAATATATTGAATTAAAACATGTTTTATAACAAATAATTAATTCATTACAAGGAGATAATTAAATTTAAAATCCACAAAAAAGAATATATAAACGAAATCATACTTATGTTAGAACAATAAATTTTTAATTTCATGTGTAAAATATGGATTTAAAAATATTATGATTAAAATTATTTTAAAACAATTCTTTAATTTATTTACATAAATAATAATTAATTGAAAATAAAGTAATAAATAATTGGATACAAATTTGATATTCAGATATCAGTTTCAACATCATACTATAAAAATATAAACCTAATAGATATTCAAAATCCTATAAATATTGACAACATAGCAATTCCAAATTTAAATAAAAAGCGTTTAAAACTTAAATTAATTAAATAACTCTAATGTTGATTACAATGTAATATGTGAATGATTAAAATAGGAATATTTTGGGTACTTGGCCATTGAATCCTAACCGAGTACACAATATCATATTCTGTACCCGAATACTCGGTACTTGGCATTCATATATATTACTACTCCGCTAATACTTGGTACCAGGTATCTTAATATATAATGTACCCAGAACACTCCTAGTTAAAAATCCACAGCCTTAGGTTAGGTTACACACTAAAATTATATTTTTAACTGGAACAAATAAATTGCTACTAATTTGCATAAATGAAATGTATTAAGCAAAATGTTAAGATACTATGAGCCCAATAGCTTATAAGTACACCTGTAAAGTATAATAGATTGGTTTTGTACAAATTGGGCATTCACCGATTTGAATAGTACATTTTACACAAGCATATATATGCTTACAAGGCATAAATACAACTGCCATTTCTTCTTTGCGACAAATTTTGCAAAGTATCTGTTTATTTGATTCACCTTTAGAACACACTGATGAACTGCCCTGTAACTGGTCATTCTGTTTTTGTTCAGGATCCATATATATTTCTACCTTCATAGCCTTGAATGATTGTCTACATACAGCACACAATTCTATAGTTGTAGCACATTGAATGCATGCAAGTACGTGTTTACAAGGAATAAAAGCTATTTCCATTTTTTTTTTGTAACAAATCTTGCATAACAAAGAATCAGATACTGAAATATTATGTTGAGGGAGACTTGAGTTTTTCCTAGAAAAAAAATAATGTAAAATATAATATTATAAATACATTAACATTGACATGTTTGAAATTATTTATACAAACATACAAAAAAATCAAAACAAATAATAGCTTTTAAAGTTTATTCAAAAAAATATTAACTTGGGATGTGCAAAAATAAAATACAAAAAGGACCAAAATCCTTATGTTGAGTTGTTCCAAATATTCTCTAGAGTGTCACCACATGTTTTTTCATTTTTCATTTTTTATACAATGAAGTCATTTTTTTGGGAGGGAATAAACTCTGACGCAATTGAATGGATTTTAATGTGGTTTTCAATGTTGGATAGGCGATTTACTGAGGAAGGTTAATAAATATTGACATCCATCTCCTATTGAAAACCATCCCCCAAAATTCGGTTTTTAGGCATTATTATTATTATTATTAATTTATTTGGATTACCTTAGTAACACGGATGAAAGGAAAAAAAAATTAAAAGGTTGGTCAAAACATATCTATGGTAAGACCTTGAGTTGGTTTCAGGAAAGAGCAATAATGTCATCAACTAATGAGCAAGTCAATAAAATTAATGTTATTATATTGTTAAGATTCAATGCACCAACAAAAAAGTACTATTCAATTGATAGAGAGAAGATGGTACATTATCTAACTGAATTTTTAAATTAATTTAACAGGGGCGTCTCCAGACCTTTATTATAAGGGGGGGGGTAAAATAATTAAATTTAATATTAATGATTGATGAGAAAAAAAGACTGACATACTTTACACCATGGGTGGACTATTGTTATAGATGAGAAGTTGGAATGGTAGGATATTGATGGAAATTTAACGTATATCAGCTATACTTAGTAAGTAAATTGAAGCATTATGAAAAACTAATATGAATGGAGCTCGATTAATAATATTTCTCAGGGACGATCAATTCCACGAGGGAGGCGAACAATTTTTCCCTTTTAATACCACCGCCTTGGTCAACAAAAACTGCAAACCTTTATGTCTGATGTCGTTTCAACTTATATTAACTGAGAAGACTGTAGATATACAGGGTGAATTTTTTATCATGAACAAGCAATTATCTCAGAAGATTTTAAGTGAATTTGATTTCTGTTTTTTTAATCATTATGGAATTGTTTAAGCTTTATTTTAAAACCATTTTTAATTTTTTACCTCTACTTCTTATACCTCAAATAAGTACATACTTTTAATTTTCAAATAGGAACCCCCACACTGTTTTTTGAACACAGATTTGAATACAGAATATTTTTATATTTTACTGAGTAACTCATAAACGGTAAATTTGATATTAGTTTTATACATATCAAAATGTTAAGATAAATATTCTGTATTCATATCTGTGTTCAAAAAGAAGGGGGTTTCTATTTGAAAATCAAAACTATATATTTATTTAAGGTATATGGAGTAAAAGTAAAAAATTAAAAATGGTTTAAAAATAAAGCTTAAACAATTTCATAATGATTAGAAAACACAGAATTAAAATTCACTTAAAATCCTCTAAGACAATATTACTAGTTCATGATAAAAAAAATCACCCTTTATTGTACAAATGCAGTAAAAGAGTACAAATTAAAAGTTAAATTAATTTTAATTAAAATAATAATAATAATTAATAAAAGTTAGATGATCAAGTCCAAAATAATTTTATTTTAAACAGAGTTTTGCAAGAGGTTTAATCAACAATATTTTCTATATAAATATTTTCATTTCAATGAATATTTAAAAGTGTTAAGCCACTTATTCTCTGTTTAATTTTTTTTTTTTTCCACAAAGTAGGGCTTTCAATGAACCTTATGTTATATTCTCAAGCATTTCTGTTTGGTTTAACAATTTTATCCACAGAGTACCTACCAAATAAAAATTACATCAAACATTAAATGCTACAGGCTTTGTCCTAACTGTCCTATGTTTTTCCCATGGTCAATTGTATGTGGCTCTATTATATGTCACATACAAAAAAACTGTATTCATGCTGGCCTCAGTAGTTGAGACACTAATCCTGGAGTAATCAGAAATATTTAATGCTTAAGGCAATTAGTAATTTATAATTTAAAAATATATGTCATAACAGAATACTTTTATAAACGGTCAAAACCAAAAACAAATATGAGTAAAAAAAATAAATAAAAATTAGCATGGGTAAGGCTAGGATTAGAACTAGAAATATATAAAAATTATACCAGAATGTACCAGAATGTATAACAAAGTTTATAATAATTATTAGGATTTATGAGCAAAAAATAATAATTAGTAAATCAAGGTAATATATATATATATATATATATATATCATTGTTAGACAATGTGAAACTTGTTTTAAACAAATAAAAAATACAAGCAGCAGAGCTCCATGTATAGTCAATTTTTTTTCAGCTGACTTGTTTTCAATAAAAATGTAATATTTTTTTTATATTCATAAGAAATTGAATAAAAGAAGTTTTATTAAAATAGGTTAAGTTATCATAGACATACATCAAAACAGAACATATTAAAAAAAATATTAATTTAATATTTTATAATATTTATTAATAAAATAAAATATACCTTTCTGTCGGATGAGTTTTAATATTACTATTCTCAAGAAAAGAACCATCTTCATGATCAGCAATGGACTTGGATAACTCCTATAAATTAATTACAGTTGTAAATTTTTAATTTCATCATAAAATATGAATAAACACAAATTCTTGCCTCTTGGTTAATCGATTGTCTACTGTTTTTTAATCTATATACTTTGTCAACAAAATCTCTGCCTTTACTTAGCAATAAAAAAATACAATTTGGTGAAAATCTGGCATGTTCTGTCCATGGTTCATCATCATCTTCCCAGTCAATAAGACCTTGACTACAATAGAAACACGCCGTTTGATCGTTTTCCCCATTACCTAAAATTTAATGAAATAATATTAATACATCTTATAAGTGTGAATATTAAAAAGACTTTGGCATTTTTCCAAATATTTCGATTTTATTCCCTGGGCATAATGTTGCATCTTGTTTTCCCCATAATTCCAAAACTTCAATTCAACTTCTCACTGTTGTAGGTGAGATAGGAAATTGACAAATATGAAATATTTAGGTACTTATCATCATAGGTCACAACTATTGTAAGTGAAAATAAGTATAAATAAAGAGAAAAATATATTTACTTATCATACCATGTTTGTGGTTTTATAATTATTTTTTGTTTGATGATCTGTTCCAGTATAGATAAATCACACACAATTAACTATTATAATTGCGGTAATAAAATTACTTATTATATAAGACCTTACAAATAATTTTTTTTATTTCTGGTATTATATACATTTGTATATATGTCGTAGGCCATATGGAAAATTAGTTTTTTTTGTGAAAAGTTTAGACTCTTTGTAATGGTGTAACCCGTTTGCGAACTACTTATTATTTTTCCAACCAGCCTACTGTTTTTCAAGCTTATTGCATATAGACTAACAGCAGTTAGGCCTTTTAAGAACTACAATAATTATAATATAGTAATAACTATTTTACTTATTTTAATTTGAGGGTAATTTATTACTTTTACAAAAAAAAAGATCTATAGAGTTATTATCACATGTAAACACTAAACTGAATCGTCTGAATAAGTATGGTACTTATTATATAGTATTATATTTATTTTATAAACTGTATTAATGTCGAGTATCAGTGGAATTTAGATTATATTAAAGTTTTTGACTATTGTATTAATAGTTTTATTTCACATTACTAACAAAAAAGAAAATATGTAAAATATTAAATACCACATGCTGTTACATGTGGTTTTATCGTGTTACATTTTTTTATCTACAATTTTTACAATTATATTTTGAGTATCTTAATGGTCCACCATCCATTTAAATCTTTAAAATAGCCAATCGGCTATTTTAAAGATTTAGATACGGAATGACGGCATAATATGATACTTGATGGAATCTTCGAGATTATGACTAATCAGTAGATTAGATTATAACTTATCACTGTACACATTTTTGTCGGCATCCTACACATACTAGACGTTAGTACACTGTACACTGTCAAATTCGTTTGTATTTCGTTATCAAAATGTTTTTGAAAAACAAATAGATGTGGTTGACTGTTTACATATTTGATGTTATAATAATTCTATTAATCTTTTTTTTGTAGAAGTAATAAATTACTGTTAAAATAAAATAAGTAAAATAGTTATTACTATATTACAAGTATTATAGTTCTAAAAAGGTCTAACTGCTGTTAGTCTATATGCAATAAGCCTGGAAAACAGTAGGCCGTTTAGAAAAAAATAAGTAATTCACAAAAGTGCGCTACCCCATTGCAAAGAGCCTAATCTTTTTGCAAAAAGACTAATTTTCCATATGGTCTACGACATATACATTGATATACAATTTTGTATAGTACAGTACATTTATACATATTTTACTTAAATATTTTATTATTTTAAGCAATATAATTTAAATTTCATTGTTATTTATTATTATTACCAAGATAACCTATTTTTACTCGAAATAAAAAAAACTTACAGTATATGTACTAAGAGTTAACACCAAGTTTTATGTTTTGTAGCGTATAAAGTAATGTAAAAAATAATTGTATACATTTACCAATATACAAAAATCCAGCTTCGCATAAAGTATTGATATCTTGGTTTAATTTTTTATTACATTTATCAAATGATTTCAATCGAGCTTCAAGAGTTATAAAATTTTGATGAGTAGGAGTTTTAATTTGATATACATCATTCTCTTCAACAGAATTTGGGTTAATCGATGAAGAATCAAAGTTACCACACACATCATAACCTGTAAAAATACAATCTTACTTATCCAAAATAACTTACAGTATAAACTAACATTAATTGTATATTATTCAAACCAAGTCATAAATCTATAGTAACTACCTAAAATGTATACCTACTAAAATAAATTACCTACTTAAAAAAAAATAAAATGTATAACAATTAATCCAACATAAAGCTTGATAAAAATGATTTTATAATAAAATAACAAATATAATTAACATATTATTGTGTAATAATATAAAAATTTACATTGACTTTTTCTGAAAAATGGACATTTTGGAGATTGATTTTTATGTACAAAACTAGGTTTATCATCACATTGCCAGTCTTCAAATCCTTTAGAGCAAAATGCACATCGAACACGATCTTGTTTGCCCAAAAAATAAAACCCAGCTTTGGCCAATTGGTCAGGTTTAATGAAGTCTAGTTTCCAATTAACTTCGAAACTTTTCAGACGGTTTTCGTAAATTGTAAAATCCGTGGAGGAAGGTATTTGAGAAGTTGATGGCTCAGACAGAATCTCAGTAATACATTCAGGAATACCCTCTTCTTTGTTCAATATAATTGGAGGACCATTAGCCATATGCATTATTTTTAATTTTCGTTTCACAATATTTAAATCATTCGATACGACCTCATGGCTTGGAGGTGATGCCATCTATGAAAATAAAATGTTTAAAACAATTAGTGCTGTTATTGATTTAAATATAATCAATGCACATTAAGTTAAATTATTTATAAGTACATATATAATATATCTAAATACCTAATACCCAGTGGCGTGCGCAAGGGGGAGGTTAGGGGTTATATTTTCCCCATTGGCTTAAAAATACAACAAAATATGAGTAATCTAATATTTAAACATACATTTCAGCCGATTTCCGAAGAAAAGCTTGATGGATTGAGTAGAAATTAGCTTTCTTTTGAGAGTCTGGCTTTAAAAATAATAATTCCCATAGTCGAATTGGATAAAGAAGACGATTTTACTCTTTATTCACAATTTTTATTTGTTACATACCTTCCCATTGAAAATTCCTGGGCACGCCACTGCTGTTACCTATATATTAATTTAATTAATAGTCCCAGATATATTTGATAAAAAAGTTTTATGACATCTATACCTATTAAAACATAAACATGTATGTTTTAAAATTATTCTGTAGTTAAATTGAATTGTATTATTGTTCAGGAATTATAATAATTTAAGAATAAAGACCATTAGGCCCACATTAAGGGAGAGTGGTCTACGCAGTTGAAATAATGTTCTTAGTCGAATCTTTGACTTATCTAAATGAATTATTATCACATTTTGTGTTTTATTCAATAGCATCATAAAAAAAAAAAAAAAAAAAAAAAACATTAACTTATTTTAATCTGTTTTATCATACGAATACTCGAACAAATATGTAATGTGATAAATGTTCCACTATAATAGTATTAAATATAGTATAGAACTAAAACGAACATCGGATACCTACGCGGTATTGCGGTGCCTACGGAGTTGGATAAGTACGGTTGACAATTAAAATGAGTTATATTTGGTCAAGTATGAAATAAGTGCACGTAAAAGGTATAGAAACTTCTCTATAGTATACAATTATGTTAAGTAAAAAGAATAATAATACAAAATTATTATTAAACTTATTATTGCATAGGTAAACAAAATATTTAAATACAGAACTCAGCACGTTTGGGTACATAGACCTTAAATGCAACAAGTTTGGGTATAAATAAATGCACTGTTAGGTTATAACAAATTTCTAGAAAAATAAGAAGTCCAGGTATAGATTAATAAAACATTTAGACACACCTACAAAAATAATACGTTAATACTTTAATATTACGTTGGAATAATGTTTTTAGATTCTGAGTGTAACGAAGAACGTATTGGTTTTACAAAGATATTTTTGTTTTTTATGTGAACACTTTTTCTATCAGAAAGCATACTCCAATACATATAATGTAGAGTCTTTTCTGAAAGGAAATTTTCTCGGGGTGGTACTTTAATGAGGTCTTTTTTTAATTTTCTCAAGAGTTTTCGGATCAAATGTGAAAAACCGAAAAAACACGTGGAAAATCGGTACAATATAAAACAAATATTATCAAAGAAAATATATAATGCTTATTTAATTATTTTACCATAATATGGCATATATTGTTGGCAAAGCATCACTTTTAACTGAACTCTGCTCTGAATCGTTTTTTCGTTGACAAAGGTTTATCGTTGCTTACAGATATACGTATACATTAAATTCCGTTCTGTATCCTACCTTCTCAACTTCCCACTTACAACAGTGGCTGTACCCGTCCCTTTTATACTAGAACAGCTTTTTTTATTATCTTAAACTTTTTTTAGAGCTTATTACAGATACCTAAGAGATACCTCGAAGAGGTTGATTCTTTTTAGTCTCCCAAAAATATTTTAATAATATTTAATTACTTGTCATAATTTTAAAATTATTTTTATTTTGATACATGGTGTTTATATTTATATACAATGTGTTTCAGGAGAGAAATGACAGGCCGGAATCATATGAAAATACACCAAACATAAAGAAGAAACCCACTTTAAAGAGAAGGTGGGGTCTAACCAGCTTCACGGTGGGCATATAAGTAGTGTAAGTATTATTTACACTTTCGGTTTTAAAACGTTATATGTAAATTTTTAAATTAACGAATTAAAATTCAATGATCAAGTTCTAGTCATGATAAAATAATATAATATAATATTATATTATTATCTATTACATTTTGTTGATGGTATTATTGTTATTAAAATTATTTGTTGATAATCTAAAAATAACATCGGTGGCTTCGGGTGTTTTGGCTGCCGGTTGATAACAAGTTGAGAATCAAGGATAAAATATAGGTACATTATATACAAGTATAATATCTTAGTCCGAGGATAGTCAGTAAAATGTCCCCCCCCCCTTAAACCTCCACACATGCTTCTTTATACATTTTTCTATAAATAAGAGAAATATGACGTCAGACGTGTATGTAAGCGATTCCAATTCTCTTTCCTATTTTTTATATTATGAGACTATTACAGTTATGAGTTTATAGTATATTAAGCCATAAGGTAAAAAATTAATTGCAAAACCAAGTAAGTAATAACTTAACAGGAGTTGTTTCATTAAATTTGAAAAAACGTTAAAAACGGGAAAATATAAGAAATGCATTAGTAAATGGTATTAATTAAAATATATTACAGCCTTTTTTTTGTTTCTGCCCATATTTTCTACCAACAATTTTGCACCATCTTATAATGAGAGCAATTAACTTCGCTCAGAATCGTTTTTTCGTAAGCAATGGTTTATCGTTGATTACAGGTATACATTTAATTGTCTATAACAGTGGCTGCATCCGTCCCTATTATCCTAGGACGTCTTTTCAAATTATAAAATACTCACAAAAATATATAAATTTAAAATTGGATCTTTTTTGTTTTAGCCTAGGTATCCCAATCGTGTTACATCCGTATACCGGTATACATTATACAATCAAGCAATTGTTTCAAAATTCAATATCTCCCTCCTTGACAGAATCCTAAATACGTCACTGTTTCCTATTAATATTATTTATAAATAAAGTATTTATTACAAGAAGTTAGGTACAAAGTAATTACCTACTAATAGTTACTCATATAATTTAACTATATCTATAGTTCAAGTATTTCTGTAGTAGGTAACATGCATTCAGATCGAAACCAATAAAATTAGTATGGCCTAATCTTGGGAATCTAATTAAAATAATTATTTATACTATATTTCTAAATTCTATACATCTATTATAACACCTATATATATTTTAAATTAGACAACTGAAGGTTATTCGGTTATTTCGTATTTCTTTATTCATAAGCTATTGCATTTTTTATCTATAAAATGAATTATTTTTTCAGAAATTGATTTATATAAAAATATATTGATCCTAAAGTTACTTATTATAAGTTATTAATAAATGTAGAGAGTGCCATTATTTTTTTATATCTATTATTTCAAACAGTTACAACAAAACAATTTATAAATTAAATTACAATTTTTAATGTTTGAAAACATAAATTGTATATTGTATTTATTACATACTTTCTAATTTATGTTTAAGGAGAAAATTTAGTTTCAAAAAATTAATGACTTTCAAATATATCTTTACTTTCCCTAGAAAAAGATGTTTTAATGATTACCTAATTTTTATGATGACGTGAAAGGGATTTTTTTAAAAACAGAACAGAAGAATCGAGTTATCTTATAAGTTATAAGTAAACTTGTAAGCTATATTAAAATTTAGATTTAGGGTTAAAAAATATTATTGTTAATACCTATAATATAACCAATTACAAACACATTTTTAGAGGTAAAATCAAAAAGTATGTATTAATATAATTATTGTACAACCTATAATAAAAAGTCCGTGAATAGATGTAGTATTAGTTAAAATAAATTATAGTGTAGACATTTTTGATTTCCGTCAACCTGTTAACGAAATATTCCACTTTTAAGTTTAGGTAGGGGAAGAGTGGTGAAGTATCATTTTTTTGGCGGTACGGCGCACGTTAATAATGCACCACTACAGTAGTGGTGAACTCCTCCAACCCAAACTTAAAAGTGAAATATCTCGTCAACGGTTTGACAGAAATCAAAAATGTCAACAATCAAATTTATTTTAACTAATATTACATCTATTTATGGACTTTTAATGTAGGTTATTATTTGAAAATTAAAACTGGGTAGTGGTTTTACCCCCAGAAATAAGGATGACAAAAAAATAACATAAATATAAAATTGTAGAGTTGCTTGTTTCTTAAATATTATAGAAAACAAATTCCGAAAAAGTTAATACTTTCAGAGATTATAAGTATACACACTTAAATAGATTACCTGATGGCTGGTATGTTTGACACTGAAGAATTTATTGGTGAGGTTTCGAATGAAAAATGTATATGGAATATAGGTATAGGTAAGTTCATGGACATCCATTGGGGGGGACGTGTCTCCCCCTGGGTTTTTCGTGTTTGTTATACGTTTACTTATTATAGTTATGATAAATGGGTAAAAAAATGGTATAGTTAGTAAAATGGTATGGTTATGGTAAATTGTAAAAAATAGGAAAAACTGTCATATAATATTATGCTACGTAAACTTACTAGGTAAAGTTAATAGGTTAACAGGAAGGTAAATATTATTGAAAAAATACAGTGTCCCCTCTCTGGATTTTCGAAGATGGACGTTCTTGGGTAAGTTATCAATAATTATACATCAAGATATAATACTGTGCCTTTTTTATGATGTTTGCTATTACACAATAATGTTCTAAAATAACGAATTTACAGAAAGTAAACTATATCAAGATAAAAATTAATTTCAACGAGAAGTACTGTTGTACTTATTGTGGTCATGTACGATATAGAGTAATACGTATACAGTAACAACAAGACTAGTTATATCACAAAATACAAAGCATTATATTTTTTTATCTTTGAGAGACGAATGGAAACGCGCCTAGTACCAATGTAAGCGAAGCGCGTTTGGCGTTTTACAATTTCGGCGCTTGAAACGCGCGTTCGAGTGGCTCAGTGTGTAATCAGTTTCATACGCTAGTTAAGCCTAGTTCACACTATGTTAGTAGTTTGGTCAAGTAGCGAGTAATTTAGTAAATAAACGTGCATGAGCAGACCGATTTAGTCGAGTAGTTTAGTAATGTAAATTAGTTATTTACTAGGTAATTTAGTGGATCCATTTATTACGATTTTGCTGCTCACTCGCTACTTGACTACTAGCATAGTGTGAACTAGGCTTAAAAATAATTAGCTAAGAATTCTTGGAATCTGCTATCAGTCGTTAATCGTTTATTTTAGAATTTTTAGAATCCATTATCGGTTTATAAAGCCTTATTGAAAATCTCGCAATACCGTAAATTCTGTCGTTCATTCATTATTAATTCATTAATTGTTAATCAAAACTTTCATTTCCTAAGTAATTTTTTTTTTATAATTTGTAAACTACTTTGCTATTTTATCTTGTTGTTTTTTATGTCTGTTAAGTTTTATTTTGTCTATAATAAAAAAAACTGAAAATTAAAATACACATTTTTCACTTTTTCCAATTCAATAATAATAATAATTTGTACGCGTTCGATTTAATTGTGTATGTTGATTGATAATAAAATATAATAATAAACAATAAAATAGCCGTAAAATAAAATAAAAATTACGTTCATGAGTGGAGAAGTTTTGAAGACACACAAAAAAATACATGGAGATGCGGTTTCGTAAAAAAAAATAAAAACAAAAAATTAGGCTTCCTCCCCTTTTAAGGGGGTTTCTCCATAATTTTTGGTTTACCGTCATATGACACCAGCCGATTACTTCCCCTGCCTCTCCCGAAATACATTGTACAATTTACTTTCACTTTAATAAGATTATTTAATAGTTTTACCAGTGATCTTTGACCAATTAGGGATAAATATTTGGTAACATATTTATCGAGTCAATAGACAAATTCCTGGGTACGCCTTTGTTTATGTACCCGAACGGCTACAATTAATTTGCGCACATTTTCAAATATTTCAGTAAAACCTGGAACTCGATTAGGCACAACATATTACTGAAGGAGTCACTCGGTTGCGCACAAAATATTATAAAATTAACAACTCGCTAACACAATAGGTATTATGCTACATGTGTATAATACGTACATATTATAATATGTCTACCTGCACACATGCAGACAATGCCTATAGTAAAGTATTTATGGTTGAAACTAAATTTAAATTTCAATCAATAAAAAATAATGTTAGTGACTGTCGTAGAAAAGAAATAATACAAGTAACCGAATAAGTACATGCAGGTAACTACAATATGAATAATTCATGAAATGTTTCCAAGATAATCGAAATAATAAAAAATAATGACAAATTCAAATGACCGCTTCCCCCCTTTTTTTTTTTTTTTTTTTTTACAGCGATATTATCAATTGTAAATATTTTTTTTAACACATACAACCACATCGAATGTACATTTGTAAACCATATCCCGCAGAGAAGTTAAAATATTTACTGACAGTCCCGAGCCTGTACAGGCGGAAAGAAAAATGTGTGCGCAAACGAATGATTGCTCTAGAAATAATGCAACTATGGGCGCACGGTCGAACGCGTTTTATAATTACGGGTAAACATATGGCTACGTATCAAAGATTAGGTTGGGTGAGGTACTCAATAATGTACATAATATATATTCTATTGTATATATTGTATTATGTACAATACATACACGTGCGTACGTACGTATATTCATTTGAGGGTTATATAACATATGACGCTGCGTATGGGTGTGATATTCGACGATTGTTGAGGCGAAATAGTACCGGAGAATTTCGAACCGTAAAACGTTTCGAAAAACATCATCCCCTTCTGTTTAACAGGTGTTTTATGGAATGTCAATGTCGTACCGCGCACCAACCACCCCCGCTCGACGCACGGGCCACGTCGACGGCGCCACATATAATCGTTGTCGTTCACCCCGCCCGGCGCGACATCCCCGCCCGGCGCGACATCCCCGCCCGGCGCGACATCCCCGCCCGGCACGACATCTCCGCCCGGCGCGACATCTCCGCCCGGCATGACGTCCCCGCACCCAGTATAACCCAAGAACGTAAGAATGTAATGCTGCGCAATGCAATGTGATTGTAGATTTATTGCGACTTGCATGACCCACCTGCAAATGAACGCGCGCGCAATAAACCATATGAGTTTCAAACTCGACGGACGTTAGATACAGATCCGCCATCTGCAGGACGGACGGAAAAAGATGGCGGCGCGGCGATCGCTCGCAGCCGTTCTACAGGCAAGACGAGATTACAAGGTCGAGATGACCCGTCGAACAAATTATTATTATTATTATTATTATAACCGACCCGTACTGTTAACGGCCGAAAACACCCGAAAAATATTGCGAAAGACAATGTTATGTATCTATATGGTTTTACGTGGAAAAAATAAACGCAACGCGCGACTATGAATTCATAATGCGTACGACAATTTTATATCTATCATACTTACAATATTATCGTGCGCACAAGTAAAACGTCAAAATACTGACTATTTTGAATAAAAAAAAAAATAATAATATAATATAGGGACGCATCGCGAAGTCGTGGTGAAGTACAAAATGTATTGTGCATATTATACAGGTGCAGCGCGGCACCTGTAACTGAAAACCCAAAGACCGCGACCGTAGTTTGTAATATTAATATTCAAAGTACTCACCTTAGCGAATCAAAACAAATATTGTGACTACGGTCCTATGTTGATGATATTGTAAAATAAACGCGTTCCACTCTTCGACGTAAAAAAAATTAGAAAATCAAAATTGTAACGGAATGAAAAAAACAGCCCACTAAATGATAATACTACCTCGCACACGCAGACATTCGTAAACCAGTTCCACACAAAAAATGAATGGTGAAGACGTGAAGACGAGCGGCGCGGCGCCCGAAAAATTTTCATAACAGTGTGACCAACGAAAAATATTTTATAATTTGTTTACACAGGTATGGACGGGATCGCGTTAAGGGACCAAAAGAAACCGGGACATGTTACCAAGATCCCCAGTCAACTAGGTCCCCACTGGCCAATTAGTTTACCTGTATACTAAAACACCTCAGGTCATCTAGATATCTAAAATCTAATTCTAATAATATTTATTATTAACTGTTTATTATTTATTAAGTATTATTGCGAACAATTAATATTTACTTTTCACGACAATAAAGCATTGAACAATTTAAATAAAACTGTTGTAATAATGTATTATTACCTGTTGTCAAAAAACAACATTACTTAGAGCATATTATTAGGTATATTGAGACAATATAATAACTGATCTGAAATTTGTCTACCATTTCTTTACATAGTGAACATGATATTATAGTTTAAAAGAATGTATGATACAGTTTTTCACAAATGATGACAGTTTTAAAATTGTTTGTAAATATTTAAATAATACATAATGATGAAATGAATAATATTTAATACGAACAGTAAAGTTTTTTTTGTAGGATTGTATAACAATATAATGTTATTATGAATTGTATAAAAAAAAAACTCTCTTTAATTATATGGTACATAAATAATAATATATTAATATTATACAGTAAAATTAATAATAATTAGAATCATTCAGTATGTTATATTTTAGATTTTGAATGGAGCAAAGAAGCTTGTGGTTTTACATAGATATTTATTTTTTTTTTTTCTATGAGGAAATCGGTGTGGGGAGATACTTTAGAGAGGTAATTTTTTGATTTTCTCAGGAGTTTTCTCACCAAATTTGAAAAATCAAAAAAGAACGGGAAAATATATGAAATGTAGGTATTAGTAAAATTGGTACAACATTAAACAATAATATTATTAAAGAAAATATATAAAGTCTATTTAATTATTTTTTTATTACCATACAATGGCATGTATATTGTTGACAAAGCATCATTATCAACTGAACTCCGCTCAGAATCGTTTTTTCGTAATCAATAATTTATCTTTGCTTACAGGTATACATTAAATTATCTCTAACAGTGGTTGTACCGTCCCCATTAACCTAAGACGTCTTTTTTCTTTATATGACTTTAAAGTAAAGTATTTATATTTTATTTTCTTTAACTTAAATTAAATGTTATCATTGCGATTCCGTGGTGTTTTTGGTTGAAAGTAAGAAATAGTAGATACCACAATTTTTTTTTTTTCTTTGTTTTTGCGAATATTTATATATTTTGTAAGCAATAGTAATGCAAATTGAAATTGAATTATTTATTTAATTTTTTTAAAGTATATAGATATCCATTTGTTCAAATCAATTATTGGCGTATTTAATGGGTAGATACATCTCTCGAGCAGAACCCATTTGGACCAATTTTGAAGACCCATTTGGGCTAAAAAATACTACTTTTATACAGCCCGTTTGAACCAAAAGTTTTCTTATATTATTTAACTGAACGTTTATTACGGAGCCTTTATATAGTAGTATATTATTTATGTTTCTTATCGTATACAAGACCTTAATTGACAGACATCTATTATATAAAGATAATAGATATAGGTATATATTTAATATTACTGAATTTTTGGTATATTTTAAAACTAAATTGACACACAGAAATTGTATGTAAACCTAAATAATTTACTTATTACCTAATTTAAAAATTAGTTTTCGTAGTTTAACTTAACATTTATATGACGAACCTTTATAGAAATTTAAGTATTGGTCCAAACGGGTTCACTAAATTCTAATCCAAACGGGTTGCAGTTTTATTAGTAGCCCAAACGTTCCAAACGTGCTTCGCTCATCTCCCCCCCTACCCTTGAACTTTTTTTAAGTACCTATGATTTATGACTTCCTATTTTTTAATTGGTTATTATAATTAACCTATTTGAAAACAAATATTATACGTTAGTCAAATAAGAAGTTGTTTGGCAATAATTGCTTACAATCAAAGTATTAGACAATTATATTAACATTCACAACTCATCGCTTCATTTTACGTATTTTTAAATAATAGTATAAGCACTTTATTAAATAGGTACCTCCTTAATTGAAGTAAGTATAATTTATGTAGCATAATTATAATTACTAACACAAAATTTTATTTTAGAAATTTATCACATATTATGGCCATACAGGTGTAATAATCATTTGGTCAGATGTGCTCATACTCGTATCAATATTATGCTCAACCTTAAAAATATGTCACACAATTACAAATGCTCGCGTCGTTTCGGCAAAAGTATGAAAGTGGAATGAGGAACATGGCTATAGATATAGAATATACCAAGGTATATTTATAGTTATCATAGATATATAAATAGATATACAAGGGTGTAACAGGACTATTTACCACTTGAAATACATTTTTTTTATTCAATATTATTATTTTTTTTTTTTGTGATTAATAGAACTGCACTAAAATTAAAATTAAAACTTTTTTTTAGTAAGGTGACTAAATAAAAAATTTAAAACTTAACTTAAAAAAAAATTCAAGGTAGTTATTTTATAAAATAGATTTTGTGTAAAATTGTTGATGATTAAAACTTTCATCTAGGTTTTATTTTCCACGATTTTTTAAAAAGTTGAATTACAAAAAAATATGAATTATGATTTAATAATTGCATTTTAATTGTTGAGTTCATTATCTACAATAATATTAATCCATGAAAAACAAAATTCTCATTATTTGTTAATTTATTAAGCCCTGACCATGCTCTGGCTATGATTAAATATTATGATAGAATACAAGCCACAATAATATTCAAATTTTCAAAAACTTCAACAAATTGTAGAAAATAAATAACCTAGACACACAGATGATTAATCGCTCGATACAAATGACCTGCGAACATTATTTTCCACCAATTTTCGAACTATTCCAATAGCAAATATTATGCAAGAAAAAAAAAATATGATGTGCATAAACTATTTTTCGAAACTTTCAAAGTCGCATTTAAAACGAGAAACTTAAAATTTTAAAATTGTAACTGAAAGAAATCATTACCGTTTTACCTGAGATCAAATTGTTTTTCAAAGTGTATAAAAATAATATCTAGGAATTATTAGATAGCGAGACAAAAGACGAATACTATAAGAAGTACAACAAAATGGCATTAATGTGGTGTAAAAAATTCAAAGAGTATTTTAATAAAAATGTGTTTAATGACATTTTAACTAGCATTAAATGGGTTCTTAATAATCTTTTATACAAATTTATGAAAAAAGGACTGGAGTAACTAATAATCCTTTAGAGAGTTTTAATACGGTCCTCGTATCAATATTATGATTGACCTCAAAAATACGTCTATAACTTCAAACCGAAGGTACGTGTCCAACCAGTGGTGTATTTAGGAATTTGTCATAGGGGAAAATCTAGATAATTTGCAGAACACAGAGCATATCATGTTTATATAGTTCTATGTACAAATTATACAAATACTTTACGGTTTCATGGTGACATAGCAATTACACTGGATGTTTTTACATTCAAAAGAACAGGTTATTATAAGATGTATACAAAATATGTATTTATATAACATTGTTACCGAAATACATGTACAACAAATGTATATTTTAGTAGAATAAATAATTTAAAGTGTATTTTATTGCAGTATTATTGAGAATAATGCGAGTTCACAATACAAAACGCCTAGGGCATAATGCTGTTTCGTCTATAAATCCATACACATTTAAGAGCATATCCCGATGCATAGACATTAATACTAGTCCATTTAGCATTACAACATAAACATAAAACTAAAAATACATATAGATTTCAACTTTAAAATGAACAATTCCTAGACAATTTATACAGAGTGATCTATCGTAAGACACTCATTATCCCGGAAAGTATTTACTTTTTCCAGAATTTGTTTTAACGAAAATTTTAGAAACAAGCTGTTCTAAAATTTAACATTTACTTTATTTTTTGTCGCCTTAATATTTTGGGGTTAAACGACTACCTACATTAGACTTTCAAATAAGAACCTATATTTAAAATACCATAAATAGACGGAGTAGTAATTAAAATAAATGTTGGTGTTTAAATTCTTAATTTCCGTCAATCCGTTGACGAGATATT